TTATTATTATTATTATTATTATTATTATTATTATTATATATACAATTATATATAAATAAATTTAAATTTATTTAATATATTAATATTTTAAATTAATATTGAAATATTTTAAAGTTTTTATTATAATTTTATATTTATTTTTTTTTTTAATATTTATATTATTTAATATAATATTATTTTTTAAATTTATTATAATTTATTTAAATATATAATATTTTTAAATTTTTTATAAATAAAATATATATTTTAATATTATAATAATTAATATTAATAATATATATAAATTAATTTTAATATTAAAATATAAAATATTAAATTATATTAATTAAATTAATAATATATAAAAGTTAAATTTAATATTAAAATATAAAGTTTAATATTATAATAATTAATTTAATAAAAAGTTATATTTAAATTTTTAATTTTAAATTTAAAATTAATTTATAATTTAAATTATATTATTAATAAAAATACAAAAAATATAATTATTTATTAAAATCTTTAAACTAAATTTAAAATATATAAAAAAACTTACATAATAAAGTTTAAATATAATATAATAAACTTTAAATTATTAAATAATAATTTAATTAATATAAAAAAGCTAATTAATTTAATAAATTATAAAAAACAGTAATAATCCTTAAAAATAAATTTTATACTTTAAATAACTTAATAAAATTAAATAACTATTTTTTTTTTATATAAAATAGTTAAATAAATAACTAAATCTATAATTAATAAAATTATAAATCTATAATTAATAAAATTATAAATCTATAATTAATAAAATTATAAATCTATAATTAAAAGCTTTTAAAAAAATAATTAAAGTTAAATAAAGCTAAATATAAGCTAAATTAACTAAAAGGTATTAAAAACCCTAAGCTAAGTAAAGTAATTAAAAAAATTATTAAAAAAGCTAATAAAATAATTAAATAAAAACTAAATTACTAAAATAAACTTTTTTTAATATTAATTCTTGTAGGTAGTTTATCTTTTATATTTAGGAAAAGTAAATTAATTATAATTATAAAATAACTAAATAAATAATTAAATTTATAATAATAAAATTTTAAATTTATAATTAAAAGCTTTTTTTAAAAAATATAATTAAAGCTAAATAAAACTAAATATAAATTAAATTAAAAAATTTTAAAAACTTTAAGTTATATAAAATAATTAAAAAAATATTAAAAAAACTAATAAAATAATTAAATAAAAATAAAATAAACTTTTTTTAATATTAGTTTTTTTAAATAGTTTATTTTTTATATTTAAAAGAATATATATTATTAATTTTTTAAATATTAAATTTTTTAAATTTTTTTTTATTATAATTATATTTAATTATATCAATTTATAATTATAAAATAAATTTTTAAATAATAATAATAATTTTAATTTTTTTAAAAAAAATATATTAATAATTTTTTTATATATTATTTAAGTTTATAAAATTAAAAAACTTAATGTAATTAAATTTAATATATAAATAAAATTTTATATAATTTTTATTATATATTTAATTAAATTAAATATAAAAATTTAATAATTTATCAAAATATTATATTAAGAAAATTAAATAAAAAATATTTAAATTATATAATTTAAAATTTTTAAATAAAAACATTTTTTATTTATTTATAATTATAAAAATTTTATTTAATAAATAATTTTAAATAAAAGTTAATTTATTAAAACTTAATATTTAAATAAATTATTAAATATATTAAATATTTAAATTTTAATATAGTAATTAAATTAATTTTCAATATTATATTATTAACTATATATTATATTAATAATAAGATTTTGTTTTTTAATGAAAACATTTTTAATATATTTTATATATTTATAATTTTACTTTTATATTTACTTTTAGTTTTATATTTTTTGTTTAGGAAATTTATTTTATATATATTTTAATATGTTTTATTAATATTTAAAACCTTATGACATTTATATAATTATCAACTGATAAAAAATTAGTAAATTTCATTTAATATATGTAAAATAAATCTCACCTCTATTAACCTCTCTGTTAAATCGAAACATTCGCGTCGTATCTCCTCCCCGAGGTCTTGAGAAGAGAATCGCCATAATCCCGTGAATCCCATTTCACGTAAGGCATCTATTAGTGGACGCATCGAGGTCATTTTATCCTGGAAATTCGCATCTGATGAGATAGTTCGGAGTAGCGTATTGGCGGCCTTCAGAGCACTAGTATCCTGGCTATGTAACAGTACCTCTTCGATTAACGATGGTATTGCACCGCAACTACATGTAATCAGTTGCCAACTCTTGTAGTAAAGGAGTGTTGCGCACTTACAGTTGTTCAAAGACTAAAGGCCGCTGCAAGGCTAAATCATTCAGCCATTGGAGGCTCCGGACTTGTACTCGCTCCTCAAGATACTGGAAGTCAACTAATTCGATAGCCGAGATGAGTAACAGATCTTTGTCCCTTACATTATCCATTTTTTGTCGGCTAGTGAATGTTGTATTATTGCCGGCGCCCTCTGAACTAATGCCGGATATCCAAAGGCCATCTCTGTAGTCTTCAGGCAGCACGCCTCGTGCTGAAATAAGAGCAAGGTATGGTAAAGAATCTGTTGTGGGGTCATTCTTAGCTGCTGGAGGTATTGTGGTAGAATTGGCAATCTCAAAAAATGAAGATAGAACGCGAATTGCTGTTGGGCGTGTTGATGTATCAGTAAGTCCGCGGACTAGGCAAGCACAGACGGCGAAGTGAAAACTCTCGTGATCGAAATGAATCCCGTAGGCATCGTCAAGCGGCAATGCGGCTTCCTCGAGTTGACTACGGCTTTGCAAAAGGAGTGGGACAATTTTCTCTCCCGTAGCATTGCCAACAGCGCCAATGTTGGTTAAGACTGCTTCAAGGAACTGGGCTGTGCAGTTGAATAGACCAATAGGAACAAGTCGGACGAGAGACATGGCCAACCAGAACAGTTGAAGACCGTAGCGAGATGCAGAAGGAAGCTTGATCATCATCTTAGACAGCGACGTTACGATAGAAATCAGCATTTCGCTATTCCCATCTTCCCCAAATTGGCCGATGCTATTGCGTAGGGCAACGAGAACTTGGTAAAGCAAGTCATCGTCTACCTCTTCACGGGCTAGGTATCCCATTACTGCGAAAGCCCTTGGTTGAACGGCTGGGTTATTTTGAAAGGCGGTGCTTGCAACAAGGCTCATCCAGCGTGACCTCCAACTATTGGCCAAGTCAATAGAAGGTGCTGCAATAGAGCATATGTCAAATAAAATGACAGTAAGATTTTCAGTTGCTGCTAGTGTTGAGCTCGAATCATGTGCCGTGGAGACGGAGGCACCATCGCGAATAGTCGAAGTCGTCAAAGAAAACGCCTCACCTCGAGGCTCACAGAGAAGATCAAGGTTTGCTTTCAGTTTGGTAAGTTTTGCCTCATCCAAGTTGAAAGCCGTACAAACTGAATGAACTGAATTGACCAACAGCTTGTAGACGAGTGATCGAACGCTATTGTCGCCTGTGTTGGCGAGCATCGTTACGATGTGAAAAATTTCAGGTAAGAATAACCGAGACTGAACACCGCTATCAAATGACAGTGCAACGCAAAACTGCAGAAGCACGCAAATTTCAGCCCAGACTGGGCTATCCTGTAGATATCTTGTTGGTCTCAATGATGAACGATTGAGTGTTTTGCGAAGTCTAGAGAATATCTTTCCTCGAATAGTAACAGTACCGATGCCGATAATGACAGGTGAGATAACTTCCAACGACTCCTCATGAGCCCCATAGCGTAGGGCAGTTTTTATAAGCTCATCAAGGAATATGTCGAGCAGGAGCTCATCACTGGTTATTGATGGTAGTACAAAATGTTGGAGAGGATAAGAAAGGTGCGGATCTAAAACGATAAGATCGATCAGCTTCCTCAAAAGAGTCGCCACCTTTTCTCGCCCCTTTTCACTGTCTTGTTCACTAGTCAAGACATTCGTTCGTAGACCGGTGAGCCACGGTGACATATAAGCTAAGCTGAGAGGCCTTTGTTCTTCAGGAAAGCTCTCCCACCCTACGAAAAATTCGGTCAAGAAATCGGATGTGAGTTGTGGCTGCGTAGTTGCTAAAATATTGCTTATTTCCACTACAAATCGCGTTGGATCAATAGGGATGGAGATGTCTAGTGCGAGATATTAGTATTGATGATCAGCATCATCAATAGGTGCCTCAAAACTTACCTTTCGCACATGATAATCTGGAATCAGCGCTAAACTTGAAGGCTCTGCACAAGGCTGCAAGCAGATTATATGATGCCAATCTTAGAGAACGATCCGAGCTCAATAGGTTAGTAAAGGCAAGGTTGAGTAATGTACCAGGTACGTCTTGAGGACGCATAAGCCTTTCAAAGGGTTTGTATGTACGGTTCTCTTTCCCATGCTTGTTTTTGGCACTGCGAATGGTTTGAAGCACGTCTGCTTTCTTTGGGCTGGTGAAGTACATGACGATTTTCCCTCCATCTGCTCGGAGCCCAAAGGAGGAGTCATCCTCTGATTGAAGTGTTGTCGTTGCTTCTTCTACATCCCCGAGGCGGAAAATATCATTGACAGTAGTGCTGAGGCGGAGGCCAGACAAAACCTCCTGTTTCTTGGTTGTCGTTACTTGGACAAACTGGCTTCCAACCTTGATCACCACTTCTACTTTTCCTTTTGACTTTGAGAGCCTCGTAATGGGCTGGAACATGTAGCGAGTATCGGTAACAACACTGATTGTTTCCTTAGGAAGATGGAGTTGACTGAGGTGGAAATGAGCTTGAAGATCCTGAAGGCTACCTATCAAGTGATATTCCACGTTTCTCGGGTGGAAAGCACTGCTCTCAGATCTTGTGGATACCCGTAACAGGTGTCGGAAGCATCTCCTGGACACGTTTCATTAGCGCCAATGGAAAGATTGAAAACACCTATATAACCAACCTAAAGGCGCTATTCATGTTGTAAACATAAATCCTTGTCAGATTAAGTGTTAATTCCGAAGGAGTAAGAAGATCGAGCATTTTGAAGAAGTCATCTTGGGGGTCGTTCCGTCCATTATAACATGTGGCATCTATGAAAAGCCCGAAGGGTTCATGCCAAAGCCTGCTAGCAATCTGTCAAACTAATTAGTCCCCTATCTCTGATTTATTACCTCAAAGACCACCAGCTAAATGATTCTGCGCCGATTTCCATGCAGCGCACCAGCTTGAGTGTCAAAACTGACGACAATGGAGGAAATCTAAGAACCAACCTTGAGATAACAATAGAGCATAGTGTCATAATCGATATTATCAGCTTCAATATGTCGTAGTATAATGCAAATTATTGAAAGCCCATCCTATAGAACGCTCAGCATTTACTACTTCATATATCTTGAGGGCGGAAGGTGGGCTAAAGGAATTAGAAAAAAAGATCTCACCTTGCTCTCGCCTCCGTCATACACAGCACGAGATGTCAAATAAGACTCTGTGCCACGAAAAGCATTGCGAAGCATGAAGTTCTGGAATCGTGAATACAAAGGCGGACTGTTTGTTGAAATTTGTGGCCGGTTCCATGATATAGCCAAAGGAGGTGGGCCAAGATTTGCAATCAAATTTCGTAGAGGTTCCATGGCCGGTGACCGACCGCGAGGATGCTCCCCAGGAGATCTGACGAACTCTCTCCTGTCCTTGGAGACAAGGATCTGCTGAAGGTGATCCCAATGGTCATAGAGGAATCGGTGCAAGGCCACGCATGACCCGAAATCGATGGCCTTTTTGTTACTACTGATTTCGATCTGACTTGGTGGGATCTTCCCAGCAATTAGTCCGTATCCAGGAAAGAGTTGTCTCATCACTCACAGATATTTCACGCAGAAAGCCCATTACGACATGGATATTTTGGACTAAGAAGAGGTTAAGTGGAAACATGTAAGGCTCCTTTGTTCCAAAAAGAACATTATTAGCCAAATTTTGGATTATTTTGGCTATGAGCAGTAATCCTCGGCGCATTTCCTTTGACGGCGGTGTTGGCACAAGTCCTTCTACTTCGGGGGCAACGATTGCAGGACAGAAAAATCGGAGAAAGATGAAGGCACCAACTGCAGTGTATTTGGCGTTCGGGAAACGGTGCAAAACAGCGTCGGATATCTACTTGAGGTGTGAGGACTATCGATCAAGAACCAAAGGGTATTATCTGAACTCACTATGCTGCATATTTTCCTGAACGAAGGGGGTATATTGGAAGCAGAAGCACATATATCGTCCATGAAAACCTTCGCAACTATCTGCAGCTGAAGAGCATTTTTTTGCAGTTCTTCCTGTGTGCCAACTCTGGTCGGATCAAGCTCCAAATCTAAGTCCTGGGAGGTGAGCATGAGTCGTTCTAGCACCTTGTGAAGAGTTCCTTGTAAATAAGCAAAACCTTTCCACCTAGCGTAGACAGAGAGCATTTTGGTTGCAACGCAATTTCGGCGTAAAATTTCCGTCTCGTTTTCTGATGGGCAGTTAGCTCGGTCCTGTCTCAGAGCTACTAATAATGAAAAGCGATAGGTCTCACCAGTTTGGTCGATTTCTGCCCTGATAAGTGCCTCGAACAGCTCGAATATAAGACCTCGTTGTTCAAATACCGTTAGAAGGCAAATAGTAAGTTCATCAACTTCTGTACTTGGACAGATTGCACTCATTGAGGCAGGGAGCGATACATCTTTTGTAAGTAGCTTCATTCACAGCGTTAGCTCCTGAGAAGGGTTAAGTCAGGCATGAGAAAACAAACCTCTAAAAGTTCCTCATATTTTTTGCTAACAGCTGAGTCTGTCAGATTGCTGAACTCAGTTCCTTGAACTAAGATGTTAAAGAGAACCTTGACAAATGCCGTTCGAATCTCAACATTGTCGTGATACCCGATATTGATTGAATGCTTAAGACCGACATCAATATTTGCGCTGAGGAGGTTAGAGAGAATGGTAATGGCCAAGTCTGAATTGGAGATCACTTCATCTCGGCCAGCTAGGGTTGCAGAGAGCTCCGATCTGCTTATTTCGGCAGACTCATGGTTAAGAAGAGAAAGAAATCGGTTGAAATAGGTGTGGAACATCTGGGACTTCATCTCGCTCATTCCGACATCCGATTGACTGTCAGCGGGCTGCAGAGGTAGACGAAATGTGAGATCTGCGAGAGATCGCAAACAAGCTTTATCAAGATCCTTTTGAACTCTGTTCATATCATCTGGTTTCCCGCCTACACCGGTCTGATCCACATGTGGTGATCGTGGTCGATCTATCCAGCCAATGGTGTACTCAAGGAGCTGATTTCGAATGTGCACGTCATCGCGAAGGTTCAAATGCTCCTTTCTCTTCGTTACTGCTTCACACAATTGACAGACTCTTATCTTGACTCGCAGAGTATTTGCAGTGTCTGCAATCCCGTCGATGAACTTCGCAAAGTTCAATGTCATGAGACCCAAGTGAACTGACGAGGCGGCCCCTAAATCAGCAGGGATTTCTAGTCTTTCGACCAAAGTCTTCAGCAGGGAAGCGGCCTGCTCCGCAAATATGATGTCCGTTTCTTGAGCTTTGTCTGCCGGAGCGAGGACGCCTGCAAAGAGTACTTCTAGCTCTGACTCGAGAGCCTTAAATAGGGCAGGATAGAGAACCGATGACACTTCGCTGGAAAGAATTTCGCGCATAGCTTCACGGACCCTGACGTTCGCACACGCTAGGAGCTGGATAGCTAACTTGAGATAACGTTTGAGAGAGGGCTCCTCAGATTGCTCCGATGAGGACCGATCTATCCACCTTAGATTCTGAAGCGATGGTTCTTCCAAGATAATAGCTTGGTCGGCGGTACAAGCTCCTCCAAGGGATGCGAGGAAGCCTGAAAGATTTCGCCACTCCGACAATAGTCGGTCATCGACAGAATTTGGATGTAATGTAGATACTTTTTGAACCAAATAAATCCAACGATCAAACGCGATTTCCCAAGCGTTTAGTATGCCTAATGTGGGAAACTGTACGCGACGCAGGAAAGTTCGAATTCGTTTTTGAAAGGCGACTAGTCCTGTGAATCGAAAAGCTGGAGAAGCAATCTCACGGAATATATCGCCATTGCGAAGGACTGAGGCTGACGACTTGATAGATTCAGCAAATTCACTGATACAAGAGCATTCTGCCAGAAATAGGCCAATGCAAGACGTCACAAGCTGACAGACATCAATGTCAGCGGAGCAAAGAGATACCAGAAGAACAGTCTCTAATTTGGACGAGGCAGCTACCATGTCTGGAAGCTCATCAGAAAGGCGAGTTAATTCCTGCAGGAAATCAGGATGCGATATTAGTGAGAGTTGCTGTATATTGCATTAATGGACTCTTACCGGTATGTTTTTTAATAAAGTAAGTCGAGCTTTGAGGTAGTCGTGCATTGTTGTTAATTCACATAGCCTAGGATGAACCATTCGTTCACACAACTCCAGCAAAACCTTGGAGCTTGGGGAATATTAGTTCATGTTGCGTACCACAGATTCTTCATCTTACCTTCGAGTCCAGAATGCCTCACGCAGTTCAAGTATATCGGGATGGCTTTGTTCGTTGAAAGACTTGATAGCTTCTGGGTGCTCTGCAAAGAGTCGCTCAGCAACTTCGGTTGCTGTCTGGCAAATGGATTTGTTGGAGGATATTACGGTGAATATAAATGGCCCTAACGTGTCAAGAGTCGGCGTCTGACGATTAAGCTCATTCAATAAAGATGTAGGCAGAGCGCCGAGAAACTTGAGGATGCTGCGCGCCATATTGATGACCTCATTACTGAGATTCGCCGCCGAATCCCATGAGACAGCAACACAAGTCTGAAACCAAATTAGTATACTCAATGATGAGAAACAGAAACAATATGGTGTGGCAAACCTTTAGTTGTGACTGAATAAAAGGAAGAGCCTCGTTGAAGAGCTCGTTATATCTGGAAGAGTCCGATTGATTCGCAAGGTAACAGCATGCTTGGATAACAGCAACTTTGAAACTATGCGGTGACGAAGGCGAGATACAAGTATCAAGGACAGTATCAATGCACACATCCAAGTTTAGATGCGCTAGAGTAATGAAGGCAGCAGTAATCATATTCTGGTCAAACTGGGCAGAAGGTGAATTTGTCGCGGAATGGCGAAATACTGCGTCCCGTACTTCGTCCTGCATATCCATGGCATAACTGAAAAGTGCAGAATCGATTTCTGCACTGAAATGCCGAGCAGCGCGGAGCAGAGAGATGACACAGTATCCAGCTTGCTCATTTCCATTTTTCATGGTTTTACGCAATGCGTCCAGAAATGACACCTTCTTCATGATATTGTTGCTCTTAGCCTCCCTTAAGTTACTAGCAACCTCGAAAACGTCAGGCATAAGGAAAAGAAGGGTTGTTTGGAGAGGAAACAGAAAAGTTTTGCGTCTACCATTGTCAGTCACAGTTTGTGTCATATCAAACAGGGTATCCGCGCCTCCGTCAAGCCGTTTATGGAGAAGATGGAGATGGACAAATTCTTGCGGATATCGATCAATCCATCGAGCTATTAATAAAGGCATGGTAGCAGCGACAGTGTTTTGATATGATTTTCGGAAGTGAAGAAAGCTCGAGCAAATCTCCTGTATGATGAGACCAAGCTTGGAGCCATCAACCCAGAAGGAGGAAAGAAGCCGCATAACAATGAGCGACCCTCTCCCCGACTCTTGGGCGCCCCAAGTCTCCGTAGTAGCGTCCACTGCTGCAGCAACGCGGACATTGTATATGACCTCTCTAAGGTAGCTAAACGAATCTGACCAGCTGGACGCTGTGACATATCCCACAAGTATCTTGACGGGTGTTTCGATTTGATCAAAATATGAAGAAAGGTGGCGCTCAGCATCGGAATCGTCGTGGTATGCATCTTGCTGCGGCTCCATGGGTGAGGATGTCACACTTGCGCCGCCTCCAGTACCCTGATCCAAAAGTACTTGTGCTGATAACATGTAATTGTCGGATATAGGCTCCAGCAAATCCTTGAGAGCGTCAAAGATTCGGCCAACAAGTCGCTCACCCAGGGTAGTGGATGGCAAAGGTGTGTCCTTATCGTGTGAATTGGGCTGCGCAGTCCAATTAGCAGAGCAGCAATCTGCTGCCAGGCTCAGCACAAAGAGCTCCGACGACAAGACATGGCTGGGATGATCTGAGATGGTACTATAGGGGCGCGCCAGGTCTTCGAGTAATCCCACAAGCGATTCCAATATGATGTCAATTGAAGATTTGCTCAGATCGACAAGTGTCGATCTCGTTATATGTAGCACTTCATCTTCAAGGGGACTTTGGTTGCTCGTTCCGGTGAGGTGCGGTAGCTGCAATGTGAGGATTGTTATCCATTAGCTGAGTGTCCCTAGAGTTCAAATATGCCCGATTGACGCGGATTATTGCTTACCCTGCTGGACAATCGTTCGACCAAGCAGGCCACCAAACTTGAATCTCCAGACATGACGGCGATCTGGAGATGTCGGAACGAGCTCGTTGGGAGTGGATGAGGCCATCATCGAATCCCAGGGCCTGGAAGTATAGCGCGGGGTACATTCTAGCATGTAGCGCGACCCCTGGATCGGAGTCCCCTCCAAGGTACTCAGGACGCCAATCGAGATGCTGGCACAGGTACTTTCTTGTACCTCGGCGCGCAACGGTACAGCGGAGCTATCAAAGGGCCCCCTGAAGAGAAACGCCCTTGAGAAAGACGGCATGCCTTTGATAAATATGTATACAACTGTTGCACAGATTCAGCGCATTTTTCGATTCTTGCACCAGTAGTTTTCACAAAGGAAGCTCAAGCCTACTAGAGAGATGAGGACGGAAGCTCTTGAGGTTGATCATTAAACTCAAATCATAGGCAGATCTGGACCATGCCTTTCATAATTAGTACCGGAACAGCTAGAGTGCCTCTTCAGGTACCTACCGGGTACGAAAGTAACACATTAAGAGCTCCAGCCAGTACTTATACTAAGCTGCTTTCTGTAGCTTCCAAGTCTGTCACTGCGACACTACAGCTGACACACTTCGCGACGTAGTGCAGATAGCATCCAGTCTTTCATCTTCGCCACAGGTCCTGTTTGCACCTACCAATCACGCTCTTCCCATAGTTGAGAACAGCCAAAACTTGTTTTTACTGGAGCCGCTATGCAACAATGCCTCGTAGGCACGGTGCTTTAGACGACTATACGTCTGCTGTGCCTCAAGTTTGTGTCCCTGTGTTGTGCGCTCCTCATGGTCCAGCCTAATCAAGTCTCAGATCATCTTGTCAACTTCCGATTCCGACTATCTTGATCACCTCATACCAGTTCTTAAAGATGCGACCAACTCACGACGGACGCCGGCTCTGTTGCAGTCTTTATCTCGTTACTCCGAGGACCGCGAAGCCGACATTGAACGAATCGGACTGACCAAGCACGAAGAGTTTCTCGATTCGGTCCACAGACTACAAGAAGTCCGTGAAGGGACCGTTGCCCTTACCACTGAGATTCTCAAGCTAAACCAGTCGATTCAAGCAAGCACCGAGAAGCTTGCTGATCAAAAGGGTGCCCTTGTCAACACAAAAGCTGTGCGCCAGAATATTGCTGACGCGGCGGATGCCCTTCGAGAATCCCTTACGGTGCTCCATGCCGTGAACCACTCTCACGAGCTTGTACGACGTAAAAAATACTATTCTGCCCTAAAGTCGCTGGAGGATTTGCAGAATGAGCACCTTGTCCCAATCCTCCAGAATCGCTATGCGACCCAGCATCGTCTAGCAGATGCAATTCAGAAGTCTCTTCCTGCTTCTCGAAGGGCAATTTCCGAAGCGGTCATGTCTGACTTGAACACTTGGCTTTTTCGAATTCGCGAGACCTCACAATTCCTGGGCGAGGTTGCGTTCTATCATACGGAAATGCGACGGAACAGGCAAAGAGCGCGAATAGAAAACGAGAAGTTCTTGGAAAATTTCAAGTTGAACTCGTCCATTGAGCTGATTTCAGACGAGAATGAAGAATTTGATGTTCTCGACAACGAAGAGCTCCAAGTTGATTTTACACCGCTATTTGAAGCTCTGCATATCCATGACGCCCTTGGACATAGCGACCGATTTCGCTCGGAATATGCCTCTACCCGACGTCAGCAAAAGGATCTCCTGGTGCCAACTACGATTGATTTACTGGCTGAGGATGGATCGTCTCTTAGCAGCCTTCTTGAAGGAATTGCAGGATTCGCAATTATAGAAAGGGCAACAATGCAACGAGTCCCCTATCTACGATCCGTGGTTGATGTGAGTATTTACGTACCTAGAATTCTCGAGTCCTCAGTAAGTTCTAACGCTGTACTACAGGTAGAAGAGTTGTGGGATTCGATGTGCACCGCAGCTATAACCCTTACAACGAAGTCCCTAACAAATATCGATAATGCTGAAGTTCTACTTAAAATTAAAAGCGTCATTGCATTGTTCATTCAGACTATGGAAGTAAGCATGCAGCCCTGTGAACCATTACTGTTATACTTTTCTGACAAGTACTCATTATGTCTAGGGCTGGGGATATTCCGTATCTGCTCTGGATAATTTCCTTCTGCAGCTCTTCGACAAATATGCCCAGCTGTTGAAGCGTCGATTTAGCGAAGACTTTCAAGAGGTTGGTAGTACAACATATTACACTTTTCATAAGACTATTTACTCATGAACAATACTTGGCAGATCGTTTCAACGGATGACTATATGCCAATGGCTATTAACTCACTCAGCGACTATGAGAAAGTGATAAACGTCAGCTGGTTCACGCCAGATCGACCTACAGAAGAGCTTACGTGCGCTTATTAGATTTCTAAAACGTGCAGTAGATGCTAATCATGATGATAGGTTTCCATGCGTGTTACCGTTTTCTCAAATGTACCCACTCTGCTGTATCGATATTCGAAACTTTTTGAACCAGTTCTATTTTTTTCTCGATGATCACTTCCAACACTCAGACATCATTGATGAGACACTGCGAAAGGTTTTCACTCGCGCCTGTCCCCATCCATTCATGCGGCAGCATAGTTAACTAACCAACAATACAGTCCCTAGACGAGCTTCTCAGCGAGAAAGTCTGCAAATCTCTCGTCGAGCGTCTTAGCTCTCAATATTTGGGTCAAATAGTGCAGATTCTCATAAATTTGGAGCACTTTGAAATAGCCTGTCGAGAGCTAGAGCAGCTGTTGATAAGAGCAAGGTCGTCCACTTCAGCGGGCGGTCCTTTGAGGCTGAACGCCACGGAAGAGTTTCGCAACAATAAGAAGACTGCCGAAAAGAGGATATTTGAGCTGGTCAACTCCAAAATTGATGATCTTGTTGACACTGCAGAATACGACTGGTATGGTCTTTTGATCAAGAAGTCATCACAGGTGCTAATCAAGAAATTTGTAGGTTGGCGAGCGGCGTGCCGACAGAGCCAAGCAATTACATGCAAACACTCACTCGGTATCTGTCCAATATTATGAATTCGACGCTTCTGGGGTTGCCCAGAGAAATCAAAGAGTTGATTTATTTTGATGCTCTAAGTCATGCAGCTGAAAAAGTCCTGGTATGCTGCCCCCTGTATCTAAACCATTCGGTCCAATCAATGCATATTAACCAGCCTGCAAGGCTCTCCCTCTTTCACCCGAAGTTCGACACATCAATGGGTATGGCGTCTTAGCGCTGGCACAAGACGTCAACTATCTTACAGAGTTTGTTGGGAGCCTCGAAAACGGACAGATGCTACGTGAAAATCTTGACGAACTTCAGCAGACTGTGAATCTGATGCAGTCTGATAATCATGAAGAATTTTATGATATTTCAATCCGCAACAAGAAATATGGCCGAGTTGACGTTCTCAATGGGCCGATGCTACTTGAGAAGTATGTCATCACCGAAACACCTGGAAATAAACAAAACAACAAAAGACCCTTAAAAGACAAGAGCTAACATAGTGTAGGCTTACCCCTACCGCGCAGCCTTCGGGGAGAGCTGCGCCGCTTTCCAACCTGTCTCGCTTCGCCATCATGAAATGAAGCAAAATGATGTCCAGATGCCTCTCTAAACTACAAGATATGCTTGTTGTTTTGCACATCTGGAGACTCTTTCGCATTAGCAGCTACCCACATAGCCACTTTAAGGCTGCGGTTTTAATATGCCACGACAGAAATTGAAAGAGCGCTTGTCGTCATGTAGGCGTTTTATCAACTACCATTCCTTGTCTTCCTTAGAGCGAGATCTCTATTCAAACTCTTCAGACGGCATAGGTGCCTGCCAATGATTAGCAGAGCAATGCTATGGCGGGAAATTACTTACCTGTTGTGGCTGCATTGCCGAGTATTGTTGATACATGCCCTCCATCTCACTATACATGGCCGCTTGTGCTTGGGGTTGTCCATAAGGGGCGGGAGGGGCCTGGCCGGGATACATATTAGGAGCCTGTCTGTAGTCCTGCTCAGAAGCAAGCGCATGTCCGCCCATATAATCTGCAGTGGCCATCGGGTGAGACGACGGATGACCAGCCGACTGGGCCATGCCGGCGTGCTGCCCCGGCATTGGCGCCTGACCTGCCCCTGGAACTGGTTGCGCGGCGGAGGGCTGTGTGGTAGTTCGTTTAGCGTGTGCTGTAGCTTCCTCTCTGGGGACAATATCGATCAAGAAATCAAACATGTCCGACTTAGCAAGTGCAGATGCAATATCGGACCGCTGCAAGGTTCGCCTCTTGTTCTCCTCAGCATGAATCCAAGCTCGCATCGTAAGTTCCGTGATAAAGATGTCACAGCCCTTGGCAAACAGAATTGGTGCTTCCGCCGATATCATCTTGACTTCTGGGTCGGCCTTCATGACTTTCTTGATACGAGCGAGGGGCAGCTGATGGATTTTGTAATCATGAGTGTCACTCTCCAGATGGCTGATTGTTTGTTGCCAGTAAGTCGTTAATATATCCTTATACTGTCCTGTGAGGCCCTGATGAACCTATGGAACGACAGCAAGTTAGCAAGTGGAAGCGCAGAGTTGTAACCAAGGACGACCAACGTTAGCCCACGGTCCGGTGTAGAGCTCCGCCGGCGCAAAGCCCTGCGAGGCAAGCTATATCCTTCGTTAGCACAAAAGAAAGGCTCGGCCGAACAGTTATCGAAATATACGAACTGCAGCACAGGCACCTAAGCAGGCGTATTAGTCTTCCCGTAGAGGACCTCCAGCTAAAGAAGAAAAACTAACCATAATGTCCGCCTTGTGAGGGATCGTAGACCGGTGTTGGTCGGTTATGTGAAGGATGTGTTGGTGCGGATTGATTCTGCGATTCCATTGTCTAAGCTGAATGGTTGACAAGCAGTGGTGGTGATAGTGGTGGTGATGCAAGGTAAACTACTAATAAATAAGGACCCGTCAGCTCTCACGAATCATAGGTGCCATATACTATATGGACGTGGGCATATACATCCGTACCGGTGATTCCTAGTGGATTTTGGTTGAATGGCTTTGAGGGAGAAGAAAAATACAGTCGGGTATCGTAAGAGCGCGTATCAGTGTAACTGGAGTCGAAGCGCAGCTATCGCGTTGTTGATTTTGGGCTGCCTTAGGCGATGTTGTCAGAGGTGCTTCCCACCTGCGCAGCCTATTTTCCTGAGTAGCCAATCATTGGCCTGAACTGGCAAGCTCGTTTTCTTCATATCCATTAACTGCATAACTAGGAATATTGCAATTCCGCATTACATAATGCGACGGAGGTGGGGGCAGAAAAATTCTTGTAATGGAATATCCACTTCTTTGCATACGAGCGCCAAAGTTCTATACTACAAAAAGACCATTTCCTGAAAATTTTACAACAGATCTTCTCACAAGGCGGCTTTGATCTTCTCTCCTCAAGTCATATGATGGCTGATTTTGCCGACAATGACGTGCAGAAGCTTCTCCAGCAAGCCGAGGAGCGCCTCAGTGGCGGCCGTATAGCTGCAAAGCAACCATCGACAGCTTCGACAGCGTCCAAGCCAGTAGGAGAGGATGTAAAGGCTTTACCTCCTAAGCAGGAGAAGACAGAAGTCCGCGTGCCGCGTCCCCAGGTAGCAGCATCAGAGCAGCGGAAGGGTAAGGTAAGAACCAGCACTCTTCTTCATCTCTCCTCTTCTTTCTTTTTTCACCCTCTCTCTCTTTGGGAGGATAGCTGGTATAAAGATGAAAGCTAGCCGCAAGGCACAATGACACGGGACAACGTCCGTCTTGGATCATCGGCCCGTGGCTCCTGATTGCTATTTATCATCATAGTTACTCTGAATACCAAGCGACTCAGCCTCAGCTTATTCACTCACTGCAAATGGCTTACACCAGCCTCTTCAAGTGCTAGTTGACTTATCGCTAACTCGTAACAGAACACAGCAGGGCCCGAGTGGTTTGACCTCCCCAAAACCAACCTGACGCCAGAGTTCAAGAGAGATTGGCAACTGTTGCGCATGCGAAATGTTCTAGACCCTAAGCACCAGAGAAAAACCCTGCGATCTACTGCCCCCGAGTATTCCCAGGTGGGCAGAATCATTGCCAGTCCAACCGATCCATATAGCGCGAGACTGGGGAGCCGAGAGAGGAAGAGCACGCTATTAGAAAGTATCATGTCCGCACATAATGACACAAAGCTCGCGTCCAAATATTCTTCTATCCAAGAGATGAAGAGAGAAGGACGAAAGGCATTCTATAAATCAGTAGTTGCCAAACGACGGAGAAGAAATTGAGACCAACACCTAATTATGAAACGATACCCGGACAACGATCCAGTGCCAATAGTGTAGTAAAATATCATGCTATAAGCACGCGGAGTCCAAAGAATAAATTTAAAAGTTTGCTAAATGTTATGACGATGCGCATTCTCAAATCTCAAATTTTGATTGTACATGTAACATATATATAGTGTTGTTTTTAAATTCCATTGCGATAACATACTCTTGGTCTCATGATCCTGCTTCGTAGCATATAAGTCATGATAATAATAACTACTTAATATAAAAATAGTCAATAGCCAGCGCTTATGCTGTCATACTGTATTATACCAAAATTGACATTAACCTATCCGGCCTTCCGCCTTGGCCTCTATCACTTTTGTCAGAATCATGTCTCGACTGGTCGGGGAATGTGTTGAATCTGATGGCATCAGAAATAAATCAGTACTCACCTTTGACTTGCTCAAAAACTTTTAGCATCTTGCGCCGTGCTCCGAGAGCATTAACCCCACGATCCTCCAAAGCCTTATCATCTAATTCGATCAGGTCTGTCCAGTTCATATCTTTCAGATTGTCTGTGTACTTGTGTAGTCGTAAACTGCGAAGCCAGCTAGGGATATCTTGAAGAAGAGTAGGATCTGTCGGGTCTTCAGGGGGCTTTGAGCTTCCCCTTCTTCCTCTCGGTGAACGTCCTCGAACCATGTCAGAATGGTCTGAAAGGTAACCTTCATGGGTGTTTATTCCTAGTTGACCCAAGCCGACAGGCGACATTCCACCAGTCATCAATCCAGAACCGTCATATGCGCTAAGAAAGCCGTTGTGCTGAGGGGAAGTAAAATGTGACATGGGCCCCATGCCGGACTGCATGGGTAAGCCTGGAGAGCTCGGACGTGATCGCTGTCCTCCAAGACTGAGGCCTTGCTGTGCTTGAAGAGCCATCAGCTGATCGCGATTCAGAATTTGCCCGTGTTCATTGATCATGACGACATTGGCGTTAGGAATATTGACATGTGAGGGAGTAGGAGGCATCTGGTTGTGTGCATTCCCTGGAGCATCGTTGGACCTGGCTCTTCGATATTTGCGAACGTCGTCCAAAGCGAAGCGGTTATTGACTGTAGAGAGCGCTGCGAGCTTCATTGCAGTCGCGTTGGCTACCATGTCAGCCTGGTTACCGCTGGAGTTTGTATTAAATGTTGGTGCCATCGGTGTATTGACCATGGAAGCCCAGTTGCCGCTGCTGTTCGCATATGGAGACAAGAGGGGCAGCTCGGGCGCATTTTTGTCACGAGTCAAAGTGGTTGTTTGAAGGGTAGAATTACTCGACAACTGTGGCCTTGGTGACCTCAGCCCTCCTCCGGATGCTGGAGGCTGTACAAACTGGCCCATTGGGGTTTGAGACGAGCCCGCCTTCGAAGATGCTGCGGGGTCTCCGCCGCTGCCCCATGGCGATGCTGACGAGGCAACATTGCCATCCCTGGAATCCGGAGTGGCAGCCGGGATACTGGATCCCGTCATCGCGGCCCGGGGATCGATGGCAACGCTGTTACGATTCGATGAAGGCGGGTTTCCCGTTTGCTGGGTAAACTTTGCTTTTTCTGTTGCAATAGCCGCTGCGGCATCCGGGAACATGGCATTGATCGTAGAAGCATCGAGGCCAGAGTGCCGCTTCGACGATGAAATAGCTGAGTTGCGAGCGAACGAGTTTCGGGCAGAATCAACATTAAGCTTATTCATGGCATCGCTAAGTCGACTAGACATCGGGTCTTTAAAAGGAAGAAAGAAAAGTTAGCTTGCAAATGCGCGAGTAAATTCCGTATGCGAAACCTACCTTTGTCAAAAGTCGCAGGGGACAGGACACCAGACATCGGGTGGTTCTTGCCCATCTGCTGAAGAACTTGAATGAAGAAGCGGATTTGGACCTGGGTTGTCTGCTGTAGCAATGCATACAGAGCTGCCGTGCGCTCAGCCTCACTAAGGACGCGAAACCACTGCTCAATAGCGCTCAGTTCATCCTTGAAATCCTGATCGAGCGTGGCAGCAGCCATTTCTTCCAGCGTCGTCTCATATTGATCAATATCCGCAATCCACTGTTGGGCGATCTTGTCCTGAGAATCAATGTCAAGGCCCCCAGGGCCGTGGCCACCTTGTTGTGGCTGACCATAGAAATCGGATGACGGCCTGATGCGGCTAGACGGCGATGTCCCTGATATTGCCGCCATGTCGGCAGAGGCGCGCAGCGAGCTGCCAGAGCCAACTGCTCGAGAAGAAGGTGGTCTTAGAGAGGGCGCGGCATTGACTTCAGGGGTGCTATTGCGATTGCCGGCGACGTGGCTCCCAGACATATTGAGCATTCTTCGGCTGCGTCAAAATGGGGTGAAGGAAGGATAGTGAAAAAGAGAAGAGGGGCTAAGGACGGAAGAACAGTTGGCGAATTCCTGCAGTATCCAGCTGGGCAGACGGTTTGACAAGACACGCAAACCGCAACGATGCAAATTATGGCGAGTTACAACATATTCCTATAGCGAACTAGTCGCGAGTTAGCATACGGGCCACGCTTTTTTTCCGTAGCTGACCGAGCCAGAGTCGTTTCCAGCAAGGCAAACTGGAAGCCGGCAAGGCTCACCAGAGGGAGACGCACTAGTTGTTAACCAAGATGGGGTGTCTGCTTCCAGGCAGGCAACGCAATTCAATCCAGCTACCAATCAGCTGGCCGTGAAAGATTGTGTCAGAAGCGCGGCTGAGGAAGAAGGACCTATTAAGAAGAGAAACCAAGGCGGCTGGCTAAGGGATGCCAGGAGTAAAGATTGAATCGAAACGCCTTATCAAGCGTAGCATAGGACTGCCAACTGCGCCTAGCGCTACTCACACAAGCGTTAGGCGCCGTTGCACTTCTAACAAAAAAAAACTATAGCAGAGTTTCAGGTGGCATGAAAAATCAAACGTTATTTAGTTAGGTAATTTTTTTAGGCTACACATAATAATAACAGCAGAAGGATATTATAATATATGGCTTATTGAATAAAATAATACTGTATATAATTAATATATTCTTAAAATTACAAAAAGTAGTATATACCAATATTTAAATATATACACGTATATATGTATAATACTTTAATATATTATTGATAATATTCCATTTTTAATATGCATTTATCACTTATATTTACGTATTACGTAATGTAGAGGCCTTTGGTTGATTTCACATTAGAGATGCTAGTGGCGGTAATCTGGGGGAACTTGGGTAGTTTCCCGGCCTAAGAATAGGCACGCCTCGCTTACACGCGCAAAGTCCCCTCTTCGCACACACTAGGGCTGGTACCACCCACTCGTCATTTTCCGCACGATCTGAATCTTGACTTGGAAAAATCTCACCGGACAGCACAGTCAACCACAGCAACAATGGCCAGTGAGTTTCGTCCCACGAAATCGATTCCCGTGTATCAGTCGCTAATATTCGAGTAATTAGAGTCAAAGAACTCGTCCCAGCACAACCAGTCGCGCAAGGCGCACCGTAACGGGTTTGTCACGTCTTGGGAAATTTACAGAGTCGCCCATGTCTAACTCCTTCCAGCATCAAGAAGCCCAAGACTTCGAGATACCCTTCCCTCAAGGGAACCGACCCCAAGTTCCGCCGAAACCACAGACATGCTCTTCACGGCACCATGAAGGCTCTGGTACGATTTCATCTTCACACATTCGAAACCGGAAAACCAAGCAGTCAACTAACTTGATGAACAGAAGGAGCTCAAGGAGGGCAAGCGGGAGACAGCATGAACGCATTCCGATTTAGCAGGTGGTGAAAAAAGGGGATCTTTGCAAAGTTTCAGGCCAATGGCCGCAGCTTAAACCATTAGACGCGATTTGCGCAGGAATTGATACCTCACCAGCTAATAGGAAATGCATCACTATAATGCTGAGATATCGATTGGGTTCCATCTCAATATGAGTTCCAGGTAGACAATTGGTTGTCTAAATTATGGCACTGCTGTGTACACTCTTACCGGTCCATTATTCTTTTGGTAGCAAACAGTGATTTCTTGTGATTGATGCTACCGCGCTGCTGTTGACGTGAAGATCCTACGGGTTGCAACTGATGGGCGATCAGATCTACTGCCCACTTGTCTTTCCTGCCCACAAATGGCCAAAGACCACACGAAAAAAAAAAAAAAAAAAAAAAAAAAAGAGAGGATATTTCGTCGCAATCAATTCTGAAACGCTGTGCCGTTGGTAGCTATCAACATTACAGCTTCAAATTTTTTACCAGTAGTTCATGTGCTAGGCTCTTATGGTTGGTTGATAGCAAGGATATGGTTTCGTTGACGAAGATGATATCCTTTAAGAGCTTCTTTCCACCTGCCAATTTGTTTGCTTCCAATGCTTTTGTGTAATACTGCAAGCTGAGGTATCCAATACCGAGCAGTTGAAAGAGCCTTCCCACATTGTAATATCTCTCAGCTTGGAGTTGTGGCTCGTCTCCCCCTGATTGTACATAGCGGCTTATGAAAGCTTGTCCTTGTAGGAGCAGGTATTGTCGGTTGGTCGATTGCCGCTTAAGGCCATAGTGGACATATGCAAGGCCCAGACTCAAGTTGACCATGGCATTCTCATGGTCAAGTGACCACGCACGCAGGAAATATCCTAATTCTCAGCTGTTAACCTCATGCTGCTGCTAACGTGGGGATTGAGTGCTTCAAAATTTACCTATCGCATATGTGTAGCTCGTGGAAGTGAAGAGAATATGGCCGTAAAGCATCAAGAGACATATGTCCATGTTCAGTTTCGCGGCGGTCGCTGCATCTTGGCCGAGATCATTCTTCCCGGCAATCTTCATTGTAGCTTCGTAGCTCATATCAATCGCTTTAATCTGTCTCAGGATGAATTTTTGGGCTGGTCCTGAAGTGTACCACGAAACAGGCGACTGGCATAACTTCGAGAGCAACGCAAACATTCGAGAAGAGTCGGATATTCCGCCATCTCTCATCAAGTGACGAGCCACTGTAATACACTTTTCTTCATCATTTGTATTAATGGCGCACACTAATCCAGTTAGTACGACCTCAGCGCGGCGGAAGATTAAACTACCAGATACATACCACTCCAGGCCATATGAATGGCGAAATTGTGTTGAGGCGACTGAAATACGGTCGAGTCCCTTGCCGACTCGCATACCTGATATGCTTCTTCGCGGCGATGCGCAAGAGACAAGCCAATGGCATAATCGAGAAACAAGTCGAGCCAGTCATCGAACGATATTCCTTGATGGTTATCGAATGCTGGCCCAGGTAAAGAGTCTCCTTGAGGTGCAAGAGCTATCAATTGATAAGTCGTCAGTAACAGCTAGCAATGGAATAATCGCAAGTAGCTCCGGCAAAATGGGTGGCGGCAGAGGCACCTACATCGTGTGAGACGCTCAAACATTTGTGATAGTTCGGTATTCCCCTCCTCGTTCGCGAATTGTTCCAGTAGCTCCTTCTTCCCAAGGAAATGAAGATATTTATCCCAGGTATAGAATCTCTTGAGGGATCGAAAATCGTCAACAAGTTCCTTGCAAGATTCCATCCAGACTGGGATGAGATCATTGGAGCCAGACTTGATCTGCTGTTTAAGGCCACGAACTAGCTCGTACTGCCGGGATAGTTTAATGGCACGCGAACGTTCGTCTTGACGGCGCTTGTCCGGGTTTGCAAATCGTTTTGCACGGTATCTCCTGGGTAAGATACGGGCCGCTTGGGTGGACTTTGGTTTGGCCTGTCTAGGTCCCACCCGTGACTGAGGAGGTGCCATGCCTCGTATACCACGATCTGCCATCATTGTTGAAAATGTATGGAGTTGCTCCTTTGTAGAAGACTCGCTAAGGGGTTGTCCTTGGGCTTCCTTGAGCGCCATTGCCTCCGCAGCGAGAATGAGGGCTTCTTCATCTTCTTTAGCTTTCTCGTACATGTTTGCCAATTCGATACGGGCGTCGATGTTGTACTCTTCGGCATCAATGGCCGCGTGGAAACACTCCTCTGCGGTAGATTGTTGTCCGGTAGCTAAATAGCATCGCCCTAGTTGAACCAAGAGTGTGGCATCCGCTTCTTCAGTCGAAGCTCGAAGTAACTCGAGATATCGGATGGCTCTCTGTGGCTGGCCATACTTGGCGATCTCGCTTGCAAGGTCATATGAAATGAAAGGAAATTCTGTGATGAAGTCGAATGTACGCGGATTATCTGGATCCAACCAAGTCAAATGTCTCTGTCAATGTTACAGGTTAGGTCATGGATACTACGCGTATGGGACCCTGGTTTCTGGGAAGGCAATTGCTTACAAAAGCTTCTTCTTCTTCTCCTAGTCTGAGCCTATACATTGCCAGTCGAGCTCGGAAATCCAGGGGTAGGGAGGGACCGTAGAGCTCCGGGTCAAACATTGAATCATGGAAATGAGGCACATGACTTCTACGCTCGTCATTCTCGTCCCATTCGCAGTCGTCGACCTGCCATTGATCCCAGTATTGCTCCTGGACACGGCCTACGAGCCATCTAGACAATGCTTTGAGTTCGTAAATGGCTTCAGCATATCCACCGGTTGATGCGATAAGCTCAACATAGATTCCTATATCATGCCACGGAGCGCTGGAGCCATGAAGCGGCGTGTTCTCAATTTCATAGTCAAAATAACGTCGATATGCCACGATAGCGGAGGGAACGGCGGCCTCAGTATTCTTATTGTCAATGCAAGCTTCTGCCAGCTTCCGTACGATCTCGAGATCATACGGATGATGTTTGAGGACAATGTTATACTCTGATATCGCAGCAGCTAGATGACCCTGTTGGTGACAAACGGTAGCTTTGCCAAGTCTAGCAGCTAGATTCGTGGGGTCTGCTCTGAGGGCAGCAGAGTAGCACAATCGTGCTGTCTGCAGATTACTCGCCTCATCTTCAGATACGATGTTGAGCGCAAAAGATGCACAGTCAAGCCACGCAGCAACATCCTTGGGTCGAAGATGAGCAGCATATACCATGGCAGATAACGCCCTGGCATGCTCTCCCTGCTCGCGGAAGATGGACGATAACGCCGTCCATGCTTGGTGTGTTTCAGCATTGATTCTAATTACTTCTGAGACCAGGTCCAAGGCCTTTGAGTAATCTCCAAGGAGAAACGCCTGGTTAACTTTGGCCAGCCTAGCCGTGATGTCTCCTCGAGGTTTGGCAGCCTTGCGAGGCCCCCGAGCTCCTCGAGATCCTCGCCCTCTGGCCACTCCACGCCCTGGAAAAGGTGGTTCTAGCCGTCCTTGGTGAGAATTCAAGAATTCTCTTACTGACTGGTCAAATTTAGCGATATCATCCTGGAGCTCCTCTAGATCGGAATCAGAATCGGATGGATTGCCCCTAGACACTAGCCTTTAGCGACTTCAACCTTGATGACGTCTCAAGCACACTCACCCCGCGGCCGATTCGTCCAAGCCATGACTGCTTGACATGGTTATTGAGACTACGGATCAACCATGCTTAGTGGCGATGATGAATGAATGAGTTGTATGGAAGGGCTGTATGAATGAAATAATAAAGCTGCTGCAAGAATGATCCATTGCCTTTTTTGGCTTAGCTGCATTGCTAGTGCATTTCCATTTGCAGATTCATCCCACCTCAATTGGCTGGATTGAATGTAGCAGAATCTTTCTGTCGCTGCATCCGCTAACCTCCAAACTCGCCGTTTGACGTAGCCGAGAGAGACATTTGGATATGCTCAGACAGAGCTCACAGCGCCTATCGCAGCTCCAGGTACAATAAAAAAAACCCCTTTGGGATTTGAAGGAAGCGAGTCTAATTCTAGCATGGTAGGCCTCTGTGCCGTGGATTGCCAAGAAGACCCCGGCATTCGGGTGAGTGCTTGAGAAAAAGGCAACGTACAAAATAATATAACATTCTGACAATCTCAGGTGTTTGTCCAACGAACCCAGCTCGAGAAAATACTCTGTCCCGGCCAAAAAGGATGGTGACAAAGAACCAAGTCTACGAAATCCTCGATCCCTCCAAGCAATCCACCTCAAGCCATTGAAACGCGAGGCTCAATTCGGCATTCCCTCGTGCGACCTGCAGCTGCGATCATTCAGCTTGCAGCCACTCCAATTCTTCTCAGACTTTGCGTTACGAGCGGCATATTTCTTAGGATTGCCCGCTTCTGGCCCAATAACGCTTCCGCGAATCACAGAGCGATGGACTGTTCCTAGGAGTCACTTCATCTTCAAAAAATCCCAAGAGAACTTTGAACGTGTGACACTGAGGCGCATGATTCAAATCAAAGATGGCAACCCTGAAACAATTCAGCTCTGGCTCGCTTACTTGCGCAAACACCAGTTCTATGGAGTTGGTATGAAGGCAAATATGTGGGAGTTCGGCACAACGGAGATGTCCAAGTCGCTGGAGGAAATCGAAGCGAAATCACTAGAGTCAGCGGCTCCTTGGTCGCATCTTGGGCAGACGAAAAGTATCGGCGACTCTGACAAAGTGGTGGCCGACATTCTGAACTCTCGACGAGTTAAGAAAGCCGCAGACTACAACTACCCCATCCACGAGATATCATAGAAACAATATACCCTTTTAGAATCAACTTACGCGAGTTTATGACAAAGGAGATCATTTGGGAGTCGCTCGCTTTACGTTGGTAGGATGGGGGAAAAAAAAAGCATCTGTATTATTATGTTATTAAAGTATGTATATCTACAGCGTTTGGGAAAATACAACCATAAAATATTAAACGGGAAAACCCGAGTGAATAAAATATAAATGAAGCATCCATATATTATTAATGTCATAACTCTCGTATGAACGGTTTTATGATATCTACCTAGGTACCTCATTAGATACGTAGAATTCTAGAGGCATGTGCATTGTGGGGTATTAAGAACGGTCTTATCGATATGCCAATACTCCAAAAGCTGCCAGGCTATTTGCAAGTTAGGTACGCAATAATTTCACCTCGGCCTATGAGATAGCCCAAATACACACAACAGGGCGAGTTGATACCATATCGCTTCTCACAATGCTGCTCTCTCGCATATCACGGCCAATGCCGCTGCATTCGAAACTTATCACAAGGCCAATGGTTCTATGTAGGCGATGCATCTGGTCGGCAACATCAGTGAGTTCTGGAAACCATCAGCTGAGAAGGGATCTGTAAGACACTCCAGTTTATCACGTATTGCATCAAGCGGAAGAGCGGCGAAAGCTTTTCTGCCCAATCATCTAGTCCCCTCCAATTGGAATTCCACGTAGCTTATATCATATTAACATATTTATCGTAGCACATCTGTGCCGCTCACCTCTCTGTTTGCAAGACGATTCAGCCACCAAGCAGTTAAGCAGGCGGATAAACATGTAGCGGAGAAGCCCAGCACAAGCCCGACGATTCACGAGGATATCTATACGATACCAAATTTCCTTACCGTGACACGAATTGTTGCGAGTCCGGTCATTGGATATCTCATACTGCAGGATGCGCATACTTGGGCCGTCGGTTTGCTGGCCTACGCTGGCTTCACAGATCTGATAGACGGATGGATAGCGAGGAGATGGAATCGCAGAACAGTCGTGGGGACAATCATCGATCCAATGGCGGATAAAATCCTCATGACTGTATTGACAGTATGCCTAGCCATCAAGGGAGCGTTGCCAAGTAAGTGGAAAGCTATTCTCAACCCTGCAACAAATGGCTGTGAAACTGACTTTGATCAGTCTGGGTTGCAAGCATTATCCTAGGCAGAGATGTCGGACTGGCTATTTCAGCCATTTACTATCGCTGGATATCGCTGCCACCACCCAAAACGTTCAGAAGATACTGGGACTTCTCACTGCCTTCGGCCGAGGTCCGGCCTACAACAATCAGCAAATATAATACCTTCCTTCAGTTGGCCCTGGTCGGTCTAACGACTGCAGCACCGCTCATAAGTGTTGACCTGGCACCGACGCTGACCATTATGCAGTATGTTCTCGGCTACTGATGGCTACCCAGCCTTCCACCCCCCCTCCAATTCTTGTTGTTTTTGGCATACTAATTACCTATCGCAGATATGTGGTGGCTACCACTACCATATGGAGTGGAGCGAGTTATGTATTCTCAAAAGATGCGATCAAGATACTGAATAAGCCATAATTCAAGCGCATGACATTATCAATATGTAACAGAAGAAAAAAAACTTGTAATATAGATTTCATAGGAGAACAATGGGGTTAGAGGGAAGAATCCAATTAAGCCAGGCTGCATTATGCTTATTATATACGGAGTAACTGTATTAAAAAAAGACGAGTGCATCATCCCAATAACCATGTTTGTGAAGCTACCGCCTATCACGTGGCAACGCGCCTTCAAGTGGGTCCATCAATTCCGCTTCTATCGTTTGTAGCTATGGAGCGTGTGCTCTCACTCTCAGACAAGCTACCAGTGCTAGGCGTTCACTTATTACTAACATCTTGGGCAGAGGTAGCGTGAAAGCTCCTACACCAAGCAATCGCTCACGGCGCTTCTTCATTTGAACGGCAAGAGAGGCTTCGCGTGATATTTCAGGGCAAAATGAAGTTTAAAATAGAGTATGTTTTTCTTTCTGTGTTGCACGGCTTGTTCAAATGGGCTTATGCGTCCTCAGCGATCTTCCTGTGCTATTTCCTTACCCAAGGATATATCCTGGTATGTGCCCGTCAATCTCATGCACGTCATTGCCGTATAGCTAACGCCCCCAATGAACAATATGCGTGAGTAGATCTGCGTGCCTTCCTTTCTGATGGCTGACCGCTGAGGAATGGAATGAATTGTCGCAGTTATATGTGTGATTTGAAAAGTATGGCCTGAACCCAGGGGATCTTGACCAAGTACTCACTCACAGATGCAGAAACGCTCGATGCGGGCGGCCATTGTGTCTTGGAGATGCCGTCAGGAACCGGCAAGACGGTATCACTGCTGTCTCTCATTGTCGCATACCAGCAGCACATGCCTGAGAAGCGGAAGCTCATATACTGCTCCCGTTCGTAGTCCTTCACGCAGTCTTGATGGCTGAGTATTACTGACCTAATAATGTAATCAGGAACAATGTCTGAGATTGAAAAGGCTCTGGTTGAGTTACAATCTCTAATGAAGTATCGTGCTGAGCAGCTAGGTTACGAAGAAGAGTTTCGCGGCCTTGGTTTAACTAGTCGAAAGAACTTGTGTCTTCATCCCTCTGTCAAAAGGGAAAAGAGTGGCTCAATTGTCGACGCTCGCTGTCGAAGTTTGACTGCAGGCTTTGTCAAAGAAAAGAAGGATCGAGGTGAAAACGTCGATGTTTGCACCTACCACGACGTATGTCTGCCTATTTTAGCTAGACGCTCCCTTGAGTCCTGGAGGCTTAACTAACGTGATGTAGAATCTTGATCTCCTCGAACCACATAACCTGATACCGAACGGTGTGTGGTCCTTTGATGCGCTCTTGAAATACGGTGAAGAGCATAAGCAATGTCCCTACTTCACTGCAAGACGCATGGTATGATTCCCCTTCATCAATCTCCCCCAAGAATTGGATCTGATATTGGCAAATAGATGGAGTATTGCAACGTCGTCATTTTCTCCTATCACTATCTTTTGGATCCGAAGATTGCGGAGCGTGTATCGAAAGACTTCTCCAAAGATTGCATAGTGGTTTTTGATGAAGCCCACAATATCGATAACGTCTGTATCGAGTCCCTTAGCACCGATATCACTGAGGACTCAATACGCAAAGCTACCCGCAGCGCTCAGCATCTGGAGAGGAGAATCGCTGAAATGCGAGAGACAGACCAGGAGCAGCTCCAAAACGAATACGAAAAGCTTGTTCAGGGGCTTCGTGAAGCTGATGAATCGAGACAGGAGGATGCATTCATGGCAAATCCAGGTAGGTGATACCGTCTCTCATTTGGATCATTATAGCTGAGACAGTCTTGCAGCTCTACCAGATGACCTTCTGAAGGAAGCTGTGCCTGGAAATATCAGGAGAGCAGAACATTTCGTGGCATTTTTGAAAAGATTTCTCGAATATCTCAAGGTTAGAGCGCCCCTCTCCCCGTCTTCCTTATTCCTTTTCTTGGCCACCATACTGATCGACGTCACCTCAGACGCGAATGAAAGTTCGGCAAGTCATTTCTGAAACGCCACCGTCGTTTCTGGCCCATTTGAAAGAGCATACATTTATCGAGAAGAAGCCATTGCGATTTTGTGCTGAACGGCTTACATCACTTGTCCGTACCTTGGAGCTTACGAATATTGAGGACTACCAAGCACTACAAGAGGTGGCAACGTTTGCGACTCTAGTTGCAACATATGAAAAGGGCTTCCTGCTGATCTTGGAGCCGTACGAATCCGACACCGCAGAAGTTCCAAACCCTACTCTTCATTTTACATGTCTTGACGCGGCCATCGCAATCCGACCTGTGTTCGAGAGGTTCTATTCAGTAATCATAACTTCTGGTACTATCTCGCCCCTCGAAATGTATCCAAAAATGCTGGACTTTTCCACAGTTATACAGGAATCCTATAGCATGACTCTGGCGCGAAGATCTTTCCTTCCTATGATCGTCACTCGAGGGAGTGACCAAGCCTCAGTTTCATCAAGTTTCCAAGTTCGAAACGAACCGAGCGTTGTTCGAAACTACGGCAATCTCCTTACAGAATTTGCAAGAATTACGCCTGACGGCATGGTCGTGTTCTTCCCATCATATTTATATATGGAGTCCATCATCAGTATGTGGCAGGGCATGGGTATTCTCGACGAAGTATGGAAGTACAAACTCATCTTGGTGGAAACGCCTGACGCGCAAGAAACATCACTAGCCCTGGAGACATATCGGACTGCTTGTTGCAATGGACGGGGAGCAATCTTGCTCTGCGTCGCGCGAGGGAAAGTATCAGAAGGAATCGATTTTGATCATCAATATGGCCGAACTGTGCTTTGTATTGGCGTTCCATTCCAATATACGGAATCGCGAATCCTGAAGGCCAGACTGGAGTTTTTGCGAGAAACTTACCGGATAAAGGAAAACGACTTCTTGTCCTTCGATGCTATGCGCCATGCGGCTCAATGTCTAGGCCGTGTTTTGCGAGGGAAAGATGACTACGGTGTCATGGTACTCGCCGACCGGCGATTCCAGAAGAAGAGAACCCAATTACCCAAATGGATCAACCAGGGGCTGCAAGATGCTGATACAAATCTGAGCACAGACATGGCTGTTAGCAGTGCTCGGCGGTTTTTGAAAACAATGGCACAGCCATTCCGAAGTAAGGATCAGGAGGGCATTAGTACCTGGGGTTACGAAGACCTTATGCAACACCAACAGAAGATTGAGGAGGAGAGAGGAGAGGAACCCCCGCCTGTTATATCCAATACACGGCCAGTCCATGGCAGCATAGCAGCTACATACGAGTCTGATTATGAAGAGCTAGATCAGGAAATGATGGAACTGGAAGGCTTTTGAGGAGTTTTGTATTATGTAGGCTGGATAGGGGTTGAATACCATAAAGTGTCCACGGTATGCTCATACCAACTCTAACTACTAATTACCATATTTTCTAGGAGTTTTGGGATATTAGAAAGTCTATATATTAATCATTTGCTAGTTGTTCATTCCGTTGATCCATTCTATCATGTCGCATTATGCCGTGAATTGTCTAAAACCTGTATCAATCTTCATCCCAAGCCACTAGATTTCCTTGGCTGGCGAAACCAGCAGCTGCTGTAAATAAGTCCTCCCGGAATCACCTCACTCTCAACGCGGACGCAAAATAACAGAGCGGGGAGGGGGGGCTATTAAAAAAAAACAAATGTACAGTGCCAACTCGGTTGATTTAGCTAGCAATGGGTATCTGGCGCCTGGAAGACTTGACAGCCCTCATCGCAGGCAGCGTATTCATCCGACCAGGCCGCCTACCAATCTCATAGCACAGCATGCGAATAAAGTCCGTGTTACTCCAGTAACAACTATGAGCGCTCAGCATGTTAAGATACTGAATCTCCAACGGACCGCCGCCAGATCGGAGAAACCAGTCGATCTGGCCATTGTCATTCAGAAGAAACGCCTTCTTCTCGGCAATTTCCTCTCTCGTGAAATCATGGACTTCAAGCTCCAACTGCGACGGCAGTCGAACGGTAGACGGACGGCCATCGTCAGTCGTCGATGAGCTGGGATTGGCGCCCATGCCTTTAGCAACTGTTCGCATGGCATCGCCAAAGGACTTTAGAAATGAAGCTGAAACGGTAGGAACATATGCAGTTTTAAGGCTGGCAGCATATGTTGGATCGACTGCGCCGTTGAGCAAGTAGGCAATCGGATCTTCCTTGGCAAGGATGTTGTAAATGTTATCAACAGCCAAACATCCAAACATGCCCACCTCGCCGCCGATGTTTTCGTCCGTGGCATCGCTCGCATCTACACCAGGTTTGACGCGTCCACGTCGTGGCGTAAGAGCTCCTCTTTCAAGTAGCAAGAAGAATCCGGTAGGGCTTCCCATCAGGAAGAGATTCCTCGTATCGAACTCGAAGAACTTGGTTTCTGGCTCCGGCCGAGACAGGTCCAACAGTGGTGCAACCGTTGGCTGTCTTGATAGGACTTCAACCGCCATGACACTGCCGAGGGAGTGTGCAACCAGATGGACACGTCCATTCTCAGCAAATCCGGGGTTGTTCCTACACCAAAGACGGTAGACTCGGTTCGCCTCTGACACCAAAGCAGCAATCATCTTTCCCTTATGGTGGGACATGTAGAAGGGTATATCGAACATGACATCGGATATCATGCTCCGTATGGCGGGGATAGTGTTGGGCTCGATGTCCTTCAGGCCGAAAGGCTGAGCGGCACCCGAGTTATTCGCCTCCATTCCCGTCTGCAGAGCTCCGCCATCTTCAAACGACAGTCCAATTCTCCAGTTGAGTGGCAGAACCATGAGCCTGCTCTGGCTGTTGTGTAGAATCTCCTGCACCACAGGACTCTGAAACTCGCTGTCAACTAATCGCCGAAATCCATTGACAGCATGCGTGAAGTGGTAACTCTCAACTCTCTCAGCTATCTTTTGGCCAATTCCGTGAGCTACCAGCACCAAGTCTGTCACTTTGCTGCGATCTTTATCCGCCTCGCAAGCAGGGCAGAGTTCTAATGTACTGGAACTAGAGAGGCCATGAGACGTAGACTTTTTGGGCGGTGACTTTTTCCCACGATGCATACGCTCCCAGCTCAGTCTATCGAATCCTCGAACAACAGGAATGCCAACTGTCGTTCCCTTCATAATCTTCTGGATAGGCCGTCTGCCGTAGTAGGCAGATGGTTGGAGGCTTGGCTTTATTAGAAAGGCATTGGTTCGATCTTTGTATATGACATTGTAGCTAGAGTAGGGGCGCTGCTGGACATGTTCGGAAGCGCCGTCATCTGCTGGGTGCGGCTCGGTGTGGCCTTCTGTCGCAGCTTCGCCTTGAAAGCAATATGCAGAACAAAAGGGATGCGCAGAAATCACAGGCTCGGTTGGTACAGGGGTGTTTCTGTATGCTCCATCGCCTTCCATTGGCCAAAGACGATAAGAAACCTTTTCTTCCCCCGATGCCCCAACTTCAATAGCACATCGTAATTCGTCACGCCAGGTTTCGGACCAAGGACGAAGTTCCTGGTACCCAGCTTCCAGCTGATTGGCAACAACCGGTGAAACTGGCAGCATCGTATCTCTGCGGACTAGGTTAGTGACTGAATAAGCAAAATTGGAACTCAACATACTTGTAAAACCAGGTACCTCTCGTCACAATAGCAACATCGTTAACCGGGGACCAATATATTGGTTTCATTTGCAGCGTTTGCAATGACACCTTGTGCAATCGGGCCAGTCCAACTACGACATCCTTATCCTCGTCCTCGAGATTCGGAACAGCATCCTCTATTCCAGTTGACTGCTCCGTCGGCAATTCATCGTTCGCCTCGACGATTTTATCATTGATCTGCGGTGGTTCTATGACTGGCTCATCGCTACGCTGTTGCTTTGCCGTCGTAATCGGCTGTACATGTTCACTACTCAATACACGCACAAACGGTCGGCCAGAAATGCCATCATCACTAGTAGTAACATATCCAGCGGTTCTACGCTCGCGGCGCCTCCGAGCCTCAGGAGTACCGTAGAGCTGTGACGTAGCGCCATCCGAGGAAGAGTTATGGTCAGATGGGATGCCGCCGTGTCTTTCCCGAGTCAGCAAAGGGTGACGTATTGGTACATGACGGCCCTTGTTTGGGATACTTCGAAGCTCATGGGGCTGGCTCATGACAGAAATAACATCCTTGACCACCTCATCGACATCGAATAGCGGGTTTGTCTTCCTCACCAAAGCGCAAAATGCCGTATCAAGCTCTGCTAGGGCGTCGATGGCAAGTTGAGGGCAACAGGCGGTGAGTAGAGTTTCTGGGAGTGCCTCGGGAGCTTGAGTCGTTGATCTCTGTATCTGGATATCACTATGGATGCGTATATGCTTCGAGGCTAGCTCCTGGATGATTTGGTCGCGCCTTTCCGTGTCGGACTTCGCAGCGTATGGGTCAAGCTCTCGACCGTTTCGGATGGCATCGTGTTGGGTACGATGGCTCTCTGACATGAGGCCAAGCCACGCCTGCTGTAGCATGTCATTGTCGTCTTGGGAGAATGGGCGAAGCGGCCCTTTGGAAGGCTTAGAGTCCGCGCCGCCGGAGGGAATAGTACCAGACAGCGGGTCGTCGATGGGATATACAGCCGTGTAAAAGAACTGAGCTTTGACAGAGGGGATTCCATCTTCCTTATCTGTGTCCGCGTCCGGCGTTGGTCGAAGGCGACAAGCAGGGCCTAGTGAATGCTCCATGAATGCGCGGATATGGACATCTAGAGGGGGTTAGATGTAGAAGCGGAAAAGGTCGGCTCTCGCCTCTGGTGCGCGTCATGATGCGAGGCTTCGTGGTTTTAAACACTCAAAGGAGCTGAAGGGGGATGATGATCCTAGCGCGTGTGAAAGCACATGGGCCAAAGGGAGCTGGGCGAGTGGCTATTATGACGTGGCTCATTATTATGCAGGTAGCAGCCCAGAGAAAGCCGCTGGTTAGCGGCATATGCCTAGTGACATGCATCGCTGCCGGCCGCCTGATGTGAATTACAGTAGGTACCTATAGGTACTACTGCGGGGAGTGTGCTCCGCGATGTACAAGTATTATTACATTCGGAGAACAGTATTCTGCCTACCTAGGTAGCACTCACAGCTCTATCAGCCTAGTACCCAAGTCTACCTGCTGCTGTTTGAGGTAAAACCACTGAATACGTAATTGTTGAAATAACATATATATGCAGCAATAATCTTCTTGGCTTCTAGTTTCAGATTATACTTTCTCAACAGGATATGCTTTTCACCTGTTTTACCCCAGAATGCTCGTATATAATAATACGAAGCTTCCCATACGGTCGTCGTGCTTATGTCATGGCAGCTGCTGGCCACTAATATCGACACTAAGCCGTTCGGGAGCGCATCGTCCGCCGGAACGCTGCGCCTGTCTTGTGACACTCGTGCATGATAAGCAGGGGCTTCTTCCGTTATCCGGGGTGTAGCTGCGGCTCTCTTTCATCCCTCGATTCGCCTGCACCTTGTCTCCTTCATCTACACCATCTACACACATCTTCGTCCCCAGAGCTTGCCATTTCATATCAATCGCCCCAATCTTGCAGCAGTCTATCATCAAAAGCTTATCGCCGTTCGCGCCACGTCGCCCAACATGGCGATTTCCCCTGGCACCGTTCCGTTTCTCGTGTCCATGATGTTGCTGACGGGTGTCTGCAACACATTGGTCACCAAGTATCAGGTACGTGTTGGAAGAGCTGCCTCTGGGACCATGGAAGGACTCTATGCATCACAGTCGGCCATTCTTTGATTCGGAAACCCTAACAGTTGCCTATAGGATCAGCAATGTGTTCGCAATTGCGAGGATGAGAATCCCGCCCATCGAGTCTTCTTCAATCAACCCGTGCTTCAGACGGCACAGATGTTTGTGGGCGAGATGGGCTGCTGGCTTGTTGTGGGCATTGCCGCAGCATATCGCCGCCTCTCATCAAAGAAATCCGCCGAAGAGCGTGGCTACCAGGCCATCGACTCCAGCCGAACGGACGGCGACGACGACGAGGCGGTTGAAATCAACCAACCATCTGTTTTACGGGGCTACCGAGTTTTGCTGCTGGCCCTCCCTGCCATCTGCGACATCTGTGGCACCACCTTGATGAACATTGGCCTCCTTCTTGTTGCGGCGTCTATTTACCAAATGACCCGAGGCGCACTAGTTCTATTCGTGGGTCTTTTTAGCGTCGTCTTTTTGCGGAGGACGCTGCATCTATTCCAGTGGATCTCATTAGTGGGCGTGGTTCTTGGAGTAGCTGTCGTTGGACTTGCGGGTGCTATTTGGCCAGACGTCAAAGCCCACGTCATCTCGTCTCTTACGGGTGCCCCAGATGGACTTTCCGACGTTGCCAAGGCAGTCATTGGTGTTTCTCTGATTGCTGGGGCGCAAATATTCACGGCCACCCAGTTTGTCTTGGAGGAGTGGATGCTCGAAAACTCCCCCATCGACCCCATCCAGGTGGTTGGTTGGGAAGGCCTGTTTGGCTTCATTGCCACAGTCGCGGTCATGATTGTTCTGCACCTGGCTATTGGGCGAACAGAAGCAGGACGATATGGCTATTTCGATGCCGCTGAAGGACTTCGTCAACTGCGAGACCAGAAAGCCTTGTACATTTCAAGTATTATTATCATGATAAGCATTGGGTAAGTTGGAACTCTCTCTTGATCCAGCGAAATAAGACCTTACTGACCCTATTGATAGTGGCTTTAACTTCTTCGGGTTGTCCGTAACTCGTACCGTAAGTGCCACTTCTCGCTCCACGATTGATACTTGCAGAACGCTCTTTATCTGGATCGTTTCTCTCTTTCTTGGATGGGAGTCTTTCAAGTGGCTGCAGATTGTTGGATTTGGTTTGTTGGTTTACTCTACATTTTTGTTCAATGGCATCGTCCAGCCCCCTTTTGAGTTTTTGCGAACGGAGGGAGAAACCGAGGAGCTTCTCCCTGAGGAACCAATCGAGCACCAGTAAATTTTGCTACAAGATTTTGTCAACAAATTACACATGTATTGTTGCAATCGAGACTGATATTTGCACACAAACTTGGTGGGAGTGTGGCGTAACGGCAGTGTCTGGGTGATTTGGAATAGGTATCATTCGACATAACACGATTTTCTCATAGCGAGTTTAATGGGAAGCGTAGTAATACATAACATGTCTAAATTCGGCCCCGTAAACCATCACTCCAGCCCAAGGATGCTGCTTTGCCTGAAACTAGCTGTTGAACGCCTGTTGAAGCCAAGAAGAAAACGAAATAAAAGCAAAAACAGGACCCATCCCAATGGAATCATGCAAATGATGTGAACACTCAAGCGACGTTACATAGCAACTCGGCTTCAAGGATGAACTTGCCCTCCTTGTACTTTTCAGAAGTCTCAAAGGCCTTGTCGTACTTCCAACCCACCGTTTCTTTGCACTGATGGCAGGCGATATCACGGACAATGTGGCGGCCGGTGGTCATGTTACGCTCATTAGGGTCACCGGTGTCAATATTGACGACACGGTGGAACAAGTAGGCCTTGCCATGCTGACCCCGGAAGTTCTAAGGTGTATGCGCTCGCCAGTTAGTTCCCAGCATCACGGTGAGAGACAGGCATAGGTAGAGAGGCACATGCACAGGCACAGGCACAGGCGTTGGCATAGGCATAGGCATAGGTATGGCGGAATACGCACCCGAGAGATGATGTCCTCGTGGTTCGCAAGATGCGCCTTGCATGTCTTGCAACCGTAGATCTTGTTGCTGGTGAGATACGTGTTGTAGGCCAGGCCCATTGCTGCGGGACGGGGTGAGCGAAGCTTCAACAGCGCTTTCTTGGTCTCTCTTTTTTTACAGTGAGCGATTCCACAGAACCGCGACGACGATATCGCTGCTTGGCGGCTTGATGATGGCAGGACCCTTTGCTTCTGCCTTTGGTTGCACCAGACAAGGGAGATCGGGTCTTAAATCGCTGGGGGGAGAACAAGGACGAGTGTGGAGAAGAAGCAGGGAGCTGGTGCCTAGTTGAGAGCGCTGCAGTGCATTTGAAATAGATACCCAGAAACTCGTGCACGAGTAAGGGTCGATGCCGCAATGCGCGCGCCTCGCAAGTCACCGGATCACACTATCAAGCACGGCGGGATGCGCCACCGGGCTTTTCCCGGGCAACGCAGCTTGTGCTTTTGGGTGCCTGTTTGGCGTGAGTTTTGTTGCCTTGGAGGGCATGTCATTCATTGCGTAATTGTGCTCTTTGTTCTTAGCACCTCGGCGGGATTTAGCACTTGCTACTAACTTCAACGTCGTGGATATAGACCGGATACTGTACGTTGAAAACGCTACATAAAAACTACATGCGTCCCGCCGCGCTGTATATACCTGGATATTAAGACAGGCACCCGTATACTTCAATAGTTGTCTTGTTTGAGACCCGCTGGATATTCTTGAGATTCGGTTTGTGTTATTGGCGCACCCCCACCAAAGCCGTCGCCCATCATGAGATGCCCATCATGAGATGCCCTTGGCCAAAGACCAGAAGCTGTCCATCTTCGCGCGAGCCAGAACCTCCCTCGCCTCTGCATCCGTTTCACAGATCTTACTCCCCCATTTCTTGAAACCTCTCGCCTTTTGCTCTCCCTCAAATACTAGCTTACATTCGTTCAGGGACATGTCCTTCAGGTCCCCATTGGAGTCCTCCGGAGAGAGCCAGTCTCGCCCAGATGTATTATTCCTCTCCGGGTCTCTTGCTTGCACATTCTCTGTCCAGTTGATGCGGTTCAGCATGAGCTTCTTGTACTTCTTAATGCTCCACTGTCCGCCTTCGACAATCACCAGGCTAAACTTGGGATGCATAATGCACGTTCCAGAGAGTGCCAGCTGATCGGCGTTGCGCCATATCTTGTACCGGTGCTGGCCATTGGCAAGGCTTGTGACTTTGAATACGAGAACGTGGATGCCCTTGTCAGCATCTTTCTGCTGGTTTGCTACGTTCTTCTCGTGCTTCTGCTCCTTTGTCAATTTTCGTGCCTCGTTGGCTTCGATGTGAGTCTCGTATCGTTCGGCAATCTCTCGGTTTACCCGGGCCTCAACGGCGGTGGGATCTTTGACAGCAGCTGTGATAAACTAGTCAGCGCACATGGCCTCAAATCATAAGCATGTAGGAAGATAATTGGAGCACATACCATCGCCCAACACTCGCATGAGGTTTCCTTTCTTCACTTTTGGCGGTGGTGCTGGTACCAGTCCAAGTCGAATTTTAGCCTGCATCTCCTTGAGCTCTGCCATTCTTCGTTGGCGTCGTATTTTAGCTTGTTCTTTCGAGGTCAGGTACATTGGCTTTGCCGACACAGCATGTCTCTCCTGCGGGGGCTCGAGTGCAACTGGATGTTGGATGTACTCAGTCACGATGCTATCAGGAGTCGTGATTTTGAGCTTCGAAGGGTCGTCGGCATCAGTATAGGTTGACCCTTCCACTAGGCCTTCGTCCCACCACTCCAGATCTGGGGGAGCGTCCACGACAAAGTTCTTCTCCGCGTCAAGGTCCTCATCAATACCTGCCTTGCGAGTTTGCTCTGCGATACGCCGTTTCATGGCCTCCAGAGCCGCCTGCCGACGCAACGCATTGCCCTGCTGTATGTATTTTCCCTTTTGATTAAACGCCAGCTGTCGAGGCATCCGTTGCCTCCCAGTCGGTTCTTGTGCGGCAGCCTTGTCATCGAAATAAGGGTTGGGTCCATCTCTCGGCCGTTTCCCATGTAAATCCTGTGCACTTCCCCTATCGAATCCATTGGCATGCGATGGAGAGCCTCGTGATGAGTGGGATTGGCCATTTGTCGTGTCTGACTTGCCAGCTGGTTTCCAGGAGCCCAAATCCTCCAAGGCGGGATGCAGTCCGACATTCAGGCCGCCCTTTGCCCTGCTGGCGCCGACAGCGGCTGCCACGCGAGCTTTGAGGGCAGCCATTCTGTCTGCAGCAGATTCTGTTTTCTGTATTCTCGAGGATCCATCGTGATTGGGACCCAGCCCTCCTGGTGATTGACTCATGAGGCGAGTGAGCCGCTAACGCGCAGCAGAAGTGTGCGTGTGTAAATCCGTACGAAACTGCAGTGTTTCTGTTTCCTTCTTTGTCCCCGTTTTGTTGTCTCGTGGTCTCGTTCTGCCGCTTGTTGTGTCTTCCAAAGCCGTAGGGTCGTAGGATCGGTATAGAAAAGCAAGGCTCCACCAGAACTGAGATGCGGCACTAGCAAGGCAGATAAAGCGATAGAGCTGGAAGAGACAGTGGCAGTAGCTCTATCACTCTGCGCTGCATTAGCCTGGCAACCTTGGCGGTGGGGATTTCCATCCTACCCACCATCTCTCTAAAATTTTGCCGTGTTCCACCGCCAAAAAATTCTAGTGGCACTAGCAACTCTCGCCAATTGACCTATTGTAAAAGATTGGCATGGCCTCAGCAAGCTCGCCAGGATCAGTCCATTCCTCAGCCAAGATCCTGTATTCGCCATGAATATCGCGCAGCCGGTCGCCTCCGAGGTGGAGAGTGTGGAATTCACATTTCTCTCTGCCAAGGAGATTCAGGCCATCTCTGTGAAGCGCATTGAAAATGAAAGCACTTTCGATAACCTTCTCAATCCCGTACCTGGCGGCCTGTACGATCCGGCTCTGGGCTCATGGGGCGACTCACCGTGAGTATTTTTATTGTTAGTTAGCCAGTGTATCAAAGCTTCTAATCATCTGCTAGATGTGCTACTTGCAATTTGAATCAATCCAGCTGTCCGGGACATCCAGGCCACATCCAACTCCCAGTCCCCGTCTATCACCCAGTATTTTTGGACCAGGCCTATCGATTACTTCGCGCAACTTGTGTCTACTGCAAGGGATTTCGACTTCCACCAAAGGACCTACACAAATATACCTGCCAGCTGCGCCTACTTCACCATGGTCTTATAAATGAGGCGCACATGGTAGCTTCGATTGGAGAGAATGACCTGGCAATTGAGATAAAAGAGGCGCTTGGCGAGGGAGACAGCGAGGCCGAGGACGAAAACTCTGGAGCTGATGGCGTTACTCGGCAAAGAGAAAAGTACGTTCGCCAATGCCTTCAGGGCATCAAGCTGAAGAGGGGCGAGGTCAAGAGGGGAAAGCATGAGGGTGCCAACGAGATGCGCCGTGAAATCATCAAGGAATTCCTCGCCGAGATCATCAAAAAGCGAGTATGCTCCAGCTGCGGAGGCATTTCCCCAACATACCGAAAGGATCGATTTGTCAAAATTTTCGAAAAGTCTCTCTCAACCAAGGAAAAGGCAAAGATGGCGCAGAAGGCCCTCAAGTGGGGTGATGCCATGACACGGGTCCACCATCGCAGAGCAGCATCAACAAAGAAGTCTGACGGCAAAGGCGATGTTACGCAGGTCAATGGCTCAGAAGACTCTCCTGAACCCCAGGATATTGAAATGGGAGACGTAAATGACGACGATTTCGCATCTGAGGAGAGCTCCCAGAGATATATCAGCTCTATGGAAGTGCGGGCACGACTTGAAGAATTGTTCAGAAAAGAGCAAGACCTTCTCTCACTTGTATACAACGCCAAGCCTCCAACTCAGAGCTCACCAAAAGTTACTCCCGACATGTTCTTCATTACAGTTGTCTTGGTGCCGCCGAACCGTTTCCGACCTGAGGCCCGGACTGGAGATTCACAAATATCCGAAGCCCAGCAGAACGCACTTTATAAAAACATTCTCGGCTGCTGCTCAAGCATTGCTCGTGTCTACAACGAGAAACGATCAGATATAACAAGCATGCATCAAGCGTGGACAGAACTTCAAGACGCGGTGAATTCACTGATCGACAAGAACAAAAACCCTGTGCAAGGTGCCGCTGCCGCGCGAAACGAAGACGGAATTAAGCAGTTGCTTGAGAAGAAAGAAGGTCTTTTCCGTAAAAACATGATGGGAAAGCGAGTCAACTACGCAGCCAGAAGTGTTATTTCCCCAGATCCCAACATCGAGACCAACGAGATTGGTGTTCCTCCAGTGTTTGCAAAGAAATTAACATATCCCGAGCCGGTCACCAGTCACAATTTCAAAGACATGCAGCAGGCGGTTATCAACGGTGTGGACAAGTGGCCAGGAGCCTTTGCCATTGAAAATGAAAACGGCCAAATCGTCAACCTTCGCAACAAGTCCGTGGATGACCGCATATCTCTTGCCAACCAGCTGCTGGCGCCGACTAATAGCAGTGCGGCTCGCATGAAGAACAAAAAGGTCCATCGACATCTCACTAATGGCGATGTTGTTCTGATGAACCGCCAGCCCACGCTGCATAAGCCCTCTATCATGGGTCACCGAGTCCGCGTTCTGCCAGGCGAGAAGACGATTCGAATGCACTATGCCAACTGCAACACCTACAATGCAGACTTTGACGGTGACGAAATGAACATGCACTTCCCACAGAACGAGGTGGCCCGTGTAGAGGCATTACAAATTGCCGACACCGACCACCAGTATTTGTCTGGCACTGCGGGAAAGCCATTGAGAGGTCTGATTCAGGATCACATTTCCGTCTCAGTCGCGCTCTGCAGTCGAGACGCTTTTTTCACCCGCAGTGACTTCCAGCAGCTAATATACAGTGCCCTTCGCCCCGAGAGCGGCCATATCTTGGGAGAGCGAATTCAGCTCTCACCGCCAGCGATCATTAAGCCGGTGCCAAGATGGACGGGAAAGCAGGTCATCAGCACAATCCTCGCCAACATAAGGCCACCCAACTGCGGAGGCCTGACCATGAAGGAAAACGCTCAAATCAAGGCCGAACAATGGGGCACATCCTCCGAAGAAGGATCTGTGCTGATTCAGGATGGCGAATTCATAACAGGAATTCTCGACAAGTCACAGATTGGACCCAGTTCAAGTGGTTTGATTCACGCCGTACATGAGATCTACGGACCTTCAGTCGCTGGCAAACTTCTTAGCAGTTTGGGCCGGCTGCTTACAAGATATCTCAGCATGCGAGCCTTTTCATGTGGAATGGATGATTTGAGGCTAACAGCTGAGGGAGAGGCGGCACGACGGCGAGAACTTGTTGCAGCCGACAAGATGGGACTGGAAATTGCATCGAACTATGTCTCCCTGGGCAAACAAGAGGATGCGCAGAATCCACTCCTGCTAGAGCGCCTTGAGGAAGTCATGCGCGACGATAGCAAGCAGGAAGGTCTTGATCTGCTGATGAACCAGGGAACGAAGGACATCACAGACGCCGTACAGAAAGCGTTGATTCCCAACGGTCTTGAGAAGAACTTCCCGAAGAACCAGATGCAAGTCATGACAACTTCAGGTGCCAAGGGATCTCGAGTCAACGCGTCTCTCATTTCCTGCAACCTGGGACAGCAAGTTCTGGAAGGTAGGCGTGTCCCGGTCATGGTTAGCGGAAAGACTCTGCCCAGCTTCCGGCCATACGATACAAATATTCGAGCCGGTGGCTACATTGTCAACCGATTCTTGACTGGAATCCGACCACAAGAGTATTACTTCCATCACATGGCAGGACGTGAGGGTTTGATTGACACAGCCGTCAAGACATCACGTTCAGGTTACCTGCAGCGTTGTATCATTAAGGGAATGGAGGGCCTTACAGTATCTTACGATACATCGGTCAGAGATGCGGACGGCTCATTGATTCAGTTCCTTTACGGTGAAGACGGATTGGACGTCACAAAGCAAAACTACTTGAAGGACTTCCGGTTCATCCTGCAAAACGTTACCTCGGAGGCGGCACAGCTCAAGTATGACCCCAAGGTTGGCGAACGCCTCGGCGCCAACCGACAGGCGTTCCAGAAATACATGAAGAGCGCCGTTCGACATGCCAAGCTCAACGACCGAAAAGGAAAGGACCCTCTGACGGCCAGCTTCGATCCCGCCACTAACGCATTTGCAACTTCGGAGACATTTTACGAGGCCATGACGGCGTATCTCAAGGACAACCCTGATGGGCTTGTACGGGAAAAGAACAGCCAGGACAAGGCTCCTCTGAACCAAGTGGCACTGAACAAGAAGAACGCGGAGATGCTTTTCGCCATGAAATATCTCCGGTCACTGGTCGAGCCCGGTGAGGCTGTCGGCATTGTGGCTGGTCAATCTATTGGCGAGCCGTCTACGCAGATGACACTGAACACTTTCCATTTGGCTGGCCACTCAGCAAAGAACGTCACCCTGGGTATTCCTCGTCTGAGAGAAATCCTGATGACTGCCAGTAAGACGATTTCCACGCCAGCAATGACATTGTATCCAAACGCCGAGCTATCGGAGCAGGATACTGAAGTTTTCACCAAGTCCATCAGCGTGCTGCGCATGAGCCAAGTGCTGGATGGAGTCGTTGTGGAGGAAATGGTTGGCAAGGGCAAGCTTCGTGGCCTCGCCAAGATCTACAAGATCAAGCTCAGGTTTTTCCCAGCTGCAGAGTACTCCACCACTTATGCAGTGAGCGTGTCAGACATCATGGGCACGGTAGAGAAGAAGCTCTTGCGTAATATCCTCTCCATCATGAAGAGAGAGGTCAAGAAGCGCCAATCCCAGTCCAACATGGCGACTCCCGAAATTGGCGTCAAGGCAGGAGTTGTTGAGATGGCCAGGCCTGAAGGAGCAGCGGAAGGCGGTCGAGATGAGGATGATGACGACGACGATGAAGATGACGATGACGCCACTGGTGCCAAGAAGCGAGCAAACCGAAGCGAGGCTGTTTCTTACGGACCCAACGATGATGATGATGACGCTATTCAGAATGACATGTCCAAGGGGGCGGAAGACGACGAAGACGACGAAGATGCAGACAACACATCATCACAGAATAGGGACGAAGAAGATGATGGCGGCGACGAAGATGAGGCCCCCGTGTCATGGTCGGCCAAGGTTCGGGCGGAGCGCGTACTCAATGCCTACGCGGAAGTAACAGACTTCCAGTGCGATGACAAGGGCGGCGAGTGGTGCAACGTGACGCTCGAGTTTGACGTGAACATTCCCAAGGTGCTGATGCTCAACATTGTCGAGGATGCAGTCCGTCAGACGGTTGTGCAGCAAGTTGCCGGCGTAGGATCGTGCATGGTGGCTCAGGAGAAGGGCGAGTCGGTCATCAACACAACAGGCGTCAACCTCCGCGCGATGCAGAGATACAGCGACTTCATCGACCCGCACCGAATCCAGACCAACGACATTGCAGCAGTGCTGGAAGTCTACGGCGTGGAGGCTTGCCGTGCCAACATCGTGCGAGAGCTGTCGGGCGTCTTTGGAGGCCACGGCATCAAGGTGGACAACCGACATCTCAACCTGATTGCCGACCACATGACGAGAGGCGGCGACTTCACAGCCTTTAGCCGCATGGGCCTCAGGGGCAACGTCAGTCCCTTTACCAAGATGAGCTTCGAGACGACGCTCGGGTTCCTCAAGGACGCTCTGCTGGATGGCGACTGGGACGATCTGACGACGCCAAGTAGTCGTCTGGTGATGGGCAAGCTGGGCAGAGTGGGCACCGGTGGATTCGACGTGCTGACCCAACTGCCAACTTATTATGTCAACTCATTAGCGTAAAGGGAGGTGTCTTGAGGATTGCGCACGCATTCGTATGGATATGGATGAGTGTATTTAATTTACTATATAGAAGGAACTAGGACCAAAAAAAAATGTAGAGATGGCAATTTGATTGAAATACTGGCGGTGATGCCCGACCGATGGCGTGGCCGATTGATTGCGACGAGAGATGAGGCATTGATGCGGGATATTTCGCGATGTTGTCGCAGCAAGACGGCGTAGTGCTTCCTCGGCCCTGGGCTGGCGTGGGTGCGCCACTGGCGACGGCGATTGAGTCACGGCACGAAGACTAGCGCTACGTAATCTCGAGATACGGCATCGCGTTTGCAGCGGGAACGCGACTTTGGATGGTGTTGCTGCCTAAACACTGTGTTGGATTGCACGATTGATGGTGCGCGGTTTACATGCAGGGCACAGAGGTAACAGGCACGATGGAGAAACAAGATGTGAAGTGATGCAGTTATTATAGTTCGTTAACCCATGAGGCCGTGAACCTCGTTTGCATTTATGCAGTGCATTTTCCCTGACTGCACTGGTAATATACATTCCGAACCATAAAGGGGAATAAAAACTCTCATTTGTAACGCCTGATTATCCCTTGACCCCAGAAACACTCGTAGTAAAAGCAAAGTCATGTCCTGCAAAATCCTCCCAAAGTCTCCATCTAGTTGCGCTCACCACGGAGGCGGCGGGCGAGCTGGATGTCCTTGCTCTGGATGGTGACACGCTTGGCGTGGATGGCGCACAGGTTGGTGTCCTCGAAGAGGGAGACGAGGTAAGACTCGACGGACTCCTGGAGAGCACCGATGGCAGAGGACTGGAAACGAAGGTCGCTCTTGAAGTCCTGAGCAATCTCACGAACCTGTAATCAAACGTGTTAGAGATGCGATGATGCAGATGATGGTTGTGTTAATCTTACCAGACGCTGGAAGGGGAGCTTGCGGATCAGGAGCTCGGTGGACTTCTGGTAACGACGAATCTCACGGAGAGCGACGGTACCGGGCTTATAACGGTGAGGCTTCTTGACACCTCCGGTGGAGGGAGCGCTCTTGCGGGCAGCCTTGGAGGCGAGCTGCTTACGGGGAGCCTTGCCACCAGTGGACTTACGGGCGGTCTGCTTGGTGCGGGCCATGATGGAAGTTGTGATGTGAAGATGTGAAGATGCTGAGAAACACTTTGGTGGGGCTGGAGAAGTTGGCAGTGTAGAAGGGAAAACTCCGACAAGCGGGCGGGGGAAGATGCTTTAATAGTTGAGCCTAGCGCACGCCTGAGGTGGCGGCTGATCTGGGTTGCGCGCTGGACCGTGCGCGCGCGTCAGTGGGAAAAAAAGGCGACAGGAAAAAAGGAACCCGCTGGCAAAGGGGGAAAAAAACAAAGAGGCCAGAAAAAAAAAGGGAGCGTTAGCGCTTCTGCCCCCCCTTCTTTTTCTGCGAGTGGAACGTCAGGCCCCCCACCTGCAGCGCCGAAACGGGTGCTGATGCGGAACCGGAAGCTGCGAGGAGGCGCCGAAAAAAAAAAAAGCTGAGCGCGTTCCTTTTTTCTGATTGGCTGGGAGGGGGATGTTTTTTACGATCGCAGCCTAGATTCGATTTGCGAGGTACCGACTGCATGTACCTTGGCAGATTGGTAGAGTACAGTAGCATCATCTCAGCTTACCCTGGATGGATGCAAGATGCACGATCGGGGGGGATGATGGGATGATGGAGCGGTGGATGGGGGGGAATACAGGTGGATTGTTGTTTTTTGATGAGAGTATGAATTACTGGTATTTGGTTTTTTATTTTTGATGGTTTGTACTTGAGGTTGTGGTGTTGTATTGCTGGTTGAAGTTGAATGTCTAGACGTTGTAATTGGATTCTAAGGCACCACTCTTTAGCCACTGCTGTAACTCAGCATCCTTATCATGTAAACTCAAAATCAAGATGACGCAGCGCATGCCAGTGGGTAAACTGCAACTACGCCTCGCAAAGCTTATACTACTACTACCAGATGACATGTGAAAGGAGACAATGGGACTAAAAATAGGCAAACGTCAACGGTGTTGAAGATGGAGGACCCATGCAGCATCGTGTCGATGGAGCATCATGTCCCTGTGATGGAGCAGCAACAATCCCATGGTCTACGAATACTTGTATCTACAGCATCACCATCATGCTATGCAAAGTACCTCTGCTACGGATACGGATACCACGAGTACCCATTTCCAACACATCACTCAGCACATCGTTAGACTCGGCCAACAGGCACCAGCCCAATCATCGCAATGCCGGTCCCCCTTGGTCTCAAACAGATGGCACAATACCGTAGCTGCTCGCATGGGCACCAGACAAAACAAGCTTAGACGCACCCATAAAAAAATTACAATCAAATAAAATAAAACCAAGCCCATCCACAGCCGTGATTGGGACGTGTCGATTTTTGTTTACCTTTTTCCCAGCTCGCGCCCCACCCGACCTTTCCCGCGCCAGCAGTACGTACCGTGTTTTATTTTTTTTTTCGTATCATCGCCCTTTTTTTCTCCTTTGAATCACTGCCCAAAAAGGCCCACCACGCACCACGGCCCCCGGTTTTTTTCCCTCTCCATAATCGATCAGTGATCTGGGCCGCTGCTACTTAAACTGGCGTGTTGCCACACTTTGCCTTTTCCCCTCCCCTCTTTTATGTACGACTTACCGTTTACCATCATCTGCATCTCATTTTGGCGTTTACGCACTTCTTGATATCTCAACTTCAAACAACCCACATCAATCATCATGACTGGACGTAAGTAACTCCTGTTTACCTCATCATATGTTGGCGACGCGGTCCATTGCCATCGCTGCTTGGCTTCAGCTACTTCGCCTCAAGCCTTGCGGGCTGCATGGCGCTTTAGCTTTCGGCTTCAGCCTCGGCCTTGACGCGTCTGCCTTCTACTGTCGCCACTCCAAGATCGACTGACATCCACAATACAGGCGGCAAAGGTGGCAAGGGCCTCGGCAAGGGTGGTGCCAAGCGTCACCGCAAGATTCTTCGTGACAACATCCAGGGCATTACCAAGCCCGCTATCCGACGTCTCGCTCGTCGTGGTGGTGTCAAGCGTATCTCTGCCAGTAAGTTTCCATTCACCATCAACACCACAAAACATGACCAAGGTGTCTAACATTGCTTCCTCACAGTGATCTACGAGGAGACCCGTGGTGTCCTCAAGTCCTTCCTCGAGGGTGTCATCCGTGATGCCGTCACATACACCGAGCACGCCAAGCGCAAGACCGTCACATCACTAGACGTTGTCTATGCCCTGAAACGACAGGGCCGCACCCTGTACGGTTTCGGTGGTTAAGCGATCTGCCACTAGGTCGGGTCGACATAATGTGTTATTCGCGTGTTTGTTACGATTGGGCTTTTCACTATGGGCGCGGGTCATTGCTTTTTGAGATTTTGTACTGTACAACGTACTGGGAAATGGGTGACTTCCGAAAGGGGGTAATTGAGACTTATCAAGTGGTGACCTTGAAATAAAGCATCACATATACTCTACAAGTAAACTTTGTGCCTGGCTGTGAAGAACCTGTCCAAGATGTGACTGATGCCTGTGAACGCGTATGACTCGCTGCCTGCCACGTATCTGGAAGAGAGGCAGAGCGGCGAAGAGCTGTGTTGTTCCCGTGACGCGTGACGCGTCAATGTTGTCTGAACTGAATGTCCAAATCGCCATGCCGAATATAGAGGGAGCGGCTTGTGCTTCTATCGATAGAGAGGAGGTCGTATCCACATGTCCAAGTAGACGGGATGACTCCAGATGTCCATGGCCCGCTCTGTATCCAGCCACGTTACATCGGAATCTATCATGTTCTCTACGTACTAGGGACGTTGTATACGTTTCCTGTAGGGCAACAAGTCTACCTGAACGTATGCAAGTATACGGGTATTGACACTACCTCAGCCGTCCTCCACTATAAGGTCCCAATATACGAAGCAAAAGCCCAATATGTAAACGCCCAGCTTGAGAGATCCAATATTCGAAGCTACACCTCACAGCGCATCCAATTTTATGACTCACCAGTATCCATTTCCCTCTGCCCAAATATTAATATTTATTAAAAAACGAAACGGACAAAGAAAAAGACACGGTGGGTTTATTGGGCGTGAATCACCCCAAAGGACCACGTAAAAACAGATAGTGGTTCGAGGTGTCATGTGGTTGGCCGCTTATGCGCTTCGCCGGGGGCCCAAGGCTCTCCAGGCTGTCATTCTATCGCAACTCACATTTTCATCACGAGTCGAAAAATAGTAGCAAGGAGGAAAAAAACTCTTACCCGATGATATGCGATTGGATTCTGATGCTCTGCCCTACTTGACCACCCAAAGAGAGAGAAAAAAAAAGGATAAGGGGGATAAGGAAAAAAAAAGCAACAGGCTGCCAGTTTGCTGTCCAATGGAGATGTAAGCCCGGGGTTTAGGGGACACACACACACACAGGCATCGAGTTAGTTTGGCTGGCATTTACTATCCAGACGCCCCCTCTGTCCGAATTTTCAGACTGCATCTTTTTTTCATCCCTGCATGGCGGAATAGAAGGGGGAATGGAAAAAAAGGAGCCGATGCATGTCGGTCGATTAAAATAGAAGTCAAACAAGCACAGCTGGAACCGGCAAAACTTGAGACCAGACCAAAAAAAAAGAAAAAAAGAAAAAAAGGGCAGTAGCACAGACGCATGCATGCATGCAGGCCAAAAAAGACGGCACGTCGCAGCTCAACAGGGTAACTATGCGCTGCAACATGTCCCAACGGGCCCGCCGACGCAGAAAACTCAGACAAACCGAAAAAATTCGGGCTGCTTGAGACGAGGTGAGCCCAAGAAAAACACGTGGGCAGGGGGTTTGGTTAAGGCCTAGACCGGATCTGCATCGGCGGGTAAAGGCGATCCGAAGGGGGGTGGAGCCACCACATGTTGAAAAGAGCCACATCCTGTTAGCAGACCGGAGGCCCGGAGCAGCAGCTCCACGAAATACAGGCGGGTGGAAGCATTTGCTGTGCTTTGCATGTTTTGGGCTGGGACGAGCACGAAGAAGCAAGAAAAAAAATGACAAATGACAGATGCAAGAAACGAGACGGGACAGGGACAAGGGGGGTGCTGGACTTGACTGGACTTGGCTGAGGTTGATTGACCGAGCCCTCAACTGCGACATCGGTATCGAGCTGCTCTGCTATCCAACTATCCTCGTAACAGGCAAATGCACACGCGGCTGATCTGAGATTACGGGGGGGAAACTCGGTGGCCCATATGGTTCGCACGCCCAGCGCAGTGTTGCTGTCGGCATGTCAGTGTATGGCTGGCATTCTGGGCTGAGGTGATGCATCGAATCCGGCTAGCATGCCGGCCTAGCGAGTTGATAGTATCGCCATTATATTGGATGTTGGATCGATATTGTTTCGCTGTGCATTGCTCTATTGCTTTTCCTGCCCCATGCTAGCAGCTGGTCACGAGACTCTTGTGCCAGATGACTGGACCACAGAAGACGACGACGGCGAGGGAATTCAGCTGGGTCATCATCCAATATCCAATATCCAATATCGAGAGAGGGGTTCAACAACAACAGCAACAGCACGAGAGGGGTATTCGTGGATCCCGGACGGCTTACAGATGGAAATCCGCAAACCCAAACCCCGACGTCTATCCGCGTCCCTCCCAGGGCGGCGAATTCTGACGTGCTGATCCGACATCCGTCGCGGCACGGCAATCAGGGCGGGTGCGGCAAGATTTGGCATTCGCGGGCCCTACACTGCACAGCACAGCACAGCACTGCACTTGTCACCAGCATGGAATCTCGCGGAGCAGAGGAAGAGTTGAGAGCGAAGTGGTGCGAATTGGAGCGAGGTAGCCGCGGAATGGCTTCGGCGCCGCGAGTCCGGGGCAGCGGACACATACCGACCTGGGTCCGAGTTCGCCGGGCTGCAGATCACGAGGCTGGTCCTTAGACTCATCCCAAGGGTTTGGTTATGGTGTGGCTCTAGATCTCTCTTGTCAAGTTGAGCACAGTAGTGCCGGCCCTGTACTCCGTAGACAGACTGGACCTCTGCCGCCGGCGCATCGCATCTCATCTCAGCCGCGCAAGGTTTCAGTCCAGTTCCCCGTCGCGTCCAGACCAGCAGACGTGGGACAAAAGTCAGTCTTCAGCCCCAAAGACTGGAGATGCCAGAGCGTCGATCAGGCCGAGATGAATCTTATTTTTTCCCTCTCAGCTCCCTGGCTCTACAGTAGTGCCGGCAGAAGATGCATGCAAGTGCCCAGATCGCGGGAGTGTGTGTGGCTGAGCTGTGCCAGAGCCCGGCCGCTCATTGGCCGCTGGCAGCCGGCGGTCTCCGAACAAGCCAAGGTCGGCCTGGCCGACTCCCTCCAAAATCAGCTGCGTCTCGAACAAACCAGCTCGCAAACATGCTCTCGTGTGCCGACATGCAGGAGAACTGAAAAATTTTTCATCTCCTATTTTTCCGTTCTGCCATCGCAGCACACCTCCACGGCTGTTGTCTTGCTTGTTTGGATTCTGCCTGCATCGAAATGCGACCCGCAGCTTTGTTGGGATCGCGGCCGAAGCGCTTGGGATCGGGCGCACAGCAGTAGCTACAATGAGATGTTGGTGCAGGTCACGCAACTGAAAGTGCCAAATCATCCGATTACACATCAGGTCGATGGGATGAGGCAACAGGTGCACATCTTGCCATTTTCTAGTCGGCAAGTAAACTTTGGCGAGACATGACAGATGATGAGAAAAAAAAAAAAAAAAAAAAAAAAAAAAAAAAAAAAAGGAAAAATCAATTCCGGTGCTTAGATCACATTCAATCAATCAAATGCAAAGCCAACGTTGCAGCCACCCCCATTAGTAATTCCCTGACAGGTTTTGTCGTTTTGTCTTTTTCCTTCTTTTCGGCGTTAGGGGTGCTTTGGTCAGCGAACCTTGTGTCTGTGCACTTGCCAAAGTATGGGGGATTGACTTTTGGGGGAGGGTCATGTGACCCCAGTGGTAGCATTGGCAGTTGTTAGCGGCTAAAACTTGGAAGCGTTGGGTTTTTTTTAGAAATTTTCCAATGCTGGGTACAGAGGAGGTACGTACCGAGTCTTACTACTGCCACAGTACTACAGCTGTATAGCCTATCCTCGTACCTGAGAGGCATGCACTGCGCCGGAAGGGGGAAACCCAAGAACAAGAAAAATCTTGATGTCTTGCGCTGCCAGACTGTGGCTGAGACCAATGAGAATCTGTGCAATGCGGACCGGCATGCGCTGGACAGGGATCGCGCTCGATCCGCCGTCCCAACTTGATACGCCAGCCTATACGTCACATTCAGGTATTGCCAACTGCTTTTACCGCTTGTGGTTCCCGCGCTGCTGAGCTAAACAATGCCATATCCGTTAGCCATCTTTGGTCGGCGAAACGTTTCATGGCAAGCCATGGCCAGAATACCGAAAGGAGAAATATCCCGTGAAAAAAAGGTTTGCTAAATCGAATTAAGGAGGGCTGTGATGCCATTGTCGGGGAAATTTCTAGAAGTCTCTGCCGCTATGGCGACGTGGCTGCAGTTGGATGACCTGCCAAACCGCGAAACTTGTCTGGTGTTGGACCCTTGTCCGAAGCCACAGGCACAAGCCACAGCCAGTCCTTCTCCGCGGCTGTGCCTGGGGGGTGCCAAGTGCTTTTGACGGATTCCGACGAGGGCCGCGAAAGGCGATGCCATGGGAAGCGAAAGCGAAGCGAAGCTAGGTAGGTACTGTATACGATAGCGATGCGGGCTCGTGCTGGGTTTTTCAATTGCTGACAGTCACTGACGGCGACTGACTAGGGGAACACATCGGGTGGTTCGTATGTGCGTACGCAGGCAGAGGTACGTGCAAAGGAACTGCCTAGCAGCATCGCAGGCAATGACAAATGACTGAGGAGTTAGTCATACTTGTACGCACGCGCAGCCATTACCAGGTTCCTGACTTGCAAGCCGCGGAGCGCTTTGCCCTATCAAGCGCCGGCTTTGCAATTGCTCAATCAAGCATGACGCGCTGCTGAGTCGGCATCTCGTCGTTCTGCTGCTAGCAGGTATCCATTGCCAAATACAAATACCTACTTGCGGTAGTGCGTAGTGTGCAGGGCCTAAGCTATCCGTGTATACGAGCAAAGTACAGCTACCTCTGCGCCAGGTAGTGGCGGTGCGTGTGTAATGTGTAATCCGCGGGCCGCGAGGCATTTGCCAGGCATTTGCCCAGCAGGCGGATTACCAAACCCGCCCAGGGTTACCTCCCGCGCAAGTACCAGTTCCGCAGCCGCGGCTCCCCGGATGTGCTGTCGGCAGATTCTCGCAGGGCCTGGCTGAGTTTAGCTGCTCTCGCAAGGCCGAAGATGCCCTTTTTTCGCTGGTGGGGCTCGCATCGATTTCCTTCACCCCCTCGCGCACACCCCTCCCTCCATCACAACGTCACCCCTCCTCCACCTCCGAATGTCTGCGTCGACTCTTGACGAAACCGGTCGACCCGGTGGAGGGCTTTGGGACGATATAAAGAAAGCGTTTCGCCACATCGCCGTCAGATCGAACTTGCAATACGCCCCCATACAATCTCCAACTCTCCTCAACCATGCTATCTGTGGACCACAACTCAACTCAATATCAGCCCTTTCAACAACAGCAACAGCAATACAACAGCATCAACAACTCCAACAACCATCACACAAAGCTGGACGACTTCACCTTTGGCCAGGCAAGCGACTTTGACTTCTCGACCTCGACCATCTTCCCGTCAACCGAGCTCTCTGCGTCCAACCTAGAGTACCTCAACGCCGCAATCGTCACTGCGTTTTCGCCTGACTCGATGCGGCCCGACTCCTCCTGGGACGCTGCCGCTCGCTTCTCAACTCCCAAGTTTGGTCGTCTTCCCCATCAACGAGAGTCCTCTCTGTCTTCCCTGGGATCCACGGGGCCGGCGTCGCCCTTCAACTCGCACATCGCGAACCCTCACATCGCCGTCACTGACGCCAATGGTGACGGCTTCATGGACATGCACTCGCACGACATGACCATGAGCTCAGCTAGCCCCTACTACCAGCTGGCCAAGACGATGCCTCCCTACTCAAACTTCCATCATCTCGACAACGCCTCTGTCAGCGAGATGGCATATCCAGTCTCCATCCCGACCACCAGCCATCACAAGCTGCGACAGGATCGCAACCTCCTCCCCGCTCCAGAGTTTGCCAATGGCTTGACACGATCACATCCTGCCTCTGTGGCAAGCTCAATAGCAGGCGACTCTCCCGCCACGCCCGTCACTGGCGAGGTTGATCTGGCTGATCGCCGAAGGCAAGGTAGGCGCCGACCTCTCAACAACAACCAGCCGTTTGACTACCAAGACTCATCTTTTTGGCTCGCAGGTCATGGCAATGGGACCGTCCCCAAACTCGACCGCACGATGACAGACGTCTACGGCGATGAGCTGTACAACCCAAACTTTACAATCACTTCATCGCCACAGCAGAGCCAGGTGACTGCTGCGCCCAGCGACGTCTTCAACCAGCGCATCAGTGCCGCGAATAGCCAGCACCTCAGCACCATTCGGAATTCGCCCACCTCGAGTATTTCTCGAGACATATCTCCCTTTCGCCATGGTTCTCCACTTGCTCCTTCGCCACTTCACGACTGGGCTACCTCTCACGGCACTGTGGCTATGAACTCCCAGCCGAGGATGCCCGGCCAGGACCGCAACGGCCAGCACGACGCCCACTTCTTCCAGCAGCAGATGACCAAGACAACACAGCCTGGAACGCCCCAGACCATTTCTCCCAAGGATGCCGTCCTCGAGTTTAACGAGTCTGGAGAGGAGTCCAACATGCCCCTGTTCTCGCACACGCCAATCAACTTCGGCATGGACCACCTGGGCAGGATACTGCCCGAGGGAAGCGTCAACGGCCCCGCATCAGCAGCACACAGCTATAGCCAGGGGGACAACGCAGGTCACATTCACAACATGCCTCAGGTTCCGCAGCGATACCCGTTTATTGCTTACCCGCCAAACGGCCAAGACGCATCGGCATCTCAATTGAGCTCTGCGGAGTCCAATTCAACCGGATCTGCGGCTTACAACACTCCCGCCCCCCAGAGCCGGCCTGCCGGCGCCAATGCTGATGGAGGCACTTATACTTGCACATATCACGGCTGCACTCTACGGTTTGAGACGCCCAACTTGCTGCAGAAGCACAAGCGTGAGGGCCACAGGCAGTCGCACGGACTTGCAGGTGCTCGGCCACACCACGACCACATGGGTATGACCTCGAGCCTGCTCAACAGCCAGGCCGGACCCCACCGCTGTGACCGCATCAACCCAAGCACGGGCAAGCCGTGCAATACCATCTTCTCGCGTCCGTACGACTTGACAAGGCACGAGGATACGATCCACAACGCTAAGAAGCAAAAGGTGCACTGCAATCTGTGTACAGAAGAGAAGACATTTAGTCGCGCCGATGCGCTGACGAGACACTACCGAGTCTGTCACCCTGATGTTGAGCTCCCTGGCAAGCACCGACGACGCGGTGGAGCTTAATTTGACGGGGCAGAGAAATGCAACGGGAAGTTTGTTTCTTTGCAGCCAACGCAAAATCTGAGTACGGTGGCATTCTCGCTGTATGACGTTTTGCATTGGGCGCGAGAGGGGGGGAGAAACCACCATCAGCCAACAATCAACGTCAACGACGCGATGGCGCACTGTTGGAGGGCATGCAAATCGAAGATGGACGATCCTGGCGCTCTCCTAGCTACTCTGCGGGGAAAGGTGCGCTTCGTTCGAGACTTCAGGCTGGATGGCAGAGCCAATGAGAAGGCTCCAGTGTCTTCTCTGGCGTTCTGCTCCCTAGCTATCCGGTCCCAGCGGTCGCCGAGTGGGTCTCAGGGTCCTACTGCAGCTGCAGGGTCTTGGTTGGTGAGCAAACGGCGCTGACGTCATGCTACCTCATACCACCTCCACCGCTGACATCACCCACGTCTGCTCCTGCCCTGATTTCATCTCGACCTCGACGGGCCTGCTTGCTGCAAAGGTTGGGAAATGACAGCAATGACGACAGTCCCGGCTGATGTTGTGCGTTGAATGATGCTACGAAGCAGATGAAACCTCCTCGCGATCATCCTCGCAGAGCTCATCGCGCCAATCCGCTTCCGGCTTCAACTGGCATTCAACCAAGTCTACACTCACGCCCCCCTTGCCATTACCGTTTTTGCTTCGAACGATGCTACGCGATCATGATGTACACACACACACACCAATTGCTTCTATTTATGCGCGTGCTACGTGCCAGCTTTTCTGTCTTGTTCTTCATATTTCCTTTTGTCTATTGCATCCTTGGCTTTCATCATCACTGTACTACTCCCGGTTATTATTACTTCATTTTGTTGCACTTGGGAAAGCGGGGCCGCATTTGGAAGGGCGGCAAAGGATATTCGGATTTCATTATTTTTTTTAGACCAACCAGCAGCTCTGCTTTGCAAGCATAATCGATTCGATTCTCTTTCCTTTGTCGGGGAAAATGTATTATCAAAGATCAAAGGTTCGCCAGACTGGATTCTCTTACACGGACCAATGCATTCGAACATTGAAACAAGAAATGGGATTGACATTCATGAGGGCGGAGGCGCATATGCAGGGCTAAACATTTGAGTGGATTACTACTATTTGAAAGGAAGCAGATGCTTTATTTCTTTTGATCTTTTCTCTCTTACTCTTTTATTTTCTCTTTATTTCCTTTCTTATACGTGAACCACTTGGTTGGATAGACAAAAAGATTCATGTACACTAGTCATACCATTTCATTATGGCAATAAATTGAAAGCCCTATGAACTCATCTACTCTCCTTGACCAAATAAAACGTGAAATGCACCAAACGTGAAATACCCCAGATTGACGCACGTGCCAGTTTATGCAGAATCAGCAATCCCAGTTTCTCACTCGTATTCTCACTACAGTATTACAGGGTACGTGATGGTATACGTACCTGAACACGTTGTGAGGCTGCGCGCTAAGGCACTTCTCCACTGGCTCTAGGTAGCCCTACCCGTTAAAGCAGTTAGAGCGGCACATGCACTGATCACGTGCCACTTACAGTTCGTTAGTCTCGAGGCATTGCTTTGGCATGTGACCAGTGGAGGGATGAAAAAGACGAATACGAGATGACTCTGGGGGGTGTATGTTCTATTGGTAAATTCAGGCGAAGAGTCATGTAATTTTTTAATTTAATATTCGATTGCTTTTGATGAGTGAATCACTGGATGATTGGGTGTGGTTGAAGGTTGGGGTTCTTTTGTTCTGACTAGCGGGGTGCATGGGTGAGTCAGTCAGGCGGGAAGGCGGTTTATGTCTGAAAGGAGCAGGGAGGATTTGTGTCTAAAAACGGTGCTGTATTGTAATACAAAGGAAAAAAAGACAGGCTGTTCGTTGAATTGATTGGTTTGTAGAGATTGCATGTATGTAAATGAAATGGTGCGGCAAGGCAAAGCATCTTGGCAGTCTTGGATGCTTTGGCGGCCAAGACTCACGCGCCATGCCTGAGGTGGCAGTGAAGACAAAGTAACACCCAAATGATCGTAAACTACACCCACTTCGCTGCAATAATGATGCAAGAAAAAGGGAAAAAAGAAAAAAAACATACAACAGCCGGTGTTCGCCAGTGGTCACCCACCTGACTACTAATCTGCCGGTTAGAGGCTTGTCTATGGGGGAGCAGACGGGACCCCGAATTCTCCTCTACCTATGGTCGTATGTGCTAGTAAATGCAGTCTGATGCACTTATATACCAAGTGGTTCAAGGAACATTAGACTACTTCTTTTCCCTAACATCAAGTTTCTTTCCTGTGGCTTACTTGACAATGGGTCTGAATTAACGGAGTATATGCAGTTGGTAAAGCCGTGATCCGGCGCAAATATCTATCTCAACTGTTCTTATGCCACCTATTCTGAATTTGGCTCTGCGTTGTTATCTATCGTACAGTAGATGTGAGCTTGTTACTGGCTACCTGCTATAAAACGCATGCTTTATTGTATCAATTGTGTGGAAAGCCACCGGCATTTTAGCATCATGGATGGGATCGGATTTCGAAAAGTTCACATGTGCACAGTCACGGCCAAGAGCGGGCGGCGATTCATTTTACAGTGTGCCTGTATTATGTTACTATACAAAATTGCATCCCCTTATTCTCGTCAAACATAATTTCACTAACAAATCCACAACCACCATCCACCTTACCACTCCAGACTATGAAATCGAGGGCTAATTCATTTACACGCCAACGCAAATGTTGTTGTTTAACCACAGAGCCGTGCAGCCGGATCCCACCTGTGGGTTCCACTTCTTAATGTCGTCAACTGTCGTGCCTTGATCCTCAGCAATGAACGCGCACGTGTCGCCCGATTTGACGAGGTAGAATTTCTTGCAGTCAGGCACCATCCCCGGCTGGAAGGGTGTTGGCGTGGGCATGCCGTTGCCCGCCGAGCTCGCCGTTGTCCCCGTGGGTGCTGCAGCCGGTGGCGTAGAGCCGGCGGCGTCGACGCAGACGTAGTAGCCTACGTTGAGGGTCGCGCAGGAGGGGCCGACGGCTGGATTCCATGAGTAGAAGGTAGCGAGGGGGACGTTGTTTTCCTTGGCGATGTCGAAGCAGGAGTTGCCGGACTCGACAAAGTGGTATTTGTTGCAACCGGTGACCATTCCGGTCTGGATAGGCTGGGGCGTGTTGACACTGATGGCGGAAGGGGCGACGCTATTGGTGGGAGCAGCTTGGGCCGACGTGGTGGGAGTAGTTTGGGCCGACGAGGGCATGCTGCTGGTGGGAGTAGCTTGGGCCGGTGTGGTGGAGGTGGTGATGCCGCTGGTGGGAGTAGCTTGGGCCGACGTGGGGATGCTGCTGGTGGAAAACTTGTCGAATCCGGGGGAGCCCACACAGTAGAGGTAACCGGCTATCAGGGTTGTACAGGCTGCAACGTTGGTCAATGATTTTGTATTTTACTTTTCTTTCCCGTCTAAACAAGTACAGTCGATGGGAACATAGTAATATAGGACATACCTTTGTCGACCGTTGGGTTCAAGGTAATAAATTGGTCACGGCTGAGACCGAACCGGGCCTCGATGATATCACATTGTTCGTCAGGTTCAACCAAGTAGAAGTTGTTACATTGGGTGGAGGTACCCGTCTGTTGCGGCATGCCTGAAGCCAATGATGCCGTGGTCGGTCCGCTCGCGGAGGTCGGCCGACGGGGGCCCAGTATCATGGCCCAGGTCAGCTGTAGCTGAGCGAGGAGGAGGAGGCCAGCCTTGAGTGAGGTTGGCGCCATCATGGTTGATGTTTGTTCGAGGGCAGATGAGTTATTCGGAGTAACTAAGAAGTAGTTAAAGTGTTGCTGTAACGATTCTTGAGAAAAGATGTAATGATTTGTCTCTTCGAACGAAAAAGGGCATGATGGCCAGCCTTTTTATATTCAGACTGCTCCTGAACAGTCACAGCATAGTTGGCTTGTCAGAGGCTTCGAAGCAAGATGGCTGAAAGGAACATTGAAAGAGAGTATCGGAGTTCAAGACAGGTTCTGTGGCCTACAAAGGAATATACAAAGGAAGAGAACATGGCCTTCCATCGTAGCGTTCAATCGCCTCTTTTTCTTTCTCACTCTTCCCTTGTGATCCAGACTGCTGACATGGCACTAGAAGCTGAATCCATAGCAGCTTGCAGCAAATTATGTCATGCCATGAATCCTACAGTATTATGGAGCATATACCGCACGCATTAGAGGCACGAGAAAGAAAACGGAGATGCGGTAGTCCGAAGCGATGCGCTGAGGTCTTGTCAGGCCAGGAGCATGAAGCACTCCACGGTAAGACCTTGTCCTGAGTCAAGTGATGCAGAGATGCATCTTTGTTGGTCGGCCAAGAAATCCAAAAATTCAAACATTACATGCCACATTCGGGTTATTACCACGGCTTTCTTGCCACTTATGATAGGTAAAAGCCGTCATCTGAAACATCTTTCTTTTCATATGGGTCACAAAGCTGACAAAGCTGAAAAAGTGAACGCTCTGTTTTATGTGCTGAGAACAAGGGAAAAGCTCGCTGCAAACAAGAGCAAAACAGAGAAGTGGGCTTGACCAAGGAGTGGCCACATAGATCCACGTGACAACTTGAAATCAACAACAGCAAGCTTACATCGTATGCTGTATGATGATAAGTTGCTGGACTCAAATTTGGGTGGAGACGTAGAAACCCTCGTGACGAAATATGTCCTCGCCACCGGCGGCTCGCCTTTCAGAGCGTAGAGGACTAGAAACATTGACGTCTTACTTCTATTGGGATTGGCCAAGAGTTAAATTTGTGGCAATTATGCACAGAGCGCCAAAAGTCAGCTGCCACAACTGAGATTGGATGCCCGGGGAGTTTATGCCTAGATGAGACTCAGATGAATCGTTATCTACGTCGAATGTCGAGTGTCACTCAGAGAGCATGCGTACTGTATCGTTTCCTTGAAGGTTCTACGGCCTAATTTGAAACATCATGTCGCTCCATTAACTTGAATGAAATGATGATTCGTAGGAATACCCCTACAATGCCCGGTTATTGCGGGCCGGCACATGAGGTAGGAACGCGCTCACTTCTAGTCTTATGAGGATCAGGGGGTGGGAAGGGAGAATAGCACCCAGCTTCTGGTCATGATTCTGGCGATCTTCACAGACAGCGCATCGGTAACGGAGCTGTAGACGCCGTCACACTCCGGAGAGCTGGGCCAACAAAACCTCGAGCGAGGTCGATGAGTATCAACACTACGGCAACCGTGGCTGACCACTGACTGGCACGGTATCTAGTGCTGCTGCTTTATAGTCTTGCAAATTGGGTTTCTATCATTCTATTATACGTATGATATAGAAGCATTCTGTCACATACGGCCACAGGTAAAGGAAAATTCGGCGTCCCGTTAAGATCTTACATGAAGTTCAATGTCTACCATTCTTGGTGCTACAGATGTCCAGTTTTGAAGTCGTCTTCTTCCGTTTTCGAAGGACAACTTAGCGGTAATAAGACGGCAATCGAGAGGACTAGCTCGACCGGCAGCCGATCTATGTATAATCCCCGCTCGCTGGAGGTCGATCAGTTGAGAGGTATGAGAGGGCACAGAGTCATAGGAAAAATTTGTAGGGCCGACACCGGCCAGCGTTATCAGATAAGCGGCCAAGCTACCTTCGCGGGGCAGGGCCTGGCCGCCCCGCCTGGTGCAGTCATCCAGCTTCAATTCCATCACAAACTTTTCGACCTTGATAACTTCTCCAGCGGTTCAATTGGCACAATTACGCGCCATATGCTCCATTGGTCTCATCGATTCCATTGATTTTATTGGCCTTGAACGCAACGAACGCCACTCGCAAATATTTCAACATGGCCGAGAAAAAGGCGGACGCCCCGGCAGCTGGCATGCTCTGGGGGGGCAGGTTCACAGGTTTGAATGTCTCGGGAAACAAGCTTCGGATGCAGTATACTGACCTCACGGTGCGCAGGTGCCATTGATCCTCTCATGTATAAGTACAATGCCTCCATCCGATACGATAAGGCTCTTTATAAAGAAGATATCCTTGGATCGATTGCTTTTGCTAGGGCCAATTCGAAGGCTGGTATTATTACCCAAGACGAATTTCAGGCGATTGAGCGTGGTTTGCTCCAGGTGATGGAAGAATGGAAGCAGGGAACTTTCGTTATTATGCCGAATGACGAAGATGTGAGAGGCCACTCAATTCTGCTCAACTTCTCGGGGCTAACACAATGGACCAGATTCACACGGCAAACGAACGTCGCTTAGGAGAGGTCATCGGCAAGGACATCGCGGGTAAACTGCACACAGGTCGCAGCCGCAACGAGCAAGTTGTCTGTGATATGCGCATGTGGTTGCGCGATCGGATCCGCGAAATCGACAGCCAACTCGTAGCATTTCTAAAGGTCATCGTCACACGTGCCGAGTCTGAAATGTAAGCCTAGCCCACCTCTGGCCAAAAGGGGCCCCCTGCTGACGAACAACCTCAGCGACTACATCATGCCTGGATACACCCACCTGCAACGTGCCCAGCCCGTTCGCTGGTCACATTGGCTGATGTCGTATGCCGCTGCGTTCAAGCAGGATCTCGAGCGGTTGCGCCAAGTTTTCGAAAGGGTCAATCTAAGTCCACTTGGTTGTGGCGCTTTGGCCGGCAATCCATTTGGAATCGATCGACACTTAATAGCTAAGGAGCTTGGCTTTAGCGGAATAACCTTGAACTCGATGAATACTTCGGCCGATCGTGATTACCTACTCGACTTCCTGGTCTGGAACTCGATTTTCGCCAACCACATTAGCAGGTGGGCTGAGGACCTCATCATATATTCGACCTCTGAGTTCAGTTTCGTGCGGCTGGCCGATGCGTATTGCACAGGCTCGAGTTTAATGCCAAACAAGTTCAACGGGGACTCGTTAGAGCTTCTGCGCGGCAAGTCAGGGCGTTCTTTCGGTCAAATGGCCGGGTTAATGATGGTGAGTCCTCATATTAATATCTCAGCTAGTTGCCTTGGCTTTGAGGGTGACCAGGCGCATATCGAGAGTGGCTACTAACTATTCACTTGTAAGACTCTGAAAAGCTTGCCATCTTGCTATAATAAAGATCTCCAGGAAGGGTGGGAGCCTATGCTGGATTCGGTTCAGACTGTGTCGGATAGTCTAGGCATAGCCAATGGTGTCATTGCTACCTTAAAGGTGCGGCCAGAGCGGATGGAAGCTGCTCTGGACAAAACGATGCTAGCCACTGATGTCGCAGAGTGGTTGGTGAGGAAGGGATGTCCGTTCAGAGAGGCTCACCACATCTCTGGACGCGTCGTTGCGCTGTCTGAAAAGCTGGAAGTTTCGATGGACACGCTGACCCTTGAGCAACTGCAAGCCATTGATTCTCGGTTCACAGCAGACATTGTGGAGGCATTTGAATATGAAACGAGTATCGAAGCGAAATCGTCTAAAGGCGGTACCAGTCGATCAAGCGTGTTGGAGCAGATCCAGATACTCAGGGCTATGTTAGATTAGAGGATTGAGAAAAAAGAGCTTAATCCAAATCTTTGTTTTGTTTTGTTCTACTCCCACTTGCGCATCGAATTCACTCCTTGCCTCCTGTAACACTAACTGAGATGCTGTATCGTTGATGTATAAGGGTTGGTTCTCCCAAGTCGTGGAGTCTCTCTCTATCTCGATGTCTCTGACTGAGGAATGCGTCCTGATATCAACCATAACGCTAATAAAGCTGCTTTTATGAACATATAACTATATGTAGTATCTTGCCAATTTATATTGTTTGTTGGTGCTATTTACGACTCTGGCCGTTTTACCAAAATACCAAAGGACTGGAGATTTGGTAGCCAGCATTCCAGGTTGCACGGCTATCTAGCATCCTAGCGGCTGCTATAGAGTACATGTATGTACCAACCTATCTGTCTCTTCAAGTGTCGGGTCTGCTATTGGAGCTACTTTCTCTTAGTACCTATTGTTGCTTATTTCTAGAACTACTACTCTCCTCTAGTATCGACACACTCTTCTAGTATTGATACATCTCTGTGGGTGGTGGGATGCTGTAGTACATCTTTTACCAAAAGCTACGAGGCTTATAGGTCTGCTGAAATGCTCATAACAGCACATACGACCATAGGTAGAGGAGAATTCGGGGTCCCGTCTGCTCCCCCATAGACAAGCCTCTAACCGGCAGATTAGTAGTCAGGTGGGTGACCACTGGCGAACACCGGCTGTTGTATGTTTTTTGCTTTTTAATCTAAATGTTTACTACTCTTCTATAAGTGTAGAATACACTTCACCTGTCACATACGACCATAGGTAAAGGAAAATTCGGGGTCCCGTCTGCTCCCCCATAGACAAGCCTTTAACCGGCAGATTAGTAGTTGAGTGGGTGACCATCAGCGAACACCGGCTGTTGTATGTTTTCTTTTTTTGCTTTTCTATTCACAGCATATAGATACCTGTACTAGTATGACACCGGAGCGGCACGTACCACCAGGGTAATTGACTGATAGCCCAGCGATGGCATGTCGTCTGAGGACGGCAGGGACATGTAGTCGAAACAGCTTTCAATCATGTCCAGGTTTGGATGTTTGAGGACTTGGAATGAGTGGAAAAGCATCTTGGAACCAGGCCCGATGACGGTTAAACAAACCTTGGCAGTGGAACTGGTATCCAGATTTTTCAGATGAAAGTTGAGTATCTTATTTGACATTGTTCTCCAGTCTACCATGTCGATAAAAATGCTTCTCAGCGCCGCATCAAGAAGTGTCTTGCCCTTGGTTTTCGGCTCGGAATTTTGCGACCCATCTGTCGCCGACCACAGAGGAATGTGTAGCATATCCCAATTTGGGAACTCTATGCCTCGTCTCTCTACGTCGTTGAGTGTATTCTGTAGTGTATGTTGCATTTGGTCACCTCCATGGTAAACGGCGTGGACGTTTGCCCACCTATAGTCAATATTTCCAGCAGCAAGCTTGGACTTGATATCGTTGAGTCTACTATTTGAGCCGCAAATCGATATGTTTTTGCTACCGAAGATGCCTAAGATTCGCGCGTCGCCGTAAGCGCCATCTGTGCCCTGTACCACAATGTTAGCAGGCATTTAAGTGGCAATTTATACGTTGAATCAGAGCATACATGTCAGGAATCATTCCAATCATTTATATAGTTTTCCAGCTCCTCCGCTGAGGTACCAAATACGCTAAGAATACAGGGTGTCTTTTGCCACTCAACATTAGGAGGGAAACGACTCGGTAGCGATGCTCTTAGTCCAATCCAGAACGTAAGCCGGAACAGCTCAACAGCCGAGGCGATAAAGTTTGGGGAGCTGTAAGACACAAACGAAGCTGCCAATATTGCCGGTAAGATGCCTGTGCAAATACCACTTGCTTCAATGACAGTCTTGCATTCATTATGCGATTGGAACAGCATGAGCTCGAGGACCTGGTGTGTATACAAGCTTAATGTCTCAACAACGGGGTGTGATCGAAAAGCTTCAGGCGGTTACAGAAACGACTCTGCTTCTTGAAAGGCATCCTTCAAGCTGCCTTCCAGCGTAGAACGTTCCTCGTCTGACACACTCTCGAGTTCGATGTGAAAGGCCTCACGGCACTGGCGAAGAAAATCCCAAAACGCATCTAAATGCTCATATAGCAATAGTTCCTTCATTGCACGAACATGGGCAGGGTTTGTCAAATGCTGGTGTGAGCCTTGCCCTGCGAAAAACAGCACATGGCGATTTGGGGTAACCGACATGGTGATTTTTCAACCGAGTTGTCTTTTCTTTTTGATTCAAAAGAATACAATTTTACTTTTAGTCCTGATGATGGTATATAAAGGACCAGAACGGACGAAACGGCACCTGATGGGGACAGGGATGCTGTCGTGAAGCATGTGCCTATGAGCATGATAAGGGGGTACATATTGCGCCATTCTGCCTCTTTGAAGTTATCTTCCATGTGGTCTGATTTTAGAATCTGAAAAGCCGGACTTTCTAGTTGATAAGAGACTTCTAATTAGTAAATCAGTTAGAGATTGGCTCTTAACTATACTTGGATAATCAGCTGTCATACTTTGTGGCCAGAATCTTAATGTTTGACTTGGCCGGCTGTTGCAGGTCAGATCGAGCTACGGATTAATTCTGGATTATGAACCAAAGGCTGGGGCGTAGTCTTCCCCTGAACCAGCTATTACAGCATTACTGGCTCTCTTGATTATAAATATAACCTCTATAAATATATATAAATATAACTAAAGTTACGAAGCAACATGCATTGCTATTCTGCTTACAGCACCCCTTGTTAGTACCCAGCCCACCAGGGTCAATTTGTCCAGATACACCCTATAGGCATCTAAATTGTTAACTTGGTACTGATCATCATCAAATTGCCATACGCATCTAGGAAAGTACCAAACTAACAATTTAGATACCTGCGAGGTGTACATGTACTACATGTACTACATGTGCTTTGTAAGGGGCTCTGTTGTTAGGCTTATAATGCTAATTGAGGCGCTGGGGTATGGATGAGGCCATACGGGATAGGGACGGGACGTTAATAGTTACCGATACAGGCTACACCTGCTTTTCTATAAGCTCCGGGACTCAATCCACCAGAACAAGCTTCTATCAGCTTATCTACATGTATAAATTTAATTTGTCTCCGCCGATGGGCATAACTCCGCTGTCACCTTTGCCTTCGTAGGGCCGAGTCCTTAACAATCCGAAATCTTACAGTTCCCATGAATCAGACCCATAGCAAAGGGTATTCCCAACAGAATCTTTCCATTCATTAACTTCTTCGATCTATGACCTATTTCTCCTCTGGGTGACAAATGCAGTTATGTAGCTTGCTGACAGAGGTGGCCGAAATTGGCAACACCGAGAGCATCAACTCTAAGAAACACCCATGTCATATGGAAAAACGCCCGTTGACAACTGCGTATCGCTAGTAGTACGGGGCCGATTCATTGCCGGATTCCGAAAGAAGAACCTATTACCGAGCTGCAAGGAACATGGACCCATCCCTGTCTAGTTAGTTTGCTGTACTAGTTGTATACGAGCACAATCAGAAGTATACTTCCTTATCTATAAACAACATGAAGCCAAACAGAAGCTGTTCCATCGCTTAACCTCGCTTCAGGCTGCAACTTTAGCATATTCTGCAAGCCTAGCAAACGAACAAGCATTATGAATATTTGTAAGCCTAGGTTATTCTACCAAGGTCGCAGAGGACCTCCTATTCCCGATAAGGTAATTATAGTGAGACGTGAAGCACAATACATCGACCATGACCACTAACTCAAGTCTGTAATTATTTACCACATCTGATGGCCTAAGAACATGATAAGTCTATCCTCTTATCTAGAACCGGAGAGTTGAAACGCGGCGTGTGGTGTCATCGGCGTATAATGGCATCACAGCAAGTACATGTAAGCAACAGGTAACAACGACTGCGTATACGACTATCAAAGATGCTTGTCTCGACTGTCAGCTGAATGGATGTATTACCCATTGGCACCAAAGCCCCCGAAAGACCCCCAAAATCGAAACACTCTTATTTAAGAAATTTACAGCTATGGTCATTTGGTTGTGAGTGCTGCTTCAGGGGTTTTGTTGCCAACTCAGAGGCTACCGTCTTGTCTTCTTGGTCACTTGGGGTGGAAGCAAGGGGGACGTGTCGTTTACATGTAGTATTACTCTGCACCCTTGAACTTTTTTACGACATTAAAGTGTCACCCATTATGTTGCACCATCTATCTATTTATTCGTGGCAGTGAACCCTAACTTTGAATTGTCTCATTCTCGTCTTGCATGTCTTCCTACTAAGCTGAAGATTAACTTGTCACTATACTGGCTCAGAGCTACTCTCATTATGTCACTTACGTCTCAAAAGATATTTCGGCGACCCAAGTTTAGCCCAGTCCCACCTAAGAATTACGCTGATTCCGATGATGAGGCCATATCAACACTTTCGGACTTGATACGATTTAACTCTGAGAATAATGCAGAGCATATATTTTGCATTCAGGCACAATCTGAAAAAGTGGATTCAAGCTTGTCTGGCGATGTTACGTACAGGGGTGTTAAGATCACTTTTGCGCAGCTTGACCGTGCAATTCAGCAGTGTGTGCTATGGCTGAGTGACGGCTACTCCCAAACATTTTCAGAGTCTGGGGCGCCGATTGCGCTGTATGTTGAAAGCGATGTTGGCTTGCTCATCTATCTTTCTGCGTTGCAAATATTAGATATACCAGTTCGTACTCTCCGTTAAGCACTCATAGCAATTCTGGACTTGTTTCTGACAACATAGTTACAGGTATCTAGCTCCTACTCATCTCCGCCAGGCTTAGCCCGGATAGCGTCGCACACCTACTAGAAAAGACAGGCTCCAAGAATGTTTTGGTATCAAAGCGAACAAGAAATTTACTTGTTGGACAGCTTGATGACTGTTTCAACATGATCAATGTTATGCCGTACACAATGTTCTTGGACCTTGGTACCAGGGACTGTTCTGCAGATGACAATTACAAGAAGCTGTTCACTCAGCGTAAGAGCCACGAGAGCGAGAGATCTCTTATACTGCATTCATCCGGCACAACAGGTTTCCCTAAACCCATTTACCTGACCAAGCGATACTTGTTACAATACGCTTCTTGCCATGAATTTCCTGGTCACGAGGTCATTGACTGGGTGAACCTATCGACTCTGCCGCTTTACCATGGATTCGGCTTCCTTGCTCCATGTCTCAGTCTATCTGTGGGAATGACCTGTGGTTTCCCACCTTCATCCATCATTAGCGCTGGACGGTCAACTCTTGATTTACTCAATGCGTTCAGTTGCAGATCACTGATGACCGTGCCAAGTATCGTTGGTGATCTAATGACGCAAGACGGGGTTTTCGAGCGTCTCGCGAGTTTGGAGTTTCTTGCCGTTGGAGGTGGTGCCATGAGCCCTGACCAAGGTCTGCGACTCAAAGAACAAAACGTGAATCTGCTCAACCATTATGGCGTCACAGAAATTGGCGCGATTGCGCCGATTTTCCGACCTGGACCAGATTATAATTGGCGGTATCTCAGGCTGCGATCTGATCTTGGGCTTGAGCTGCACTCAATTCCAAGCTCAAGCCATTTCAAGTTGGTTGGCTATCCAATCGGCTGGGGTGAACGGTTTGAAGTGCAAGATGAGCTGGAGAAGAACCCAGATACCGTGGGTGACTACTTGGAGGTCCGCATCCTCGGACGAACAGACGACGTCATTGTGCTCAAAACCGGGGAAAAGATTACGCCGCAGCAATTGGAAAGGGAGCTCATGGCGTCTCCAGTGATTAAGACTGCAATTTGTATTGGCGAGGGACAATTTGAAGTAGTCGTTCTTGTTGAACCTGCTTCGTATCCCCTCGATGAAGCGGAGTTCATTGACCAAGTCTGGGATCTTGTATCCTCCAAGAACACATCCCTCGACCGCCATGCGAAAGTGTCTTCCAAGAAAGCCATAATAGTCAAGCCGGTAGGCAAGATGATCCCAAGAACTGACAAGGGATCTGTTAGCCGCAGACAGGTTCGGGATGTCTTTTCTGACGAGATTCAGGCCGCATACGCAGCGATTGAGATTGATCTTCCTATTCAAAACCTTGACTGGGCTGATCTAGAGAGTAGTATTCGAGCTCTAGTGAAAGGAATTTTTAAAGACTTTGACTCTAGTTCAGACGAAGACTTTTTCGAGGCTGGTATGGACTCGCTGCAAGCCGTTCGTTTAGCACGGCAGCTAAATGTCTCCCTACAACAGTCAACAACATTACAGGTGGCTAGGAGTGAGGTTTCTGCTGAGTTAGTGTATAGACATCCAACAATATCAGCACTTGTGGAGTATGTCAAGGCTCAGAGGAACAACTTCAACGGCGAAATGGAGACATCTACCTCTGAGGATAATACTGCCCGTGTAAAAGCCTTATCGGAAAGATTCACTGCAAATCTCTACTGTGAAGAGGATGTTGGCTATCCCAAAACAACAAAGCGCGTGGTATTGTTGACTGGCGCAACTGGAAACCTTGGCTCTCACATGCTAAGCCAGCTTGTCCAGAACACATCCGTTTCAAAAGTCATATGCTTATACCGCCAGACGAAGGATGATAATCTACTGAATAGAATACGGTTGTCCGTGTCTGCTTGTGGCTTATTGTTGGATGAAAGTTGTTGGGCCAAAGTTGAGCTCGTTGAAGCTGCCGAATTTATTCGCGGCATTGGTCCGATCCAAGATCCAGTTGAACGAGACCCCAATGATGGAGTCTCAAATGGAAATGACGGTTTTAATTTATTCACGCGTCTTGCTCAAGATGTGACTCATCTTGTACATCTTGCGTGGCCCATAGACTTTCAGAGGACACTAGAAAGCTTCATCCCTCACATTAAAATGGTCGAGGCCCTGATCAATCTCGCGAGAGCAGCCCACACCTCTCAAAGAGCCAGAAGGCAGCCACCGGCAAGACTCTTGTTTGCCTCTTCCATAGCAGTTGTTAGGAACTATGGTAAAGAGTTCCCTGCTTCGTCTTCATCGATCATTGTGCCAGAGGAGGAAATGCAGACTCCAGAGACAGTGGCACCCATGGGCTATGCAGAGGCCAAATGGGTATGCGAACGTTTGCTCGGTCATGTTGGTCGCCACTTATCAGACGAAATTGAGCCTGTTATTGTACGAATTGGCCAACTTGGTGGGCCGGAGGCATCGCCGGGAATATGGAAGACGTCGGAGCATATTCCGGCATTATTGAAGGCGAGTCATCTCGTTGAAGCCATGCCTCAACTTGAAGGAGTAAGCCAATCACGTCCTTGATTCCAGGTGCTGTTTACTGACATATCATAGGAAATATCTTGGTGGCCAGTCGATCGAGCCAGTCGCTCTTTGATCGACATTCTATTCCAGCACGACAAGGTGCCTTTGGTGCTTCATGTCGAGAACCCTGTGCGGCAAAATGCAGATAGCATCATGAACACACTGGCAGATGCGCTAGGCCTCTCCTGACAGGAAGATGCCCTACCAGGAATGGCTCCGTAAGGTATCAAGTCTGGGTGTGTTCGACTCCCTGGTCGATTTCTTCACCAACGATTTCCAAGACTTAGCTCTTGGGAAGATTCAACTAGATACGAAGAAAGCCATACACTGCTCAAAGACATTGCATGAGTCGCGGGGTGTTGATGACGACTTATTAATAGAATACATCAGGCGGTGGGAGAAACAGGGAATGTTTACAAAAGCTGCGCAATAGCCTTGAGCTAGGCACTCGCCATCACTTATAGATATTCCCACTAATACAATCATTACAATCTCCACTCCGAATACCACTAGCCATTGGTGTTCCAAACCTCTCTCTATATGTTCTACAACTTTGTTATGGCTACCGTGAATAGTGAGAGGTGGCTAAAGTACATGTATGCAGTTCGCACTGGCGTCGTAATAGCCACTCTAGATGTTATTGTGTCTGTATTCAGACAAAAAAGACATACTGGAAATCAACAAGAGGCATGGTTGGGCGTAGCCTTTTGCAAGGCCCAAGTGACATGTACTGTAGGCTGAGCGGTCCTCTTACATAAGCAGAACTAAAGGAAGTCTGGCGCCTTTTTCTTCTTTTTTTTTTCTGCGTCAACTCGCATTGCAGATTTATCTAATCTAAATTCCTTTCCCGGAAACCTCTACCTCAACCTCAAACAACAATATCTGCCTCGCCATCAATTGGCCCGCCGCCGAGAGAATTGCGAAATGCTGCCTGCTGCCTTCAGGGCCGGCGCCCGTCGGCGTGTTTTCCAGGCTCTCTCTCGCGCGCGTGCACCCGCACTGGCCTCGACCCGATGCCTCAACTGCGCCCTCTCAACCACTCACTCCCTAACCACCGCTTCCTCGCCTACCTCAGATAGGACCCGCGAAATTGTGGCTCGGACTATTAGCAGCATTGGCAGTAAGCGTGAGGGGTAGGTCGTCGATGCTACGAGATAACGAGTGTCGGAGGAGATTTGACTAATATATATATACAAAATTCAGCGAACAATACATCAAATTGTTCACCACCGTCTCCTCCTCCCAACAGTTTGCTGTCATCAAGGTAGGGGGTGCCATTCTTCGGGACCACCTAGACGATCTCTGTGGAAGTCTTTCACTGCTCTTCGAGCTCGGATTATGTCCAGTCGTCGTCCATGGGGGCGGGCCGCAGTTGAATCACCTGTTAGAGGCTGAGGGGGTGGTTCCTGAATTCAAAGACGGAATAAGAGTAACCGATGCGAAAACCCTTGGTATTGCGCGAAAGCTCTTTTTGGAAGAGAATCTACGACTTATCGATCGCCTCGACTCCCTCGGCGTTGCGACACGCGCTATACAGGGGGCGTTCGGGGCAACCTACCTCGATAAAGAGAAGTGGCAGTATGTCGGTAAGATCACCGACGTCAGGAAGCAAGCTATCGAGAGTAGTATATCTGCCGGATATATACCCATCCTTACTTCAATGGCTGAAGGGGATGATGGTTGCCTCTTGAATGTTAATGCAGATGTTGCGGCTGCTGAACTTGCCCGTACTCTCAAGCCCCTTAAAGTTGTCTATCTATCCGAAAAAGGAGGCCTTTTTAATGGCGATGGCAAGAAGATCTCTCAGATTAATCTTGACGAAGAGTTTGACTATCTGATGGCCCAACCCTGGTGCCGCTATGGTACTCGCCTTAAGATTAAGGAGATTAAGGAGCTTCTTGATGACCTTCCCCGCAACTCTAGTGTGGCGATTATCCACCCAAACGATCTTCAAAAAGAGCTTTTTACTGATTCTGGTGCCGGTACGCTAATTCGCCGCGGTAATAAGATCCAAAAAGTTACCTCAATTAGCGAATTCAATAACATCGAGAAGCTAAAGACTACCTTAATCAGTAACTACAAGGGCCTTGATGCTGAAGCTGTTGTTAATCGATTTATCGATACACTAAAGGAGAAGAAATTTACTGCTTATTATGATGATGATATGCAGTGTCTGGCTATAATAATACCTCAGGGTGAGAGTCAAGCTATAGCCACACTTGCCGTTCTAACTACAACTAAGTCTGGCTGGCTTAATAATATTACGGAAAATATCTTTACTGTTATCAAGAAAGACTACCCTATGCTAGTTTGGACTGTCAACCAGGAAGATGAGAACTTGACCTGGTTTTTCGAAAAGGCTGACGGGAGCTTTCTGAAAAATGGCAGTGTCCTCTTTTACTATGGTTGTGACTTACACTCCGAGGCTCTTGTCCCCATATATGAGGACTTTGTGTCCAGTGGACGAGCCATGCTCGGCAGCGCTAACTTCGAAAGGCTCCTTCGTTAGGCTGATCAGACTTCTATCTTGTCGGTTAAAGGTACAGGTCCCTAGCTAAAAAAGATAGATGCCCGAGAGGGGGGTAAGTAGTGCAAGGTCTGGGAGGTTGGTGGATAGAAAGGACACACTTAAGTCTCGTTAATTAAATGCTCAAGCATGGCTTTACGTTTTATTCTTTTGGGCTTTCATCTAAATCAAGGGAATTGCTTGCTCTCACTTTATTCGAGGACGTCGTGTGTGGCCCTCGCCGCCTTGTCCATCTGACTTACAAAATGTGTTCGAAACTACCAGTTGGGCTCTGACCCGTACAGAGATTGACCTTTTGACTTTCCGTACTATCTGATCGTGCGACTTCGCGTCTCCTCCTTTGACTACACTACCATTGCTGCGCTTAGATTTGGTGTACTCTTTCGTCTTCAACAAACTGGCGTCTCTCAGAGTTCAGGGCGTGCGTGCCCTGTCCATCTCGGCCCGCTCGTATAGTCAGGAGCTACGTGGCAGCGCTATCAACACCAATATCAACCCTTCTGTGGACATGAGGGACGCATCCGATAAGTTTTCTGCGAGGGCAAGCATCACCAGATCTCAGCAACACACTATTCAAATCCCAGCGAATCTCTCAAATCTCAACCTCTATGTTGATTTCAGGTGTATCCCCTTTTCAGATATCAGTAGCCAGAAGCTTCACGGCTGCTAAGAGTACGATTATATATGAGGGTCTGCTGTTGGGAATTATCTTCAAATTGGCATCTTCAAACCCCTTTTCAAGGGGAATTGTGTACAATGTTTAGAAGCAGTTTGGGAGCTCTAGCGTTGTTATCGATCTTTTTGCCGGTTACTGAGATAACTAAAATACCCAATTAGCGAGTACTTAATATAACGAGTACTTTATTCTCCATGAGACTTGGAAAGGACGAAGCCTTTCTCTTGACATGACGGCGCTGAGTATAGAATTAATTGGTTGAGGTCGTGTTGACTTGCAATTGTTTGATATCCTCATCCGGTGGAAGGTGGGTCAACAAGTCATTATTGCGTTCTGTTGCGATTAAATATTCAAGGTGGAGAATACACTCAAGGAATTCTTTAGCGTAGAGTCCTGATACAATGGAATTCATCCCCGTGCTCATTAACTACAACAGCAAGCGCAAACAAACAAATTCGCCAACAAACACAGGCAGTAGGCAACTTGAAACCACCTGGGAAAAAAACGCCAAAGCAGAGAGCAGAACGGCTGAGAACGGTCTGGAGTGAGAACATACGTCGCTTCAAAAACATTGAACTTGGGCCTGTACGCTGGGTGGATTACGCTTGCTCATATATCGTATTATTGTTAGATAACATCATCCAGTGATCAACATCAGCTGCTAGACACACTTAGGAAGAAACTACATAAGCTTGTCTGGATCAGAATCAGTCACTGTTTTCGGCACTGTTCTGATGCATGTATCTGAAAATAGTAGCTAATACTTTCATTTCCCAGCTCGCCTCCATCCATTTATCCCTTGGTCCTTTCGTCGCCATCGATGGGTATTGCGGTCTTGACAGATTGATTGGTTGCGAGTCGGCAAAGCGTCCAGGGGTACTCCGTAAGGTCAGTACTAAGAGGGAGGAGTAAATCGAACTACAAAAAGAGATGGCTGTATAGTCAGGAGCACCAATCAACGCGGGACCAGGGAGGGACGCTTAGGTTGTGATAGCGGTCATGGTAGCTGTAGTACCTATTCCTCGTCACCGTCTTCCTCGTCACCGTCTTCAACATCAGCAGACTGGGCAGCAGACTGCTGTTTCTTTAGTGCCCTCTGTTGGTCGCGATTCTTCTGCTGCTCCTTATCAACTGCTCTCTGACAAGGTTTGCATCTCTTGAGACCACGTCTCCCCTCCCCGTTGCAGCTCTCGCAGATCGGCTTCACTCTCTCTAGGCACTCCGCGCACCTTGCTTGCCCTGGCACAATCTCTCGATCACAGCCATCCTCGACACAGTCCGTTTCAATGCCGTCTTCTCTCTTCTTTTCTCTCCTTCTCTGTGCCTTATGAGCTCTTAAGCAGGTGGGGCACAGCCGTTTTTCGCTGTAAGAAGGTGCTTTGCATTTTCTGCACTCCCCGAGAGGCACTCCTGTTTCACGACTCTCCTTGGCCTTGTCTGTACTCTGCTTGGAACGCGCCACTTGGTTTTCTTTCTTCCTCTTCTGACGACATTCAGCGCACCTTTTAGACCGGCCCTCTGGTGGTCGGGGGCAATCCTCTTCTTCGCATGTTTTAGCCATACGCGCCTCATCGCGTTTCTTTTGATTCCACTCTCTGGTTCTCTTGTTTCCCCATTCCCGGGCACAATCGGCGCACCTCGTCGACCTCCCCTGCTTTGGCTTTCCACAGTCGCAGTCTGACTGCTCGCTTTCATCAGTGTCCGAGTACTGCTGTCTCTTGTAGGGCTTTAGATGATTGTCATCCTCATCGTCTTGGTCTCTCTTCCTCTTGTTAGCCACCGCGTTGCTGCTCTTAGCCAGCTCATCGCCGCTGTCGACCCTTTCTTCATCGGTTGTACCCAAGATAATCGGGTCTTTGTTGTTAGGCGGGCGGAAACGCAGGCGCTTCATCCGCTCCTTAAAACACTTCACGCATCTCCTTAACCCCCCAAGTTGGTCTTCGTTGCACCCTTCTTCAATACAAGCGAGTTGCACCAGGCCATTGACATGAAGTCTGCATGTGTCGCAGAGCCTGTCATGGCTGATGACTTTTTGTCGACATACCTTGCAACGTTTCCTCTTTCTGCGCCGGCCGTAGCGCCTTAATACGCATCTGTCACATCGGGATTGGCCATAAGCGACGCCTCCGCAATCAACGCACTCACGGGCCTTGCAAAGTTTGCATTTTCTGTCGCGACTTGCGGCTCCACAATTTCCGCAGAGGATGTCTCTCCTCTCGTTCACCATGATAAGCAGCGCCAAGTCAAGTTCTTGTTCGGTGCACGCGCTGCCGGCAGATTTGTTAAGAGTATGTGCCTGATTTCGGCATCGCGACCAAAACCACCCTCCATATTGGATATTGATAGGAATTGCTTTGTATGCCTGTTGAACAATCAGTGTTGCAGCTGGGTTGATGTTTGGCTCAGTGAGAGCTACTCTATTCATTCTCGACCTGGACGCCAACAAGTTGTTTATGCTCATCAGCAAGTCATGTGCTTGCTTGTCCAGGCAAGTCACATATTCGCCTTCTAATTCTTCACGACGCGCCTTGAGGGCCACACGCCAAGCAACTGCCATACTGGTTCGGAAAAATCCGTGTTGGAAGAGGTGATAGCTTACGGCGCGATACAAAGCCGTCTGCGAAGCAAACTCGTATTCCTCCAGCTTATCCTGCAGGAACAACCAGCAAAGTTTCTCCTCGCGAGCAGCCCAGGGACGGCTAATCAGGTAGTCTCCATCGCTACTGTCATTCTGTGGCACTTGGTCGAAGAGCCGGAGAATCGACGTGCTGGCGACTGGCACTTCAACTTTTCCGTGGTGGTACTTCTGCTGTCGGGTGGATAAAATGTCCATCAACATCATTGCATCCACAACAGCATCATGCCATCCGAATACTAGGCCTGAGGGGTAGTACAAGCAAGCAACATATGCTAACTGATAGCCTGGTAGCATTGGCCCAGTTACTTGGAGCCATCGCAGAGGGGACACCCAGTTCTCAGGGGCTGGGAGAATGTCTGCATGGTTGTATCCGGCACGCTTGATGTTATCGCGATAAACAATTTGATCGAAGGGACGGGTGGCCCATTCAGCGATACGCATATCCGGATACTTCATCTTGAGTTCCTTTAACTGGTCAACAAGCCAGTGCATGCTACAGCCACGAGGTTTATTCATAGATGGCGAACCGAAAGCTTTGCGCAATGCAGCCGTTTCCCGCTTGGTCAAAGTCCCGCCGCAAGCCTTGGTAGCAAAATCCCACAGTTCCTTGACCGTTGCACAGCTGTGATGGATATATCCTCCGATAACAAGATTGCGATCCGCATCGATAATCGCCATTTGGATGAGAAGAGGGCCCACAGTCTCGACGTCCGTGGCAAAAGCATCTCGACGGTCACGAAGCCGTTCATAAAACCCGATCTCTTCCTTCGTAATGCCCTGAATTATGTTTCTTTCATCTGCGAACCATCGTGCGGCCTCATCGGGAGTGCTGATGTCGTAATTCATCAGCCGATTCATGTTTTGTTCGACGGCGGCCCTCACTGGTGATCGGATCACACTTCTGTCCACCGCATTGAGGGCATGGCTCCAGCATAGATGGGTTCCCATGGCCAATGGATTGCCGCAATTAAGCGTGTCGCATGCGTCTTGCTCAGCTGTCGGCGCACGCCATCTACCTGAACAGAACATTGAGCGTATCAGCTGACGGATTCCTTGGCAAGTCTCATAGACTGTTCCCAAGATCATCGTCTGTTGAAAGACGCCATTGGCTTTTTTTCTGAGGCCTGAGGATATGATGGTGTTTCTCATATTAATAGTTTTGTTGGAAACACAATTCAAAGTGTCCCATGCGCCAACGCATCTGACACCTTGGCGATAACGGAGTATACCGTCGTACCCAAGGGAAGCTGTTGGGAATTGTTAGATAGATGGCTTCACAATTGAATTTTAACTTACCAAGCTTAAACAGATTGTAGTCGTAAATCACTTCCTCAGCCCTAAAAGTAGCTTGGGTAAGTAACTAGGTAAATATATTAGTTTATAATCCCACATCAATGTCACTACGAGGGATACTTACGTGCTCATAGATTTCGGCAGATCTATATGACGGGTTGTGGCGCGCCCCAACCTGTTGACAATCCTCAATGACAGCCCCGGGCAATGGTAGAGTCGATATTGGAATATTCGCACCGGTACAGATGTCAATGTAGGCGAAATTCGGATCGGTCATGGCTGTCCTCCCCATGACTTCTTTCAAATCTAGGCTCTGGAGAGTTGCGAAGGAACCCGTGACGAGCGCGTGTCGGATATTCAAGTGCACCATCAGGACTGTTCGTCGTGATTGGCGACCTTTCGTTCTCGAGCTGAATAAACATTCCGGGAATGGGCAGCGGTATGCCATTGCCTCATGGGCCTCAAAGCGATGCAGCTTCAAGGCCCAAAGTGTGAAGACGTCTGAGCTGTCTTGGCAATCTTCGTGCAAGCAAGTTTCATTCTGGCCAGCATGGCAAGCTTCAAGGTGAAGCTGCAAGGAGGTTGCCCTCAAAAACCGCTTGGGGCAGTATGGACAAGTCTCCAGATCTTCTTCAGTCGCTAGCAGGACAGGGTCCGCTCTGACCCTAGCCGACTGTAACACTGTAGCAGGACAGCACTTGATGTGCCTCACGCATTCAGACCGACTGCTAAAAGTCCTTTTGCATTCATCAATTGAACAGACGTCTTGCAGTGCCATAACATCTCCGTTTGTCGTTATGGTCGCACATTCGAACAGGTTCGGAGCGTCATCTTCGTCGTCGAAATCGGAATCAGACGAGTCACTCTCATCGTCTGAGTAGCCAGACTCTCTGTCGCCATCGGAGTCTGAGTAGTCAGACTCTCCGTCGGATCTGGAGTGGGAATCGGAGTCCGTGTCCACATTTTGGGCTGAGTTGGTTACATGTTGCCCTGAAGGTTCCAGTGGTTCTTGAGCTGCTTCGGGGCGGCCTTCAACAGAATCACCTGCATTCTCTTGCTTCTGTCTCATACTTCTATAAATTTTCAAAAATCAGCTAGAGTTAAAATCCATGGCGAAGGATTGACTTACCTCGTCGCCACCATCTTTGATTCCTAACGTTCGCTGTTGGTTGTTGGAGATCGGATCTGGAAGCAGGAAATCAGATATTTGAGAGGTTGGAGAAGAGAAATTGGAAATCTCGTGGCAGGGATTAGAGGAAACCTGGCATAGGGCCGGCACCGTGCCTGACAGGTACCGCGGGTGTCAACAGCTGCCGATCAAATGCTACCAGGTGCCAAAGGTGCGTTTGTGCGCTGATGTCCGCCCAAGGCACAGAGCTAGGGCTGTCAGGTAAGTCTGAGATGATTTGAATTCCGACTGGCAACTGAACATTAATAACACAATTGAGCATGGATCACCATTTGCACGGTGTCCGTTTCTATCGTGTCGCAATGGGTGCCATCTACCAAGAACGATGGCAGAAAAATACTCGCTGTTACGAACCAGTAACATATCTCATGCGTTTGTTATTTTGTATGTCCAGTCACTTAAAGAGTTTTACTTAGAAGAATTTTGCGGTCGACGGCAGATGGTAAGCGCCAAGATAATGCACCCGAACCTTTACTATGTCTTAGACATGTATGTGTATTCAAGTAACCTATTTAAATTCCCGACCTTTTAGCAGTTGTTGACGACAACTCACTGACAGGCCCCAAATGGGTCTGTTTGCCCGACTGTTGGCGCATTCATAAACAGGTAGGATACATGTATGCTTGCTGGTATCTAATAAGTCGAATGGATCTAATAGATTTCTAAGATATCGAGAATTGCAACAGTGCGTCGGGAGCTAACTGTATCTGACTTGTCCCTTTGATAATGTAATCTCGTTAAAAAGAACTCTGTTGTTGAAGAATTTTGTGATTGGGCGAGTATGGGTTCCTTTAGCCACTTCTACAACTGCTGATGTTCTGTGAGGCTTGTAAAGGCGTGAGACAGTTGGCGAATTTAATATTACTTTTAGACTGATGGCGTAAGCCTGCAAAGGAATAATGAGATTGCTGCTGTAAACATGATAAGAAGGACGCTCTGGCGATCGTGGATGGATCCCATCTCCCAAACTATATGAAGAGCAGTGGAGATATGCCTGGCAAGAGAGTTAGACTTTGACATTTGCACTCCAGCTGATGCTAGTAAATTTCTCACCGATCCAGACAGAACCTTTGAACAAGTCACAGCCGAAGAGGCTGAGTTTCTTCTTTGCGAGTTTCCAGACTGTTGTTGTATTTATGTCACAGAAACAAAGTGTCTTAATATCACATATAACCTCGTGAGAAGGAAGAACAAGCACATACGACCATAGGTAGAGGAGAATTCGGGGTCCCGTCTGCTCCCCCATAGACAAGCCTCTAACCGGCAGATTAGTAGTTGAGTGGGTGACCATCAGCGAACACCGGCTGTTGTATGTCTTTTTTTTTCCTATTTTATACTGTTTTCGCTCTGTCTCCTGACTTGGGGGATTGTTGAGACGAACCAGCTGGCAGATGGGTTGGGGTCCCTTTGAAGCCATCCACTGGCAATTTTAAAGCAGCTTTCTCAGAGTACCTATGTGGAGGGTCTGGGCTGGGACATTGCCTGCGGCCCGTTACACCAAATCGCCAGACGGGAGAAGAAAAAAAACTGGTCAACTCCGACGACACAAGGAAATTTGAAACGTTTGTTATCCCAAGCTGTCTTGCTGTCCTATCGTCTAGTTTTATGGGTGGTTAGCGAAGAAAAATGATCGTCTTCTAGGGCGTTGGCGGTTAAATGTGGCCCACTATTGGGCCCTTCGTCCATATAGACACATCCTGCTATTTTTATCCGATAACCGCGCGGGATACAGTTTCATTTACATTTGCTGCACACCCATCTCTAGAAGGATGATGGGTTGTATGTAGGATTTCTGCCACTCCTTTTGGCAAAAGGGTCGCTACACTGGCTCCCGGGAGGTGTGCAGCAAAAGGCATTCCAGCCTGATCATTCGACACACAGCATAACTCCCAAGGCAGCTACGGCGGAGAGGGTCTGAGTCCAATGTGCTGCCAAGTCAAGCTGCATGGGGTTATAAGAATGAGCAGTGTTCAATGTCATCTAGTTTCTCTATAGTCTAAATACATTCACTCAACTGTTGCTCCCACAGTCATCATCATTGCTGCCCGTAACCTTGTTTCAAACATATTCATCGGAGAATAATTCGACTTGTGCATAAGGTGATGCTGGGTCATTTTATATTCCAAATCTATCACAACTTGCGACTCCATCAATTCCGTCCGACATGTCCATTGCGGCACAATGGAGCCTAGATGGCACAGTGGATTCGGCCCTCTCGGTTTCTCGAGGCCTCATTCGTGCAGCAACCAGCGACAATATCCAGCCTCTGGCTCTGCTGGCTTGTGAAAAGTTTGGTGGCACAATTGCCATGTGCCACGAGACATGCCGCAAAATTGAAACCTCTGTTCTCCCAACCGAGAAGCCAGCAACGATTCAATTCCTTCAAGGCATCGTTGGTTACTCTCGCAACGATTGTGCTCTCCACCTAGGAACTACTACATCCGGCCTACAATTCCTTGGCCTCGCAGCAGCCCTTGTAACAACCATGGGCACATTCGAATCAGCGACTTCACTCTCACTCATGTTGAGAAATGCCGCCGCCGACAAGTCTTTGCTTCCAACGACCAAACAACTAAGGGACTTGTTGTCAGCGTTGGATGCAAGGTTGTCACGCTCTAGGTATCCCGATCAAGTCCTAGGTTGGCGGAAGTATCTATATCAACACCCAGATGCACCGGATGCTAGCAAGAAAGTCCTTCGGCGTGCCTCAACCCATCCTTCTACCGAAGCAATTGAAAATTTAGTCGATGCTTTCCGGCGACTTCATCGTATAGGCGAGTCTACTGTTTCAAAGATAACTGTCCATGCCACATCCTCGGCGCCGTGGGTTATCTCATTTACCAGGTGGTGCCTGGGTGCACCTCCATCGATTTATTTGGGAGATGGGACGCCACTACTTGAACAAGCCGAGTTGAAAGTTGATATTATCGTCAACACTGAATATACAGGACACGATCAGAGCTTTCTGGTAACAATCCATCATAACATCGGAGACCCGGAGACACTCATTGCGGCGGGAAATGGCAAACGATGGGGAGGTATGACGACAATCGAGAACTATGGCCAATGGATCCTTAATGAGTACAGTCTCGATCAAGTGGAAGCCTTCCGTGCTCTCCAACAATGTCTTCCATACGCAGCAAAGGAATTTTTAGACAAGGGCCGATTCACCTCTAGGAAGGCTCACCCACAGGTCATCACTAAAAACTCTCGTTCTCGAGATTCGAAAGTGATAGAGGAGCTTCACACTGTGCCTTTCGGTACTGATAGCTCCGTCGCAGATATTCTATCCCGCATGCTAAATGGGGAAAAAAAGGAGACAACGACAAATACAAGCTTAGAGCTAAAGAAACTTGATCCAGGTGTTCGACTGACCGACTTACCTCTGTTAAAATTACATCTGAAGTCGCTGCGAAACGACTGTTCCTGTCAAGCCTGCGCTAGCGGCCCATCATTCCTCTCTTGGAAGGGAAGCTGCCTCAAGGATCAATTCCTTTATAACGCTGCCCTTTTCCTTAGCGATGCCCTCGCCCTATCCCTATTTCACTTGTCGGATAACCTGCTAGTTCTCATTGATAGTCGCAGAGACGACCGTCGCCAAGATTACCACACCTCTGTCTATTCCATCTTTACACACCAGGCTGTCGGTTACAATACCTCAGTTGACCTTGTGGACGCTTGCAAAATTGAGTCTCTCATCGACTGGGCTTTGACGCTGGTAGGGCATGACGTGGGTACGCAATTATCTACTTCGAGCTGGGCCATGTCATGTTTCAAGGGGCAGGCTGTCTACCCCACCATCTTTGACACTTATCGTGTAAAGCAGAGAGGATACCTAGCACTATCCTGGCAGCCTGGAATATTGCAATTCAATGGCGAAAAGTACGAGATTGTCAGCTCGGAGAAGAGGTCATTTCAGCCCCCACCACCATCCGCCGGAAACCTGTTGTCGAAAGAGGTACTCCGGCCCCTTAACTTTTATCCTAATTGCAAATTAAAGTGGAGGGTGGAAGTACGTGATGGTTTTCTCAACTTGGGTATATACCTAGAAGGTTTTTCCGTTGAAATTATCCGCAATCCTCTTGAAGCCATCTGTGGGCTATCGTGCTCTCTGGTCGCCGATAGTTGTAGCCATAACCGGGATGCCAACCTCGGTAATGCAGACAGATTCTGCGCTTACACGTCACCACTAGCTCCCGGAGAGGATCATCGTGACAAGACCAGCGTTGTTGCAGTCGATGGCGCAAATGATCTACGGTTCTATTCCCTCAGTAATGCGGGTACGGACCCCATCCCCGCGGTAGTACGCGTCAACGCCTGTCTAGAGTGTTCTCTTGATGTTTGCAGGAAAGTGGGGAGCGATATTCTCGTATTGTAGATTGTTTCTTTGGGAATTGTTTACTACATTGTGTTCTTGTTTACAGTGATGACACAAGCTCATTAGAGCATAGGAAGGCTCGATCAGCAGAGTGAAGGGAGTAAATAGGTACATGTATCATATGAAATGGAAGGTATCGCGTTGTTCATGATGGCACGAGTGTTGAATGCGTGAGAGAATTCAATCATGGTTGTTCTCAAAAAATTAAACTAGAGATCTTTGTCGTATTACTCCGTCCAAGCGATTGAGAAATTACCGTCCCACGAATGCGCGCAAAGAGCCTCTGTGGGAGGTCTATACTGGCTTTAGGACTACACTGACAAATTCAGGAAGCGAAGTGACTGGCTGGAGTATTGTGCCTCGCGTGATGAAGAACACGTAATAATGTCTGATTGGAGACTGAGAGAATTATTGTATTACTGGCTTAGCAATAAGCCGCTTAATCAATCTTTCTGTAGACTAAATAGGTGAGTTTATTGATGGAGGAGCCTTTGAAATTTTAGAAAGGTATACTGTTTACTGGATATCTCATGAGAAGCAATGAGTCTGTTGAATTAGGCCTAAAAGGAGTCTGGGAACCGAGATGAGGAACTCCCTCACTAGCTGTATGACAGAGTCATGAACTCATTGAACAATTCTGCGGAGCGGAAATGACTTCTCCGCAGGCCAGGAGCCTGATAAATCAAGCCACCTAGCCAAGTCATTGCAACTGAGAAATGATCAACGAATTCACAGCAGAGAATAAAAGGTGAACACTTCGTAAACGGTCATCAGCTTTGGCTAGATCGGAACACCATGCCTTTTTTTGCCTTTTTCGGAAGCTGTACTATTTTAACCGACCTAGCTAAAGCTCCCGAGCCCATTCCTCCTAGATGCCAGGATAATTTAGAGATTAATCTCACTTAATAAAATAGAACAATTGCTTTAGGAGGTAGCCTAAGTATTCCCATGCTATAGTTTTCTTATATTTAACCTAGTTACATCTGAAACCTAGCTCGTCTGACCGCTATACAGACCACGGCGCAAGAACGTGTCAGGGAATCCTTTGATACGCTGCTGTGGCTGCGTTCACCTTGGAAAGAAGGCGCAGACACAGCTAGCGATGATTTTGAGGCGAATAACTAGAGAAAGGACAGTTCATTTCGAAAAATGAGGGCTCAGCAGATGCAGAAGACAATCGCCTTCATATCAAGGATGATCAATTATATTACGCTTTGGAGCGAGTAGGCTAGACGCTGAATGAGAACGTATATGCTCTCAGGACTGTCTCCTTGACATTTATCAGGAGCAAAATCACCATTAACCAGACAAAGGCAAAGGGTCCTTTCCAAAAAAAGGCGGAGGATTTCTTCACGCCACCCCTTAACCTCGAGGTGGCAATCCAAGACAAAAACAGAATGAGCACTGAAGAGTGAGTGATGATACGTATCTGACTGTTACATGTGTTGATTAACAAAATTACAATAGCATCAACGATGCACTTTTCAAAAGCATTGATTATATCGAATTCTCCGAATTAGACATCCCAATTGGAGGGAAGCGGCCAAACGGTTTGAAAGGGTCCATTGGTAGTCAAGAATAAGAATGTATAGATATGTAGTGATTACATTCATCACAATGGTCCTCTCGTCTAATGGGAGAGGGAAGCGTCCCGTTCTATAGCCGTGCTATACTAAGCATATTAAAGTAATGTCTCCTTTCTTGAGTTTCCATACATCCACAATCTCACTAGATCCCGAGACCACAAGCTGATTTCCGCGATCACCAAATACATACCACCATAGGTAGGTGAACTTTCGGGTCCCTATCAAGCATCTCTTTTAAGTGTAATGTCTCCTGTATTGCGTGGAAGGTTAGATGAAACAGCAAGGGAGCCTGTGCTAATAGAACGACAGCATGGCATAATATACTCCGCCAACAGCAGTGTTCTAGAAACAAAAAGACCCGGTAGCCACAGAACTGTTTAAAAATTAAGGCGTATAATAAACAGCACTGTAAAAACGGCTTAGTGTGAGTTCAGAAGCCTTTAAAAATAGAACTGTGTAACTGTAACTTTAAAATCCTAGGGTATAAAAATGTAAAGGCATTAATCTATGATAAACTTGATGGGATCCCGTATACTCTAATAGATATGGTCGTATGTGCTTGAACTCAGGGGCGATTCGGTTTAACTGGACAAGTTAACTTGAGGATGTAAAAAAAAAGCAAAAAACATACAACAGCCGGTGTTCGCCAGTGGTCACCCACCTGACTACTAATCTGCCGGTTAGAGGCTTGTCTATGGGGGAGCAGACGGGACCCCGAATTCTCCTCTACCTATGGTCGTATGTGCTTGGTAACCTGTAAAATTAGTTTATAGCAGAATCACAATCAATCGTGCCTTCTGGGTTAAAAGCCTTAGTCAAAAGGATATCATACGACGGCAGGAGTTCGGTAATGGTCTGGTTATGGTCTAACTACATGTACTACCTAGTCAGTCGTGTATAAAGGAACATATGAGTTGTTGCACTTCTGTGGCCCCTTATCCGGGATGCTATTATGCTGCCTCTACTTCGTATCTGATACACCAACTTTCGAGCACCACTTCACAGGCTAGGTACGAAGTTCGCTTGTGAACTAACTTCGCAGAACTTTGAATGTACATCTTTGCGCAATAACAAGAGCAATGACTGCAATATTCAATAGGCAATAGCGGCTAGTAAAGGGAAGATTGAGATGATGGAAACCAGTGCAGAAATATTTACGATAAACTATGCGGTGTTTCAAGCTCACAAAGGAGGACATATATGCCAAGATAAACAACATAACATGAGTAATAAGTGAACTTGATAATTCTAGGCCATGAAATAGTCTCGTATCATGAGAAATTCTAATTATGCTATTTGGGTACTTAAATAGCTACCACGATCAAGTTTCATCTCCAGAAACTTGTCCTCGATCTGTCATCTCTACTCGGTGGCGCCTTTAAATCGACAGGTTAGCACGCCAAAATTGAACGTTTGTATGATCATATATACGCAACTCTACATGTATATCAACTCTTCATCATTTCATTACAAGCCATGGAACATCTGTTATTATAGACGAGGGCCTGGCGCTTGATGAAGCAACGATTCTGCCTCTTCATATTTGCACTGACCCCGCAGCACTAATATTAGATTATGAAGGCTCTTCAGTGTTTTTGGATGCTCCTCTCCTAGCAGCCTTGTCCTTCCCCATAGCGCTCGCCGAGATAATGCTTCCGCCTCCTGATATTTTCGCTGAGACCGTAACACTACTGCCAAGTTACTTACTGCCGTCAACGTGTCTGGATGATCCTTTCCCAAGGTTTTCTCTCCTTCTTCTAATACTAGTCGAAGTAAAGCTTCTGCCTCACTATTCTTATGCTGGCCTCGCAGAACGACTGCAAGATTGCTCATAGTTAGTAATGTATAGATGTGCGTCTTTCCTAGAAGCTTGCTCTTCCCATCTAGCGCTCGTCGAAATAGCGCCTCGGCCTCAGTGTAGTTGCTCTGGTCTCGCAGCACCAATGCCAAATTGTTCATACTCCCTAGCGTTTCTGGATGGTCTTCCCCTAACGTCTTTATCCTCCCATTTAGAGCTCGTCGATGTAAAGCTTCTGCCTCTTTATATCTACCTTGATACCGTAGTACCCTTGCCATATTATTTACGCTCGATAGGGTATCTGAGTGGGTTTCCCCGAGAACTCTTTCCCTTCCACGTAACGCCTCTTGAAATAACTCCTTTGCCTCTTTGTGCTTGCCTTGATCTAAGAGTGACACTGCTAAGTAGTTTATACTTGCCAATGTGTCTGGATTCTCTGCCCCTAGAACTTCTTTCCTCCCACATAGGGCTTGTCGAAATAAAACTTCTGCTTCTTTATATCTGGCCTGATCCCGAAGCACTAATGCCAGATTATTAAGGCTCATCAGAGTAGATGGATGTTCTTCTCCTAGCACCTTTTCTCTCCCACTTAGGGCTTGTCGATGCGAAGCTTCCGCTTCCTTATAATTCCCCTGGCACCGTAACGCTACCGCCATATCCCCCATAGTAGCAAGTGTTGAAGGGTGCTCCTCGCCTAGTAACATTTTTCTCAACATGAACGATTGACGATGCATAGCCTCGGATTCTCGGTATTTTCCTAGGAGATGAAGGCTACTGCCCACACTAGAGAGAAGATCGCTCTTTACATCCCTATTAACGGTATCCCCTGGGAGATCTAAGGCTGCCTGCGCATGCGGTAGGTACTTCATCCACATGTCTTTATTTGCAAGCTCTGGAAAAGGAAACACTTCAGCAACTCGCTGTATCACATGCGTGACACATTCACCTAGTTTCTTCTCTTTCTCTAACCAACTTCGCATTGCTAGTCGAACCAGCCGGTGGGTGTCGAAAGAGTCCGACTCTTTCCGGTGCGTGATAAACGCGTAGGACTTCAAAGTTCCTATGGCTTCCACGATCTCTAACTGCGAAGCTAGAGGATCTGGTGGGAGCAGAAGCTGTGGGATATCCTTCTCAGCTAGGCAGCACATAGAACTCAGGTATTTCACAGCGAGTAAGTTATGGGACGAGATGTGCTGGAATGAAATGAGCCAAGTCATAGCCACTGGATTTCGACTCTCCTTATATCTATGCCGATCCTCAAAATCCTTACTTAGCAGATAGACCATATCTTTACTGCTTGACTGGCAAAGTTCAAGGTACTCCGAGGATGATATATGCTTCGTCCTCATAAATGCGGATGCCTGCCTGATGGCTAGCGGTAAATAAGTTAGGAGCTCAAGTAGGCTCATTGTACTTTGGATGTCGCATGTTTGATGGGTTTTTAAGCCGCTTTGCAACATCTCGAGGGCCTCATCCCTGGCCATTTCCGCCGTGGCAATGGTGTTCTTCTCATGAATATCTAACCTCACTGCAACCTCATCATTACGCGTCGTAATTAGAATTGAGCCCTTCCGGCTGAATGGGAGATACTCGGAGAGCGGCAAGCTGTCGGCGTTGTCGGCGTTGCCAAAGAATAACTCGATATTGTCCAGATTATCAATGATTAAAAGCCAGTTCCCGATGTTTTCCTGGCTTAGAGCAGCCTTAACTAGCTGCTTAATGTCTGCTCCATCCTCGTCTATCCCTTTGACTTTGAGTTGCCTACCAATCTCTCTGAAAGCGTTCTCAATTCTGACAGTATCTACTGCGGGAATCCAGAAGACTGAACAATCCGGGTACTCATCGCGAAACTGGAACGCCGCTTCTAATGCAATCTGCGTCTTGCCAACCCCCCCAAGGCCCACAATGGCGACCCTTTGGCAGTCGTTTGCCACAGCACTAGGAGGGATCATCTCGAGAAGTTGCCTCAGAATATGTTTACGTCCGACGAATTGTTCATTGCGACCAAAGGGGACGATCCAATGATGCTGAGGGAGAAGTGGTGGCATTTCTTGAATTGAGGTCTTGAAAGTGTTGTCCGTCTGAGTAAAGAGTTCCAAAACGGCCTTGACTGCGGAAGCAGCAGTTGCTGCCGCAAAATCCTGCCATATCTTGTTCTTATGACAGTCTGCATAATCACATACGCCTTTAACGATGATGCAGGGGACCTCTTCCCAAATACCGGCTCCCTCCATCTCGAAAGCGATGATACTCTCTTTCCTGGCAATCCTATCCCGGTCAAACGCTGATTTCATTACTGTGTCGCCCGACGCAAAGGACCCGACGTAGATGGTAGGTTCTTGAGCTTTTTCAGGCTCGTCAAGTTCCAACTGTCTCCTTTTCTTAAGCCTTTCTCTGACTAAAAGGGATCCTTCGTCGCATCCCAACTCTTCACAGGTCGAATTCAGAACCGTATTGCACACCGTGTCGATACCTAGGCTAGAGTCGCGCCCGTGACGATAGCCCGAGTCGAAAAGCTTGTCTTTTGCCGTTCCGGGATACATGTAATTGCTTTTGTATTTCTTTCGAATAGCTTTAGCCTGAAGCTGTTTTAGAAGAGCGGCTGTTCTTCGCCGAAGCCGCTCCCGGTTATGGTTGGTTTCGAACAAGACAAGCAAATTCTGGACATCTTTATTCGGCTTTCCAAGGTTGTCGCTGATATTATCCTTACGCACAAAGCCACCTGGGTATTGCCTGCCAAAGTCATATTGTACGATGGTCTTGCTAATCACCACATCGCCAAGTAGGATCTCGTCGTCGCCAGCTTGAGGTGCACCACCGCAAATTCCAACCAGGAAGGCTACCCGTAGACGGCTATAACTTGAACGTAGGCTGACTGCAGCACTGGCGGCACTAACTTTGCCCATGCGAGCAAGTAGTGCTAGGACGACGTTGTAATTACCTATGCGACCAGTGGTGTACCTGTTGTAGTCTCCAGGTGCTCTTCCATACTTGTCTCCATCTTCATCCCAGAAGTCGTCGAACACAAGCGATACGGCGTCATACTCCAGCGGTAATGCACAGATAATGGCAATCTCGAAGCCTTCTCGGTGTGAGGGTCGCGAGGCCGCCATTGGTAGCGGGCATGGATAGGTCTGCGGAGGAGGTATGTTAAATCAATGAATAGGCACCCATCTAGATAGTGTAAACATATGATTGGAATAGAAACATCTTCTAGAGCAAAAAAGAGACATAACCCATATTTCTCAAAACAGAGAAACAATGTTGGGGATATCGGGGGATGACAACGTCCAAAGACAGTTTCACAGCCAAGTCGCAAGCATAGCCCAACAAACATTTGCCACCCGCCGATTGAAGCCCAAAACCTTTGAGACCCGAGCTGAAATCGCTACGTAGTAGTAGTTGTGGGGAATGTACGCTAGCAAGGCTGGCAAGCTCCTAGCTCCCTCAGCCACGTCATCCTTATTGTTTGTTTGTTTTATTATAGACGGCGGGTCGGAGCTGGCTAATACTAGGCAGTGTACTCTGCATGCAGGAGGCTTCGGCACTCGTGACACGTAGCTGACAAACACGTCATCTCCCGCCTACCATGCGAAATGACAGGTTATTGTGAATGCCTGTTCATGTCTCACATTGGTTCATGTGATGAGATTCCATAGGGTCTCATCGATAGCCGCTAATACATCTAGCCAAAAATACCAACCAGGCATCAAAATTCCAGACACGATAACTCAGAACTCACTCATCCACTTATATGATGGTATGAAATCCGGTATAATGTATCCATTTTTAGCAATATAAATAGTCCGGATAGCCTGTACTCCTTGTAAATCTGTAAGTTGGAGAAGCACCATCCTGAAGCTGCCGGGGCCTACATAGTAAGGTACATCTGAAAACAGTTAAACTATACCTAAGCTAATATTGTAAAAGTTATTCCCTGCTACTTTCGAGTCAACGCCAAGCATATGTAAATTCTGAAACTGGTCCGGCAAGCAGAAATCGATGTCAAGCATCATCAGCGGGGATATGCCTTGGGGTATGGCTGAAATAGGAGCACCGCAGTCGGTGATATGTGGGGGTGGAAGAGTCGACGAGGATTTTGATGATATTGAAGATATTGAAGATGTTGAAGATGCATCCACGGCGCAACCAGTTCAAAGGGATTTGGAGGATCCTCAAGCCGAAATTTACAGAATAAGTGAGGCTTTTCGTCAAGAATTCGAGCAACAACCTGCGAGCTCACTTGGCGGAGGTGTTGTTTCGCCTAAGGTCGATAAAAAAAATGCCGATGGATCGAGGCCCTCGGAAAATATCACGAAAATTGCCGGGGAGCATTTCGTAAAGCAGCCACCACGTTTGTCTTCATCATCTGTCCGGAGCCGTCTCTGAGTTACTGTCTATACCTACGCAGAAGAGGAGGCTGGAATAGACCAAAATCGTCCATCTCTGGAAGTCACTCACCTATAGACAACAGTCCGTCAGCAGTCGCCCGGATTAAGTGTGGACTGAGCGACCTGGTGTAAGTTAACATAAGTTAACCGTTGACTTTAGTTACAGTAGAAACCGAAATAAGTGTCCGGTTTTCATTATAACGAAAGTCTGGCCCCTAATAGAGGGACGGGTCCGTACACGGATGGGGCAGAAGAGGGTGTGCTAGGCATAGAAGATGCTTCAGACGACATAGCGATGATATAATAGTAAATATAATAGATAGAGCGGATGGAAAGTCTGCGGGTAATTGTATTAGCAATTGTATTATTTGGAAGTCTGGATTTTCGAAACCTCTGAACTAATGATGATGATGAAGACGATGATGCAATTATATACCAGTATTGTGTGTGTGGCCGCTTCTAAATGAAGCGGGGTTGCGATAAGCTGCTATAGCTTAAAGTAGATTAAATTACAAAGCAGACCAATGAGATGTTAGAAACAACTGTATGAGTTGTATGAGTTAACTCATGAGTTAGCGGCGATAACTGAGACTCAACTCATATGAGTTTTATGAGTTAGGGTTATGGCTCAAATCATGAGTTAGGATTTGAGTTAACTCAAATGCCCAGGTATGTGATACAATGACCGTACTGTTATGCGTTAGTAGTGTCCGGGCGTCCTCAGCGGAGATGGTTGCGCTACACTCGAAGTTATCAACCTCCTCGATATAAATGACAACCCCGGATGTGGAGTGGAACGACGTGACTCCGACTTTCGATGAACTCCATGAACCTTCCACCGTAATAATAACTTTGTCGCCTTCAATTCTCACAGTATAGAATACGGTTAAAAACGGCTCCATGCTCCCAAGGAACAGCAATCTATCGCGACCATATATCTTGGGCTTCTGATGCTCGCATCCCTGTTTCTTGAGTTGCTGTGCTACTTGGTGGCGTATAGTCAGGTAGTCAACACAGATCCCGTTCACAAAGCCCTGCTCCAGGTAATTCAAGAGAGTATACGTGAATGCCCCAACCACCTTTCCATTCACGGTAATCTCTGCGGCAGCTTCCTTGTCGTCACAAGCCGCCATCAGCGTGAATACTTCCGGATTGATGAGCCAAGACACCTCAGACTTGGCATCGCGAGTGCAGGACTCGGTGTGGGCTTCATACTCGACGGCGAGTTCATCAATGAGGAGGTTGGGAACTGCCGACCAACCCGGTGTCCTTAACTCGGTCCAATCGCTCTCCATGACCTGAGAAATGGAAAAAGAATATGTCTCTTGCACTCGCCTGGTCATATATGGCATCAAATTGTCGTTTTATGTTTGCATATGTTGGAAGGGCCTCTGACGACTCCTTTTCCAGTGTAGGAGATGTGAACACAACAGGGTTTTTGAATTCGTACTTGGAGTCAAGAAATGCTTTGAGAGCCTTGACATCATTGACGCACCCATGAAGATTCTTGATACTTAATTTCCTCGACTTGTCGTTGAGATCGCTGGTAGTGCGGAGTGTTACCTTGTATGCCTCCTCAAGTGACACTATGGCAGTACCATGTAAAAATCCTGAACAAACTTCCGCAGGGTAACGGTTGTGGTAACCCTACCTGAAATACCACGAGTCAATTCCTGTTAAAGGGAGGGACTAGCACATCTTACATCTTGTCGTAATAAACCTTGGATTGTCCTGTGCTCGCGGTGGGCATATGCGATTCATCTATTAAGCGCAGGAGATCATTGCACAGCGTCTCGACTTCCTGCAGAATCTTGCGGCGATATTCCATGGTGGCAGTTGCATGCGCCTCTGTCTGTGACTCAAGCCCTTCGATTTCGGAGATCTTTTGCATGCTGACACGCAAATCCTAAAAGCCGTTGACAAATTTCAGCTCATGACATATACCCTTGAATGCGCGAAGGACATACCATCTAGCAAAGGGAAGGCTGGGGATATTTCCCAACGTTGCTTCTTTATGTACGGTTTTGGTTCCTCCGTGTCGGTCTCAATGTCCATAATTCGTGAAATCGTGTTTCTCGGCTCCAGGTAGGCTGTGATTCATAGAAACCGTGCATTTAACCTATTTCCGCAACTTGGTGCACAATTCGAGTGGCGAATGGCCAAGAACATCCGTACATTTGTGGTTAATGCCATTAGTGGCGACAAGTGTCTGGGCTACAGCTCGTAACCCTCCTGCTGCTGCCCACCAGAGTTGGTGTACGACCGTGTATACCCTCAGAATGAAGATCAACACCATCTGTTGCGAGGAGTAGTCAGACTACAGCCTCATAGCCGCGAGCCGCTGCAATTGACAGCGGCGTCCGGTTGCACGAATCACTTGAATTGGGATCGATTCCATCCACATCGAGGAGGAGCTGGACTATCGCTTCATGTCCTCCTGCTGCCGCCCACCAAAGCGGAGTCCGGTGATGAATATCTTCGGAGGTGGTATCAACGGCCTCCACAGCAAGAAGAAGTCGGACTTGCTTCATGCCCTCCTGCTGCAGTCGCGTTGCGGCTGTGGAAGACAGCATCATGTAATATGATTGGACTAAATGTGCTGAGTAACCAAACCGATCGTACTACTGTTCAGAAATTCGACTGCACCCCAGGTTTGGTGGGGTAATTAAATCGAGTGTACTGCAATTGTAATATGCAAAAACCATACTGTACAATACGTTGCTGTCTTGCTCGTGTTATCGAGTCCACCAGCCGCCTCAATCGCCTGCGACCGCCAAATATTCATTCATCCGAGGGAGAAAGTGGTTGCCAAGTGAAGTTTGTTTAGGATGAACACAGCAACCCAGGGCGCGATGAAGGATGTACACTTGAATCAATGTACCTAGCCACGGCGCCCAGCCGGACCCGGCAATTCATGTCTCCTGCCACTCAAAGTTTAGATGCAAGTTGAAACGAAAAATAGTTGCTCGCAGACTTTCATAGTTGGAGCTGACAGTGCGCTGCTCGTCTCCTTAAATTCTTGACTCTGTTCAAAGGGGACCACTGGATATGACTATGTGCCGCCGCTCACACATGAGGCTCTCGTTCGAGAATAGGGCGGAACAAGATAATACACCATCCCGTGGATGGCCGACGCACTCAATGGCGCGACCCAATAGATCCAATGGTAAGGAGCGAAATGTGAGCCAACCATTGCCCCGAAGCACCGCGCAGGGTTTCCAGCTTAAGAAATTAGAGTCGCACGAGCCTAGCAGGTTATGATTGAAACTCACAGAATCCAGTATACCCAACACGACTAAATCCAGTCACAAAAGTGCACATTCCCAAAACGAGACCGACAAAGATAGGGCCCAAAGCTGGCCCGAATACGGAGCGTTGTCGAGGGTCAAGACCAACACCGAACGACAAAAAGATCAGAGCGAAATCTGTGATGAATTCTATAGCGAATGCACTGCCCGTCGAGACTATTGTGGAATCAAAATAGCAACCTGGTACGCTGAACTGCATGGGGTGCGTTAGTACTCCTCTGTGACCGAAAGCGGGAACAGGATGCCGTACAGATCTTGTGTCGAAACTCGCTCTCAAGAGCAAGCCTGCCATAGCCCCTCCAAACGTCTGGAATCCGACGTACAGAATGCATCGCGGCAGCGTTGCTAGACGGGCAAAGAATGTGGCAAAAGTAATCGCCGGGTTGAGGTGGGCTCCAGAAACCGGTCCAGTAGCGAAAATGAACAAAGGAAGGATCAGGATAGCCGTTAGCCCGCCAAGGAGGCTAGGAACAAGCGCACCAGACGCGAAAACACTTGAGATGTTTAGCTCGGAGTCAAAAGCGAAACGCAGAAGAATATATATACTTCACCATCTGCCCCAGGCCCACGGCGACGAAGCAGGTCAAGTATACAAGCAAGCACGTCCCTAGTACTGTAAATATTCGTGCCACTTCGGTACGAAAAGGCTCACGGACCTATAGCTTCGACAACAGCGGCCTTCCACAGCACTGCCTCTAGGAGCGGTCGCAAAGACAGGGAATCTCGTAAGGGGATCCACGGAGCAGCATCCGGAAACTTCTGCAACAATTCTATTTGCGTACAATTGTTTTTTTCCAATGAGAACTCTTGATTGGCACCAATGCGACCAGCGAATGGGATGACGTTGGTTGGCGAAGGTAATGCCTCAGCGTCATGCCTGCTCGTCCAGAAATTAGCGTGGGGAAGCAGAGGCGCCATCACCGACTTAATATTGGGAAAGCAGGGAGGTCGCAGCCCTGAGATAGGAATGGGCTGCTTGGGGCTTTATAGATTTCAATCTAATGCATTCAACATGGAAAAGAAACTGTTTGGAGATGGTTCATGATGTAGAATATGTCGAGCGATGTGCCTTTTTTGGGGGGCTCACTTTTGGGAATTTGCACTCGACCAAATGGCGAGGCAAGTCAAGATTACTTAATACGTGAAAAACACCACCCCACTTAATAAACTCACGCTAACGTGCCGGAAACAACCTTAGCAGTGTAGTTTTGTCTCTGCAAGCTTTACGTCATTGGCGTCTTCTTTTTAATACTAACTGCACTTTCTCGGGAATGCGAGCCAGCCCGTGTTAATGCCACAAGAGGTTGCCACCATGACAGGAGCATATATTGCGCTCTAATCCCCGCCTCAGCGTACGATAGGAAAGCATTATATATGTTACAAAGCCCTGTTTCCGCACCATCAATATGCCTTTTACATACAAACGCCTTGACAAAGACGACTGCGTCTTCCTCTTTGTTGATCACCAGGTATATTACACTGTCAATTTCATTGTCACTCCCTTACACTAATACAACTCCATATATAGGCTGGGCTAGTTCAGCTGGTCGGCGATTTCAATCCCCACGAGTTTCGCACAAATGTCCTTGCTTTAGCCAAGGTGGCAAGCTACTACGGAGCCCCGGCAGTGTTGACCACCTCTTTCGAATCTGGACCCAATGGCCCCCTTGTAAAGGAAATTCGGGATGAGCTCCCCAATGCGACTTTCATTGCTCGCCCCGGGCAAATTAATGCCATGGACAATGAAGACTTTGTCAACGCTGTCAAAGCAACTGGCAAAAAGCAGATCGTTATCAGGTAATGAAGAATCTTTTTGAGGCAAACCCCTGCAGTCGGTGGCGTCGTTGCTAACAGTCACTAGTGGGGTGTTGACTGAAATATGCGTTGCCTTTCCTGCGCTCAGTTTGGTGGAACAAGGGTACGATGTCTTCGTGGTCACCGATGCGTCCGGCACTTTTGCAGAACATACGAGGGAGGCTGCTCACAAGCGGATGTCTCAAGCGGGCTGCCAGCTCCTCAACTGGGCGGCTGTGGCCGCTGAGCTTCACAGAGATTGGCGTAATGATATCGAAGGCTTCGGTGGAATTTGGCGTGACTTTATCCCGAGCTACTGGTGCCTGATGCAAAGCTATACGGCGTCTCAGAACGCCAAGTAAATCTGCCCATTTGAGGCTCCAGCGATGTGCTACTTAGGGTATTCTTACCAGGATCTACTAAATTTGAGTGAGCGTCTCTGTGACAGGACAATGCTAAGGTAAAATGGCTTGGAGGAAAAAGAGGCGCCACGCAGGTTGAAGCTGGTCTAGCAATGGTCGCAAAAGTGAGGAGGTCTCGGGCTAACGAATTGGGTTCCCTTGAATTGCAGCATTGGCTAGTTTAACTCTGGGCAAAATGGACCAACCAGTCGATAGCTGGCTCGGGTAGGCTCGTAGTTGCAGCCGCAGTCGCGTTGCTATGGATCGAGCGGGATTTGGGATATGTACAAGAGAGCGACTGGGTGACAGCTGAATGGTGGCTGGCCGCTAGGACGAAGGCTTTGCGCAGTGATGGCGTGTTGCTGTTTGACGGCCGTTTTGTGTATCAGTGGATTTGTTTTGCTAATAGCTCGGCGCTTGACTTTGACGCCACCGATGATGAAATGCTGAGATGGTTTGCAGTCGGACGGCGATGATGACGACGCACTAATTAATACGTCGCCGGTTACCGTCTGTGGCACCATTTAGAAACCGCAACCCCAGTATGTTAGGCAGGCAAGACAGACAGCAGAGATCACAGCTAGGCACCCCGATACATTAACCCGGGATCTGCGGCGAGCCCTTGCAGAGGTCATTGCAGGCAGATGGGCATAAATATGCTTGCAGCACTACCACTTTGAGGCTTTCGTGTTCCCATGAAACCGATCCCGAGCCCGGGGAGGGTAGAAGGGGGCCTTCGGCAATTAGGGGTTAAGTTAGCTGGATAAACTCACGAAAGAAAGGCCATTGAGCTTGATTTCTTCTAGGAAAATCTCTTGAATCGTTTGCTTTGGGGTATTAAAATGCGGGCTAGGTCGGTAGCTGCGCACTCAATGCCAAAGAGCTCCAATCTCTGTAGCTCCGGTATCTTTAAGTTTGAGCATATATAAGGAAATCGATTGTTATCTTGGGGAAAGAAATGTAGCTCAAGGTTCGATAAAGCTGGGAATAGATTAGTGAATTAAACCACGGTTGCATCCCAGTTCTCGCTTTCATGAATTAAATCTTAAGGAGTTAGAGTTATAGAAAGAAGAGTAAACAGCTACGTGACTAAGAAGCCTATCTCTGCCAACATAAGCCCGACTAGGTTTGTCACTTGGGAAATACTCTATACCTTGGTGTAAATCAGGACGTCACAGAGAGAAGCCGATTTCTCAAAACAGCGTATTGAAATAAAAAGTACAGTACTTCATATAACGTGGCTCTCGCCTAAATAAGGGAATATTTATCTATTCTAATCAGGCAGGTTGCGCCGCCACAATTAGATTGGGTCTGTATGAATCTACAAATACAAGAGCCAGGTGTAATTGTGGGTAGAGGAATAAACGATTATGACCATCCTAAGCGCGGGGTTTGTTAACCGCCAAAAACGGAATCCTAAGACTCCAATTTTGGAGTCTTAAAGATGCCAAAAATAGAAGACATTGCAGTCAAGAGAAGATCTTGACGGGACCCCGAATTCTCCACTACCTATGGTCGTATGTGCTTAATGTATGGTGTATTGAGTATTATGAATAGATGAGATTTGGAATGGATAGTCAGCCCGCGCTGGTTTTCCTATTAGTACCTACTACTAGGTAGTTATGCAAGAGTACAAGTAAGTACATGTACTAAGTCAACAGAGCTGGTGGCCAAGATGTATTTAAATCCAGCTATTAATTCAAGGTATAATTCTCTTATAATATGCTGCTTTAGCTATCATACTCCATTCTTTCTCCCAGAATTATAAAAGACCTTTCATCTACCTTATTGGAAATCTAACCCCAGAACATCCAGTCGCCTTTCATGTAATTACTCAATATTACAGGTTAAATCAAGCCCTTCACTAGCCTTCCTAATTGCCCAGCTTCCATAACGCGTGACGGATACAGTACTCTCCAACATTTTAACTGAGGGTAGCTGAGATCTTGCCAAATAGCATCAAACGATTGACCTAGCTTGCTATGACGAATGCCTCAAGTTCTTCAAGCTGTAATTCGGTCAATTTTTCTTAGCCGGCCGGGACGCCTAACCGGGGTTTCATTATGCATAATAGCGTATTGAACTTGGTTGTGTAACAGATTTAGTTATAAACCGATTGCGTTTTGCGTATAGCCAAGCCAGTACGATACATCAGCTTAACATCGCACCAGTACCTCGAGGCCCCTGTCAGAAACACCCCTGTCGGTACGTAGTGCACCGTTGGCTACTTTGGCCTGACATTAGATGGAGACACCAGCGACAAAAATTGGATCCTGCGTGGGAGCCACCAACTCATTTCTTTGGCCGACCTGGCTTGCCGCGTCCACAGCCACTCATGTGTTGCATCATGACGGAGATTGCATCTGGTAGGTCGTTGTTCACATTGTGGCCACAGTGGCAGAGGAAAGGTGCAACGGCGACGCAGGGCTTCTGGCGTTCCAGTAGATGAGGACAAAGCTTGTCCTTGCGGAAGGTCTCCACACACCGACACCGAATGACCAATAATCCGTGGGCCTTTGCACCTGCAAGATGCCGCTGAAAGGCCTGTTTCTCTGCAAAATCCACCGGGCAAGTCCCGCAGCTTCTAAAGCTCTTGGGTTGCCAAAAGAAGCAATTGATGGTATGTTATAATGTAAAGAGAGTCCGGCTATTAAAAAAAGTATAGCAGGCCAAGATCAACTAGAAAAGCTTTTTTCTAATGACGAACGTAGATAATACTAACAAAAGCGGCTTTATGTAGCCAGTTACTTAGTGGACGTTAATAATAAAATAAATAAACAAATAAACAAGTCACTTGTTTAAATCTACTAGATCATAGTTACCATTTCCCAATTGCGCTGGGGCAGAATATTCCACAGCTTGAGGAAAATTACAGTAGCCATATACGATGCCCTCACTCTCAATCCTCCTTGCCTGAAAACTGGCCAACAGTATAATCTGTATTGCCCACGAAGCTTCCTTGGTTTGGTCATCTGTCCGGAAAACACAGCCACTAGCTCAATTTCTTCTAATTGTTTGTTATCATTGGCATCATTTCGATTTGTTTCAACAATTTCGTAGAACTTGCTGCCGATCTTGATGGAGAATGGGTACGTCTGACTGATCATTTTTAAATTGGAAGGGGTATCGAGCGACCCTTTCGGTTTGAACCCAGACGATAGATCATACTTGACCTTCACCGTTTCCGTGTAGAAGATCAAAGCACTTTGTCGAAGTGATAAATTTGCGTGTAATTCTGGGGGAATATCATTTTCCTTCACTTCTGTCTCGAATTCAATGTTGGCATCCGTTGGATCCCGGTCCGTTGTTAACAAGTCTACAAGAGACTTGGGCTTACTCATCCAGTGTGCTCCATCCTCAACCACCAGGAGGGTATTGGATGAATCAAACACAAAGAATGAGGGACTGTGGGCGTCTGGCTCATCCCCAAAGAAGTCAATAAGCTGTTGACCTTCGGTCCACCCCATCCATGACCAACTTGGGAAAGGAACATGCGCAATAGATCCATCTGTCAGTCTCATTGGATGAGTCCCCTCTCGTTTTCGCCTATCTGTCATAAATCCCCACTCCCACATCAGAAACGATCCAAAGGCGCCGTGAGGTAGCCCCCAGGAGAATCTATGACCACCCCATTTTTTATCCAAGTAATTTTGAGTCCCCAAATATGCACGACCAATATCGGCTTCAAAAGTAAGCCTTCGAGTTGAAAACGTGATGGCGATATTCTTATATTCCAGCGGACTGAATTCGTCGTCCAAGCGTATTCTCCTTTCATATTCGTCCTTCTTCAATCCAAAGTGCTCCGTTGTGTCCTCGCTCAGGAGACCCTCGCGACAGCTCCAATACACTTGCTCTGGGGTGAAGAAAAGCGCTCTACGGGAGACAAGAGCTTCTTGGAACGTCCAGGCTCGCCTTGCCCATGGCGTACTTGATATCCACTCTGGTTCCTGAAATCTAGTCTGCATTCGAAACTGATTATGGTCGACCGAGTCCACAAGTTGCACTCCCCTCACGCTCAAGACTCGCTGCTCGAGAAAACGGGTATTCGGGCGAACTCCAGGGATGCCGGAATGAGCGTCCGTCCCTGTTGCAGCGACGATTGTCAAGACGCTCTCGCGATAAATGGAGTCCATCTTGTCGATAATTTGGATCTTGTCAAACTCATCATCTTGAAGAATGCAAAAGCTGTCCACCCAGATGTAATCGATCCCTAAGTTTTCACAAACAATTATCGCGTCACTTATCGTGAGAGGCAAGTTATTCTTTCGGAGAGATCCGACTTGGAGAAAATCTGGTAAGATATCGGTGGTTAGGCGTAAGAATGGCCGTGTACCCCAGACATAGCTCAGGGTCGCAAACGGCGGTCTGGCTTGTCCAGAAAACTCTTTGACGCACATGTTTTTCACATCTATCAACCGGATCTTTGGAATACTGAAGTCATCTCCTTGATGCTGACAGATATCATGTTCCCTTTCGCAGATTTGCACCCATGCCTTGATCGTGTCAAAGTTGATGATGAGAGGCCGTAGACGGCCGAATGTTGGCTCCAGACTAGCTATTGTCTCCTTTGCACGATCTTTCCATAAACCACCATGTGGGCCGATATCATCCAGTTTCCGCTCACGCCAGGATCCAGGAGAAGTATACGTTACGGTACAGTCACCGTGCTCCTGATCTGATTTGATAGTGACGGGGACACGCCCTCCCGCGTTAAAGCGCTGGAGTGCGATCTCAATTCGTTGTTGTCCACAAATGGCATAAATAGTGAGAAGATTCCTGTAGGAGACACCCCCAAAGCCGAATGACCAGTTGCGAGTCTCTCTCCAGTTGTGGATGGACATGCTCACTTTGGCAGCCATTATCTCGTCCTCGGTGGGTCGGACTGGGTCGCCGCTATTGTACATCCCATACTTTTCTATCCAAGTCGAGTCATGTCGTAGCCGATATTCAACCATATCAGCGGCATCAGCGCAGAATTTGCATTCCCCTGCTTGCAGGCGCAGGTCTTGTAGAGGAATGTCTCTATATTTTTCATAGCGGTCATTGTAAGAATCAGTACCAACGAATTCGAACTTGATTGTGTCACACCAGTGCTCTGGTGTTTCCGTGGATTGAGTGTTTGAAGAAGCCATGATTTTTTTTATTTAAAACAACGAGCATTTACAGGAGATATGCGCTAATCTATAGAATAAATATTATTTAGGTCCTAAAGCGCTGAAGTTCTCGCTTAGGCTGTCCATGTGGTATTTTAGGCAGCTATGTGACGAACCGGGTTCCTATAGTAACATATCATAGGTTAGCTGTTCTGGGGGACAAACCGGCAGTTCAGGTTTATGTTAGCGGTCGGTCAGGTTGGTAAACGGGCAGTCTCGTCACTAGCGAGTAGAGTGGTAGCTGAATCCAATCTGATTGCTATGTTAACATCTGGGTGTAGAGAATGCAAACTTATATACCCAGTTGACTTCGACGACCAACGACCGATTCCGCCGAGCGGCATCTGATTGGTCAGTTAGGCTGACTTTTATCCAGGAGCGCTTACTCTGTAGGCCCATTGTCGCGACCTAGTCTATTATACACTAACAGAAGGGGAAAAAAAAAAAAACCTATACATATACACCAACAGAACTTGGTAGCAGAGCAACAACAGAACACTCTAGATTAAAAAAAATAAAAAACATACAACAGCCGGTGTTCGCTGGTGGTCACCCACCCAACTACTAATCTGCCGGTTAGAGGCTTGTCTATGGGGGAGCAGACGGGACCCCGAATTCTCCTCTACCTATGGTCGTATGTACTTGATATGCTGATGGATCAACTGATAAGGAGCTTGGTGTTGAAGCTGCAAGACCAAAAAGCAAAAACATACAACAGCCGGTATTCGTCACACACCCAACTACTAATTTGCTGGGTTGCTGATGATATAGCCAATTAGGATCCTTATAAAACCGCCTTGTTTCCACTTGAAATTAGTGCTTACCGGCCGGAAACTCGGTACATGTATATATGTGTAACAGCCATGTACAGCTCTCAGTCGCTATTAGTGGTGAGAAACAACCACTTGTTCACGCACCTTTCTGAGCTCTGACCGTTTTTATCAAGCCATATTTCTCCAAGACGTTATAATTTTATTTTAAAGATTCAGGTATGGAATCTTCGTCACTAACTGCTACGGATGCCAATAAGCGAGAAGTTGTCAACCTATGCGTTCGACTTCTCGAGACCTTAAAGCTGGCCGGTGCAGCAGGACGAGATCAATTTCTGGCTACTCTTGCCCCATATGGAACTGCGTGCCACGCTCGAGCTATGGTAGGGACTTGATTCCTTTCGTAATGACATTGCGAGACTATCTCCCTGAAACTACAATATACTCACAACCGTAAATGCAACAGGTAAACAAGGGCTTTGAACATGAGCAATTCCCGCACGGTTTTGCAAACCGCATGCCGTGGGACTCGATCGAGGCTGGCGAGCTTGAAGAAGGGCTTGATGGCAGGCCTACAGTGTTAATTGACCGCGACCTTGCTATGGTTTGGACGCCCTACTGGTTCACGCGCAATGGTGCTCTCACCCACCTGGGGACTAATTGCTTTACTCTTATTAAAGCGGCCTGGGATGAAAGCTTGCCGCAGAAGGTGGAGTGGAAGATTTGCGGCCTAACTGACACTGCTCGACCTCCAACAGAGGAAGATAAGAAACGGCTTGGGAAAGAGTAGAGAGAATCAGTAATTCAAGCCCATCCAAATGCATGTAATTGTTATAGGCATGGGCTTCCCATTTGAAACACATTTTCCCAGCTCAGATAGTTAAGCCCCATAGTTACAATTCCGAGTTGGAGTCGCAATTACCCGGACCTGGGGTCTGTTGCGTACATATGTACGATAGGTACATGTAAGTTGGGCTGAAGCACCCAGCATCTCATAACAACCGCCATTCAGGGTCTACCTTGACGCCTGTATCTCTAAAGAGAGCCCTCAGCGACTACCAAGGTGCGGGGCTCAAGACCTCCTTTGTGGGTATAAACGCCTTGCAAGTCTCCGACGGAGCGCCGAACAATCCATTCTTCGGCTCGAATCTCCAGATCATCCGTCTCACTGACAGGCTGCCTGTCGATTAGACCACCTTTTAGCCTTCTGAGGACAACACTATCCTCTGGCCGTGAAAAGTACACAAGGCTGTGTCTGCTTAGGCCATCTTGGGGTGGCAACGGAGGAACAACGCGATGTATGTTTGACCGCAGCAGGCCAGCCGTAAACTTGACGAGCGCATCGCCGAGATTCACCACAGCTGAGCCGGGTATGGGCCGAACGTAAACCCAGTCTTCTGTGTCCTGCAGGCGGATCTGCAGCCCAGCTAACCAATTGAACAAAATAGTGAGCGTTCCAAAGTCTGTATGCTCACTCCGGCGTGCAGCTTCTTCCGAGTATGACTGTATTCCGCTTTTATTGAATCGAATGTGATCACCAGACCGCTCGGTTATGCGATGGAGTCTGGCAATCATGCCAGAAGGTACTTGGAGATGCCTCTCGAGATGTACAATTAAGAGGTCGATAACCGCTCGGCAACTGTAGACATACTCGCGAAGCAACTCCCAGTGTTGCTTTATCAGATCGGGACACGGCAGCGGCTCACAATTCCCAATAATGTCATCTTTGCGCATCTAAATTGCGGTCAGTGCCATTTTCTAGGACGCTAATAGACTTAAGCATCTTACATTATATAGCTCGTTCCGATCACACGTGCCGTCTTCTCTTATGGAGCCTATCTCGCTGTGACGATAGCCGAAGAAAGGATGCAGCTTTTCACGGGCAAATTGATCCTTTTCTGCGAATGGCAAATCATCAAACTTCTTTTGGAGAGCATGGAGCTCCTCTGCTAGCAAAACAATCTTTTCGCCTAAAGAAGAACCATCCATTTTTAAGTAGAAGAAGCCCAACTCTTTTGACGCTTTGAAAAGATCTTCTGAGGCGGCAACATTATCTGCTTCCAACTCGGCAAGTGAGATGGAGACCAGGGGGGCAGTTACCACGCCGTCGGGGAAGGGCGGGTACAGATGATGCGATGTAGCTGGGGCCATGGTGATGTCGTTTTCGATGGTTGCTGTAAACGGTGCTCTTTGTTGACGAAGATATGGTTGAGTAGATTGTACGATATAAGAAGCTGGAAGTTGCATCCACCAGAATTGAATACTAGCGGGCGCCTGAATTGGTTCCTGCTTACATACCTCGGCATCTCGGTTCCGTTCATACCACTGCGCTGCTCTATAGGCTGATATTCATCGGCGAGAATCAGTCCGATTGTGATCGAGCTATTGACCCCGCTCGGTATATTCTCCATGTCTAAGAGTACAGACGATCTGCCCCAGATCTGTTCTTAGTGTAGAGTCGCACATGTGGTAACTCGGCTAACCCCAATAACGCCCATCGTTGACAACAGCCAGGTCTACGCTTTGGGAATTACAGTCTATACTAACCTATAGTCACTGGTTCGTTACAGTTTATTTTACTGTATATGGTACCTCTTTAAGGATAATCTATTTACCAGGGAGACATGGATTACTTGATCTAATGGCTTACAGCGCCTACTCCAGGGGCTATGCCAGGCCACTAATTAGGTACATGTAGTTAGCATTTACTAAATCCTTATACTGGAGAACCTAATGGCTTTGCCAAGTACTAAAAGCGTAGGTTATGAGAATATTTCCAATGTCGGACTCCTGCTAGTACTGCATGCATTGTGTTTATGTATAAAAACGGTGGCAGTGTTGACTTCAATTGCTTTAATGAGAAGTAGACGACTATACATATGGTGGCGAGCGTCTTAGCGCGGGGGTTGGTTAACCACCAAAAACGGAATTCTATAACTTCAGATTTGGAGTCTTGAGATGTAAAAAATGGAAGACATCACACTTGAGAGAAGTGCTTGACGGGACCCCGAATTCTCCTCTACCTATGGTCGTATGTGCTAATTGATCGCTTCATTCAGCTTATATCGTAGCGTGTCCCAATGACTACAACTACCTCCTTTAGGTATCTATCAGCTTGACTTTGTGAGATCGGGCGTGATCCCTATTTGTCTAATTGATACGGTGATATATATCTGGGAACTTATATTGGCGGGCGCAATCTTTTGTTCTATTGCTGGCCACCAAGTCCACTATGAGCATGTATTGATCTAACATCTAAATCCACATGTATCTGTATGCTAAAGCCTAGATGCATTTAATCCACCAAAAGTAATAGTTTTGGTAGTAACATATTCATCAATCCCATACTTGCTCCCCTCACGCCCAAATCCACTCTGCTTCACCCCGCCAAATCTAATTTTGTGTTAGCCGGCGTTTAATTGACCAATTTGAGCAAGTATACAAGGTGAGCTCTTACGGTGATGCTGCTTCACTTATTCTTCCAGTATTGACGCCAACCATGCCCACCTTTAGAGCTTCTGCAACTCGGAACACTCGAGCCATACTGCTGCTAAAGAAGTAGCCTGCTAATCCTACCTCTGCACAGTTAGCGAGTTTAACAACATCCTGCTCAGCCTCAAAAGAGAACAGCCCAGCCACTGGACCAAATGTTTCTTCAGAAGCTAGCAGCATGTCTTTCGTCATGCCGGTCAAAACAGTGGGTTCATAGAAGTTTGGCCCAAGTTCAATGGATCTTTTACCCCCAATCATTATCGTGGCGCCTTTAGCTACTGCATCGCGGACTTGCTCGTCAACCTTTTCTACTGCGCGTTTGTGAATCAGCGGCCCATGGGTAACACCGTCATGAAACCCATGGCCAAGCTTGAACCTCTTGACTCCGTCGCTGAACCGCTTGGCGAATTTCTCATACTGCCGTGACTGGATGTAAATTCGGTTGGCACAAACGCAAGTCTGACCAGAATTGCGAAACTTGGCGGTGAGAGCTGCATCGACAGCTGCGTCAAGATTTTCGACATCATCAAATATAATGAACGGTGCATTGCCGCCAAGTTCCCAAGACACCTTTTTAATGCTAGAGGCTGCTTGTTCCATGAGGATTTTTCCTATATTTGTTGAACCGGTAAATGAAACCTTGTGCACCTCAGGATTTGTAGTTAACATCTTGCCAATGTGGGCTGTGTTGCTCATTGCTGTCACAATGTTTATGAAGCCGTTTGGAACACCAGCTCTGTGTGCCAACTCCACCAGGGCATTTGCTGTGAACGGTGTTTCCGCTGGGGGCTTTAAGATAACCGTACAACCTGCTGCTAAAGCAGGTGCGATTTTTCTGGTAATCATTGCAGCTGGGAAATTCCAGGGGGTGATCAAAGCGCATACTCCTACAGGCTCTTTTATGGTAATGATCCGATGTTCTGGGATAATAGAAGGAATTGTATCCCCATAGATTCGTGGCGCCTCCTCACTAAACCACTCCAGAAAGCTTGCTGCGTAAGTTACCTCGTCGCGCGCATCAGCTAGTGGTTTTCCATTCTCCCATGTGATAAGAGTGGCGAGATCCTCTGCATTATCCATGATGAGTTGATACCAACGATGCAATATGCGCGCTCGTTGGCGCGCTAACATTTTTCGATTGAGAGAGAAAGCCTCGACGGCAGCCAGTATAGCCTTCTCAACGTCTACAGTTGAGAATTCGGGGCAAGTGCCAATTAAGATACCAGTCGCAGGGTCTATATGGTGAAAACTGGTCAACAAAATACATTGCTGAAGATCACATTACTATGGTAAAAAGACTACTGACCATAAACTTCAAATTCTTCGCCTGACTTCGCCTCTATCCAGTCTCCATTGACGTATGCCCTGTTGATGAACAGCGTACCATCGTTTAACTGGATAATGAAAAATATGAGAGCTATTCCTGGTATATTGTACTTGTCAAAAACGCTGGACTAACCTGTGGAATGATATGACCCATTGTCGTCGTTTATTGCTGTGACTCAACGATACAAGGGTGATGATGAAATGGTATAATGGGCAATTGCTGCAACACTTTTGGATACAATCAAACGGAAATTGAATTGACTCTACAATATAAAATACTTCAATGTTATTACAATCGGCATCATCCGATACTTGTGATCACAGCAAGGATGTTCCTCGTTAAGTCAAAGGTGCTCAACCGTCGGGCCGTCGGGCCGGATCCCCCGAAGCTACGTGTGCCCATTCCGTAGCACTTTGCGTTGGCAGCCCGTTGATGTCATAAGCATAAATTTTAGGGGGAAATTATAACAGCCCGGGAATTGAAGTCTGCATGTATACTATAGGAAGATCCAGTGCATCATCGTCACCTTGTGCCTACTTCAGATCAATATGATAAATAACACTGATATGATTAAACTAGAAGAAAACTAAGGCTACATTTACTGAAGGCGTTCATCTTTGGGCTTTGCAACCCATTGCTTGGTAAACTCTACGATATTCTTTTCAATCTCATTTCCATGTGTGAAGCTTAAAAAATGAACGCCACCCTGCATAACAACCAATTTTGCCTCAGCAGCGTTCGTGAACAATTTAATTTCCTTTTCGGCATTGGCGACACTAAAAACAACATCGTCCGTTCCCTAATGTCTGTCAGCTATCGGAATGAATAGAAATAAGAAACGGATATTTAGAATACCTGCATCCAGAGCACTGGACATCGGAGATGAGGCAAGCGTGCGTATAGTCCGTCTCGGGAGGACAGACAAACAGCAGCCATGCAGATCATTTTCTTTCCGGCATCTCTCGAATAAATTTTCTGGATAGATTTGGCCCATTTTTGTTTCAAATCTTCAGTAACTTTCTCTCCATAGCCAATTTGCATTAAAAAGTCGACATATGCACTGCCGGGTTCGAAATCATCATGGGGCGAAATGTCGGCACTCATTGTAACCAATGAAGCAGTGGCTTGAGGGCCGTCCCAGCACCCCAATTCTCGACTTTCTGGGGATTCAAGGTCCATAGAAGTCCCAATGAGAATAAGGCCGTCAATCTGTTGAATGTACTTAGTATAAGCGGAAAAGAGCATGGCTTAGATACGGTTGACAGACCCTCTGTGGTGAAAGAAGTGCCATTCGCGCCGCTATCCATCCTCCTTGGGACGTGCCGGCCACAAAGGCATGATCAATCTCAAGGATGTCCAGAAGCTGTAGAGTCATAATTGCCGAATCCCAGTATGTATATGTTTCGCTCTTAGTGTGCGTAGCGCCATGACCAAGAGGTTCAACAGCAAGAAGATTAAGCTTTCCAGCTAGCTGCCCACTTTCAAATTCCGGCTGATAGTAGTCGGCAGTTGTGGTGAACGGGTTAATGAGTACCAAAGTTGGAACAGAGGAATCAGTGAAGGATAGTCTATATCCAACATTAATGCCCCCTAAATGAGGAACAAAAGATGTCTGTACGTGTTTTGCCATAGCGAAATAACCTAAGTTGTATAACCCAGTAGATAGACAATAGTTGTTAGTAACGTTAAAGAAACGATGTAAAAAGAGCAGAATGTATTGACACAGGCGTAAAAGAGGAAATAAAACCTATTTGCAATCGTCTGTAAAGATATATATCTGCCTAACCCATACGATACTTTTATCGGAAGCCAAGTATTGAACAGGTTCCCTAACTCCCCGACGGGCCGTCTATCCGAACTTCGGTTTCGCCTGACATATTGACGAGAAAAACAATAAATGCGTCCCAGAGAACCCATGATTAACATGCATACCAGAGCATTGTGTGCTGCTTACTCTTCTCCATTCAATTCTTCTCAAGTGTAACATTACTCACATATAACACTACTGCACAAGATGGTGAGTAAGAAACTGGTGTTTATTTGAAGGGTAGCAAAACTTACTTACAGCGATAGGCCATTCAAAAGTTCCAAGTGGGAATTGTTGGTGCGGGAATCGGCGGCCTGGCAGCTGCTATTGCCCTTCGTCGAGCTGGTGTTGAAGTCACTGTACTAGAAACCGCCGCACAATTAGGAGAAGTACGCATTCTCATGGTCTTGGTAAGAGAAGAGCATAACTGACAGAAAGTTGCCATGATGCAGATTGGTGCTGGCATCCAAATGACCCCCAATGTATCTCTCCTCCTTCAAAGATGGGGAGTTGACGAAGTGATCGGGGACAACCTGGTTCAAATTGAAGAACTTAACATGCGTCGCAAAGATGGCACAAAAGTTGGATATACTAACATCCCCATTCTTGAGAAGACTTTGGGAAGACCCTGGTGGCTTGTCCATCGTGCTCACCTCCATGAGGGATTGGTAGCTGTAGCCGAGCGATTGGGCGCAGTAATCCATATTGACTCTCGTATAGTCGAAATTGACTATGACTCAGAAGATAAAGTAACAGCGAAGACGGCCAAGGGCGTCTCACACAGATTCGATTTGTGTATCGGCGCTGATGGAGTCAATAGCGTTGTTCGCAAAACGCTTTTCCCTGAAGTAAAGCCGGAATGTCCAACCACCAACTGTGCATACAGGGCGATCGTGCCGTACGAACGCATTCGCCAAGACCCAGTTGCGAAGGAAATTGTTGATAAATTGACCATGGAAGTCTGGATGGCGCCAAGTGCTTATGTTATTACATATCCCATCAGCGGCGGCGATGACTTTAACATGGTACTCTCGCATCATCCGCCCGAGAAACTCGAGGTCACTGAGCACGACGTCCCAATTCAGGAATTGCAATTTGAGTATAAAGATTTTGATCCTCGGATTAAAAGAATCATTGATATGGTTCCACAGACAGTAAGTAATCATAAAATGCCCCTGTTAATGCATCAACTCCCTTGCTAATCTCGGACTTGCAAAGTCGCGCTGGCCTCTGCTTGTGACTGGGCCCTTGGAATCATGGTCATCACCTAAAAAGAATGTAGTTTTGATGGGTGACGCCGCGCATTCAATGGTCAACCACATGGCACAAGGAGCTGCCACAGCCATGGAAGACGGTGCATTCTTGGGCAAATGTATCGGCGCAGTCACGCAAGGCAAGCTCGCCCTGCGTGAGGCTATCCGGATTTACGAAACCGAGCGTATGCCAAAGGCGTACATGAAGCAACAAGTTTCATTTATCAATGGCGCGATTTGGCATTTACCAGATGGCCCGCAAAGCCGACTGCGCGATATGTCCATGTCTACTGAGTTGGAGGGAAAGTACTTTATTCGGAGCAGCAACCTTTACGGAGACCCGCAAACTGTTTTGGAGGTTTACGGGTATGATGCCGAAGGCCACGCCGAGGAGTCGCTTGGCCGGTTTTTGAATGGAGGGAAAGACGCCGTTGATGCTGACACAGGCGTTCTGCTCAGCATGGAAAACAAGTACATGGGATGGTTCACGAATGCACCTCTGCAGCAGAAGCGAGTGATGATTTAATGCGTGTGCGCGGGGATGAATACATGCAACTTCTACTTTGAGTGCAACCTGGGTTTTATTATTTGTCTGTAACAGAAACAGGGGTCGTTATTTTTAGTATCGATCTTACTTTTGGAAATTGTCATTACATATTTAATGTTAACTATCAATTGCTTGGGTACATCCAGTTATGGCTTCACAGCTGTCCAACATGAAACTTCCGTGATGATTAAAACTCCACATGTGTTGGACAATTTCACTATTGCATGGTACATGTAGCCTACATGTATATTGTCAGGGCAAGGCTCCTGAGAAACCATTTGCTAAATGCTTTGTATATGCAGCAGATTTTGTAACTTTCTTCAAAGTGAATCATGGTAAAAGTCCTCTACGGCTACATATGCTTTGAACCACTTCCCGAAGACTACCGAAATTAGCCGACATATCTTAATGTCAAGCTGGGGATTAGCTCTACACTAAACCACATAGCTCAACGCCACTCTGTGAGCTGTCCGGAGATTGCGGCAAAGCACTCCCGACGGCGGGTGAATGCCGACAAACTCTCCATATGTAAATATACGGCCCGCCCCGATGTTCCCATCACGGGACGGGGAACGTATCCGGTTTGTACCAAAACAATTGAAGTCCTTACTATGTCCTCCCCGGCACTTCCACCCAGCAAGCGGCGGCGAGTCACCCTTGCTTGTAGTCTATGTCGGCGCCGGAAGTCCCGCGTAAGTGTTAGATGTTACGGATGAGACTTTGAGCATCAAGTCGTTGACCTAACGCTCATGAACATTAGTGCAGCGGTGATCATCCATGCACATTATGCCAAGAGCTGGGTGCAGAGTGTCAGTACCCAGATAGCACTATTCCTTCTAATTTGACCGTGGGGCGAAGGTACGAATGCTTGATACACCCATATTAAGTTCGATTAGTGGGGGATGCTGATTGCAGACACAGCTACATTTCCCAGCTTGAGCAGAGATTGCAAGATATTGAAGGTTCCATCGAGCAGCTCCAGAGAGTTCAAAATGTTGGGCAAGCTACTGGTATACTGTCGAATCGCTCCGCTGCTGGTGGGGATAATGACACTCCTGCCAGTGAGTCGTTATCAACTGGCGAGGAGCATCGATCTGTTTTACTTCCACCACCACTTGGTGGCCATGACGCTGCTGAACTAGGAGAGATCGACATCTCAGAGAATTCAATAGATGGTATGGGAGCCATGAAATTTACAAATGAAGAGGACTGCGGGTTTTTCGGTATGCCATACAACGCAAATTTCCCAGGAGAGAAAATCTCAGTCACTCACTCATTCAAGGTCCCTCGTCAAATATTGCTTTTATGCGCTACATATCTCGAGCAATATTGCAAGTCAAATCAGGAAACGAATTAGTTGATGCCATATCGCCGACGGACCAGAGACGTAGAGGAATGGTAAATGTCTCTAAGTCTAGGCCGCCATCCCCTGACCCAACATCAGGCAGAGTTGACAATTTAACGAGAAACACTGGAGTGAATATATACGCACTACCATCAGAAGAGCGGACGTGGAGCCTGATTCAACAATATTTTCATAAAACCGGACAGCTTTTGCCATTTATCCATGAGCCATCTTTCTGCAAAACATACCTTCAAATGAAGCAAGAACGTTTCCGCGCCGTGCGGCGAACTTGGCTCGGCCTGCTTAATATTGTTCTTGCCATCGCGGCGAGTTTGTCAACAAAGGATGACGTACCTGTGGATAAAAGGATTCAAGAATCTGACATTTACTACCAAAGAGCAAACGGCTTGTGTGATCGAGACTCCAAACGTAATGCAAGTCTAGAAATGGGTACGTATAGGCACCGCGCAGTAATAGCCTCCACTCCCTCCTTCAGGCTGTTGGCGTTTTGCTAATTTTTTCTTCTTCTGTATAGTACAATATCTACTGATTCTAGGTCAATACCTTCAGGGAACTCAAAAATCTGTTCAGGCTTGGACCACACATGGACTAGCGATTTCGGCGGCCTATCAACTGGGATTGCATTCACCTGACGCGAACCAGGGATTTTCGCCTTTAGAATGCGAAATACGTAAGCGGACTTGGTATGGATGTATTCTTCTTGATCGGTATGTTCCATTTTTCTTTTCTCAATGGTGAGGCGAGTGCTGATAGGCTGCATGATCTAGGACTCTAAGTATGACGTTTGGTCGACCTTGTACGATTCCTGAGTCGTATATAAAGCTTGATATGCCCCTCAAGGATATGCAAATGCTTGGCTCATCTTTGGAGGTGGACCCATGCCCTCAGCTCGATGGTGCTTTCTTTACAGCTGCCATGTAAGCGGTTCAAAAACTATTTAAATCACCATTCTTTCCTGACGATGCACAGAAAACTTTACGTTATACTATATAATGTTTTGGATTCGTGTTATGGACAAAACCTCGGCTTTGAAGATCCCGCGTCTGTTTCCAGCGCCATCTCTCGCGTATTCGACGGACAACACCAATTAGACCTTTGGCGACTTCAATCAGTCCCATCACTGGGCTTCCGCATTTGGGATACGATAATGAACCCCGAGGATGTTGAAAAAATGGACAAAGACTCAATTATTTGCCATAGGTTTAGCATTGTTCTCTCAGTGCGCTACAATAACCTCCGAATCTTGCTTCATCGTCGGCATCTAGAGAGTCTTTTAAAATCCCTTGGGACTTCCGAAGATGACTCAGGCAATGCTGATAAAAGGCTTCTACATCAAATGAGTCTGAACAGTGTTGAATCTTGCGTTGAATCTGCCATTTCTATCATCTCGGTAGTTCATTGCATAACGATGTCTAGCAGCTGGCGACGCGAATTGCTAGGCGCATGGTACTATTCTCTTTATTACAGTACGTACGACTTTGGATACGTTCAATGTGTTTTCAATGAGCTAAATGGTATAAAACCCAATAGCATTCAATGCCGCGCTGGTTATTTTTGCATCTATCATGATAATATCTGCGTCTAAAGAGCCCCTCAACGATACGACTGTCTGGAGAAAGGTCAGTCACTCACGTCCCTACATAGAAAACGCAATTGAAGCGCTACGCCGGCTGGATTCTGGGAACCGAGTGATTGAACGCTGTGTGGAGTACCTTGCACAGCTCTCTTTAATTTTAGGCGCTATGGGTAAGCGAGATACCACTAACACCGTTGTTGCGTCCATTTTTTGTCTAAGAAAAACACAAGCTTATCAACCAATGACTAACTAAATTCATGATAGATCGGAATGAGTCGGACTCGGGTAATGATGGAATTCTTAACTTTTCAATTGAACATTCTTCAGATATCTTTCAATCTGGCGGACTGGATTCTTATATGGACTTGGGAGAATTTATGGTTGATGGAGATTTTAATTTCTTAGCAGATTTTTTGGTTACGCAGAATGGGAAGCATCAAACATAGGAGGAAGTTTGCAGAAAGGGAAAAATCTCAGTAATCTGAACACATGATTCAACGTGAATATTTTTGAACAGCGGTTTAGTGTGAGGGACCGATTTTTATGCGAGTCATTTAATAAAAGGGGAGCTGGTTACATGTAATGATCCATCATATGGTTCAGCCAAACAAGGCAAAAGATTAGACCAATAATCTCGTTTTTAGCAGTTATTGTGACGGAACCAGCTGCTCATAAAAGATTGATCGCTGTTCCGATTGACCGGATATTGCTGAGGGCGATGAAAAGTTCGAGTACAATTGCCGAAGATAACGTCCGAGATATTGATGGTATCATTCTGCAAACACGGGGCGAGAACTGTACCATCCTTAGTGAAGTTAATAGAATGGGCCCATTTCTTAGGCCGACTCAAATCGATTTCCTTAAGAGTTAGACCCAACGTAATAGAAGAGTCTATAGTGAAAAGCCATTGCCCTCCATCCTTTTGATGCATTGAAGGCATATCGGAAGTAATCGTCAACCAGCTTACAAGTCTGATATCTTCACGCTATAATTCATTGGTCAATTTACTTATGTATGAGATAGATGAGTGGATTAAAAATACTGGTCCTATCGAATAGGAAGAAGTCCAGCCTTGATATTTTACTAACGATTGGGTTATATGTTATCTAAATAGTAGATAAGTGCCGCCACTTGGTCGTTTAATCGTCCTTATCAACATCCATAGTCTCCGCATACTTGCCAAGCCACAGTAAACTAGATCTACTAGTACGTACATAGTGCGTGACGGCATTAAATTCGGCAAGACAGATACAGTAAAACGTTAAGACTTGGTGCTACCCCGTGGGGAAGGCATCTCCACTGATTAGGCTTTCCGCCTGGGGACTCCGCATTTCCCCTTCTCTCGGCTCTTCCCCGTCAGCTCCCCGGTTTCTCTAACCGCGGTTAAGGGGAGCTCTAGGATATGTATCTTTGGAAGAGACACGGCACTTGAAGCGCCACAAACAGTGACCCGGCAATGTAGAGGCTCGACTTGATCTATTTAAAGAGAGATGTATCCCGTACTCCGTTTGATTTCTGATTCCAGAAAACTAAAGAGCACTTTGCCAGCTGAGAGTCAATACATATCACTATCAATTGTTTATTAAATATGACTAACCAAGGCCCAAAGTATGAGTATGAGGAGAGACCCGGATCTGTGCTCTCCAACCCGCCTGATCTTGAAAGGCTTCGAACTAAAGGCGGCCATATCGATAATCGTGATCAACCTTCGTTACCTGTTGTTCATAGAAGTTTCGCAAATCCTGCACCATTAGGTCTTTTATCCTTCGCTACGGGATTATTCTTACTCTCATTGCTTGGTGTCCACGCTCGCGGCATTGCAGAGGAGAATATAGTGGTTGGAGTAATGGTATTTTTTGGTGGCATATGCCAGTTTATTTCGGGAATTATGGAATTTATTGCTGGAAACACGGTATGCAAATCTACTCAAGCAATCATGAATCTGAGCACTCCTAATACTATTCTAGTTTGGAGCTACAATCTTCCCATCTTATGGGGCTTTGAACTTGAGCTTTGCATTGAGTACGATTCCCTTTCTTCAATGGTAGCCCTTGTTATCAACGAGTAAAACTAACAGAAATATTTCACTGGTAGTCTTTATTCCAGGCTCAGGCATTATTGATGGTATTGTTTCCAGCTACTGAGGCTTAATATGGAGAGAACGTGATTTTACTAACTACAGCAATAGCATATAGCGACGCCCAGGGAAATATTCTTCCCACATTCAATCAAGCACTCGCCATGTATCTGTGGAGTTGGCTGATATTAAATATGATATTTACCATCGCCGCTATGAGAAGCTCTTGGACATTGTTCATGGCTCTATTGCTTTTCAATGTCGAATTGATACTTCTCGCTGTAGGCTATATGCTTGACAAGGCCAGTATGCTGGTAGCTGGGAATTCCATTGGCTTCCTGGTATCGTTTTGCGCTTGTAAGTATATCCAATTTGGAAATTGTATCCCGATTAACGATTGTTATAACTATAGATTGGGCTGGGTGTGCAGGACTATGGTCCGGAGGTATAACATCATTTACAATCCCGGCACTTCCAATGTACAAATACACTTAGGATATACACCGGAAACAGCCAAAATTTGGGCTTTTGGTGGACAGTCTGCAAGGTCTACTGTTTTTAGTATTATTCAGATGGTTTCATATCTCTAATAAACCGTCACTCAAAGATATAAATTGAAACAGCGATGGTGAGGGTAATTTGACTACAGATGCCTATACCCATGATGAGGGCACTGCAAAAGAATCTAGCTGTTGCATCCAAGTCCTTATATATCGTGTCGAGCATTTTTACTCATGTGGCGGATCGTTCCCCCGTACTGCTTGGCAATTAGTTTGGCTACCTGCGATGCATCGAAATTTTTCACATACCTTGTAAAAAATGAAAGGAATCGGAATGAATAGCACAGAAATACCACCGAGGAGCGAGTTACCTGGGCCAACACCGAGTCGGTAAAAGAGTTGCCGCGCCTAAACAAAGATTTGTGTTTAGTTCTAGAATTTCAAGATGGATGTACACTATTTCTTACAAAGAGTGGAAAAGAGGCACCGAAAGAGGCCCGAAAAAGTGCAGATCCTGAAAATATGGATGCTGCATAGGCGGGATATGTGATGCCTAGATAGTTGAGTAACGAATTAAACAGCGTGACCACCCCAACAGAGAAGAGGCCGGATCCAATGATTGGGACGATCCAGTGAATATCTGCTCGTGATGTCCAGCCAAACCAGAATAGGCAGATTGGAAGGGCAAGACATCCTAAAAATGTTGGAGGAAGAACCATCTCTGGCGTAAATCCCGGCGTATCGACTTTTGTGGCAATGTTGTTTCTAATCCATTGTAGAAAGAGTGCTAATGAGAGAAGAGCAAAGACGAGAATGCCTAAGAAAACTAGGCCCTGTTCTCCTTGGTTGAAACCGTAAATACTACCGAACACGATGGGAAATGACTCGAACCAGATGAACAGCACACCGTACAGAAGACCGGCGTACAAGTTCATGATTAGCGCAATGGGTTCGGAGAATGTCAAAATAAAAGCCCTAGCAAGGACCATCAGATGATTTCTTGCGGTGTAATGCGCGGCGTCAATTTCGGACTGGCTCCTAATTCGACTGTCTCCAGTCGTTTTCCTCAATCTTTTGGCTCTTTTATAGAGTATGTTCGCAGCGCTGGTCTCGGGAAAAAAGAAAAACATGGCGACAATGACCAGTGTGCAAATCCATGTGATGACCCATATTGTCCAACGCCACCCTTTGGAAGGGGCCAGATACCCGCCAATGATCGGACCAAATACAGGACCGCAGAAACCGGCTGTCCCCCAGATGCAGATTAAATAGGAGACGAGAGAGGAGTTATATAGATCGGTGATTGTGCCAGCACCGGTGGATAGGCACGGGCTGCCGCAGAAGCCTGTCACCCACCGAAAGGTGAGAAAGATTGCAATGTTTGGAGCAAACCCAACAGGGAGCTGTAATACGATGAAGGCGAAGAGCGTCCAGAAGAAGATACCGCTGCGTCCAATTTTTGGCATCTCAGATAATGGAGACCATAGCATAGGACCGACACCATATCCACTGCCAACAATAAGAAAGAGGCGTTAGCAGAGACGATGATATCTTTAGATCCCACAATGGGCCGAGTTGCCTTACAGAGTGAATAGAGAGAGCCCTAGAGTTGCCACAACCTCGCTGACGCCAAACTCTTTCATGACGCCCAGCTCGCCTGGAACGTATATAGAACTGGCCATGTAAACAGCAAAATTTAGGACACAGAGCTGAAACATCATGAGATTCTTCCAGACCAATGGCCAATTTCGAGGATTCTACATGGTGAAGAACTGACTTTAGAGCTGTATCATCACCCGGATAAATATTGTAGAGGCAATAGATAAATGACTTACTTCGGGATCATCTGGTCCATACCACTCCACTAGGAGAATCTCCTTGTCGCCATTATGAATCACTACAGTATTAGGCAGAACGCCGTTCTCATTTGCCTCATTTTTAATGGGTCCTCTGCAAGAGCGATCCGCATGTTCAGATGCATCTTGGCGACGGAATCTCTTCCATAGTGATGGATCGACCTCGTCGGGATATTTGAAGAGTTTGTTACCGGAAATAAAACGCACTAACTGGCCAAAAGTTGTGGTGTGAAATTGAAATGCCATGTCGGACAAGAAAAGCGCGGGAGGGTCTGATGGATGATAGGAGAAATCAGCTGATATTGAGCTTGGTTGACCATTGCCGGCCAGCAGCGAGAGCTATGATGGTGGTACAAAATGTTGGATAGGTAATGCAATACCTTCATATGAAAGGAAAGAATAATCCAATAAATATAGACATGAACTTGTGGATGTTTGGTTGAAAGAGTGTCTTGTGGGTTAGCAACACATCCGGATTTTGAATGGAGCTAAGGCTACTCCGTAAAGGCCGTCAATTGACGTCCCAGCTTGGCAAAGCGGACATCACGCATCTACCTCACCATTTTGCCTCTTTCCAACTATTTAGATCAATATTCATTTGTCATGGAATATGGGTGGATGTTCTGGCTTGTCTAAACGTGGTGAGGTCTTCAAGAGTCAGAAAGCAGCAGCAGCAGTCTTAGCGTGGCTGGGTGAAAGATCCATGTCTTTGATAGATCAGCGCAGCAAGCTAAAATCCTGGAATCAATCCTTCTTTTCATTCTTTTATTGCTTTATAATAAAGATGGCTAAAAGGACATTTATTTTCCTTTAATTTAGAACAACTTCTCTGCCGTATGAGTTTTGGGATGTCGCATACATTGGTGGATTGTTTCCAATGTATATGAGCCAGGGAGTTATACGTTTCGTAAGTCCATTGAAACATATAGATGGATAGGGTTTAATTTGTATGCCAGCCTCAGCGAGAGTATAACACTGAAACTGGACTCGTCCAGCATTGGGTTGAACTGTGGTGAATTATCTTTTACTTAAAAGTCATAGGGAAGAAGGGAGTGGGGGCAGAGAACACTCTAAATGTTCTCAGGCGGATTAGACATGGCTTTGAACAAACTTAGTTGTTATGGAACCAAGTACTGTTCCTGGATTAGAATACAGGTACCAGGTGATCGAAATACCTGCATATCATTCTAGCGTCATGTAGCTTGCAGAACCCTTACCGTACGTATGTGTTGTTCGTCTTCATCTTTCACCCATCGCACGAAGATATTAACCAAGGGATTTAAATGAAGTGCAATTCTGAGCCACAAACCCCACCCCCGCGATGATCTTTAGCCTCACCATGACGGTAGCCTGTGTATTGTGTTAAACTATTGTGTAGCCACCTATCATATCTTCTGCTATACAGTTTACATGACGCCGGAGAAATTGGAGTTAACGGACGTAGCGGAGATTAGTTGCATAGCCCCGTGTCTGATTCGAACCTCTATTCACCTTTTAGATGTTCTAGTAGTAGCTCGCGAAGTAAATATACCATCTTCATGCTTCAATCAATCCATTGTTCACTTGGTAACCTCAACGCGTTTGGTAGCACCTGAAAAGAGGGGGGAATTGTCAACTTTCTTTGCTGTAGAAGTAATATGAGAAGAAATCTGGCAAGGGCTTTCTTGATATCTACGTAGATACAGGTAGCGAACTGACTGATCGTGAGACCGCCAACCATGAACAGACGTGTAGCAAGATCAGAGAAAGAACCACGGAGACCAATCTCTTGACCAGGTGGAAGACAGTGCTCTCTCCCGGTAGTCGCTTTGTCTTATCAATCTTAGGCGGCATAGTCTCGGCCGGATGAGAAACGTATGTAATCTTAATTCACTAGCCTGTTGCCTAACAAGTTTCTAGTCATAAGTGAATGACAATAGCGACCCCCACAGACATTGCTGTAAGGCCTTTTGCCTTCCTTAAGTTTATATCTGCCTCTGCCAGCCATTTGTTGGCATTGAAAAGTTGGATGACATTGATCAATCAACTGCTTGACTGCCATAACATGGAAATTAGTGACTAATAATGCATCGTAGGCCGAACTCACATACTCAGAATGAATAATATTATATGCTATGGTAAGCCATCACGCTACTCCACTAGACAAAGATTGAGCATCATGAAAATACTACATTATGGCGAATAAAACTTTCAGGGAATCACAGTTCTTCATCTATTATGTCTATATCGTTTATGCCTGCTAATTAAACATTATTCACAAGAAACTGCTGAATCTTCGCAAAAGTTTCTGTGCTAGAAAAATGCAACATAAAATCGTGGCCAGTGTTATCGATGACTTGTGACTGGAATGAGGTCGCATTGGGAAAAAGGAAGGACGAATTTGCCAGCTGGTCGGCGCAAGCACCATTTTTGGGATTACAAAACAAAATATCCTCACTTCCCGTAATAGCAAAGACTTTGCCAGTGAATCCAGTTGCGGGTTGCAGGCCCACTCCAAGACTGCCGCCCTCTCCACATGTCATGACATCCTGCGTGTCGAAGCTTATCTTCGGAATGGTATGATCGTATGCGCCGCCGTAGAAACTTTCTTCATGGCCAGTTTCATTGCTAGCAGTGATATATCCCAATGGATATCCTTTGAAACGATCAAAAAGCAGAGCGGCCGGCTGCATCTGAAGCTGCAACAAGGGGCTCGGCAAGGGAACAAACGCCGACCAGCCTGTCAGAACAATTGCATCAACGAAATCGGGGGCAAATCTAGCTGCAGCGACGCCAGTAATTGAACCATAAGAATGCCCTGTAAAGACAATTTTGGAGAAAGAAACCCCTAGTGGATTGCTTGTAGATCGGAGAGAGGCAGCGATTGCGTCGATCACTGCAGCTTCAATCGCCATCTGAATAATCGTGTTAGGGTCAGGAAGAGTCGACTTGCCATGACCAGGAAGGTCAATCGCTAGGGTTGCATATCCCTGCGAAGCAAAAAATCGCTGATATGAGTATCCAGAGGCTTGTAGATCTGAATTGCTGAGAGCATCCCATACAGTTCGGTCGCAAGTGTTGCCGTGGGCCAGCAGTTGAATCGGAAGAGATTCGGGATGAGTTGCGCCCGCAGGTGCACAGTATTGGGCGCTGATGGAGAAGTTTGCAGTTGTTGAAGCCTCTCCAACGACGTCAACAGCTCCTGTACTTAGACCCTGGCTGAGAAATTGGTCGATTGACGAAACACTTTCTGGATCGAAGGAACTTCCAAAAACTTCATTGCTGGCAGTGACCGAAACTGGAAACTCAACAATCTTGCAATCAACTGCTTCCTGGGCAGCAGAAGAAGCCGCAAGAGTAAACGCAGCTATAGTGAAAGAAGTACGCATTTCTCTCCTCTGTTTCCTTTTCTTTTATGTTGGGTTGAAAGCAGGCTAGTCGAAATGACTTGATCGCTCTTTTATTGCTGATTGCGAGACTCAATATTCTGCAGGCCAACAGAGTAACAGTTGCCATCTTATACCCATTCCCAAGCTCCCCTGTCGGACACTTTTGCAGAAGCAAGGTAGAATATACACCGGAAGCTAGACCTCATTATCCATGTCTTGGACAACAGCAAATATTATTAGTACTACAAATCAGTTTCGTATTCGTACCTTTGAAGACTGATCTATGTCTTGCTGATGCAGTACTAGAGTATTATTTGTTTACGATGCTACGGGTATTAGTTGACTAGCCTACCAGGAGACACGTAGGAAAGACAGGGATACTGTGGTGGTTCCAGACTTTGTCCGTAATACTACTGGTACGAGTGGCGCATTGCGGATCTAATAAGCCGTTTATTGCTTATGACAAGACTGTAGTTGCTCCATATCCTGTGGATTTACAGCTAGGGCTGACATGTGTAACCTATGTGTAACCAAATGTATACAGGTACGTAAGACTCACACACAAAGGCAGCAAGGGAGTAATAAAAAACGGCCGCGCACCACGCAAGCCTATAGTAAACAGACCGGTGGATTTTTCTTTCCTGCATGGGTAGCTATGCACCCCTGACATGGTATAATGTCAACCCTGGTTCAAAGTGGCGAATTCAGTGCCATGGGAGAGAAAAAGAGGCCCTTTAGTAGAGCGATAGGACGAGTTGAGGGTTCCACTACATGTATTTAGATGTAATCTAGATACATAAGAAGAGAATCATTGAAGGTTCACATAGTAGTTGTCTTGTCCTAAGCATTAAACATAAGATAAACCCCTTTATAGAATTGACTAGATAAATCAACTTTATAACTGAGAATGTTTTCTAGTTTTAGATGAAAGATAATGTACTACCAGATTAGAGGCAACACATATTAAGTTGTCGAGATAGAGAGTTGCAGCGTGCTTCTTTGCTCACCAGCTGAACCTGTTCCGAGATTTTGTCATTTCCCGCCTGATGCCATCAGCATGTCACCTGACCCTACCCATAGCTACCAGGTAGGTACATATTCCTTCTACCCTCTATCGCTCTAGTTATCTCGTCGTCTACATCACAATCCAGATATTAGTCACACAGCTTGCTTGTGGCATTTGAGCTCGGTGCTTTTGGTCATATTGTTTGTTTTCTCCCTTGCCTTCGTCTTTTGCTCGTGATCTTTGCCTCATCCCTCACAAGGTCTGGAGGTCCCGGTGCGACAAGCACGATCGAGCAATGCGCGTAAGAGACGGCACAGCGATTCGGCTTTGGCTGTAGCCGAGGATGCGTCTTCAAAGGAGGCCACATTTTAGCTGCGATCATCTTGCCAGATCCGGAGGTTGTGAGTGCGATAATTGAACGGATCATGTTCAACGGCAGTCTGAAGAACAGATCCCTCTTGATACCAAAGAAGATTCGAGATCCCAAACCTACAGATAAAGCTGCTATTGTAGAAAATAGCACAATTAGGTTATACAAGGGGCCATACACGACTGATGGCGCGGAGTCTATCATGCCGTGCTGTCGTTCTATTGGTACCATCTCCCTTGTTGTTTCATCCAACCTTCCACGCAATTCGGGTTCCACGTAAATGGCAGTTTGTTCGGACTGTCATGCTTGCTTGGGGAGAGTTTGTGCTCTCGGTGTTGGCCGCAGCAATAAAACAGCTGGACTATTCCCTAAACACACTAATACTACAAGGCAAACTTGCTGAATTTGTTGTAAGTTTTCGCGCTGGTTGGAGCAAGCATCCTCTTCATATTTCGCTCTTTGGCAGCAAGGCCCAATAGGGATAGCTTTCGGTGAGCGGTAACTATGCCATTAAGGATACAGAAATTGGTCCGGGGCTACCTATTGTGACAGTACATCTTATGCCCAATGTGCCCGATGTGCCCAATTTTTCGGAATCATGTTCCATTGAGATTTACTTTCTTCGTAACAAGGTAAGATGCCCCAATGACATGGAAGCCGCACCTTCTTATGCGTCACCGGCATTAAGCATACACAGTAGCTATATATGCCTTATCGGTGACCAAAACCTTACTGATTGTATTAGATTTCAGAACCATTCTGGTTTTAGCCTCCAAATTGCCTATGGGGTCACTAAACATCAGCCAGGGTTTTCACAACGACTAAGAATAATTTAGTTGTGAGCTTTGGTATGAATGTAAAATGGAGCATATACTATTACTACGACCAAGGTGGCCTAAGTCAACTATTATTTGTCCTTGTAACTTGGCTACGGTGGCCTCCCCTTTACCAGGCGCCTCAATAGAGGTTTCCATGGCTGAGTGTGAACTTGAGTTGTGATCCTTCGTGCACTTCACTTTGATGGTTGGGATCTATTATGCTGATTAGGCGTTCCACAGGCCTAGCATAGCTGATTAAAACAATATGTGAGATACAGCATACAATACCTAACTGGACTTCGAATGAATGCGGCGAACTTGCACGTCTCATATCGTGAACGCAGCTCTTTCATTATGCCCATGCTCTTCCTTCACCATTGCTGATGCACGTAAGCATTTGTGTAATCATTTTCATCCCAGATATTCAATGTACCATATAGTTCTTCGTATATCGTCCACCACTGTTGCTTTTCGGACTAGCTCGGGCTTGAGAGTTCCAAAAATCGGTACGGACACTAGGGATCAAAAGACGAAAAGTGAAATCGCGCTGGACCCCATTGTGGAAGCTACCTAGTGGGACGTGACGGGGCCCGACGGCGTTTAACGTTCTTTACCAACGTTGAACCTTTCTGTTTTGGGGCCATGGTTCCATTGGATGCTCACGATTTGGTTTCAAGCCTTTGCGCTTGCGCAATTCCACCAAATCACTTTAGGAAACACTCCTTCATCATGTAGTTGTAGCAACAGAATACTTCTGGGTGATAAGTGAGGATACTATAAAGGTAGAGCTGCCTTATATGAAGTGAGAATATGTTAGCAATTATTACTTCAAGTCATTTCTGAGGTTAATGAGGAACTTAGCTTCATCCATCAAAGCATTGAGCTTTTGCGCATCAAGGGAGATAATCGTGAAGATCGCTGCAGGAATCGAACCCGCACCCCGAAGGTTCAACCAGAGCGACCAGGGATTTTCAACCATGAAGAAAGAGGGTTTCAACAATAAATGGAAAGGGTTTTCACCCATCCTCCGAAAGAATAAGGCCGGGCTTTCGCCCGGAGGGAGTTGTGCTCGTCCTCCATTTCCTCGTCCTCGTCCCCGTCCCCATCCTCTTTACATGTTCTTCTTGTAGTCACCATCCATCGTAGCACGCATCGCAGCCCCCATTGATGACCTCACTGCCCACACCAACTCAACTGGGTAATGGATTTGTTCATTCCATGCTAACTTGACCTTGAAACCGAAGTCTCGCATAGTGTTGCCGATCCGTGCGCATGAGAATTGTTCTCCAGGTGAGCTTGGTGGGACACCCCATGCTGCATGTGTAACTTGTTCTTGCTCGCCCCAACCCTCCAGGCGTGGTTTCATGTTGTATATGACATAAACTCCGTCGATATGGCCAGTATTGCTAAGCCGGGCTACAACACTAAAACCAGTCGGTTCCCAGTCTCCCTCGCAATCATCACCTTCTTCCAATGTTGTCGGCATCTCATCAGAAGTGTCGCATTCTAAACACTGCAGTACACCAAGCTCGTGGAAAACAAATCCTGGAGCCTCGGCGTCGTCTACCTCTGCCGACTTGGTAGACTCTTCTGATAGGTTAGGCGCGCGGCGGTTAAGCGGCAGAGATGGCTCGCGGGGCTGCACAGTAGTATTCACACCGAGAAATGCAGGGTCCAGGACTTCATAATTTGTCGAAGGATATTCGCTTTTCTGCGGTGCTAAATTGTGGATCGATGGAAGTAGACGGTAGATAGTTGTATTCTCATAGCCAAGGGGTATCCAGGGACGATATGCCCAAGTAAGTCCAGGAAGTAGCTCTTTGTATTCCGTCGGGTTGAGAAAGTTGATTGAATCTGCAAGTTCAATAAATCGAGCTGGCGTCAAAATGCCAGCGGGATGGGCTAGATGCGGCAGGGTGCGTTCGAGGTCATATACCAAGTATGCGTCATGCTCTTCTTTATCTGGGAATATCTCTTTGAGCAGTTTCCAGTACTCTTCGGTGCTAAGGGGGAGAGGACCTAACGAAGCAGTAACTTCGTCAAAACGAGCATTGCGGTCCTCCATGGTGGTATCTTGAAGAGGGCAAAGTGGTATCTAAGGAGTTATCTTGCCAGAGATGAATGGATAAAAATTGAGGAAGAGAAGAGAGAGAGGGGGGGGGGGGGGGGTAGTGTCAAGAAGTAAATTGTGGAAGTTGTGTTTGCTGTGAATAAACGCAGGGTAAGTTTGTTGTGACTGAAATGTCAGTTTGTTGTGAACGAAAGAAGAGTCGCGTGCTATTCAACAGCATTCACTTCAACGCATACATTCGAATAATCGCCCCAGATCAAAGTGCAGCATCCCTCTTTTTATAGAGGTAAAATTTAATATCTAGATAAGAGGGTCAATGTTGTAAAACCTAGTGTAATAAAAGGCTATGCCCCATTTAATCGGCAACAGCCGACTAAACTAAACCTTGGAGATTTTAGCTATGCCTGCTACTCCTGCTACTCCTGCTACTCCTGCTACTTCTACTACTTCTACTACTTCTACTACTTCTACTACTTCTACTACTTCTACTACTTCTACTACTTCTACTACTTCTACTACTTCTACTACTTCTACTACTTCTACTACTTCTACTACTTTCACAACTGGCAGAAGCACAAAAAGCATAACCGCTTTTGTATTAAGGTTTAAAAGAACTAAACTCAAAATACATGCGCAAAAAGGCCTGAACAAAAGGTTCAAACGCAATGCAAAAACTTCGAATTATAGTTCAATGACTTGACTAAATTTGCCTTCCCCCCACCCCCCATCAGAGAAGCAACTTTGGAGGCTACACTTTTCTCAGATTGTCACCTTCGCAAAACCGCTTCGCAGCTTTGCTTGATCATCTTGTGTTTCGGGCTCACCATCGCTGTCATCAAACGTGAGCGAGATGTCCTCCATATGAGAGACCCTACTGGGCGCCTGGAGGGATGGGCCAGACTTCCGTAGCCGTTTATGTAACACACTTTCAGAGGAAAATCTCATATAATCCTACGCAACCCCGCGCATGGCATCTCGTGTAACACCAAAACACAGTTAGGTATTACTCTATTCGCTGTACCTTAGTATCAATTTATTTAGTAGAGAAAGCTGAAAGAGTAGCGTCTCCTGACACTTTGCTGACCTGTTTTTCCGAAGTTGATATTGCTTGCTGTCGTAGCTTGAGTGGCCTTCTAATAACATGTACGATCTGCTCTGTATTACCTCTAGAGATGGCTTTATGGCGTGAACGAGTTTCCCAATCCGTATATTCCTTGGAGCGCCGAGTTGTCAAGTCGGGTTCTGTGAAACAATCATGAACATGGATAAGAGCTGCCTTGATTTGCTGAGTTTTCGCTCGGTAAGCAAGGTACAGTTGATCTTCAACAATAACTGCTGTTGAAGACTTCTCTTTATTTTATTTCAAGCATAACGCAAAATGCATGCTAAACTCCAGCTCAATCAGTTTCCAGCTAGATCGTCAATCTACCATGATAACTGGTTCTGCCTAGCTCATGTTCCTGTACTTCAATGAGCGTCCTATGATCCCCTGTGGAACTTGGTTGTGATTACTGCCTTTTGTTCATCAACAGATCAGCGCAACATCATTCCTGTATTGGTAAGACATTAGACTTCCCTTACTCGCATATAAACTTATCGTGTTGTCTTTGATCTTTTGCTTTTTGAACCTCTGGCCCAAGTGATTTTAATTGAAGACGTTATTTTGAGCTTTCATTGTTGTCTCCCATCGCTTTTGCCATTAGTATTTGTGTAATTTCCTCAAGTTTGGTTCAACAGCCGATCGAAACTGACCAAAATTTTATTACAGTTCTTTAATATAAGTGTTGGACAGAGCCTTTGATTGGACCAGCTGTCACAAAATATTGGTCTACGGGTAGAAAAAAATTCCATAGCTGTATGATTAGCTTACCTCAGATATTGCCTTGCTCTGCGCAGATGGACCACCGCTTGTTTCGCCAGGCTGTGAGATATTGCACGAGGAGTGTCATCATCCCAAGTATCCCATCGTTATATGAGAGATAAATACTTAAGACAGCTAGATAATATAACATCAGCATTGTTTTCGGGCAAACACTGATCGTTGTGGGAATCGAACCCACGCCCGTAGGGCTTCCAAAACGACCTTTAGGACAAGCCTAGGATATGCAACCATGAAAGAAAGGTGTTACACCTATGAAGAAAAGAACGAGATTTCGCCCATTAAAAAAAGAAGACTTCTCTCATGAAAAAATGTGTTTCAACCATGAAGAAAAGAAAGTGTGGACTTTCGTCCATACACCTGTAGTGTTGATCCGTTGTCGTAGGCTGGGTAGGTAGTGATAACCGGACTGCGTAGCTAATTATGTACTCTTACGAGTTTAAATTCTGGCTCTGGCACGGTCGAGGGATCGCTTGACGTTTTCTTGTCTCAATAATCTGTCTCCAGTTGTCGGTAGTCGGGAGTCCTGGAAGAATGGCAGATCCTAGACTATTGTCAACTCAACATCTTAGAAAGGGGGTGTTAGGCAAGTCTTACCACCAGCCATTCTGCGTTGATTGCCGTGGCTGTCTCTAAATACTGCCTCCTTCCCGAGGTTTGAAAAGCTGTATATACAATCCACTCATAATTACCGCCCACCAGAGAGCTGTGAGGTGACAAAAGGGCAGGAGTATTCTCGTGAACAGTTCTATATGTATCGCCAGAACGGTAGATAGCAGTGTGAGTGCAGAAAGCGATCGCTAAAACTTTCCGAACACTCGTCGTGTCTGTGATAGATGTTCGGCCTGGAGTGATCTTGCAAGTATCCTCTAAGGACGCTCCCATCTCCCCTCGTTTTATGTCGATCTCCTCCAGAGCCCGCATATTCAAGAAGTGCCTGGTACACCACCTTTCAAGGTCTATTTTGGGACGATTTTTCTGGTCGTTTAACTGGCGTACACGCATATATGTGTTAAAGGCATTTGCGAGCGTGAGGTGGTCCGACAGCGGGTCAGCAAAGGCTGTCCTGGCTAAATCTGCTGCCTGCCGGTATCCAGCTGGACGTATGAAGATAGATTTCTGAGAGCTACACAGCAGCGCGATATCGAGTATATCCAGAGAGCATCCAAACTTCGCCCCAATTTCAATGGCTCGATACCAAATCGGGTCCAGCGGGCATTTACTGGCGAGGCGACCTGACCGAGTGAGAGAGCCATCATCTTTCAATAATTCCCTATTTGGGGGGGCGTGTCAGTAACAGACATTCGGCGGAGGGGAGAGAGAAGTTACACACCAATCTTGAAGATGCTGGGCGGCACGTGCGAGTGACTCAGGATGAGGAGCATCTAGCCAATCAAAGTCGATGAGCTTTCTGTAGCCCGAAGCTACTAGGTTCAGAACTACGGAGTCGATGGACGCGCAGTGAATACCAGGCTCAGTAGACGGAGCCATGCTATCGTAGACCGCTTTACTGTAGAGTCGGTAACAGACGCCGTTTTTCGTTCGGCCTGCTCGGCCCATACGCTGCTTTGCTGATGCCTGAGAGATTAGTCGTACCTCGAGCATATTGAGGCGCAGACGAGGGTTGTAGACTAACTGTCTTGATAATCCGGTGTCAATGACGTAGACGACGTTCGCGATGGTTAGACTGGTCTCTGCAATATTGGTTGACACGACGCATTTGCGATTTGGACCTGATGAGTCTAAGGCCAGGCGCTGATCCCCGCTTGGCAGCGACGAGTACAGAGGAAAGACGTCAAGGTCTTTGGCGTTGCGACGGACCATGCTACATACTTTTTCAATCTCATTTTCTCCAGGAAGAAACACTAAGATGTCGCCAGGTTCTTGATTCTTATGTATATGAACCACGGTGGCGGCAGCAAGAGTGACGAAGTCCGGTCCGGTTTCTTCAGGTGCCGTATAGAATGTCTTGACTTCAAATTTGAGACCAGGGAAATGGACTAACGGGCAATTGTCGAAGTACTCTTGAAACAGCTTTGTATCCATCGTTGCCGACATTATCACCACCTGTTAAAATATAAGAGTCAGCCAGGTCAGACCACCAGTGAGATTGAAGAGCTGATATAAACCTACCTTGAAATCTTTACGACGGCTTATGACTTTCTTCAGCAGCGCCAACAAAAGGTCAAGATCGACGGTTCGCTCGTGAGCTTCGTCAATAATGACACATGCGTACGCGGACAAGAGCTTGTCAGATCTCAATTGTCGAAGAAGGACGCCCTCAGTCATATAGGCAAGTCGGGTTTTCTTCTTGTTTTGGTTGACGTTGTGGTCGCCCCCGATCTTGTAGCCAACTTCTTCGCCTAGATTAACTCCCATTTCTTCAGCAACGCGGCTGGCAAGCTCTGTTGCGGCCAGGCGTCGCGGCTGGGTGCAGGCGATTTGGAGGCCACTTTCATACTCGTCGTAGACTAGCAGCTGGGGAACCTGAGTTGACTTGCCTGAGCCAGTCTCGCTCGAGAGAATCATCACCTGAGATTGGTGATAATTGTCGAGGATCTCCTGGTATCGTCCGTAGACCGGCAAACGGCGACGGCCTTGGAGAATACCCTCGTGGTCTTGGGGCCACGACTTTCCCGTCAACGGATTTTGATTTGCGTCTTCAAGATGCTGGACTTGGGCGACGGTGAGCTGGTTACGCGCGATAGACTCCATTGTATCTGTTGTTCTTGGTAACTTGTATATTGGGGGGGTTGGTGAAAACGTTGTGTAAAGATTCTGTAAAGAGTGTGTGAAGATTGTGTAAAGATTGTGGGTTTGATGTTGTCGATAGTATGTTGAAAAGGTAGAAACCCAACAGCAGGGACCGCAATTGAAATCCTAAAGTAGAGGGCCAGATCAACTCTGGGCAATCAGATGTAATTCATTTATGGCTCACTTTAAAGTGGAGACAGTGGAGGCAGTGAATTCAGTAGAGAAAAACTTCCAAACTATTGACATTGTGCATAGGTGCCAAGTTACTTGACCTTTCCGAAGTCGCAGTGCTAAACATAATAAAAGCAACCACCCCTTCGACAACCTCACACTTGTAGCAGCATAACTTTTATTGAATCCTCTCAATTGTTCACTTTAGAACTACTCTTTTTCAAGAGGAGGGCAAGCCATTTCTACCTGATCTTTGCATCCCAAGACAAAACATCAAAGCCAATCGAACACTTCAAACACCCATCAACACGATAGATACTCAGAACAGTCAAGTTACAAGTAAGCATCACTTCCAAACCAGTCAAGTCTTGAACTCATCAGTTTCGGGCACTACCGACTGTATGGAAGCTAATCCTTAGGATTATAGTATGCCTTGTGACGAGACCCAAACCACAACCGAGGCTGAATCCAACGCGATGCTGAACATGACTGAAATGATGATGTCACTCAGCGAATCCGACGATACAGATCTGCCCCAAAACTGAAGAGATTTCGAAGAGGGCAATCTGGACAACTTTCTCGCCGATGTGCACAGAGAAGAGGCGGGCTATGACTTGCTTGGCATTCCATGCAGGCGGGTCGTTACTACAGGCACGCATACCAGGCTACAGCCCCGTTCAATAGCCAGTCTGCAAGCTGCCGAATGCCCACAAATCGGTGACAATATCAATACCGAGTATGTCGCCTTAAGCAGAGAAGCTCTTCCTGACCAGCTCGACGAACCAGCAACCTACAAGATGGTGGGCAACGAGCCGATAGGAGTGAATTTCAAGAAGGTTCCCAAGGAGGAAGTGGCCGCCCTAGAGGCCCAAGGCTGGGAAGTGTAGTACGCTCCAAGTCTCCCCTTCGACATCGAAGATAATTACCGGGATTACCGATCTGTTGATCGTCCTGTCGATGTCATATCATATGACCAGCCGGCTGCGGATACAGACCGCTATCTCAAACGTGGCAACGAATTCATCAGCTCTGTCATGACCAAGAGTGACTGGCGACCTGGTCAGCTGATCGGACAAAATGGATCGGATCCTGCAACCTTGGCCAAATCACCCTCCTTTGCGCCGCCCGACCGTCATAAAGAGGCAACCGATCGTCGTTCAGCCACATCGACTGGGCACGTTTTGCTATATCAACGACCTGCAGGCGTCTGTGCCGGCTGGGGTGGCTATGATGACTACACTCAATGGCAATCTTTCGGCCGTCGAATCCACAAAGACATGGTAGAAAAGCAGGAGTGGTCGACAGATCCAATGAAGCCAGTTCAATTTGTTGACGAGTCGGGTGAGGTTGCACAAACTATTACCATCCCCTTCGATCGAGAGGACCTGCCTTCTCAACCTCGGAACCTTGCCTCACTGTATGACAAGCTCAACCCCACAGACAGTCAGAAACCGAGGGCAGCGAAAAGGAAGAAGACTTGGCAGATCGTCGAAAGCAAAAAGCCTCGGCAACAGCTCTAAAGTGGCCCCGAAGCAACAACAGCAATAAGTGAGATTTGCAATATCACAGTCCTGAGTCTGCTACTTTCTGCTCCTCCCTCCTGTCGGACTCTATCCCAACTCCCCGCTAAGTGGAAAGGCGAAAGCCCAACCTCTTCATTTCTTCATGGTTGAAACCCCTTCTTTCATGGTTGAAATTCCTTGGGCATTAGCCCTAAAGGTCGTATGGCGCGTCGGCGCCTGGATTCCCTCTGGGAAGCGTGTTCGAATCACGCTACGATCTCACTTTCTGCTGCCACAGTGACTTTGGAGTATCAGGTCGCTTGTCATTCCCTATCTGAGTGATGTGAGACACTTGGACTTATGGCGGTTCAAACGGTACGTTACCCCAACTTCGGTCAGCTTATACTTCTTCAACTAATCAAACGTATTATTTTACGGCCATACTTGACCGAAACTGTCAATTCATTCGCTCCGACCATATGCCTGATGCGCTAGTTTTGCCATCGGAAAGGACCCTGTGCGACTTGGAATGGATAAAAAATGCAGGATCAGTCGATTCGCTGACTTAGAATCAGATCAACGTCGACATCGAGGCCTCTGGTTGAAAAGACCCTGGGCTTCGAATAGAGAGAGCTGGCTTTTGTAGATATATTGCAAAGCAGCAATTTGACTTATAACTTTACACTTTCACCTAATCTGGCACAGGCCCCAGTTGGTGGCTACAAAAGCTCCTTTTACTGTACTATTACGTCGCCTCTTTAGATTAAAGTTCCTGATATGGTATGTAATCACACTATAGACTGGCTCGCCAGTGCGCTGCCTCTTGGGCTTGACCACTTCGTCAATGTCAACAATATTGACCTTCATGATTGCCGTCTCGGTCCCCCGTCGGCTTGTCGATGGGCGCTTCGCCTTTTGCTACATGTACATTTACTTGTTCCATTCACTAGGCGGGCGACGCTGCTTCATTCCCGGGGTGGGTATGGAGACGTCCATAATATACGCGCGCGGTTATCGGTTCGCCACGGCCGTCCTACCAGTACATGCACAGGTAACCCACTGAGATGAAATTGTCGTCCAGGTGCCCTTCCATTCTCTTTTACCGCTAGGGCTGAATGGTGGCATTGCGCTGGATGGCGGTCGAGGGCGCCGCGGGCAAATAGGGACATGATCCAATTACATTGATGTAGGCGCCCATCCATGCCGTGGAAGAGACAGAGGCCCGCTTGCTGCCAAGGGCCCTTGTCGTTTCATAGCTCCGCGCAATAGCTGCGATCTTCCTGGTGACCTCATGGCAGTCTTGTTATCAGATGCTCTCGGAGGCCGCTTCTCAATCCTTCAGCTGATTTTGGAATCGTTACTTCAATCTTCTACACCCGAATCCGCGGACGTTTTCTCCAGCAGAGAGGTAAGAATACAGGTACCTTGTGTGTCAGTTGGGGCGTCTAAGACGGTTGCCAGCTTGAACATATGCAGTCCATTCAATGTTTGACCTCCCAAGAGATAGTGAGATATTCATTTACAGAATAGAATACCACACGCGAAGCAGCGATCAAATTTTTATTCTTAGCTAAAGATTCTAGCCTGCTCTTATCCATAAACTCTTATCCATAAATTTCACAGGAGAACGTCTATGCAAGTCTTCGCCTTGCCCAGCCCGAACCAGAGCAGTCCAGACTTCCACTCCTATACAGCTTCAATTTGCTCAATGAACACCTTGAAGCTGACACACATCTAGTGTATGACAGGTCATGAAACCTTGCAGCAGAGCCGTCACGTGTGTATACATTGCACATAAGATGGCCACATGGAAGATCTGGTGCGAGCTTCCCCAGATATCAAATCTGCCGGGTGCCAAGCGCTCCGGAATTCGAAACTGCAGCTTGTTCATCAGAATGAATTCTTAACTCTTGGGGAATGAAAACACGCCATAAGGTAAGCGTGTCAGACATACCGCATATAGGCCGACTCCAGTACCATAGAAGGTAAGCTCGAGTAGATACCATTTCATTCCCGAGTATTGGAGCATATATTCAAACCCGTATCGCTGGACTCCATGCAATAGGGGTATAAACGATGAAGCACCAAAAACAACGAAAGCACCCACCTTTACTTTCCGCCAACGCGGTGTCTTAAGCAGGGGATTAGAAATGAGAACACCGGTGACAGTCCCCGTGGTTAAGATCTGGAATTCATGTCAGCGTATTAACTATTGGATATTTAACCCGGATGTCGGGAGAGTGGGGTGAGCGGAGATGGTTACTCGGAGAGACTAACAATGGCCCAGTGTAGCTTTTGCAAGCTCGCTTCACAGAAGAACACATAGTAGATACCGGAAGAGAATGTACCCACTGTCACAATAACAATACCAAGTAGATCCATTCCATGCCAGAACGATTCTATGCGGTGCGAGTGGGGTTGTATCAGGTGGTAGAGTGCGCTTAAGACCAAACAGATCTCTGCACACCAGAAGTAGACTCCAAACATAGCATAGTCCATTGATGAAACATTAAAAAATCGAGGCTCCGCCAGGAACCACAGGAAAGCAGGTGTAATGAGCGGTAAGAGAAGAGCTCCGATTAGATGAGTGTATATATTGCAAGTCTCGTTGTGCAAAAAGGTCAGGCTAGTGAAGATCTCCAGATAGTCTGCCTTCTCTGGTCGATACCCACTGAGGATATACTTGTTGTCGAACTGCCATTCAGAAATCTCCTGCCACGTTACAGTTCGCGATTTGTCAGCCTTTGGCTGGTCTGTGGGCTCGTTCGTGGTGCTCATGTTGACTTTCGGCATCGCCCGTTTTTTGACTTTTGTTTCTGACATGATTCTTTGCCGAGATGTCTGCGCCAACTGACGATGAAGCAGAGGAGGAGGAGATGATGATGATGATGATGATGATGATGATGATGATGTTGATGATGATATAGACGAAGCGAAAGATACCGACGCCAGGTGCTAGATTGCTAAATGAAAGCCAGGGGGATGGGTAGGTGCCAAGAAGAAAAGATGAAGATGCGATAGCAAGGGACGAACACGCGCGAGACTCGTAACAAAGCGATTGTGGACGTGTTTCAGCGCAAAGCGTGCATTTATCGAAGGCAATACGAACCAATTATTACCGGTATAGTACTACAGTACATATGCACCTGTACCTTCACCTCCTGTCTTTATTTGCACTCCATGCCAACGAATGTCATTGGAGGTGACCACGCGCAAGCAGACACATGGCCTCTCCCGTTGCCGCCTCGGCTTTTGGCTGTTGGGGAGCTGTTCCATCTACGACAACTGCGATTCGCTTGTTGGTTCAGTCTCGTTATATTCCCATGCAGAAGTCCCAGCCGTACCCAGATGTACCGCTGTGCTCACAGCGGGCCGCCCCGTCGAATTGGACCTACCACAATTCACACCTTACCACCCGCGATGAAAGTAGCGCCTCGAGGAACCTTGAGTTCATTCAGCTCTGGGTGTGTGTTTAGTAGCAGCAGGGTAGCACAGCAGGGGGAGGAGTTTCATCAATGCGATACGGAGTACTTGTACATGATAGCTGTAATTCCTTCAGCTGATCGACTAAAGCCGCGATACCTACAACATGTCTCACAGCTTTACACAGCCATGCGCTGCGAAGAAAACACCTCCGGTCTGCCGCTACAAAAATCGTAGGTGATAGGCGGCGGTGATTTTTCTACCCCCCTTCAATGACAACACACCCGATTTATGTCTCAGTGAAATCTTCGAATCCACCATTTTTAGGCGTACAATCATGGATGTGGATGAATCCCAAGGTCTACTGAAGACTGTGCTTGGATTCTTCGTTCGAAGACGACCGGAAAAATCAGCGCGACCCGCGTCTTTGAGATCACGAACAAACGAAGCCTGGCTACGGACGGAAGCATTTCTGCAGCACGATGCCGATGAATCTGACGATCCTGACCCTGAGCGTATTGCAAAGACGCTGCATGCACTTGAGGAGTACGTTCAATACAACTCTGATGGGGAATCAGATTCCGTAAGTGCGTCCGATATACGCCAAGCTCTAGCCTTTCGGCCTCTCACCTCCTGCCTACTAACACAAAGTTACGGAGTAGGGCTTACACCATGATGTGCCGTATCCTAAGCTTCAGGCGATGCGCAGCTTGATCGAGCGTCGGAGTCATGATCCGCATTTCAATGCAGACACTACCATTCGCGTTAGTAAACGAAAACGAGAAAGCGATGCTGTCATTGAGGAGCTTTCGAATATGGATAGGCAGGCAAGGAAGCGCCGAATTCTGCCTCGTGAAGAGCCAAATGCTGGCGACATTCTCCAAGACCCCGATACCGACTTCGCTGTGCTGATGAGGAGACATCTGGTATCCTTGGACAATGCCTTGCGGAAAAACTGGATATGTGTTTGCCAGAAGTGCTCAGGGTTGAGCGTAAGACTTTCGCTGCCACAACAGAAGAAGGATTTAAACGTTGAGGCGTGCTTCGAAGTGTTCTTCGGTGTACGGTCTCCAGTTGAAACTGCATTGCAAGAAGCCAAAATAACGATTAAGTAAGCTTTGCGAAGCTTCGTGCAATGATTTCCACTGACACTTTTCGCGGTAGAGACGTACACGACAAGAGGATGAGGAGCGCGTCTGAACCCATAGTTAGCGGCGCGCCCGATTTTGCCCACATATGCCAAAGCATTACAGAATCTCTCGGTCAACGAAATTGCTTGCACCTGGCTCTTGAGGGTGGGACATTTCAGAGGCTTCGTCCGCAACCAAAGACCTTTGGCGGTGATCAAATGTCTCGAACAGTATCATTATCGGCTCTATTTAAGCGTCAGCAAGAGTTACGCGGTAGTTCATCTGCACTGCCACTCAAGGGGAAGCGAATTTTGGCTGTTATACTGGCTACTGCTCTCCTCCCATTCTTGGAGACGCCGTGGCTGCAGCCTTCCTTCAATCATTCAAATATTCTGTTCTTTGAGCCACTGCAGGATGGAGAGCTCCCCGACATCACGAAGCCCTTTCTAGCTATGGAACACATTCCAATCGTCTCAGCCGGCAAAACAGGCAACGGAGTCAGTTCTGACAGTTTTAAACACATGGTTCACCCTAATGCTAGTGTGCTAGCTCTAGGCATACTGTTGTGTGAGCTTCACTATTGCACACCTGTGGAGTTGATGCAAAAAGACTCGCATGGGGCCAGAAACGTCAATTCTGATTATTATACCAGCCTTGATATGCTCAAGTCTCTAGAAGTTGATGCTGGAGTAGATTACTATCTCGCGACGAAGGCATGCCTGCAGTGGGAGTACTACCCCCCTGGACAGCAGGCTGACTTCGAATCTGTCGACGTTCAGCGGCTCTTCTATCAAAACGTTATTAAACGACTCGAGGCTGAGATATTCAAGTCATGGGGTCTTCGAATAGAGAATTTGGGCTCATTCGATCCTCGACAAAATGAACTCTGCTGGGGTTCCATCGGTCAAGAAGTTGTCCGCCATAAAACAGGCAAGGTCGATCCCTCTAATACAAATAACGGAGCACGGGCACCTCTTCCGTATCGTTCGATCTCTGACGTCGCGCCCGTGAGCTACAAATCACTCAACTCAGATGTGGTGCTACGGCTAGCGGGGCCGACACAACCTTCTCCGGGATCGCAACTCCGGGGACACCTCGTCGAACCCTCGACGAAGAGTTTGTACTTTTTTGACGCAAGCCACCAGACGGGCTGCGAGCAAGAGTAAGGAGTTTCCCAGAGGCTATAAGACTTCGTGGTGCTAATGATCTGTCAGGAATCCACTTTCACAACAATGGTTGGACAATCTTCTGTCGTCGATTCACTACCATGTTGACCCTTTCGACGATGTCATGGCTGGGCGCAGAACGTTCGAGCCGGTGCGGATAGCGATCTTGGATTCTGGGTTTGACCCTGAAAATCCACTTCTGATGACTGAGGACCAACGACTAGATCCACGAATCAAGGATGCGCGAAGTTTTGTACATAACACTGCCTCACATGATATTCGAGACGAGATTGGGCATGGTACTCATGCTCTTGGTCTCCTACTCAAAGTTGCCACATGTGCTGAGATCTACATCGCCAGAATTGCTCATCGAGAAACTCTGGATCGTAACACTTACGATGACATTGCAAAGGTAAGGCTGCTCTACGGCGAGCAAACTTTTTTTTAGGACTGAGCTAATTGGTTATCTAGGCCATTAATCACGCAGTTTCTGAATGGAAAGTGGACGTTATATCAATGTCATTCGGGATTCGTGAATACAATGAGCCTATGAAAACGGCCATATCTAATGCACTACATAGTCAGACATTGTTGTTTGCTGCCGCATCAAACGATGGAGCAAATCTTGGCAGAGCTTTTCCAGCTAAATATCCCAGCGTCTTTTGCATACACTCAACTGACGGAAACGGTAACCCCTCTACGTTCAACCCGACAGCGGACGACAAAGACGTTAACTTCAGTCTACTTGGGGAGCATGTCTCTTCTCACTGGCCAGTTGGCAAGAATGGCCACAATGAACCTGTTAATGTCTTGTCAGGAACATCGGTCGCAACACCGATTGCCGCTGGGCTTGCCGCAGCGATCCTGTCCTTTGTCCGCCAGCAGGAACAGTACACCACTCCAGGAAATGAGTTGTTAGGGCCATGGCTGAAAGATGTTCATTCAATGGATGAGGTTTTAAAGAGTATGGTCAAACAGAGGAGGGGCGCAGGCTATGACTACATCACGCCTCATTCACTCTTTGATAGGAAGTCGACAAGGGAGCAGGTTTATGATAAGATCAAGGATATCAGAAGGCACTTGTATGACTAGACGCTTAGTAATGGTCCAGTGTAATTCCAATCCTTTACACAGTTCACTAAGGTCTTAACTGTATCTATTTCAAGAATTATTTACCATCATTAAGCGGGGACGCAATAGACATTGCCATTCTCGGTCACATCGGGAACGGCTTTCGCAGTCTTAATCTCAGACCCATCCACATCCTCGACTAGAACAGATTCGCCGTCTTCTTGTCCTCCGTCAACGGCCAGAAAAGCACCCTTGTTGTAATCCTCAACTTTCAATCTTCGCCCGAACTTGAGCCTTTTGACACGGAACGCAAACACAAATTCGGACTCACGGTTAAATTCCGTCTGATCGTCATTCGTGGTGACCCAGTGACCTTTTGGGCCAAAGGTTGTGCCTAGTGCAGGCACGTCGATTCCAATGTTCCCAGTGGCCGTCGTGCTCCGCGAAGTTAAGTATTTGATCCTCGCGCCTTTGACGAGCTTCAAGCCTGTGACGAGGAAGAGCGAGACAACGGGGGAGAATTTTTGCCTGGGCTCCCTCAGCCACGTCTGCACGGCAGGTGCTTTGATGGCTTCTTGTACATATTCTTGTGTTGGCTCAAATGCCAGAGTCGTCACCGTGTCAAATGCGAACGCATTCGCCCTTTTGTTGGAGCGCTCAACGTTAACTTCAGGACCAAGGGGCAATCCACCGGTAGCCAGCTGCAGGAACTGTGCATAAACACCCAGACCGAAGCCTTTCTCGGTAGAAATGGTCTTCTTCCAGTCAGTCTCCACGACAGGGGGGGCTGCGTCGGCAACGGCAACGATTCTCGCTCTATTCAGAGGGTATTGCGGTGTTGACGTAGATCGGATTATAGACCCAAGACATAGCGGGCCCGCTGGTGGTGGGTGGATGAAATCGGATGTTGGACACAGAAAATACGTTTTTGTAAAGGACATGGCTCTAAAGGTCCGGGTTAAAATCTTGGGCTTCCTTTAAGGCTTTCAAAATCCCCAACTTTTGTTTACTTGACAACTTGAAGCTTCCAGGCTATGTGTACCGGAACTCTCAACTATCCTTTGTAGGTATCGCTCACCAGGCACAACACGATGACCACAAAGTGTAGAGAGTGAACCTACCAAGACACCGCCACCTATCACTTACAACTTTATAGTATTAGTGGTAGACCGGCCATGTTTTCTTCGCACCGTATGCCTCCTTAGGTAAGTGGGCCTAGGACCGTCTTATATTCACGCCCCCCATCCCTGGCCCCCAAATCAATATGGGATAGAAATGCACTCAGTCACACTGTCACTCCGAGTGGACTTCCCACCACAAACTGTTAAAGCCTCGCCATGAATGCGACTGTTAGTGAGCGACTTGGCACACACGAGCAGGGGCTCTACCCATTTAATGCCTAAGTTTTATTGTAAGTCTCTCGCAAAAGGATCTTGGAGTCAAATCAGCGAGGCAAATGTGTCTGAATGACAATGATGGTGGCCAAGGGCGTTGGACTGAGAAAACAACAAAAGGTTACAAGAAATTCGCAAGCCAATCTAGAATTGGCATTCATGTCCGTTTTGCATAATAACGTCAAGGCTCTGGGCGAGCCGCTGCTCAATTGCGTGCCCTGTGTCAGGCTGTCACGGCGTTAACTTGTACCTTTTGTACCGCTACTTGTATGCGACCCGTTCCTGTACAGCATGCATGTACTCCGTATCTTACCAACAAATTACTCCTAAGGCAGCTGAGGCTGGGCATAAGCCCGCAATTTGACAGAATACAACACACATGCATCATCACATTATCTTGTCGCGATCTGCTTGTCCACGCCCTTGAGGAGCTTCTCTCCACGCAAAGACGGGAATCAGCTCCCTGGGCCTTTGGCGCACAAGGACTGACTGATCACCCGTACAAAACCCTCTCGCCATGATAAGTTTGGATCGCATGGAAGATGATTTCGTGGAAGATGTCTTCCTCCAAGAGGGCCTTTGCCCAACCATCGCAGAACATGCGGCACAGTGCAACTCTCTTTTCCGTGAATACATGGTTCTGCCAGAAATCGTGCCGGACCCTACTATCATGGATGATCAGCTGGCGCGCTTTACACTGTGGGCATCAAACATGGACGTCTACGGACCGCTCAACGTTTCGTTAGACTATAGACTCCGATTTAGTCCCACAGTTGTAGAGATCATACACCAGCTCCTGGACGTCATTTGTGATGCTTTGACATCCTGTGAGTATTTGTCGCACCAAGATCGGATGGACTAAACGCCAATACTTCTATACTAATAGGAATCTCAACAACAGTGAAACCGATTAACGACCCACCAAAATCTCCAAGCAGGAAGAGGCAACGCATATCAGAATACAGCAATTCGAAAGTCGCGAGGAGGGACGATGACGATGCAAGCGATTCGGACAGTTACGTGGATCAAGCAGAAGAGAACATTTCCAAAATCACCGATACAATCGGAGGGACAGTGTCACGGCTCTTTCGTCTATCCAATGCCGTTCGAAAGTCCGCAAAAGCCAACCGGGCTCGCAAATTTGAAAGATACAGAGACGATGAAGAGGCAAGCAATGCCATAGCCGAAATACGTCTCTACACAGAATGCTACATTCGGTTCCGGTTTCCGATGGCGCCGGATTCGCTCCGCTCAGCATTGGTCGAAGCCAATGCGCTCCGACTTCGACGACTGTATTACCAGCGATCCCATCGAAGACGCATCGACTTGAGTGTTCAGAATCCTCAAACTAACCTACCTGTTGTTCAACTACCCAAGATCAACGAGAGTGCTTTGGCTGTACGTTTCGCTCCGAGTGTGCTACCAAAGCCTGCGACCATCAACAAAACATCGGGACAAGCAGGCCCACCGCCAGTGCCAGTAACGAATGCTACAACTGCTCGACAAACTGCTGTTGGAGCTCTATACGCCAAATCCTCAACTGAGGTTCCTCGGGCTAAATCTGTTCTGGTGAACAACAAATTATCGTTCCCTCCAATACCGCCGACACAGGAGTGTCCATACTGCGGTGTCATTATTGAGTTCAAGAACAATGCAAAGTCATTGTGGAAGTAAGTAGTACTGTAGTTATTCTCGTGATAATATGAAATCTAATCTGCCCTAGCAATCATGTCATCGGAGATCTGGAGCCTTTTATTTGTGTTTTCCCACACTGCTTGGAAGCAGGCCAACATGGGACCGGTCCCCAAACATTTGAGTCGTCGAAAGCGTGGATCAGTCACATGCAGAACACTCACGGGCATACATGGGAGTGCAGGGCTCCTTCTCATGATCCAATTACCTTTGATCAGGAGATTCAGTATCAGAAGCATTCCATCCAGGAGCATGGCGTACCTGAAACGCATGCTGGGATTCTCAGCGGCGCGGCACGAAGACCAGTCCTTGATAAGATGTTGGAGTGCCCTTTTGGCGACGATTTTCAACCCCCAGGAAACGTCGAATCCAGTGCCGTCTTCTCGAGCGAAGCTCTCCAGTCACACGTCGCCGCTCATATAAAAGAAATTGCTTTGCTTACATTGCAAAAACTACCTAGCGAAGGAGACGAAAACGCTGAGAACGTCGATAGCGACCAGCCATTAGAAGATGATGGGCCGGGATGTGCAAACTTGCGTGGATCCATGTACAGTATAATGGACGACGAAGATCTAGACTTCCAGGATGACGATTCTGAGGCTGCAAATGGCACTCAGAGCCACCACGAAGAAGACATTAGCGCATCGGTAACAATACTCGACTTGGAGGACAAAGACGACTCAGGAATGACTAAGCTTCATCACGCGGTGCAGGCCGGCGACTTGCGCTTGGTTGAGTCCTTGATCTCCGAAGGCGCAAATTTGGGCGGCAGAGACAATGACGGCAGGACAGTGTTGCATTATGCTTCCATGGAACAGTTTCATGGTCCTGATATAATGACTCTGATCCTGAACGCAGGCGGTAAAGCTATCATGAATCTAGGTGACAACAGCGGCCAAACAGCACTGCATTACGCTGCAGAGAGGGACCTCGCCGACAGCACACGTATCTTGGTTGACCACGGTGTCGATACACGCACCACTGATAACTATGGATTTTCTCCTTTCCTCTGGGCTGTGGTTGCTGGACAAACACGCACCGCCGCTGACATGCTGTTAACCATAGGCGCTGATGCTAATTCAACCAGCGCGGATGGAAAGTCTGCGCTGGCTTGGGCAGCTGGTCTGGGCAGATATTCAATTGCTGTATTGCTTGTCAACAACGGTGCCAGCATGTCCAAGACTGGAAATATGCGGATGGTGCCGTTGGAAGAAGCGGCAGCTTCTGGCGACCTTGACACGGTACAATTGCTCCTCAATCTTGGTGGGGATCCAAACTATCGTGATCGTGATGGCTGGTCCGCGATACACTGGGCGGCAGAGGAAGGTCATCTGGAGGTTGTCCGTTTGTTGTTGAACCATGGGGCCAATGTCAATGCTGTCAGCTCTTATGGCACGTCACCATTGCACTGCGCTGCAAACGGAGGACATGTTTCCATTGTGAGCTTGCTTCTTCTACATCGAGCCGACCCACTCAAGTCAACATGTCACGGTTGGACTGCACTGCATCACGCCGCCTTCATGGGGCATTCTCATGTTGTCCAGTTACTCCTAGAAGATGACCGAGTAAGATCCAGTGCGTCTCAGCAGGATAACCATGGCTGGTCCGTTCTTCATCTGGCCATTCACAGTCGGGATTTGGCTACTATCAACGCCCTAATTGGCAGTTCTGTCATTGCAGAACCTCGGGCCCTCTTCGATGAGAGCGGCCTCACTGCAGAAGAATGGTTAGATCTTGGACGAACTAGCCATTCCTACAAAGCGACTAGTAGTTTAGCTTTTGGCAAGTCACGCTGTTGCAGGGCAGTCACAGGCTTACGACAGGCTGTTATCATAGGCAACGTTCCTATGATTAAGCTCCTCATCAGACTGGGACATTCCGTTAATGGCATGAATTCCGGAAAAAGGACCGCACTCTACTACGCTGCGAAGAAGCGCATGCTTTCCATTATGGATCTGCTTCTTGATAGTGGTGCGGATCCCAATATTCTCCCAGCGGGATGCAAAACTTGGGAAGAATTTATCTCAGATGACGCCGTTTTACTACGGCTCAGCCGAGCTGGTTACAGAAGGCGAGATACTGACCCTGAGGTAGAGCGCCAGATCAGATTAGCAATTAGAGCCCAAGGCCAGGCCTCTATTCCGGATCGGTCAGCCTCGTTTGTACCGGATGAGTCAATTTCACCAATGCCGTGGCGATCTACCCTCCCTGTGCCAGACCTTTCGTTCTCATCTGTCCCGGCTTCATCAGTCCCGGATCATTCAGCTCTAAGTATACCAGCAGGCTTACCGACGCCTGCACACCAAACAAATAACAATAAGAAGCGCAAATCGGGGACAGTCCGGTCACGCGCAACGGGCCTTTGGAAACGGCTGATAGGATAACAATTGGAATTCATCTTGAAGAGGCGAGAGAGGGAAGGGATAGTTGTATAATATATGTACCTTTAGCTATAATACTATCCATAGTCAGTGGAATGTTAAATGACTACATGTACACCATGCACGAGTTTAAACGCAATAAGGGTGTCTACATAGCACTGTGTAAAAAAATTTCATGGAATGTTATAGGCTGTTGTACTCCGTAAAGGGTAGTGGCTAGCATAAGCTAACACCAACGGATTTCCTTAGTCGTGATGTTAGCTCAATTAGCACCCTTTCCAATTGTTGTCACACACTGTTAGCATCTTTAGACAATGCCTCAACAATAACGCTATCTACCCGTTAGCTCCTCTACTAGTAGCTAACTCAAAAGGCAATAGCATTTTAAGGCAGCCCAAAGAGAAGAGTGATGAAGTCAAATAGCCTGGGCTTTGGGCCAACTAGCTATATGTTAGCTACGGCTTTCGTCTCAAAATCTACCTCAGGACTTGTGGGTAGAATTTACAAGGCTATCTATCATATTGGAATTGGCGAAAAGCTAAGTGGATATCATTAACGGAAGAAGACGCTCAAAAGTGGTATCAATTTGCCCAAGAACACTGAGAACAGACTCTCACCCCACTGCTATAGAAAGGCAGAATCCTTCCCAAGAGCAACGCGACAAGCAATACGCGACATGCGATTTCGAACGCAGACCCAACTACATACAAGTACATGTATGTATGTACTTTTCATTACTTAATTCTCACTTTGCTCTGCCCCTCCTTGGGTAGGAAAAGCTACGCAGTTCTTCATAAACCAACGATCCCCTTTATCATATTTTCGACTCCTGGCAATAAGTGCAGGTGCTGTTTCAGTCTTTGTCTCAGTACCACCGCAGGCGGTGCCAAGCCATATTGCTTTCCAATAATCAGGCACTCCACAAGGGTTTTGCATGCCCGCTTCTGAAGCGATCCAGGGGGTTGCTGTGATATCAAGGCACTAAATGTGTCTGGGATTGCCTCGCCAATTAGCCATCGGTGGGCAGCGGCATTCTCTTGACAGAGAATCAAGCATGCTGCTGACGGTATGTTGAGAAATCGGTCCTGCCCCTTCTCTTGAGAGCACTGAGCAAATTGGAGGATACTAGTCAGGAAGAGAAGTAATCCATGGGAGTCGTGGCTTTCGCTGATGACGATTAGTTCATTGGCACATGCCTGATTCGCGTCACTGAACAATTCAACCTCGTGACTGCCGCCAATGTATCCTTCGTAGAATTCTGCGATGACCCTGGAGAAGTATTCGATCGGCCGTGGTTCCTTGTTCTCGAGCATGGCGAAGTGCGATGTCAAGAGGACCACCGTGCGAGACACGTTTTCTTTCCGGTTGCCACTTTGAATACAGGCATCAAAATCGCTTAGGAACTCGCGAACGCCGTAGTGTAAGTACTCCTCTGCGTCTCTGTTGTAGGCGATGGCGGCCCAATGTGAGAATGCCCTGGCTGTGATGGCATCTCCTTCTCTCCATCCTTGTCGAACAGCTGCGAGTTTAGCTTCCGAGCCGACGAGGACCGCGATTACCAGCAATGCTTGAAGATCTCCAGGAGCCACCGCCCGAAATATCTGCGTCGGCAGGTCGGTCATGGCCGTCAGATTTCTAGGGTTCCTGGCAACAACCAGCTGGACGAAGAACTCGCGATATTGTTCGGCCCATTCTCGCAGTTCGTCGGTTCTATTCTCGTCAACGAGTTCCTGCAGTACAGACATATGCTCCCAGCGATCGAGCGCTATAAATTTCAGATATAGCGTCACTAATCGAAGAATGACGGGAAAGCGGAAGGAAAGGCCCATAGTCTTCATGACCATGTCGACGTTTCGCGACGCTTGCTTATATCGTGCGAGGAAAATTGGTTCCTGGAGTCCCAATAGCTCCTCCACCCGTTCTTCCATGGGTTCCGTAGGTCCTCTCAGGGAAGTAACTCCTGGAGGAGTTGGCAATTTGCTCACGCACGCTCCACGTTCAAGCAATATCTGGATGATTTCCCTCGAATTCGCTTGGATAGCTCGAATTAGTGGCGTGTCGCCATGCTCAGATTTACTCTCGAGACGGGCACCTCGGTCGATCAGTACAGACACGATGTCCTTGTACTGTCCGGTGACCGCTATGTGGAGTGCCGTCAAATCGCTCCGATCTTTGACATTAACACGAGCACCGTGATCAAGCAGCAATTCCACCATGTCTCGGTGACCTCGGTTGACGGCCCAACAAAGCGGCGTCCGGCCATAGTTGTCCTTTCGCGAAATGGCACGGGCTTGCTCGCTGATTAACAGCTTAGCCCAGGCTACATTGCCAAGGTACGCAGCGAGATGCAAAAGCGTGAACGAGGGCGGGTTTCCGCCGTTCTTCTCCTGCTCCCAATAGAATTTCCACCATTCGTCCCGGATTGGAGAATCGACTTGAAAGAACGGGCGTGAGAAGTCGGACGGCGCATCAATCGCATCCATGGCGTGATGGAAATGCACCGGCCAATATTGACTAGCATAATTCAAGAGAGAATCGCGGCCAGAACTCTCGTTAATTCTTCTGGGAGTTCCATAACCACGTTCGACGTGTTCTAGGCAGATCCGCATAAGAGTCCTGTGGGTGTCATGGCTCATACGGAACCCACTGATCCCTTTTATGTTGACTTGATTGCTCTGAAAGAAGTCCTTCGCCGACTCGTGGACCAAGTTGACTACATTTCCTTCAATTTTCACGAGTAATCCGCAGAGCCTGAGCCGATTCTTGGTTAATTCAACTGCCGTCAAGCTACCAGATGCCTTGATCCCTGTAGCCACTGTCAATTCATCCACTGTGAGGGGCCGGGCGGCAAGGACAACCCATTGAAGAATGGGGATCAGCGCTTCCTTGTCGTCGATTTGCTGAAGCAGCCGCTGATAGACCCCACCAAGGCCTTTGGGAACACGATGGAGAATCTCATTGATTTTGTCCCAACTCCTGCCCTGAAGCTCATTGGCAACGAATCCAACCCACAAAAAGGTACCATCAGCGCCAGCCAACAAGGCCTGTTGAACTTGGGTAACCATTTCTTCTGAGAGTTTTTGTTCGGTTGCCAGTTCAGTAACTTTAGCGAATATGTATCTTTCGATATCACGCGAAATCTCTGTACCAGAGGCGTCCAGCTTGATCTGCTCATATTGGCCGAGGGTTCTCTCCAAAATAGCTGGCTGGGGTCGGGAGAGAAAAATGAGCTTCAGTCGTGGCCTTGGCTTTTCCTGAGAGTTCGACAAATAGTTCCCAACGGCATCGAGAAGCTGCCTAAGTGATTCCTTTTCGCATTCATCCAGACCGTCCAGCACACAGACCACCTGTGAAGACTTACTCTGTCGAAGCAGGGTTAGGAACACTCTCCACAGGGAAACAAAGCTGGAAACGGTATATTTAGTTGTTTCAGTTCCCTCGAAGGAGCTCTTGACATATTGTGCTAGGTGTGGATGGCGGTCTATCCATTGATGTATGATGCCTCTCATTATAGTCAGCGCGGTGTTCCGGTTCTTGTCGCGGTTACTACAGAAGTAGTAAAGGAGAACATCTTCGGCAGCGTCAACTATCGGCTGTAGTACCTCGGTTATATAAATTGCCAGCATGGTTTTCCCTTTTCCAGGGCCGCCTGAAATCCAGAGGATTGGTAGATTGGCGTCTGCCAGCCACCCTTGATAGCTGGGGTGTTGTATGAGCCACTCGCAGGTGCCGTTAACTCTGCGTCCTTTCAAAGTGATGAGAGATTTTCGGTCAACTTCGGGTCTGGTTAGGAGCAAAGCGTCAAGGACCGGCGCGGCCTCGGCATATGTGTTTGCTGCCAGAGGTGTCGTCTTGGGAACCGTGGGGATGAACGAAAGGACCTCTTTTGCATATGCTGCAGCTGCAGCAGCGGCGTAGGCGTGCCAGAGCTTGGAACTGTGTGAATCTGCGTAGTCGCAGATTCCTCGGATAACCAAGTACTTGGAGGCATCCTTCAGGCCGCTCACCTCCGTTTCCAAACATAGAGCGCCTTGCTTATGCACCAACTTGTCCCGAGTCGCTCCGTGGCGTATCCGATATTGGCTCGAGGCAATCAGGCCATAATGAACTGTAGGGTCCTGTGTCTCCCGTGGCTGCCGTGACCGCATCTTATCCGGGTTACAAGAATTGCATCCTTCTTCTTCGGACTCAATAGTTGTGTGATCATAATCTGGCTCAAAGAGAACATCTTGCTCTGGGCCTGGGTGGGCAAAGGCGACAGGGTCTTTCTGCACAATCTCGGAGATGTATTGGGCCATCTTACTTTCATCGAAGATGGCGGCAGTCTCAGCCTTTCCGATAGCTGTAAGAAGTAATGGTGTTGGCTGATCTGGCGTTCTGCTGCGAATCAACTGATTTTGATCTTCCACTGGCTCCCCGTCCACATCGTATTGGACGACACCTGGCCAGCCAGCTGTCGATTTGCTTACAACGACATCGCCAAGACGAATATCCTCCTTCGTGTTCGGAACTCCCCCCGCAATGCCAACCATCAGAGTGAACCGGACAGATTTGAAGCTCGCGTGCAACTGGGTGGCCACGCTCGCCACCGACATTTCACCATACACGCCAAAATTTGGATACGCGAGCACAACATTGTGGCCTTGAAGACTCCCTAGAATGTAGTTGTTGCTGTCGTCTAAGTTCTGATCTGGAGGTAGATTATCATGAATGTGATCAAGCGTTGCTTTGGCTGCCGCGACTTCTACCGGCAGTGCGCAAACCCATCCGACTAAATAGTCGTTGCGGGACGCCATTTTTATACAGGCAAAGCGCACAGCACCACAACGAGAAGCTCGTAGAAGCTCACTGCCAACGCGTTGTCTTACTTCGAAGATGTCTGGACTGTCTATTGTCTACCTATATAAGGGACGACAAGGTCGACCTTCCGGAACATTGCGTGGGTTGATATGGGCGAGGAAAGTAAGGCAAACAATCAATCGGTCAAATAGCAGGTCAAATAAGTAGTGTGTAGCAGCGGACACGCGAGGGATAGACAGGCTTTCGATTACCTACCAACATGGATGGAAGTTAGTACCTACATATATGCAGCCTCAGCCTCAGCCTCAGTCCTGGACCTCCTGTGGGAATATCACAGGCCGTAGCACTACAAGAAAACCCCAAGTAGATCCCTGACTTTAGTGAAAGTACCTGTACCTATTCTACCCAGGTAAGTACATTTACTAAAGTTCCCGTGCACCCACGAGTTAGCCGCCCAAAAGTCAGCGCGAACAGGGTTACAACCAACGACATATAATGCAATCAGCGGCCTTCTATGCAGTTGGAAGCACTGCTTTACATTATGCTAACAACTAATTGTACTACAGGCAAAAAGTGCAATTTCTAGGATGAGGGATTTTTATCATTGGGCGAGCACATGCGGTATACCACGGGAAAACAGAACCTCATGACACTGGAGCTCCTCATTGGTAGAGGGAATGCACGATGAAGGGGAGGAGGGGCTTCGTGTTGCACATTCGTGCCAGGCAGGATGTCGTTGGGCGTGTCCGTAGACAGGTAACCGACGAGATGTATCTGCTGTTCTTCGTGATGTACTGTATGTGTTGAGCCAACAGCGGAGTTGTATGGCAAACCAAGCATCCTCTTGATAGGTGGGCGGTTAGCAATGCAACATGATTGGTTCAAAGGCAAGGACTCTGTCGCGCAGCACGCGTCGCAGGCTCAGGGATCATGCAGGCCCTGGAAAAGCAAAGCGAACTTGAAATTTGGACTTTTCTTTTTTTAGTGCACATTCCAGCTCTTGCAGCGTACCTGTAAGCAAGTTAGCTGGCGTCTAGCAGAAAGGAAGAAAGATGCAGGTAAAGGCGCAGTGCAAGAAACAAACATGAGCAATTGAACCCTCTCCTTCATTTTCCACTCTTGTCCCCCTCCTCCTTCTCCTCCAAGTCCAATGGCATCTACTCCCCGTCTTCGGCTTTCGTCCCCGCAGCCACCAATGGCGCCTGGAGAGCAGGGGAATGATTCCCCTAGCCCACGGTTTCCAGGCAGCACATCAAAGGCCGGCAAGGCACGCAAAGTTCTTATCTCGTTTGACGAGCTGCCAAAATGGCATCAGGATAACGAGTTCATTCTTCATGGCTATCGCCCGATCTCAGGCTCGGCTCAGGTTTCATTCCACAGCTGGTCATACATTCACAATGAGTCTGTCAATATATACTCTCACCTAATACCAGCAATCGTCTTTTTGCTCGGCGAGTGGTATATTCTAGAGTATCTTACAAGTAAATACTCCAATATGACTGGCGCCGATTTCTTCATCTTCAGCTTCTTCCTCTTGACTGCCATTGGCTGCTTAGGGCTGTCAACAACGTACCACACCCTAATGAACCATTCCTCCGAAGTTGAACAATTATGGCTGCGACTTGACTTGGTGGGCATAGTTCTCTTAACATTAGGCGACTTCGTATCGGGAATATACATGGTCTTCTGGTGTGAGCCTTTAGAACGAAAGATCTACTGGTCTATGGTGAGTTAATATCTACATGCCTTTTTTTGGTGTTGCAAACTCGTATCCAATACTTACAGTGGTTGACAGATTGGAATTCTTGGATCACTTACCATCTTCATCATGTTAAATCCCTACTTCCAAGGCCAAAAGTTTCGCGCTTTCCGAGCACTTGCGTTCGTAGGGACTGGGTTATCTGGCTTCGCACCATTGATACATGGAATCAAGATGTTCGGCTTCTCGCAAATGATGAAGCAATCCGGAATGCCCTATTATCTGATCGAAGGTGGATTTCTTCTGCTTGGGGCTTTGGTTTATGTCGTAAGCCTCCACAATTCGCACATGATGGAAATTGATTCTAAAACCTTGATTCTACAGACCAAGTTTCCCGAGAGTCGATTTCCAGGTAAATTCGACATTTACGGCTCTTCTCATCAACTCTTTCACATCCTGGTGGTCTTCGCCACTGTGACTCAATTGATTGGGATATTGGATGCTTTCGACTATAATTACGTTCATAGAACGTGCTCATCTCTCTGAGTCATAATTCAAGACTTTGTCATTATCTGCTGAGGTTTCGTTTTGAGCCATAGAATTATAGTATGCTATCGAACTAACTTGATAGGAGATGAGAGAACTTCACGAGTAACTCGCGGTAGATAATAGAGTAGATATTAGTTTTAGAGCTGGACAAATCCATTGATGTCACAGCAGGGTTGTTTTTCACTGAATGAGTAAGCGCTGAATGAGAGACAATGTCACGGCTTGTACGGAGTACCATCCGCACTAGTCGTATAAGCACCACCTCTCCCCTTATGGCCTGTAGTCAAATGAACTAAGTGTTCAGTCTGATCAGTGCGAAGAGGTATTAAGCTGCCGGTAACTTTTTAATTTTTACTCTTGCTGAAGTATGTTACAGGCAAGAAATTCAGTATTTCTCAGCCAGTTGTTAACACAGCCTCCACAATACACCCAGATTGGAGCCCAGAGATTCCTCTTGTTAATATTGCTAGCTGAGTGATACTATGTTAGGCACTCTTTTGAAGAGACAGGACCTCTTTATAAACAGACAATATTACCACAACGCAGAGAATCTATGGCAAATCTTGACGACATGGAAATCGACTTGACTTGGCAGATGTTTCAAGATTCTACGAGGAGGCTATAGTAAGGGGTGAGGTTAGCGCATCAGCTCTGTGAGGCTTCCAGTGACATAGACATGGATCTCCACAGTGAGGATATGGATTCAGATTCCGATTTTTAAAAGCTCATGTAGCTTTAGTTGTTTGAGTAGATACAGTCAAAACAACTACCAATTGGGCTTCAACCGTCACTCAATCAAGACTTGGCATGGTACTAATCCGCCTCTAATAATAAGCCAGGCATACATCAATATATGTGTGCTGTTGATAGTATTATTTTTGAGGACAGCAATGGTTTGGCAACCCACCCTGGCTAGATGCTAAGCCTCAATGAGCACTAGTACAAGTTTCGTTACAACCAACTCCCAAAAAATAAAACACAACTTACAGGATATAATGAAAAACTACAAATATGAGAAAAAATGAAGAAAAAGAGGTAAAAAAGAAAAAAAAACATACAACAGCCGGTGTTCGCCAGTGGTCACCCACCTGACTACTAATCTGCCGGTTAGAGGCTTGTCTATGGGGGAGCAGACGGGACCCCGAATTCTCCTCTACCTGTGGTCGTATGTGCTGGATCACAGAGGCAATTCGATTTAACTGGACAAGCCAACTGAGGATATCAAAAAAGCAAAAACATACAACAGCCGGTGTTCGCTGATGGTCACCCACTCAACTACTAATCTGCCGGTTAGAGGCTTGTCTATGGGGGAGCAGACGGGACCCCGAATTCTCCTCTACCTATGGTCGTATGTGCTTTTAGTGTTGGATAGTCTCTGTTATAACCCGCGTAATTGTAGAACTCATCCACGCCCATTTTTGGAACTTTTCAAACACTCAATTGGTGCTGTATAATAGCTTCGCCCGTTTTTTTTTTTTTTTTGTTCCCGATGTTGATGCAACATGAAAACGAGGTTCCATGCGGTGCTCATGACTCGATGTATTCGGACACCATAGTTTGTGCGTTTGCTAGGTTGAAATGGTTGGTGAACCATCGCAAAAAAAGCAAGTATCTCTTGCAATGTAGAAGTATTGACTCTCAACTTTCAGTAAACCTGTCACGTACCCTCCACTTTGGCGACAACTCCGAGCAAAAGCTTCGCATATGCCGCGGCTGTAGCAGCAGCGTACTCCTGCCAGACGTCGTTCTTTTGGGCGTTGCAATGATCGCAGATGCCGCGGATTACCAAACAGTCAACGGTACTAATCACACCAGCGGCTTCCATCTCGAAGCAGAGTATGTCGTGTTCATGTGCTAGTCGGTTGCGGAATGCCGCGTCTTTGATGACTCGATTTCCCGACGCTATGAGTCCATAATGAATCGTAGGTATAGTTGTGGTACGCGGAACGCGTTGTTGTAACGGAACAGCTCATCCGCCAGCTCCCCTATGTAACCTTTCTTCTTCAAAAACGAGGTTCTTGATTCATCGGAATACTCGGTAGCCGTGTCTTCAATGTCTTGCTCAACTAATTCCTGTGTCGACTGCGAAGTACTAGGACGCTGCATTGGCATGCCAAGCTTGCTCTCCATCGCAACCGTGGACTCATATCCCGAATCCGTGGGAGGAGGCACGACAGGGTCTAACTGTATCCCCTGCATTGAATCAAACGGCTTCGTCGAAACTTTGTCAAAATAGCCATCATCTGTCTTGATCGCGTTGTTCTGGGCAGCTGTGGTACTATCTGAGCTCACCAATTTTCGTGTAATATTGGAGTCCAAAAGTAATTCGTTGTGTTCGTCAGACGCTGAGGCTATCGTATCTAGAGATTCCGCAAATTAGTCTGTTACACTGAGCTCACTAATAATACGTGGGGGACGCAGATCAAGTGTCGGTGTATCTTTAATGGGCGATGTTTCTGCGTTTATTGCTGCATCGTTTGCATCTTGCGTCTCTCTGAATGCCCAAGCTCCCTGGGTCTAATCACGATGGATAAAGGGAGAACGTCTGTGAGGCCTCGATCTAACTGTCATCGCGTTAAGATCCGTGTTTAGGCTTCCGATTAAAACTCTAGGTTGATACTGATAGAATGGCAAATGTGCGAATCAATTGATCAGGGTATAAAATAAAGCTGCCCAACGAATTGCGTCGGGTGTGAACAAGGGTTGAAGCCTCATACATGTAGACAGCCAATTACGTGTATGTACCTGGGTACGCACATGATATGTACTTGTATATGTTGTACGTAACTACTTAGGTAGGTACCTACATAATTCATGTAAGTGACGCAGCAGAGAAGTCGGCAAGCAAACGAAGCGACATGTGGCAGAGGCGAAAGCAGCTAGGTTGGGTTGCAGCCTTACAGCTACTATACATATTGGAGGCTCAGCTTACGTACATTCAGCATGCAGTCAACCCCGCTGACTAGATCTCAGCCGCCATCTCCTAGTATGCGGGATCTAGCTTTAGATCCCATTTCAGTATCCATAATGCATCATAGCTAAGAAAGCCTCAGTGCTCTAAGAGCCAATGTCCTCTCTTCAACTCGCAATTCGGGCGTCGGACAGTCTTCGACGCGTGGCCGATAGCCTATGCGGGGATGCTTCTTGCGTCCAGTTCTGTGCTCACCTTAAGTCTATACTTGTTGATATCATCAGGTGGCTTCAAAATCTGCCCGATGATGCAGACTCGGAAAACGAAGCCGCCGAGCTACTTGAGGAGCTAGATAACCTTTGTCGAGTAACCATGACATTTCCTAGCTTATGCCATCATGTTGAACACCGCAGCTAATTCGTGAGTTGCGTATAGCCACAAGCCTTTTCTAGTGGCCTGATTCGAGCGGAAAAGCCAGGCACAGCATTACCAATTCCTGAATCACGCTACCCGGCTGTTGAGAAGCTTTTGGCCAACGCTGAAGATGTGACTCTTACTATCCGCATCTTGGCCAGTGATAAGAAATCACGGAGACGGAGGATGACGACTCTTGGCTGCCTTAAATCTTTCCTTCCACAGATCGCTAACAATGAAAATATTGACATTTCCCCGTCCAACACTGATTTGCGAGCTTTCAGCGAAGCGCCACTGGAGCTTGGGAAAGAGATCTCATCTCTTTACGAAGCTCTATTTACACATTGTTTCTGCCCCGAGTCTGAAGAGGTTATCGCTCGTATCAGATTGTGCAATAATATCCAGTGCGATGATGGCAAAGTGACGTTTGGTGTGCTCTTCAAAGCTCATGCTCACGATGAGTCCCTACCATGGTGGCAAGATACACACATATCGGTGGTGCAACGGACTGTGTTAGTTCTGTCCTTCTTGTATCAAGTGCCAATGTCAATAGAGAGCTTTGTACTGACTGATGCTATGCAGGAGGTTTGAGGTTAGCACGAACGATGAAAACGAAATCCGCGTGGATTCTGATTTGCCGTTTTGTTCTTACATCTCGGCTCAACATGAACATGGTCTGATCCTCTTGGAATTTTTGGTAACGGAGCAAAAGCTATACTTTCAAGAGTCCTTAGATCCGCTGAGGTATTGGGGATTTGACAGGCCCAGCATCTCTCTTGGCCAGCTCTTGGAGGAAGTTTCCTTGTCTGCCGAGGATATGACGGAGAAGAGGAAAGAAGTGCTCTCGTGGCTTTTGGCGAAAGCGACGTGGCAGTACTATAACTCAAAATGGATGCTTAAGCCATGGAACAAGGAGAGTGTGCACTTTCTCTCCGAACAACGACGGACCGAGGATGGCCATCAGCTTGACGGCATCTTTGTGAATGAACCCCTTCTTTCCATTTCTATTGCTCCTCAACTATTTGCATCTGAGGATACAAAGGCCTGTTCTCAGCGGAGAACAGACACGAAAAGCAGTCCAAAGCAACGCCGCTTACCTTTTGGTGGCAAACCCGTGCACCCAATACCAAAAATACTCGCGCTCGGTATCATGCTTATGGAAATTCAACTTTGTCGACCTATAGAAACTCTTCATGAAGATCCTGAATGGTCACAATATTGCCCGAATGGGAAGCCAAATCAAAACACCAACTTCAAAATCTGCCGGGATCTCATTGCGAAGAAAAGCTTCTTTGATGACATATCAGGTCCACTGGAGGGTCTCATCAGGGCTTGCATTCAACCACTTGATGTATTTGTGCCTCCTCATGTTCGGGATGAAGAAGATATTCGAGGAGCCTTATATGTCTTGGTCAACCGGCTAGAGGTGTATCTTTCTAACCGGAAGCCCTATAGTGTTAAACCGTTGAGTTTGCCAAGGAATGTGCTCGCAAACAACACTCATGCTATGTTACCGCCGTTACAGGCAACTGTACGGCCCCATACACAAGAAATTAAAGGGGAACGTTCACGACCAGGACGTACTATGTCGCAAATGTAAGGCTTTTTCCAAGACCAAAGTGTCACCTTTCTGAGATGCTCATAGGGCTCAGCACGAGTTCAACATCAACGGAAAGTTGGTTCAAACGGATCGATAGTTTCAATTATCTCTTTAAGGCCAAAGATGACGACGAATATAACAAGGTCAAGATTGCTGTTCTTGATACTGGTGTTGACCCAACTGATGCCGCCGCTGCCTATATAGCTGGGTACCGAGATTTTGTGAGCGGAGACGACAGTATCAAGTGCGACAATACCGGACACGGGACAACGCTTGTCAATCTGATCTTTGATATGTGCGACATGGCTTCTGTACATGTTGCGAGGATCTTTGATACAGATGAAGCAAACGACAACACCCAAACCCTCGCAATTAAGGTATGTTCCTGTTATCAAGCTAACATGAACCAGCATGAGCTAGCATGAGCAAGAGCCCACCGATATTGACTCCATATTCCCCTATCTAGGCCATTGACTGGTGCATCACGCAAAATATGGATGTGATCTGCATGGCATGCGGTTTTAACGAGTACAACGAGGAGCTGTATAAAAAGATACATGAGGCTTCTGGGAAGATGCTTATTTTCGCGGCACCGACAAACGAAGCCAACGTGGGTGGGATTGCCTATCCCGCCCAGTTTGACTCTCATGTCTTCTGCATGTTCTCCACGGATGGTGCTGTTACTAACTCCCGACGACTCAATCCAACTTCGAGAGAGGGATACACTAACTTTGCCATCCTTGGAGAAGACATAAAGACCTTGAGAGGCGAAGAAAAATCTGGAACATCCTTCTCAACGGCGATAGCTACTGGGCTTGCGGGTCGTTTGCTAGAGTTCTCGAGGCACAGCGACTGCCAGGGCCGATTAAAAAACGCCTCTATGATGAAGGTCAAGGATGGTATGGCTAAAATTCTGAAAGCTATGGCAGTGAAAGATGGACACTTTAACTGTCTAAAGCCTTGGATGCTGCTACCTAAGGAGTTACAGAACCAAATTCCGTTTAACAACGATATCTTTCCTACGGAGGCGGAGAAAATGGCGGCAAGGGATTATATCCGCAATGTGATGTCGCAGCGTCTAAGTGATGCGTGATACTACATGTAGTTGAATGGACGCCACCAGCACTGCAAATCGTTTCAGTATACATGCACTGTTTTCATCTTAGAAACGCTTTGCTATCAATACTTATTTATCGCTATGAGAAATTCCTGTTGGCCTCTATTAGATACTTCAAGTGCGTGTATGTCGCCTCCTTCTAAGCCTTCTTTAGCCATGACTGCCATGACATCTACATTGTCTGAGCCTGGCGCAAAGACAGTACCTTTTCGAACGACCTTTTGCGATAGGTCGGAACCAAAGAGGATCTTTGAAACCTCCGTAAGACGGATGGCCCAGACGAAATCATTCAAGTATCGCCCTGCGATATCTATTTTCTTCGTATCCGCATGTTTGATCTTGGCTTCCGCCGCTACCTCGCCTATCAGGTCTCTGGCTGTTTGTTAGACAAGCATGACTGGTCCTCATTATAGAATGTCATCTACTCACGCACTGCCTCTGCCATTTTGCTCAGCTTCGGTGCCTTCCTTCCGTTCATACTTGGCACCTCGCGCGATGATTAGCCCGCTAATCATGTAAATCTTCCAGGAACCAAGCAACTTATTCTTCTCCACCCACGCAGCTATTTGGGCAGAACTGCGACACTGCTCGAGATAAGCCATAGTTGGTTGCACAATCTGTGTGTCCAGCCGGTCAATAGCCCAAGTATCGCCCATCATTTTCCTAAAGACCACACCGGCTTCGGCGTTGGCAGTCATGCCTGTAGCCGCAGCGATAGGAGCACTGACGCCGGCAGAAGCCTGGACGCCTTTCGTAGTGTTGTTGGAGAGGCGGAAATCGACAGCTGTAGTAGGCCAGATGCGCATGCTGCGCGGGAAAGGCGTGATGCTGTCCGAGTTAATGACGCTGTCTATCTGCTTGGGGCTCGGGATGAAGTGGCCTAAGCAGATCGGGCCTTCAGCCGCACCAAAGGCCATGCCCGGATGCTTGTATTCAGGCGCCGGATAGTGCGTCTGGCGGAGAACAAACCAGCATTTGTCCATACTGAGAAAGCAAGCTGTTCTGCCGTTCTCTCTAAAAGAAGGCTGCAAGTTGGAGCATCTTCAAAGACCCCGCTCTACGACAGTAAGAGGTACCTATGTACGTGTATGTGTACCTCAGGTTATGTATTGACGTATTATTGCTGGAGTTTTCTAGTACTTGGTATCATTACTCAGCTCATGCAACCCCCGCTTGCTGCATGGACCCCTCGTCGGTAGGCAAACAAAGACGATTCAGCATCCGAGGCGTGACTGAGACAAAAACATGATGTATGCATTGCGCTCAAGAATAGCTGAAGCCTCTTAAGTCAGAATACTCATCTCCAGATACGGCGAATCATTGAAGCTAGTGCGTTCAGTTATGGACTTTCAGTCTCATCTTGAGACGACTACTCCAGAAATGGACAGTATCGACAACAATGCCGAGTTGGACTCTTCTACGTCCGAAGCGGAAGATCATGCCAAAGATCCCGAAGCACTTCGACGTCTAGCTGAAAACTGCCAGGCTCTTTTCAAAGATTGCCAGCGACACCCAGTTTTATATGAAAGCGACTGGATCGATAAGATGTCTGCTGACTTCAACTGGTGGTCCCTCGGCACCAATGCGACGAAGAGCGGCCACTCCTCGTTAGATTATCGTGTTCAAGCTCGAGACGATGTGCGAAACGTATTAGTTAGTCTCTTGGACAGCTTAGTTGTCTCATTGAAGAACTGCCTTAATATCGGTAGGTCGAGTTTTTGATAACCTCCAAACACACTTTTACTAAGGTATCAAAGCAAGTATCCAAAAAGTTGATCTCGACAAAACACAGCACAAGATATCCCAGGACGATGGGGAACAAGAATTAAAGTCTGAAATGGAGACCACACAGTCACAACTGTCCAATGAAGAGGATTCGGAGCTCGATGAGCAGATCTACTACATTAAGACAACTTTGCAATTCCTCTCGGAAATATCTGCGGCGATGAGAAAATCCGGCACAAAATTCAGGCATCAGCGAATCGACAAACGTTTTAATGAGAGGTCTCTTGAACTTGAGGATTTTCGAAACTACTTAACGCATATCATTCTAATGAGCCCCTCAAAGATGCACTTACTGGATGAGGTTCTTTATCGTCACACACGGACAGAAGAGTTTATCTGGAAAAAGGTGTGGATGACACTCCGAGCATATTTCACAGATGCACAGAGACTGAGTCCTGTTCAAGAGCGACTCATTCGGGCGAACCTAGTTCGACGAAACCGGTTCGATGTTTACTTCAGCAAGTATTGTCGAAAGATGAAAGCGGACGAGGGCTCGAAGGGAACTCTAACGATCAAACCGACAGCCCAAACCACGACAGCCGTCTTAAATCCAATTATAGAGAACCGACCAGCTTCTATTCAAGCCCGAGATCCTGTTTTAGAGGCCAAGCTGGAAAATACGCACGGGCTACCTGAGAGACTAGCTCCAGACAATAGGTCTGGAGTATCTTCTCAGCAAACTGCTACAGAGATTGGTAGCTTCGTCATTCCTCAGCGACCCAGAACAAGTGTAACAAGGTCTGTTAGCACCAAGTTCTCTCAAGGAGTTCTCAAGCAAGACTATCCGAAGTGCCCTAATGCCGAGGGCGAAAGCTTTTGGTGTCCGTTTTGTGCTCAAGCGTTGGACTCCTCTTACGCAAACCAGGAAAAGAATAAAAAATGGCGGTACGATCAGCCAAGTCCCTTCTACTAATACATCACTAAGATCCCATAGTGGTCATGTTGCCGAAGACTTGAGTCCATATGTTTGCATATATGCAGACTGCGACAAACCCGATGACATGTACATCTCGACGGACGAGTGGAGGAAGCACCTCAAAGACTATCATAGGGTGCCCCGCTGGATTTGCGACACCTGCTGGTTTGAATCAGATAATCCGATTGAGTTCGAATTTGGCCTTGAAGAGGAGTGGTACGATCACATGAGGACCGAACACAGCGGGGAATACGACGATGACGATTTACCGGAGTTGGTTGAAGCAAGCCGTAGAGCAATAGTCCCACCTGTTTCCTGTCCGCTTTGCTTCGAGAACACGCCTCTCCTACTGCCAGAGACAGACAATCATATTGCTGAACACTTACACTCCTTCGCACTGCAGGCCTTGCCATGGGAAACTGTCGGACCTGACGACGACACACGGGCATCTGTAGGGTCAAACGTCAGGAAGACTGTACCCTCGGATGACAGCCATGACCTCTTAGAGGAAGAAGATAATCGGTTTCCGATTTTTCATCCTCTTGACCTAATAAGTGCCACTCTTAAACGCTGCACAAATTTAGCTAAAAGGAAGGAAGTAGATGGTTTATCTACGCTCAATTTAAAACTGACTGATTTGACCGAAACGCTTCAAGGCCTGTCACAACGCTTCATGTTTTACAACCCCGAAGTTGCCCCTGAGATCGCACTTTGTCTCACACATCTAGAACTCACCTTGCAAAGGCTTACTCTCAGCGACGATGATCTCATAGATCCATGCACTCTTGAAGGTCTGGAGGCCGATATTGTTGCTAGGCTGGCATCTCTGAATGCACTGATGGAGCTCGGAGAGAAGAGAATAGTTGATCTTCCGGCGCCAGACACAGAAGCACTGCCATCGAACAATGTAAGAGACCCATCGCTCGAATCTACAGATAGAACAGCTTTATCGTCCGATCTATGGTATCAAGCATTCCAAGAGCTAGATGAAAAGACTCGGGAATGGATCCGAGACCCTTCTGAATCTAAAGCAGAGAATGTTCGACAGTGGGTCACAGACCTTGTAACTCTTATTCAGGAAAGAGAGGAAGAATACAATGACAGCTCTCCGAAGCTCAATGTGAGAGGCTGTGAGATTATATGGAGAGATTATGCTAGCAAAGCAGAAACGTTGCTGGCGACAATTGGGGACATCGCCGTCAACTTCGCCTTTTCGCTGTCCACCATTATCTGCTCTGCTCTAGGAAAACTCATGAAGGTGAGGTCATGAGCGATGCCAAATGATAATGATCTCTAACTCTTAAAATAGACCAAAGTGGCTCAATACAAAGACCTTGCTGCCATTTTTGTGTGTGCTGAAAAGGTTCTCAGTCTCACGAGACGAGGCATGGTTTACGAGATAGTTTATCTCCAAGATGCCTCCTCTAACATTGCCACAAAGGAGTTGCAGAAGACTCTTGTCGACCTATACAAGGCATTGCTACAGCTCCTCAGCTCTATGCCTGCGCAATTAATTGAGAATCAGGGATGGCAATTCTTCCAGGCCCTCGCCTGGAGCGGAGAAGATGCAGAGCGAGTGTCAGTCCTATCCACCCACGAGCACAAGTTATCAATGGCAATCCAGGCTTGCGATACGATTCGGTTGACAGCACATCAGAAGCTTTTGCAAAGTCTAAGTACGCCATTGAGACGCGTCGATAAAAATGTAGAAAACTTGACCGTGCTTCTCCAAAAGAAAAGCCTAGATGAGGCTTTGGACTACATAAGTGTCATCCCTATTGAGAGCCATCATTTAGAGAAGAGAGAAACTAGAACTCCAGGGACATGTGAGTGGCTTTTGCAAGACCCTCGGTTTCTTAAATGGGAAGAGACGAGCTATTCTTCAATTCTATGGCTTCATGGTATTAGTGAGTGAGCGTGAAGCATTTCACTATCTAAAGGCCGCGGATATGATGAACTAACAGTCTATGATAGCTGGTGCAGGGAAATCTTATCTTACGTCCAAAGTCATTGATCGCTATTGGTTTGACAATGAAAAGGATGCTAAACACGACGAAGGATTTGCCTACTTTTATTGCAGTCTCTCTGATCCAGCTCGTCGAAATCCAACCTCGATTTACCAGAGCTATATTCGCCAACTTGCTCAGCTATACCACTATCCCAGGAGGATTCACAAAAGTATCTTCAATTTGTATTACAAAGCTAAACGAGAGCAGAGAAGTCTCAGTTTCAACGAATGCAGAACGGCATTATCCGAGCTTCTCAATTCCTACCCACAGACTACTTTAGTACTAGACGCTCTTGATGAATGCGAGGTAGAAACTAGAAAAGTGTTGATGCTCGACCTGAACAGTTTAGTCACTGCCGCTGAGCGCCCGGTCAAGGTTTACATCGCTAGCCGCATGGAAGTTGACATTATAAGAAATCTGCGCCATGGGAGCGATATCAGTATTGATCCCTCCTATGGCAAGGGTGATATTGAAAAGTACATTGAACAAGAAATGAGATTATTAAGCAATAAATGGAAGTCGGTTTCAGAAAGCGTCAGAGCTAAAGTCAGCCGCACCATTACTGACCTGGGTAGTGGAAAGTAAGTCCTTACAACTGTATCTCAAATACCTAGGTAGCTTGCGTTATCCTCCGCTAACATACAGCTCTAGTTTTGTACTAGCATACCTCCAGTGGGAGCAGGTCAAGAAATTGAAAACTAACAGTAGCATACTTAGGGGGCTAGAGAACCTCCCCAGGAGCCTTGACGAGGCGTATCACGACATTTACAGCCAGAATAATGAAGCTGAGTTGGTCATCTTCCAGCGGGTAATGAAATGGGTTTTCTGCGCTCAAGAGCCATTGTCAAACGAACAACTCCTATCAGCCATTCGATTGGAAGCCCAGAAGGACGGCAGGGCTGAAGCAGCCCTTACGACGTCAAGTCCCATCACCCAATCCACCTTGGAGTCGATCTGCGGCAACTTGATAGTCAGAGATTCTCGGTTGAATGTGTGGAATTTTTTCCATGCATCAGCTGCAGAATATTTCAAAGGATATGTCAATCACTGGCGGAGAAACGCACACGAAGATGTGGCAGCGTTGCTGATTTCGTGCTTGATTAATTGCTACTCAAGGTGGACAATACCGCCCACAGCCGAACATTTTAAGTTATGGCTAGAACACAAGCCAGACCTTGACGACTATCTTGACCTTCGACATCCCCTTCAAAGCTATGCAAGGAGATTTTGGGTACAGCACGCGCGGAGTAGTTCAAACCACCGCCTAGTATCGCCGATCCTGAAACGATTTCTAGGAGCTAGGGGACCGCAAAGATCTTCAAGTCGACAGTATCGACTATGGTGTCGCCATATAGAACGTAATCCTCGTACTATGCCAGCTTTGGCTGCCACGGATCTATTTCCTGTACAAAAATCCATTTTCGGGATTTGTGCCTTGGGCCTCCACACTTTACTTGAAGGCTGGTGGGAGGAGGATATCGATGCATCGCTAGTTAATAGCTCTGGGATGGATTTGCTATCAATTGCTGCCAAATATGGTCATCACAAACTCTGCTCCGACCTTATCAAGCACGGAAGCGACATGGATGGAACCTTGAACAGCGTCCATGGAAGCGCGCTGTCTGAGGCCATCGATATGAACCATGTTGATATAGCAGCGCTTCTCCTAGACAGAGGCCACAACCCAAATACCTATTCTGATGGCAAAATTCTTCTGTGTATTGCTGTTGAAAGAGCAGAATGGGCTGTTCCAATGCTTCTTAAAGCAAAGGCGGATCCGAATATCTCCTGCCAGTCTTGCGTCTATGGTAGCGCCTTGGACGCAGCTGTTCAGATGGGAAAGGCCGACATAGCAGAGATGCTTATACAATATGGGGCAGATGTTAATCTCTTAGCTGGAATGGGAGATAAATGAAGTCCTTTAGCGGCAGCCGCATATGGGGGGGTCACTGGAGTGCGTCATACTTCTTATAGAGCACGGTGCCGACGAGGACGCTCAACCGAAACATAGACGTTACAACAGTGCTTTAGTAGCTGCTGTAAGTGGAAAATTGCTACGGTGTGTCAGGTTTCTGATAAATCATGGCGCCGATGTGAATGCTCTACTGGAACATGGAATGTTTGGTAGTGCTCTAGCAGCTGTTGCATGTAGGAAATCGCTAGGGTGTCTCCAGCTTCTCTTAGAGCATGGGGCCGATGTGAATTCTCAACTGAAATGCGGAGATTTTGGCACTGCCTTGGCTGCTGCGGTTTTCGGATGGAGTGAAGACATTGAGATTGTCAAATACTTGGTCGAGGAGGCCGGGGCTGATACCGGCATGTTATCATCGAACAAGCGCTGGGTGGCAATGTGCAAGCATTATCACCATAGTGAAGACGCAGACTTTGTTCGAAAAGTAAGATATCTCGTCGAGGGAGGGTTTGTAGAGGAGAATGTTCTGGCTGATCTCCGCGTGAGTGAACAATAGCAGTGCTGCTATATTATATATCTTCAAAACTCTGCACAGCCTTTCATTACCATTTAGTGTTGTATTGAAGTAACAATAATTACCGTGTAGTTCTAGGTCCGCTGCTTAAGTATGAGGTATATATGAGATATGGACTCCAGATCTTCACGCCAGAATAGCTATCCCGCATCACATTAACTTTCATCCTATGTAATAGAATGACAATTTCAGTTATTGTAATTCCCTTGTAGATTAGTACATTGCGCTATGAATACTAAGTTTCCTGAAGGTTATAAGGAAATATGTGCAGCTTAGGCGACGGCGATTTTAGCAACAGACGATGTGTCCGGAATTATATTCCGAGTTGGTTGGAAACGAAACAGAGATTACTAGGCACTATAGATAGCTGAGGATATTGGTGATTTCTGGCAGCTATCCAGAGACCAAAAGAATGATTTCTTAGGCTTATATATGTATTTTCTTTTTTTTTTTTTATTCAAATTGTCGGTGAAGATGCATACAGTTCTGTAACCGCCTGGGCAATAATGCACTGGCTTGTGCTGCGTAAGTACCAATTCCCTAAACAATTTCATCAAACAGAGACAATAAAAGAAATTATCTAAATATTGTTCTATTTATTTTCAGCAGCTGCATTCATCTATTCCTCCAATCTTGGAGTTCTGAGGCCCCCTCTCTCTGTACTGAACTTCTTGGTTTGTGGTTGGGGTGAGCTTCCTTTATAGAATAGAATTCAGTGGATACGCACGTATTTAAGGAGGTATGGCCGAGTGGTTATGGCGATGGTTTTAAGTTTCTAAAATTTATACACCATTATCGAGAGATGCGTGGGTTCGAGCCCCACTGCCTCCATGATACTTTTGTTTTTGTTATATTTTTGCTAAATTGTATTGTTTTGAATACAAACCTTTAAAAAATTTCAAAGACAGTCTTTTTGCTTTATTATAATTAAGCTGTATAAGTAATATTTGGCTTGTAAACAGAGATGCAAAGAAAAGTAAAATAATTAAGGAATTTGCTGTAAAATGTTTATTAAGTTATTTATTTATATATATAAGGCTATTTTTATTTTATATATATTACCTTAATTACTTATTATATTTTTATATAGTATATTGCATTACTTTTTTAATAATCCAGTAGTAGTCTTTGCAAAACGGCTACGCAAGTCGGTAAAGAAAACAAGCATGGAAATACTCTTTTACCACGAAGAGAGCGAAAGAAGCTTAGGAATGGAAATCTCTCATATTTGTCTCCAGTCTGTTTCAGTAAATGAAATAAGTCTGCGAATAAAGAATCTTTATTTACAGTATAGAACTAAAAACACATTTGGTGGCCTACTCCTCGCCCACGACAGCATCATATGCATCGCTGAAAAGCGGCTTGATCCCAGTCCACGTCTCAAACTGGTTAAAGAAAAAACATACATTAGCTTCAACGTCATCAATTCAAAAAGAAAAGGGAATTACATACCTGATACCAGCCCTGAGCAGCAAGAACCTCCAATCCGGAAATCGTCGTCCAGTTACCAGCACTCTCCGCAATCTGGATCACAGGGGTGCGGGGAGGGTGGTACGCCATCTCGAGGAGAACGCGGCTCTCGTTTTGAGCAGCAGGTGTGGACTTGAAGACTGCGCCGAGGATTTCCTCAACTCCTGAATCAAGAGGCTTGTCAGCCGGGATAGTGCTGATGCTGACAACGGGCTTGCTCGCGAGTTGCTCGGCATCAGCAGTGCTTGCAACGGGCTGGACGCCGTATTCGGCCGGGAAACTCGAAGCGAGGCTCTCGACCTTCTTGGCGTCTCGACCGACAAGGTAGATGGGGGAGAAGCCAAGCGAGTGCAGAGCAAAGATAGCGGCGCGGCTTGTGCCTCCGGCTCCAATTACGGCAGCACTGGCATTGCCATCCTGTGCCTTGACGCCGGCCTTGCGGAGGACGTAGACCATGCCTTTCCAGTCTGTGTTGTCGCCTGTGAGTCGCTTGCGGCCATCCGCAGAATTGTCAGTCGTTGGAACAACAGTGTTGACAGCACCAATAATCTTGACTGCATCGGTCAAGTCATCCAGATGAGGCATAATGTCCTGCTTCAAGGGGATAGTGACTGATGCACCTCCAAAGTCCGCGCTGCGCAGCACCTCCAAGACATCCTCAACTTTGTCCGTCTCCAGGCGCTGGTACTCATGCGGCAAGCCTACCTGGCCGAAGAGGGCATTGTGAAGAGCAGGTGATCGCGACTTGGAAATCGGCTTGCCGAACAAGTAAAAGTTTTGCGGTTCGATCTCGCCCAGTAAAGCCAGACCTTGTCGAATTTCGGCCGCAGACAGCTGTCCGGGAGCAGCCTTGAATGGAAGGGCAGGGTGCGAAACAGGAGTCAAGAACCCGTTCAAGACACGGCTAAGCTTCCCAGCAGAGCCCATGTTGAGGGCAATGATGGGTGTTGGCTGGGCTGCCAGCATTCTTGACTTGAAGCGTATCAAATCAAAGTTGTCTTCGACGGTGCGAGCAGTGCCGACCAGCTTAATCACATCGCCATATTGCAAGGCTCTGTTGTAAGCGGAAACCCAGGATGCATTCTTCCACGACAGAGCACCAGCGGGATCGTGGTGGGACGTGATGATCACAGTGTGTCCGCGAGAGTCTCTGACCTCCTGAATGATCTCATCAGACAATGTCACCTCCAGGTCAATGTACTCCACGCCCATCCGAAGGGCCAAGCGGTAGAGCGCACGACGCAGGTCATTGTTGTCATCGGGGAATTTACCACCCTGAGATTCGCTTCGGACGGTGAAGATGATGGGCTTTCCAGTCACATGTCTGAGCAAAGACACTTGCTTCATGACAGCTTGTGGCTGCTGATCTTGCAAGAGATCGACGCGGAGCTCCACGGCATCGCAATCGGCGGTAACGCGAGGCAATATGTCTACAGCCTTGTTGAGATCGGGCAACGTCAACGATACAAAGAAGCTCTGTCTCTTCTTGGAAACTGTCTCGAGGATCTTGGACTTTCCAGAGATCAAAGACACAAAGCGTGTAAAGTCGTCAGGAATGTCAGTCTCTCCCACCGAAGGAGAGTCCTGTGAGTGTGGGCTATAGTACAGGAAGTTGCTGCACTCCCTATACCAGGGCCTCCTACGCTCATAAACTTCCCTGATTTCGGTTGTATATGCCGGTCGAGTCTTGTCCTGGGAGAGGTAGTCAACAACCTGATCGGTATCCCGCTGGACGAGCAGAACAAGACCGCCATTGGCGCCATACGACTTCAGGACTTCCCGTGCAGCAGGGGTCTCGACAATACCCCCTCCGCATGAGAATACGTATCCATTGGGATGCGCCTCGATAACGTCGCGCAAAAGGGCCAACTCGTCTTCGCGGAATCCCTCCCAGCCACGAGGACCTCCAATCATCTCCGGAATCGTGATGCCAGCTCGGCGTTCAAGCTCGTGGTCCAGATCGATGAACTTCCAGCCAAGTGTCTTTGCAACCCACTTGCCGGTAGTCGTCTTTCCGGCGCCTCTCATGCCAACGACAAAGATGGAGCGCTGAAGGCTAGCAGCATTCTTGGGTTTGGTTTCACGGCTGCTTTCCGTGTCCACACCCTCCAGGCTGGCCCGGAACGACTGGGCCAGGACGTCCCACCATCCTGGCCAAGTTTTACCAACACACTCACGCTCAGTCACCAAAACAGGGCCAGGGGCTGCAAGTGACAAAACACTGAAGCTCATCGCAACACGGTGGTCATCATAGCAGTGGATGCTTTGCTTCGGTGTGATCAGGCTTTCCCTTGGTTTGCCAGTAATCTGGATGCCATCATCAAGCTCGGTGCAGACCACTCCAAATTTAGCAAGCTGATCCTTCATCGCCAGAATACGGTTGCACTCCTTCACTCGCTGGTTGGCAATTCCAACAATCTCCGTCGTTCCAGTAGCCACCGCTGCCAAGACAGTGGCCGTGAGGAAAGCATCCGTCATGGTTGTCATGTCAACGCTGGGCAGAGCCTTGAGGGTTCCGGACTTGGGACCTGTGACGGTAGTCGTATAGTCATCCTGATGGACTGTGCATCCCATAGGCTCGAGAATCTTGACAGCGAACTGGGCGTCACCCTGAAGGGACTTGGAACCAATGTTGGGAATGGTGCAGGTGGTTCCAGTGATAGCAGCCACTGCAAGCGGGTAGGTGGCGGAACTGGCGTCGCTCTCAACGGTGTATTCGGCGGGGTTCTTATAGACACCTTGAGGAATGTGGTATGTGTCCGGCTCGGTGGCAGAAGGAGTGACATCAATGCCGAACGACTTCATCATGGCAATGGTCATGTCAATGTATGGCTGGGAAATAGGCTTGCCTCCAACCAATCGCAATGTGACGGCCTTCTTAGCATAAGGCGCAGCCATGAGAATGGATGACACGTATTGGGAGGAAACAGTTGCCGCAAGCTCGATTTCACCTCCCTCGAGGCCGTTTGAGGCATTGATTCGGAGCGGAAGACTCTTCTCCTTTTCCATGTAATCAATTGCGACTCCGTTGCTGCGCAGGGCATCAACAAGGGGGCCAATGGGTCGAAGCTTCATTCTCGCGTTGCCGGTGAGAACTGTAGTAGTAGCTGTGTTTGTGGGAGCGCACAGAGCCGCAACCGTGGTCAAGAAACGCGATGCAGTTCCAGCGTTGCCAATGTACAAAGGCTCATCTGAAGCCTTGAGCTTGCCAGAGTTACCCTCGACAACCAAAAGCTGGCCTCCCTCTTCCCACGAGTAAGATGTGCCTCCCAGCGTCGAAATGGCCGAGAGCATGAACTCGGTATCGTCTGAGTGGAGCAAGTTTCTGATTCGGCAAGAACCAGAGCCGAGAGCTGCGAGAATCAAGGCTCGGTTGGAGATGCTCTTGGATCCAGGGGGCGTGATGGTGAGGGCAAGGTCGGAGGGAATGCCAGGCGAGACCTCAACGGAGTCGGAGAGAACGATTCTGATGGACTTGTCATCCACTGAGCTTGCCTTTGCCTCGTGAGTCTTGCCAATTGCGGAGAGCAACACAATTTTCTTTTGGCTTCCATCATTCTTCTTATCAACGGCCATCTTCTTGAGCAGGACATCGACAGGGCATTTCTTGCCCGCGGTCAGGTTGATGACTCGCTTGTCCTTGAGCGAGGTAGGCAGACCATAGGAGGCAATGCACTTCTCCAATCTGGCGACAGCCTCCGGTCTCAAAACACCCAGGAATCGGGCCAGCTCCGCTTCCTTTACCATACCAATAGCCACAGCCTCGCCGTGAAGAAGCTGCGGGGTAAGAAGAGCCTCAATAGCATGGCCAATGGAATGGCCGAAATTGAGCAGGTTTCGAAGTCCGCCCTCTCGCTCATCGGAAGAAACAACCTCAGCCTTGACTCGAGCAGAGCCAACGACAATGCGCTTGAGCGCATCCTTGATAGGCCCAAGTCGGTTCTGGCCCTTGGAGCGAACGCTCGACAGAATGGTTGCGGCCGACTCTTCCAAGACGGTAAACTCTGCCTCATCCCAGATGGCCGCAGTCTTGACAACCTCAGCCATGCCGTTGATGAACTCGCGCACAGGGAGAGTCTCTAGGAAAGCAAGGTCGATGAAGATCCGGCGAGGCTGCCAGAACGCACCAACGAGGTTCTTGCCCATGGGCGTGTCAATCGCCGTCTTTCCGCCAATGGATGAGTCAACCATGGCCAGAAGAGTCGTCGGGACCTGAACAAAGCGAACACCGCGCATGAAAGTCGCCGCAACATAGCCAATCATGTCACCAATGACGCCGCCTCCAACGGCGATGATGACGGTGTCCCGCGTGCATTGGTGGGACAGCAGCCAGTCCTCAATCTCGGCCTTGGTCTCTCTGCTCTTGGAAGCCTCGCCGGGAGGAATTGCGTATGTGAGCAGCCGGGCGGACTGGTTCGCTTTGGAGGACTCGAATCGCTTCTGGAACGAAGGCACGTAGGTGTCGAAGAGGTTCGTGTCGGTAATCAGGACGTAGGTCGACGAGGCCAGATTCTGAGTCAGGTCCTGGACAATGTAGTTGGGCCACAGGGCATGGTCGACGACGATGTTGGGCTCGCCCAGGATCGAAATCGTCTGGGGAGGTGCTTTCGTTGCTTCCGCCATTGTTGGTCGTTGAAAGGCGATGCCGCCTCTGACCAATTTCTTTCAATGAGGACGGTATTCCGAAAACACAAAAAGTATAAAAAGGGCTATTGTTGGAGTTTTCCCCCTCTATCCAGCAGCTAATTGGAGGTCTGAAATTCTTGGTGGAGTGAGTCTTAGTTTCTTACGCAGCTCATCGAGCCACTACCGATATCGGCAAATCGGCTAGCTAAACTTAGCTTCCGCAAAGGGTTTGGAGCTCCTCGTGTCTTTCGTCTGACAGGAAGAGTGGATGGATTATTACGTGTGTCGACATGGTAGGATTATGAGAACCCGTGTAGGATATTAATGAGAAAAATAAGCCACGTTGCAATCACGGTGGATTTGCTCGACGCAGTAGCAGGTATTATATTCTTTTCCGCTCGTAATGTACATGTATATATATATCTGGGTACTGCTACAGGTAATGTCTCAACTCCATGATAACCAATGGCCTACTTATTCGCTTCATTCATCTGCAGTCGCAGCATTCATCATCATAACCACTCGTCCATCATGGGAGACGAGCATCCAAAGGGCTTCCGCCTTCTAAACCAAGAGGCGCCGCCGCGGATGACCCTTGGCGACGAATGTAAGCCAGTAGCCGAATGCATCCAGAGGGGGTAATGCCTTCTGCACGACGAGCCTGCGCCAAGGTCTCAGGCCGTGTTCTCCTCAGAACTTCCTTTTCTGACAAGGCCAGACCAGGGATACTGTCGTAGTTCAAATCAAGCGGAAGGCGGATGTTTTCGTCATTGACGAATCGCCCGCGCTCGGCCGCCTGCATCTTAATGTAAGGAGCGTATGCCGCTTCGATGACAACTCTGTCTCGAATGCGTGGCGAGTAGTTCAGGACTTCGGGCACGATGGAGCTGAGCTGATCCAATTGAACTCGCTCGGCGGTATTAGAAAGCCGCAGCATGTCAATGCCGCTTCGGCGCTGAGAGCTCTTCTTCAACTGGAATCCTGCCTTTATCCATTCATCAGGCGCCAAAGAAACAGCAGCAAGGGATTTAGTGAGATCCAGGATCTGTTGCTTCTCATCCGAGAAAGCGCTCCATCTATGGTCAGAGACGACTCCCCATTCTCGTCCCTTTTCGGTTAGTCGGAGATCAGCGTTGTCCGCTCTGGCAGCCATGCGAAACTCGCTTCTGGATGTAAACATGCGGTACGGCTCCGTAACACCCTTGGTGATTAAGTCGTCAATCATGATGCCAATGTAGCCATCCGACCTGGATAATGAGGCGCCGGGCAATCCAAGAGCAGCTCGTCCAGCATTCATACCAGCTATAACTCCTTGACCAGCAGCCTCTTCATATCCCGTGGTGCCGTTGATCTGGCCCGCTAGATAAAGGCCACCAATTGCCTTAGTCTCAAGGGTAGACTTCAATCCTCGAGGGTCGACGTAGTCATATTCGACGCCATAACCAGGCTGCAGCATTTTAACTTGCTCCAGCCCTTGTATTGAACGCAATATCTGCTCTTGTGCCTCCGCGGGTATTGTCATGGAAAGTCCATTAGGGTATATGATGGGGTTGTCAAAGCCTTCTGGTTCAAGCCAGACGATGTGACGCTCCTTATCCGCAAACCGGATGACCTTTGACTCAAGAGAGGGGCAATATCTTGGGCCCTTGACGGTTTCACGAATGTGAATAGATTTATCCAAGTTTTCTCGAACAACTTTATGCGTAGCCTCATTGGTAAATGTGATGCTGCAAGTAAGCTGATCTTGAACAGCCACTTGAGTATTTAAGTAGCTGAAAGGAGTTGGAGGATCATCGCCCAGCTGCCTCTGTAGTATATCGAAATTTATAGTCGATTTATCGAGTCGCGGTGGGGTTCCCGTCTTCAATCGTCCAAGTTGGAAACCAGCTTCCCGTAGTGATTTGCTCAAGCCCGTTGTCGCTGCTTCTCCAATGCGACCAGCCGGATAAGCCTCGAGCCCAATATGTATCTCGCCCCCCAGAAATGTCCCGGTAGTGATGACTACTTTTCCGGTCTGTAGGATTTCTCCATTCTCGAGTCGGACACCGGCAATTGTGCCCTTTGTACCTTCGTTGGAGCCTTCGTTCTCTGCTAGGATGATGTCCGACACGCTTTCGAGGACAATCGATAAATTCGGGTACGTTTCGAGCTCGCTTCTCATATACTTTTTGTAAAGGTCTCGGTCAATTTGTGCACGCGGGCCCTGATGACAGAAAGAATCAGGTTAGTATTCTAAGCAGACCAAGATGGGATCATGACATGGCAACATCAAGAGCATACATACCCAGACAGCCGGTCCCTTCCTGCGATTCAACAAATGGAATTGGACACCAGCCTTATCAATGATCCTCCCAGCCAAGCCGTCCAGTGCATCAATCTCCCGAATGATTGTTCCTTTGCCAATGCCTCCAAAACTCGGATTGCAGGAGCATGTTCCCAGATTGTCGAGCTTGGGTGTGACCAGGGCTGTCCGCGCACCGGCTCTCGCAGCAGCAGCGCATGCCTCGGCGCCGGCATGCCCACCGCCTATAACGACGACATCGAAGGCTCTGTTGTACAATTTAGCTGGCGTTTTCTCTCTTTGCGGCCCCTCCGAAAAAGTCCTGCAACGCACCTATGCCTATCGGTCACTGTAGCAAACCGACGATGTCTCAGACTGGGGCGCCAGTGAAACGATCGAGGACGTAATAAGGCACTCATCTCATCTCGGTTATGATCCAGCAGCTATATGCTTGCTCCCTACTCGAAATCCTCATGCAACAATTCGTCTGCTGGATTCGATCTCTAGAGTGTCGCAATAATTTTTATCGATAAGAGGGTGGTTAGATACATATATTGGCTATATGCATATGACGTACATAATACAGCGTCTCAAGTGGCCTAGACAGTTTCAGAAGTGGAATTTCACATGTAAAATCAAGAGAATCCTGAGTATTATCAAGTATTATGTTAGCTATGGCTGTCATTTCGTTACATGTCGTGTCGTCAACGCCTGTCCGAGTCTCTACTCAAGCCCAAGAGGATACCGCATCCTCGACCTCCTCCAAAAATGTTGTCGCATTATGAACTGACGTGCCACCGAGAACCACGCGCACACCGGGCATCGTGGCATTGACTCCGGCAATCATTTTGGCCTCCTCAAACGTCACACCTCCAATCATGAAAACGATAATGTCCTGCGGCTTATCTCTAGTAGAACTGCCATCCTCCACAAATGGATATTGCTGCTCTTTTAGTCGACCCTTGATTAGGTTCTGCAGGGTGCCTTCCAACAGCGAGCTGTGCTGCGTATAAACGTTTTCCACTCCCTTGAGCCCCTTGAACCGGTTTGCAGTGCCAGAGAAGATGCCGGCCGAGTCAAATATATCTGAAATGCCAGTTCGGGAATCCGAGGTATGTAATGAAGAATGATAGGTCAGGACTTTCTTGACCAGATCTGCTTGTCTTGTAGATACATTGCCAGCTGCAACAAGAAGATCCATGAGCATAGGAAGGGCGGTTGCCGGGTGCTTCTGATAGCGCAAGGCATATAGAGCTACGACACCAACCTTGCTTCCTGTTGTGATATTAGGGGACTGGATTATTTTTTGTACGGCCTGAGCAAACGGTTAGTCTCATCGTTACATCTTTTCAGTCATCAACCGCAGCTGAAAGAGGTCTCCTTACCTTTAGATCAGAACTATGGTTATCATTGCAAGCCAAGCTTTGCTCGAGTTCACTGACTTCCAACAAGCTCTCGGCAGCAACTCTCCGGCTGAGCTCAGATACAAGCGTAACATGTTTGCTCACATTCCCGGAGAGCTTCCGAAATTCCGGATATTCTTCGATGAACCGTTTCATATCAGATATTGACTCAATGTTGGCATTGTTTTTTGTCTTGGACTGATATTGCTCGACATATTCCTTAATCGTTCCGCCCAAGTCGCCAAAGTTCAGGTACATATTCTTCTTGAAGAATGGGTCCTGGTCCTGGGAGAGGACAATTTCCTTGAGCTCAGGCCGGATATCCGGAACATCGCTAAGATCAACTCGGCCGTTCTTGATACCCAGAAGATGGTGAACCATGGCTTGGTAAGTCCACTGGGTGAGCAGAGGTGTCACAGGATCCTCCCTGCGATCCAATATGAGAAGTATGGGGGGCGTGTCGACTTTCCTGAAATCGAATAGCTGGTCCTCTTTGGTCATTATATAGCGTACTTCGGAGGCTAGTTTTGTAGCAAGGGGGCTGCTCTTTTCGTATCTGATTAACGGCTTCTTCTTCAGGGAGAGAAGCACAGCCAGAAGACCTTCCGAGCAACGCTGAAGAGAATCGGGATTCCATTTATCCGGGCCACCAGCCCATATCCGCTGCTGCGGAAGAGACATGTTGAGACTGAATAGATCGGGGTTGATGACAATGTAATCGGCAAAATGCTCCTGCACAACCTTGACGACTTCGTGGTCATCCGCCTCGGCAAGCCGCTCTAGGGCAGACTTCTTGGCTACGTTTGTGAAGAATAGGTAATACTCTCCATATTTTGGGTCCCGAAGCTCATCTATGAGCAGCTGTATTGTCTCCGACGAGGGGCGAACCAGGCAGATACACCGGAGATGGCGCATCTTCTCGCGGCTTGCATTGTCCAGGCGGTCAATGAGATAGATTTCATAATCAAGCAGCGAGGACTGTGTGATGGCCGTTGAGACAATGGAAATAGTCTCCCTATCTAGCAACAGAACCTTCATTTTTGAGGATGAAGGATCGCCCGAGGATAGCATCATCTTGGAGATGTATCCGGAGACAGCTTGAGAGACATCCATGATGACGAATTTGTCGCTTTGCCGCTAGCTACATGATATCATGCCCCGGGTAACTCGGTGTATATCTGTGAGTAACAGCCAGGAAAACGGCGATAAAACGGGGTATTGAGCTGAGAATATCCGGGCTGAGAGCGCTCACCCAGACACGCAGCCACCTATCGACAAGCTGGAGACGTGTTATGGAGTTGGGGTGACCTCACTGGACGCCTGGAGGTAAATGCCCAATGGGGCAAGACGGAGGGCGGAAGAACTGGCTGCCGTAAGAGGGAGCTTAGCAAAGCAGTGCCTAATTAGGACTAGACTTGGTCAAGCTACGTACTAATAAAGGTTGTGCTCGCTCACAGCTCTATGTACCTATCTCTTCATGATGGATATGAGAATTAGGGATGAAAGAAGAAGCATTATCATTATGTTTAATTTAACAGGGAATGAGAGAAAGTGGGCTTTTCTACACAATCATGTAATAACAAATAAAGAAGTTTCATCGTCTCATTTTCTGTGAATACAAGGTACTCGATATCAATCCAACAACATCTACACACCCTTATGACAATGATGCAAACACCGAGAGATATAAAACAAAGAAGAAAGAAACTTGAAAAAACTCGTCAAATCATCCCAATCATTTTTATTTTCCTATTTTTAATGCCCTTGGCCCAAGACAGGTGGGGGGATTCGTCTGCAGCATCTTCTCTCTACTTTGGCCGCTAACAGACGCCCAAAGGCTGTGGGCATTCCACCACGCCTGATTGGCTGTGTGTTTAACATGCGTAAAAGTTGGCCCATTGCATCTAGCAGGAACCTCAGGTGTCGATATCATGGTGCTTTTCATCACAGTAAACCAGCACCAAATTCGCCCTCCACCTCACACCCAGTCCAGTGCCCGCTCAATGGGCGGCTATAATCTTGACTAGTCCATTCTCTATTCCGCCTCCTTGAATAAATTCGGATTATTTTGAGAATGGCAGACTCTTGCCCGGCGCGGCATGAACCGACGTAAGCTGTCCTCTGTGTCGAAGCAGATTCCTTCACCTTCAAGACTAACCCGAGTTTCATATTGCCACACATAAAGTCTTTCTTTCACTCAAGGCCTCATCGTAGGCCAGCTTTCCGTAGTCCTAATCTTAGCCGCCTTTATCAAATTTTTCATCTTCGGCGATGCGCCCTCACCCGATGTCGCCGCATCGCTCCGGGCCACAGAGCGAAGATCAAGGACGCTGGCACATAAGCAATCCCTCTTGAGACTACGCTCTCCCAGTCAACGCATCGGTCAGACGCTGAACCGCAAGAAATCCACTGTCCTGAGGAACCCGCCAACGCTGACCATCGGGTCAATACTGAGCAAGACGTACTACAACGTTGACAGCCATCAGCCGGAAAGCCTGGACTGGTTCAACGTGCTGATAGCACAGACGATTGCTCAGTTCCGCAGCGACGCCCAGCATGACGATGCCATTCTCAATTCCCTCACCAAGACCCTGAACGGGACATCCAGGCCCGACTTTGTCGACGAGATTCGTGTTACGGAGCTCAGCCTGGGCGAGGAGTTCCCCATTCTTAGCAACTGCCGCATTATTCCTGTCGACGAAGACGGCATCAGCCTGGGAAGCCATGTGAAAATCGATCCCGCGACGGCAGCTCGAGATGGCACTCGCCTCCAGGCTCGAATGGACGTGGACTTGAGCGATATGCTCACGCTGGCAGTGGAAACAAAGCTACTTCTCAACTATCCCAAAAAGCTATCTGCAGTTCTTCCAGTAGCTTTGTCTGTCTCTGTCGTGAGATTCAGCGGGACACTGTCTATATCATTTATCCCGAGCAACCCTTCTCAATCGACCCCCACTATGATGGCCTTTAACTTCCTCGACGACTACCGGCTTGATTTTTCCATCAGGAGTTTGCTCGGTAGCCGCTCACGGTTACAAGACGTGCCCAAGATTGCACAGCTGATCGAATCACGGTTACATAGGTGGTTTGACGAGCGAGCTGTAGAACCGCGGTTTCAGCAGATTGCGCTGCCAAGCTTGTGGCCCAGGAAGAAGAACACCCGTGGCCCTGACGATGCCATGGCAGAAGGAGGTACAAGTTCTTCTGGGCTCTCTAAAGGAAAAGAGAGAGAGCCTTCTGTTGGAAGTGAAAGCCGGGAGCAGGCTACTCTACGGCACCGCCGACCACTGGTGGACGATGAGTTTTCCAAAGAAGGCTCGTTACGCAGTCTCAGTAGGGATACGAGGAGCTAGAGCACAAGTATGCTTTTACGACGGATGATGCATCTGGTTCTACGGGCTTGATGGAGCAAGGTTTGCGGGACATAGAATGGCAGCATTAAAACCCCACGATAGTGCTAGGACGCAGCTTCGGTTGGGAGTCATGAAAAGGGCCAAAGCGAATCGCCACACAGGAGTAATGTTGATTTCTTTCTTTCTTTTGGCATTCATGGCTGGATTTACCAGCCAATGGGAGAAACAATGTGGAGAGATAGTGAGAAGTATGCTAGAATACTGCCAGAGCAATTGGCGACTCGGTTAGAGGGTAAAGATTCTTCCACCAAGAAACTGCGCCACCAATGAGCAGCACGTAGTAAATGCCCGACCACAAGATCATGTGGCCCGGACGAGAAGAGTCGGCCTCGGGAAGCCAATACGGCTGGACGGCGCCCCAAACGCGAGGCAAGCCCATGGAGTTACAGAAGGCGTGGACAAGAATGACGGCAACAAGAGATCCGGTCCGCAGAAATAGGAAGTTTGCGTAGGCTCCGAAGAGGGAAGTATAAGAAAATTGCAGAACGGAGCGGGCAATGGCAGCCACTAGGGGGGTTTGCGGGTGGGTAACGCGGAATTCGTAAAAGTGGTGAAGGTGAGCAAGGCCAAAGACGACGGGAGATAGGAAGATGATTCTGCTGAGGCTAGAGCCTGCTATCAGGAGCAGCGGGATAGCAGCGGAGCGGAAGAGACATTCTTCGGTGACGGGGCCCTACCGGAGATGAAAATATGAGCACTCGGACTAGTTATACATGCGCGGGCAGGGGTTCGTCGATGACTGGGGCTCTTCATCTCATCGAGCTGGGGTAATGCTTGGACACTCACAGCAACCAGGTTTCGCCAGGTGGGCCATTCAGCCCAGATGTCCCGAAGAGGCTGAAGGCCAGAAGCCCATTCTCTCCAGACGCCGTCGATGACAAGACACTCATAAAGGGGTGCGGCAAAGAGCAGGCCTGTCAGGAGACAGCTTTTGAGCGTCTCAACCAGGCCAAGTGGCCAATAGCCCATCAGATGCAGCGGGCTGCAGCCGGTAGCGGCGGCTGAGGTGCAGACATAGGGCAAGAGGAGGAAAGTAGCGACAGAGCATGCAGTAGTAGACAGCGAGACGACGAAGATCCTGGCGCGGATGGCCTCGGGGGCGTCTCTTGATCGGCCAGGAGAGGCTCTTGTTTGGGAAGAGGCATACAGCGGGAGCACATAGACGAGGGTATACGCCGCCTGTGATTTCCCCAAACAGCATAAAGCATAATAGATTAGCTACCTGTGCATGACCCGAACAGAGTTTCGATGCTGCTTACCAAGAGACCAAAGGCCTGGGGCTGGCTGAGGGCGCCTGGTGATGGGGGATCCATCTGATGTCTGATGATGCTAACGATGGGAGAGACGCAAGATGAAACAGCGGCAACTCGGCCTATTACAGAGTGAAGCGTGTAGACAACCAGACGTCCAGCCGTCAACCGAGACTGAAGTTACACGAGAGGATATGCAGCGAGGTTGGGATAGGATCAAGAGGCTCCGTTGAAGCTGAACAGCCGCGCGCCAGTCGCCAAAGTAAGCGTGCGAATACTACGTACTAGGAGAAGCCTGCATATTATGGTGGTTCCGCTTAAAAAAAGAGTGAAGAAAAAAAAAAGAGGGGATGGCTACCCTATGCGGGGAATGGAATGACGCAGAGCTTGTGGAATGGTATGCAGCATAATAATAGATGAATCATGGAAGTAAAGGCATTAGTATTATTGTTTGAACAATGGAGCATGAGAATATCTGTTTGTCTTGGGTTAGAACAATGGGTTCCTGAATTGGTGCGGAGGACTAAGCCTTTTGGTTGGAATTTGGTAGATGCTAGCTACTACTGCGGCTCTAATGAAACTTTATGCTAACGGATGAACTACATGAACTACAGCAGAGGTTGCAGTTGATGTGCTGACTATTTTCCAACGAGGAAAACTCTAATAGACAACATGCCATAAATGAGATGTTGATAAATGCTGCTATAGGTTATCTTTGATGGTGTTTGATTATCTGACTGACAGTTTTATTTTTTTAATTATTATTTTTGGGTGTCCTTGTCATGGACATCTACCTGTACGGGACTAGCGAGTCCTGCAATATGCGAGCCGAGCTGATCGGGTACTCCGTATGTTGACTTGCAAGGGGAGCGCTGTCGTATCTAGGAAACGAGGCGATGGCGTCAAAAGGCAACAGAGCGATAATGCAGCTGAGCTGCTCGGTGATTAACGTGGCGATTCTCACCAAACGCCTCAGGTGAGTGAATGAACGAATGAATGAATAAAGGTCAAGTGCTGCACTCGACTGTGAATGAGAATGGATACCGAGGCAGTAACCAAAAAAACCTCCGAAATCTCTCCCTACAAACGCAAACGCCAGCAACCGTTTCATCTCTTCATCCTTCTAACCCGACAGATGCTTCTAGCGTCCACTAGCCCTCCACCGCGTCCAATCTCGCTCGTCCAAGTGTTCGTGCATACAGGGTCTGCGCTCTCGTCCATTCCAACGGGCTCCTGTTTGCCAATCGGCATCGCACCATTGATTGTCGAGCCGAGCACAGTACTTGTACTCCGTATCAACTGCATGCACTGCGCTTCTTGTGGGCGCGTGTGCACCTGAAGCTGTTTGTGTGCATGTGCATGTGCGTTTGCGTTTGCGTTTGCGTGTGCCTGCATCCGCCCTGTGCCTGTAATTTCAGGGCATGCAGGGCAATGCAGGGCATCTGCGCACTGCGCCACTCGCTCCGTACGAGTAAGATTAATACCGCAGCAGCGATTGATCCGAGCTCGACCTGACGCTGTTTGTCCCGGATTCTTCATTCCATCACCGTAATTACAGCTTACGAGAGAGTACTGTATGGCCCGTCCGCCGAGTAATGCAAACGGTGGCACAGACCGTTTCCCAGCCGAGCTTCTCTTGCTTCTCCAGCGCGGAACCACCTTTTGTGCCTGAAATCTTAGTAGTTCTCCAGCTACTCCAGCTAGGAGCCCGTAGCAGCCCGTAGAGTTCATGCTAGACACCGATCTGGTTACGGCACCGCGTCTCTCTGCGACCGCGTCGATCGCGATGGCCTCACCCAGTTGCCAGCGCGCCCGCCCTCGGTGGTCCGTTTGCTGCGACATTTTGCTCTCTGCTCTAATGATGTTGTGTTTTCTTCCAGTTGCGTCTTATCGCTGGTCGACTACTGGAGTCGCCCGAAGCCCGGACCTGCATCTCCCTGCAGGTGGCCCCCCCCCCCCCCCCCCCCCAGCTTAGCACGAAGCTACAGTAGCGGCGCTTCTGCTCTGCTGCTCTGCTGCTCTGCTCTGCTCTCCCTCTGCAGTCGTAAAATGCGAAAAAGGGCAACCCCTGCATCTGCGTCTGGCCATCCGCTGAACCTGGCCTACTGGAGCCACTCTTTTCACTTTCTCGCCAGACACAGTCAGCGACAAAACGGAGGGAGACGGAGCAAGACAGCCAGAAGGGAGCTGAAGCAACGCGTTGTGTACGGAGTAGGCGGTCAAGGAGTTGTCCAGCCGTGCTGTCCGTCAACACAACCGGGAAGAGACCTGGCAACGCCCCGTTTGCAGTGCTGGGAACCCATGTACAGCACCTTGAATCCCGTACTTGTACCTGTTCTGTACCTGTTTCGTTGCCGCGTGAAGAAGAAACAGAGACAACAACTGAACTCAACCTGAGTCAAAATCTACGACACCAGAACAGAACCACGTCTCCAACCGCCATCGTCGTCGCCCGCCTTGCATAATTGCTTCAAAACTCTCTACACGACTACTGTACTTGTATCGTAGCACAAACTTTGCGGGCCAAAGCTCCAGTTGCGGAATCTCGTCCATCCCCGGGCGCTGCGGCCAGGCCAGGCCAGGCCAGACGCTATTACGGACCTCCCCTTTTTCATGGGCCTCACCCCCCGGGCCGCATCTCGCGCCCCATCAACCGCCTTGTCGGCTCTCTCTCTCGCATCCTCCACACGCTCGTTTTTCCGTCTGTCGCTCTCTCGAATCGCCGACCGTTACGCTCTTTTTGCCTTATCCATACTCGGACTGCGCACGCCTTGGCTGGAATCGTTGTGCTTCGTCTTGCCGCTTAACCGCCGCAACAGTCCTGAGCGATCATAATTGATCCTACGAATAATCGCCCTCGGTTTATGTCCTTCTAATTTTTAATTCTTTCGCTCGCTACTTCGGACTAGTCCGTAATTTCTTCACCAGCTCGCCTGCGACTTTCCCAGCGCGCTGCTAAATTTTTTGGTTACACTTCGATTCTCACGGGTTTTATTTTCATCTGCTTGCCAACATTATAGCCGCCGACTCTTTTGACGCGACCAATCAGTTTCTGCTTCTTCTTCCCCTCTTCATATTTTGCTTTCAAATACCCCCTCGTGCTCCCGGCAGTTTCTTGTTCTGTGCGAGACTGCCTGTCCAATCCGGATTGGCACGACCAGCCCGATCAGCTCGCACCACACGACGAATCGAAGCCCTCGGACAGATTATCGAGCATCATACGGCATCGCCACCTCCGCACCAGTCGATCAACTGGCTCTGCGCATCCTCTCGTCCTCAAGATCGAATTCCATTCACAGTCGCGCCGACGCCTCGCCATCTTCAGATTAGCTGGGCAAATGTTATGAGACGGCTCTCCTGTTTTGTGAGAAGAGGATGTCCGAATCGCCCGATTCCGAACGGTCCTCGGAAGGGCGATCGTCTCCAAACGAGAAACTTCAGATTCGACTTGTGCCGTACCAGCCGCCCCGGCTCAGCGGCGGTTCCGAGCTCTTCAACCCCAATGCCTCCGTCGGCTCGCATCTGGACAATGTCGAAATCCATTCCGCGGACGATTCGCCAAGCACCACAAGCCCTCCGTCTTCAGCCTCGACCATTGCCGGCCCGTCTCGCGCCTCAGCTGGCAAGCGCCGGAGTTCAAGCATAGGCCCCAATGAAATTCTCGATACCGGTTCACCTCCTCTCGAGGCCCCCCCGCGGGGGAGATTTCGATCTCAATCTTTGTCGCAATCATTAAAAACCCTGACATCTCCGCCATCCCCAGAGCTTCAACCAGCTGCTGCTGCTACTGCTGCTACTGCTACTGCTGCTGCTGCTACCACTACCCCTGTTCAACGTCGCCCCAAGAGATTCATCGACATCAACCTTAATTCTGACAACAAGACCTTCTCCCTCGTCCCCCTCAACTCAACACGTGCCTCCCGGACCAACTCTGTTGTTTCTACTCGCACCGACTCAAACCCACACTACTCCGTCGCCTCCAGTTCCTCTTATAGACAGAATTCCTCGAGCATCTTTAGCGAGGACCGCCCTAGCTCCCCCTTGACGACACTGGCCGAGGATAGCACCTCCGTGACTGCATCATCCATCGCTCCATCAATCCCCGAAGAAGAAGAAGGGATTACGGCATCTCCTTGGAACTATCGCCTCGTTGGTGGACTGCGCAAGGTTCAGAGTCAACTCAGCGATGCCACCGATGCCACCGATACCTCCGATACCACCCCCACCCGCCTGCCCCCATTCCTAGAAGAAGATCCCATCGCTTCAGGCAAGGTTGTGGTGGAGGAAGAGCGCATCGCTGCGTTCACTCTGACTACCAAGAAATCATTCCAGTCCAACAAAACTGGCAATACGGTGTCGGATCGTACGAATTACAAGACGTATGCGCAAAGCTCTTCCGGCCCGGACACTGTTCGCGGCTCCATGGCATCGGATTTTGATACCTCTTCACTCTTCCCCGGTGGCCCCAACTACGTCGTTTATGACGGCGCATCAACATCTGATCAAAGCCGGGCACACTCAGATTCGGAAGTCAGGGAGACCCCCAACTATGTCGTCCACGGACACCGACGGGCGCAATCTGACGGGACGGACATCTCCCATGCACCGTCCGAATACTCGAGGGACAGCATGGTGGTGGCTCCGTTGCGGCCTATGAGGTCAGGTCGTCTCTACTCCAGCTCGACGATTCCGAGCACTAGATCGCTCGAGCACATGAGGACTGTCTCTTTGACATCTGCTGCCGGCTCCTCAATCAACCGAGATACTGATGCTGCTGTACCAGCGGGCGTGTCTACACAGATCGACTTGGAAGGGAGACATTCGCGTTCTCAGTCGACCGCTAGCCAAGGCGTTCATCGCAGAAACACGTCCAGAACACAGCCGTGGGGCACTGCTCTGTCCACAGTCATGTCAGAGAGCGAACGGAGCGACCCGTCGACTCGGTCCATCTCTCGACTGTCTGGCAATGCTCGCAGTAGCGTCTTCACGCTCAACCAGCTCAGGCAGACAGGAAGCTTCTCCACCTTTGGGCTCGAGGAGACATTGGCCATGGCATCTCATTCTCGAAACGGCTCTGTGGACCGACCTCAACCAGTCCATGGTAGAGACACACCCTTTTCCACCGCTCGTCTAGTACGTGACCATGATGAGGACGGCGATGGCCTGGCGGATCTGGCGAGTATGAACCGCCTTCCCTCCCGTGCCCGAGGCCTAAGCATGGCATCCGACCACTCAAGGGACAGAAATCACCGTTCCAGAAGCAACTCCCGAAACAACAGTATAAGCTACGCGTCGGTCATTCCGGCATGGGCAAGGTAAGCAGACCCCTTATTCAGCCTCTGAAGCTTGATGTATCTAACTTGAATAGGGTCTATTACGGGAGTGGAGAACGGCGCTTTTTGGCGGCGCAGCCTTCCAACGAGTCCATGTTTTCGCAGTTCACCAGCAGCTTACACCGAGACTCGTCCCACAGCCGCTCTCCCAGCTACGAGCAATACACTTCCGAGATTACCAACCCCCGTCGTCGGCCCCGAGAGATGCAACGGCGCGCTAGCGAATCTGACTCGATGGACATCCGGCCCCAGCCTTACGTGCCTGTCGATCACAGCGTCGTCAAGAAACAGACTTCCAGCGTCTGGTCACCGCATCTACAAACCGACAGACGAGCCAGCCGATATAGCATCTGGTCTCCTCCTTCGTTGGCTGAATCTGCCGACTTTGGAATCTGGAAACGAAACCTCCAACTTGTGCTGTTTGTTCTTGGGTTCATCTGTCCATTTACTTGGATAATTGGTGCCATTCTGCCAATTCCTCCCAAGCTGGAGCGAGAAATGACCGAGCAGGCCTTCAGCACAGGCCATCTGGATATCCGAATGGAGGCACGCCAACAGCGGCTATACATCAATGCGGAGCGCCTTCATGAACGAGCCAGGTGGTGGAGAAGCGTCAATCGGCGCATGTCCATCATTGGCGCTCTCATCATCTGCCTTTGCGTCGTCCTGATTGTCGTCGGCGTGACGCAGCAGTGGCATCATTCATGAGCGTTTTTTGGAAGGGAGTTGTTTTTTTACCAACACGGAGTCATCTTCTTGGGCGAAAAAAGCGAACACTTTTTTTGGGATTTTTTTAGCGATCATATTTCTGATGGGACGACGAGAGAAACACTTTGGGTCTTCATTTCTCTGGATGGCGCCGACGTTCATGGGGTTCGGATTCATTTCTTTTTCTTTTTACAACATTTCTTTCGATTTTTTTTTAACTCTCACGAGATTACGATTCATTCTTCCCGCATACATTACATACATTATACACCATGGTACACACACACGCACGACGACTTTTTATGCGTAACGCAAGAAAACCAACCTTTTTAACGTCTCTTTCGACATATTTATAAACTGCCTTTTTATTTATATACATAACTTTTTTTTTTCTTTCAAATACTTGATGGAGCACGAGATACCTGATGTTGGAGGAGGAGGAGGAGGAGGACCGATTTTCACATGCAGATATGTACGATATACGCATAACAAAGTTTTGGTTTGGGAGCTTTAGCTCAAAGGGATGTTTGATTGATGGGAGGAGAGAGAGAGAGAGAGGTGTTTTTGACAAAAGAGCGGGTGTTGATGAGTTGGCTTTGAAAGGAAAGAGGAGGCTAGATTTCGCAAACAAAAAGCAGATGAAATAAAACCACATTATATTTATATATCATGGCGTCTTTCTCTCATCTTTCCTACCCACAACTAACCTGTGAAAGGGGGGGGGTTAAACACTTATCTCTACATGTTACAAGTGCCCCTAAAAAATCCGCATTGCTCTTCTTTCTAACCGTTCCCATGTCCATTGTAATAAGTATTCCATTCCAAACCACCCATTTGTCTATTGTTTCATTACTCGTTCCCAAAGGGAACACGCCGCAAAACATTTCAAAAAACTCCGAAAAAAAGGAAATCACCGCGTCTTCCGCTTCTGCAGCGCCGCAATCTCCGCCTTGAACTCACTCACAGCCTCAGCAAGATCCTCCTCGGGATCCTTCGAAATGCCGAGAATCGGCTCCATGCCCGAAAGGCTCTCGCTGCTCGTCGTGCGCTTGAGCCGGGCACTAGCCTTACCCTGGCGGCTCTCGAGCTTCTTCTTAAGCAGCGCCTTTCCTGGTGACGCGAAGAAGGCGAGGGATGCGGTGGTCCAGATGAAGGCGTAAAAGTAGACGTGGGACCAGGCGCGGAACGAATCCTTGAAACCCAGAACGAGGAAGGGCAGCGTGGTGAAGGAGAAGGTGAGCTGGGTGATGAGGTAAGTAGCAAAGTCGTAATACTTCTTCTTCGGCGTGGGATTTCCGGTGATGGGGTCGAGGAAAAAGGGGCGAACGTGTCGGCGGAAATCTATTACAATCATGTTTTAGTTTTTGTGAAACGAGTGTTTTTAACCATCGGTTAAAAAAGAAAAAAAGAGAATATCTTACTCTTGGCCGAAGTTTGAATCAGACTGGCTAGCATAAAGCTAAGGTAGTAACCAGGGTAGAATCCATGCCAAAAGGCACTGGTAACAAATGTCGTCATGCTGGCGCGGAAACCGGGCTTCTTGCCTCGGGGCGTCACCCGGAGGTAGATGTAGTTGCGCAGCCAGTTGTTGGTGTTCATGTTCCATCCAGCCAGATATGCTCGAGGATTCTGGGCCGTCTCGACCGTCCAGGGGTCGACGTTTTGCAGGCGATTCCACGAAACTTTACCGGTAACGGGATCGACGCCGTTGTAGCCCAAGCCGGCCAGGATACAGGCGCCTTCGGTCAGCGCCCACACGCCGTAGAACTTGAAGCGCGTCACCTGACTGGCCATGTGCATGAGGAACACGCGGTGGAGGAACGATCGCTCGGTGAAGGACTCGTCGGTAACGTGGTCGTGGCTGAACTTGCCGGACAGAGCAACAAACAGGCCGATCCAGACGAGCCCAGTGACGGCCTTGATGGTGGCGGGGGTACCGCTGCGAGGAATCTTGCGCTTCTTTCGCACGGGAGGCTTCTTAGCGGGATCGATCTGCGCGGGGACGTCAAACATGGAGGTGTCGATCCAACGGCGATATTCGGCGTAATCAAAGGCCGGGCCAGCGAACAGCGAGGGGAAGAACAGGACGTAGGCGATGTAGTCGATCAGCGGCGGGAGCTCCTTCAGGGCGCGGTTCTGCTGGAACTCGGACAGCTGGTCGGTGGGCAGCTGGCCATCAGCCACGTTCCAGCAAAAGGCCGACAGCTTCATGATTAGCACCATCTGGGCGCCGGTGATGTCGATTACGGACGGGGTGTTGGCGATCTGGCGCTGGATGTGGCTGATGGACATGTGGCCCATGACGAAGAGGAAGCCGATCCAGGGCATGTAGGGGCTGCCGCGCAGGAACTTTGCGATGGCGTAGGTGCCGCCGGCGCTGATGGCCAGCGTGAGGATGCCATCCCACAGGTCGAAGAGGCCGACAAGGTAAAAGAGCGAGACGCTTTTGGTTCGTTGCGACTTGGTCAGCTAGCTGAAGGGGGGATTTCGAGACGGGCGACAGTCTTGGATTCTGGCGAGAGTTACCATATGATGAAGATGTTCTTCTGGAGCGGCTTCGCGTCGGGCAGACGCTTGAGGAGGCCGGCCAGCGGATACGACAGCAGGAACGAGAAGATGAGCTTGACTATTTGTTGGGCATGTTGGTTAGAGCAGATGCAGATGCGCAGACGGGGGAATTGGCTGGGGGTCCTTACGCTCGTCGGGAGAAGCCGCAAGCTTCGTCGCCAGCGCCTCGAAAGCTGCAGGTTGCAACACCCGTTAGCTTCACACAGTATCCAATAGTATACTATAGCATCTGGACAAGAAAGATGAACTCACGCCTGTGCAGAAATAACAGCATTGCTGCGAATGCTATGCTGTTGCCCCCGTCCAGAAAGATACTCGGTAGGTAATGACGAAGTAGAAGAGACAAAAGAAGAGGCAAATGGAGGGGTGCAACCAGCTAAATAAAAAAAAGCGGGAAGCTAAAAAAAGAAAAGAAAAAAAACCAGGGGGAAACCTAAGTTGAAAAAGTATAGCCAGAATAGCCAGCCCAAAGCCCTTAAAGAAGAAAAAGGAAAGAAAAAGAAAAACAAGAGGGTAAATCCAGGCATCTATAAAATAAGAAGGAGAAAAAAAAAAAAAATCCGTTGAGCGGCCAAGTCTATAAGCCTTGCGAACCAGGCCTTTCCCGCCCCCCCTCCCCTCCAAATTTTTTTGTTGAGGCGCGCATCAAATGACGATGCATCTACACCGATCTAAAGGTTCCCACATGCGCACAACATGCCACGGGACGCAATCATTCGCCGACGATGACACGTGCCGCCAGAAGGATCTGAAACCTAAAAAGGGGATCAAAGAAACAGAAAAATTGCATGTGAAGGGATTCTGCATCTGCACAGAATTAAAATTAAAGATAAAGATAAAGATGAAAAGTAAAAACACACAAGAACAAATTCTAAATCACAAAGACAAGGCACCGCGAACCTTCAAGTTGGTACCTCTCCAGTTTCTCACATGCAATTACATCACAGATTCACAAGCCATGCATCCCACCCCCCCTCCAACAGCTGCTGATCACCGCCTCATCCAGCCGTAGCTGAGACGACAACAAACCTGGCGGCAGAAATCAAGGCACAGCAAAACAGGAGGAGCCAATCAAGATACTGCGGTCGCTCCATGATGAATAGATGAAGCGCTTTTTCAATGTTTACTTCACCATTGGAGATGCGACAGGTGTTCACTGCAGGGGAGACGCAAGCATTGTAAGACATATCCAGAGTATCAATAACCTATCACTAGAGGTACAGCTGGTTTGTGTATCGGAGAGCATGACCACCCAGCCTACCCTTCCGCACGCACTTTTAGAAACCCATCCGTCAGAGATTCCCATCCAACGCCGGTAATAAACCCACAATGCCACCATGATATGAAGAAGCCAAAGTGTCAACCAGCCAAGGCCAGAGACAATGGCGAAAACCCTATACTCCGTATACGCCCCGATTAACCCCAGGTCCAAGCATGTGTAAAGACCGAACGCCATATTTGCTCATGGGAAAAACACATGTTCTTGAGATCATGTGAAAAAAAAACCCACAAAACAAAAAAAAAGCAAAAAAACCCTATCCGTAAAAAGACAAAGTAGAAAAGTTTAAAAAAAAAAAGAAGAAACAAGACAGAAAGACAATTACAGGGAGAAGAGAAAAAGAAAAGAAAGAAAAAGAGGGGAAAAAAGACAAGAGAGAAGAAGAGAAAGGAAAAAAAATTAACAGGAAAAAGAACAAGAGAGAAGAAGAAAAAGGAAAGAAAAAAGAAGAAGAAGAAAAGACAAGAGAGAAGAAGAAAAAGAAAAGAAAAAGAAAAAGACAGGACAGGAAAGAAGAAGAAAAAGAAAGGAAAAGAAAAAGAAGGAAAGGAAAGAAAAACAAGCCCCCTATAACTCCGCGCCAAGTCCGTTTTGAGAGACACTCCGGTAAGGAGACTCCATGGGAATGAGATGTACAAGCAGAAGCCCTCCCAAACGCCATCTGCAGCCACAGAGCGATGCATCATAATAAAACACTGGCAGCGCATGCCAAAAAGACGAGACAAAATAGTTTTGTAGAGTGGACCTGGTCCTTCTTGTCAGTCATCACTCTGGACATCAAAGGCTGTCTTGACGCTACTCACGGTGCCGTTCAACTACTGTTCTTGTGCAGCATAATAGTACCCATTAGGTCCATAGGTCCAACCATACGGCTCGCCGTTTTGCTGCTGTTGATGCTCGTCTTGCTGCGCCTCATGATGCTGCGGTGATGGCTGAGGCAATTGGTTCTGCTGCTGCTCGTCGGGGTGCTGCTGCTGCAGTTGGTGGTGGTATTGTTGCTGGTGCATTTGTAGTTGCATCTGCATCTGCTGGCGCTGCAGCTGCTGTTGCTGCTGCTGTTGATGCAGTTGGTGCTGCAGCTGTTGCTGCTGCAACTGATCGTGCTGCAACTGATCGTGCTGCAGATGATCGTGGAATTGAAAGTGTTGGCGATGTGGGAGGCGTACTTGGGCGTGAGCCTCCACTTGAGCTTCCACCTGAGCTTCAAAGTGATCGCGAGCCTGAGGCCCGTGTGTCTGCTGAAGGAACTCGAAGTCAAGTCTGGGTTGAGCGTACGCGCTGATATGGGCGGGAACAGCCATGGCTGACACTGGCATGGCCTGTGTTATCATGACTTGAGAGCCGTAGTCGGCAACATGGGAGTGGGGAGAGTATTCGGCAACATGAGCACCCAGGCCGTAGAAAGTCTGCTGGTTGGCGGCCATGAAGCCATTCTCATCCTGTGTGTACATGGCAATTTCATCCACGGGGTTGCGGAAGTTCTGGGACATGACAAGCTCTGAGCGAGGCTTGACCTGCTGAAAGAATGGAGACTCGCTTGGGGTTATCAGAGCCTTGTTGTCAACGTCTTCTATGCTGTAGTAGCTGACAAGGTGATGTGGTACACCTTGGAAGGTTATGCTAATGGTTTTCTTGACAAGGCCCCGCTCTTTGAATAGATAAGAGTCCACCAGAGAACCAACCAGTGACCTCTCTGGATCCCGGGAGATTGTGTTTGGATCTATGGCGGACGAGTTGGATCGGGAATTGGCCTTGTTAACGCCCTGAGAGCCCCTCTTTCTTTTGAGAGCACGCTTCTTCTCTCCAGGGGGGAACGGCTTATCAAGTTCGCGGTAGATGAGGAAGTTGCCGAGGATGCGGCTTGGGCTCCAAGAGATGCCGTCTGTCCAACGCTTTATACCGGAGGCATGCTCTTCGTAGATGAAGATGTTGCCGCTCGAAATAAGCTCTTGGCGTTCACGATCATGGGGGCGGCGGGGCACATGGTTGATTAGACCCTGCAAGCAGGCTTCGAAGAGGAGGAGAGCATCCCATGTGGTAGCTACATGCCCCTTGAATGTAGGGTTCAGGGGTGATTGACTTGACATTGCAGCCGAATTGATTTTGTGATTGGAAGTGTGTTGTTCTGCTTGTGGAGCGTGTAAATAGGCAGCGTGTGCCTATGCGAGGTAGATAGTATCAGTGTCGGCACTGACGGCTATACACGAAGCTGCCCCTGTGTCAACGAATTGACTTGACGCTTCCCCAGGTGTAGGTGGTCAATGGGGCGGTTGGCGAGGGAGCGGGAGACGTGTTGAATACGTAGCAAGGTATAGCAGTGGTGACTCTGTGGTTGTTGATGGAAGAGGAGATGGATGGTAGGGAAAGAGATGGGGAGAGAGGAGGTGATTGATGAAAGAGGAGAAGGCGAGAGGGAGATAAGAGAAGGCGAGAGAGAGAGAGAGAGAGGTAGAGAGATATATAATAGTGGGGGGGAGAGAGGTAGAGAGCAGTAGTCGTAGTCGACGAGTAGTACTCGTAGTAGTAGAGAATCGGAAGAGGAGTTGCAGAGAGAGGAGGAGGAGGGACGAGAAGGAGAAAAGTGGAGAGGGTGTGTGTATGTCTGCACTTGTGTGTGCGGGATCTAAGTGGGGAGTGAGAAAGACCAGGAATCGAGACTGACCAGGGCCAAGGTCAGAGCTGTCGGAGAGAGAGGTCGGATGCCAAAGGCCGGCAGCCCGCTACCTGAGGTAGGGCTGCAGGCGGTTGAGAAGGGACACGAACTCAGGGAAGCAGAGACGAGGTTGAAATTGGCTTGACTTTTCTCTGTTTAGATTTGACTTGACGTCTGGAAGCTTGAGCTTGATTCCTGGTAGCGGAAGTGGTCAAGAGATTGCCTCGAGGCGGAAGCGTGGGATCGAAAGTCTGATCGCCGCCCAGGCAAAGTGTAAAATTGGATATCAGGCTGGAGATGAGATTCAGGTCCAGGCCGAAGCCGAATTTAAAGCTGGAGCAGGAGTGAAGCTGGAAGCAACACGAAGGCAGTGGTGAGCGGTGGCAGGTGTGTGGAAGCCTGAGGATTGTTTGGAGGTAAGTAGCAGCGGAGGTTGAGTAGCAGCAGAAGTAGCAGCGGAAGCGGAAGTGCTGCGTCGATCGAGTTATATAGGGACGGCAGAAATCAGGGCCCAATGCAGCGCCGGCCAAGGAAAAACTGCTAAGCGGCAAGTCTTTAGCTTCGTTGTTCGTAACGGACCCAGGAGGCGGCGGTGGCTGCGGAGCTGCGAGCTGGAGAGCGCAATCTTTGCAGCTTTTAAACAGCCCAATTCCTCAGAGAGCGCAATCGCTGGGACAAGAATCCGAAGTTGCAAAGAGAGGGAGAACGAGGCCGGAGAAGAGGGGCGTGGTGCTTGGGAGCGGCAGCGCCTGGCCCCACCGCAGTTAGCAGGCAGGTACCTGGCCAGCTGCGGCCGGAGGGTGTGTACCGGCGGCCAGGGCGGAGGTGGGTGGGCAGCCAGGTACCGGCGCAGCAGCGTCTACATGCGGCATACCGAGAGCTGCAGTGGGCGCACCTCCTCGGCGCTGGTACCTGTGCGAAGCAGAGTGTATCGCACATAGTAGCAGTACAAGGACGCCCTGGATGGGATGTGGATGGGATGTGGATGGGATGTGGATGGGGCGCGAGTGGGGCAGCAAGCCGTGGCTTGAGCGAGACCGATTTGGGCCAATGCGGATGGGGCCGAGGGAGGACATGGGCTGGAGGTAGCGGTACGCCGCTGGTGCGGGCGATGCGGGCACAGGTCGGCGTAGTGCCTACCGCAGCAGCAGCGTCGGCCAGGTACCTGCGCAGTGCCGACTGTGCCAGCGCTGCGAGGACGTACCTGGAGTAGCGCGAGCAGCCGGATCGCTGGCAACCAGGTCAGCACTGCTAGCACCAAGTGCGCGCGCCAGTAGCACCGATGCGTGCGTGTGTGGTTGCGCAGAGCAGAGCAGAGCAGAGCAGAGCAGAGCAGAGCAGAGCGAGCGAGTTCCAGTGGTTAGATTACATACAAAGATAGTGCTAAGTCATCCCCATCACATCGCGATTATACTAGTACCGCTACCTTAGCACGCACCCTACGAAAAGTACCTACCAGCTCCTCCTCTCTGCCTCCTCTGCCCATCTCCCAGCAGGCCAACCTACAGTAGCGCGACCCCCCGGAGACGTGGGTGCTTGGGCCCCATTTCCCGCAACTGCCGACAGCAGGGTCAAGGGCCTTTTACCAGCAGTCTGGCTACTATTAGCCGGGCCTGTGCTTGGACTTCCAGTTGTCTCCTCAACGCACTCTCGATCTGAGATGCCTCTGCTCTCACTCACACACACTCTCTCCCCGTGTACAAGTAGTGGAAGAGTTGTAGTGGACACCTGTGGCCACGAGGCCACCAAAGTTAAGAAAGCCATTGGAAAAAAAGGAAAAGAAAAAAAAAGGAAAAAAAGTCGACGCCCAACTCCATTAATTGCCCTGAAGCCAAGCCTTTTCGATTTCAGGCCTTGACAGCATCCACGAGTTATACCAGGTACAGTACCTCCATCCTCGTACGAGTACGGAGTACTGGTACCTTAGTACCGCGGGACCCGCAGAGCAAAGGAGATCTGGCTGCTTTGCCTACCTAGTACTTGTACAGTGCCAATTGGCGGCGCCACTATCAATGATTCATCGGAGAGAAAAGCAAAAGGAAAAAAGGAAAAAAGGGAAATCCCAGAAATAGACATCGGCGTGGGTGCTGCCTATCTAGCAGGCGCAAAAGAAAAAGAAAAAGAAAGAAAAAGAAAGAAAAAATAACAAGGGCCAGTGCGCCCATCGATGCCCCTCCGCATCTTGCATGATGTTAGGCGCGAATAAAGGGAGGGGAAGATGAGACGACGACACAAGGTGGGCGGAAGTGGACTGAGGGGGTGCCCTTTCGACGCTACGAGTACCAGTTGTTGTGCCTGCTCGTTCTGGTACTAGCAGCCAAGTGCTGAGTGCCAAGTGATGCGAGTACCAACACCAAACCGCACCAGGCCAGTACCTATGCAGCCATGCCATGAGATGACATAAAGCAAGTTGGATGAAAATTGCGCTGGTTCTGGCCAAGCCCAGACGCAATGAGGCTGGCAGCGTCATCGAGATGATGCGCCGTGTCCGGTCCGGAGTCAACGATTCCCAGGCTCGACAGCGCAAAAAGCGGCGATTCAAACACCGCGCCCCCGTTTCCGCAAAATTAGGACCGTTACGCGAGGCCGTCTCGATGCGTCAATGCACCAGGCGGTGATGGCCTGCTGCTGTACTGCACAGTACTGCGAGTACATGTACAGAACCTGCTCAAAATCGAATCACATCAAGCCAAATCAAACCAAATCAAATGCACAAGCATGACAATGCATTGGTGCCGTGTCCCCTGCCAGCCAGCCAATGCCGGTTTACCTAATGACACGAGACACGATGCTAACCTCCCACGCAGACAGACTGCAGCTCTAATTTCATCCTGCCGCGGATAAAACGACGACGACACAGACGAGTAGTACAACGCATTGCACGCCGCGTATAGTACCGGCATAAGGGCCCTCCCTCGCCTTGGGGTTTGTTTTCCCTCTCCCTCTCCCTCTTCATCTCTCTCTTCATCTCTCTCTCCATCTCTCTCCGCCTCTGCTGCGCTACTCGCTGCTAGGAGGCTGCGAGCGTGGCCGCGGTTTGCCCAAAGCCAGCCAAGCCCAGGCTGTGGAGGCGCCTAAAAAAGGTGAAGCACCGAACATGCTGCTCCCGCAACCAGCCGTTTCCGCGCTGGAGGGGAGGGGCTGCGGCCGTCCAGGTTAACCTGGCCCTCGAGGCATGAAATGAGGCCGCTACTCGTTAGCAGGCAGTAGCACTTGGTGTCTTGTATGTGCAAGAGTTGGCGGTGCGTCTAGTGCGAGCCTTGCGGTGTGTTGTTTCGCCTCGAATCGGTAAAGGGTCATGCTACTATCATACTACTAGCTATCATACAGGTGGTTTATCATTGTTTTTTGCAGGAGAAATTGAGCCCTGATACCACACGGCAACGCTTCGATATGCAGCTTATTGTCCTTTCATCACACTCTCTACTGCTAGTCTCTCGTGTTCAAGATGAGCAAGGGATTGCGTCGGTGCTGATGGCGGCGCAGCTCTCCGCCTGTTGCCTTGTTTGAGTCACCAAATAATACTAGGTCGGCCCGTACAGTATAGATAGTATCGTCATGGCTCGAGGCTGGCAATGGAGCTGCTTCGGGCGAGAGCCGGCGATCGTGGGCTCGATTCAACAAACAGCGCAAACCCCTCAGAAGACAAGATAAACTGCTCCTCGGCCCAACCTCAAACATGGCTTGCCCGTATTAATAGCCCAGTGACCCGGTTCAACAGCCGATTGACCCATGCCGCTGTGTTATCGCTTATCGTGGACGGCGGGGGAACAGAAACCAAAGCACAGGGAATGAGAGAAGTCATGAACACACACGGCAAAAGTATTCGCACACACCCCGGCGATGCTCGGATCGGGCAAAGGGTGTCCATGCTGTGGCTTTGTATGCGCGTATCCGGTCGGCGCATTGCGGTGGCATGTTTACGCCTTGCCTCTCTATGCGGCTCCAGATCGGAGATATGTCCGCGTACCCGCAACCTTGGTTCCTCGCTCTCGTATTCCCCTGTCAAATCGCAGAGCCAAGGCGCCAGATCACGTCAAAAGCCAGCGCCCTGTTCCTCATTGATGATGCTGCCTGTTCCCAGGGCTCCTCTTCTCTCCGCCCTGCGTCTCCGGATCTTCCCAATTGCTCCGCTCTCTATCTCTGTCTCTCCGCCTCTCTGTCTCTCTATCTGCCTTTTGCAGCGGCGATGCCGTGGATACCATGCAAACTAACACACAGAGAAGACTCGACACTAGCAACTAGAGCTCACCAGTTTGCCTGCTCTCCGTGGTTTGGCGATCCAAGTTGGCCGCCCCACGACCATTCGCCACCATGCTCCAACTGAGGAGTGCTAACTAACCAAACACCCCCCCATGCGCTAGAAGTTGGATAGGGCTGGAATAAGCCTCTTAGCGTAAGCAGGCAAAGGTCGGCAAGAGCTCGCGGGCCTGGCTGTCGCTGGTTCGCTCTTATGGCTTGTTGTTGAAGAGCCGCCCTCCGCCTCAGTCCAGTCCTGTCCTGTCCCCGTCAAAAGTGAGTCGTGCATTCTTTCCGGCCAATCTGATGCATCTCCCGGCAGCGTCCAATGAAATCTACAGCAGGTCTGATTCGCTTGCCGATCCAGACGCTGCCCCAGTGGTTCGCCAAAGCCGCCTCCCTGCGAGGCAATCCGCCGAGACGCTTTGCTCGTCTGGCTCCCTTGGCAGAGGCTCTGCATCGCGCAGCCCGCGGAGCGAGAAATGCGTATCAATTTCCTAATGCTCGCAATGCTCGCAGCATGGTAATATGATGTGTAACTTGTGCGTGTGGGACACCCATTGTATGCTGTCTTATTAGAATTCAGGAACGCAAAGCTTGAATGAGCTGAGTTTGTCTGGCGGCCACCCGGTCGCGGTCCCGGCCGACACAGACCATGCGAGCGACCATGTGCGTCTGCTTGCCCGCTTCGAGTCAAAATAAAGAAGCACGATTGAGCTGAAGATGCAGAATGCCAGGCTGTGCGAGTCGTGGGAGTGTGCCGTTGCCGTTGCCGTTGCCACTGTCATTGCCATTGTCAGTGCAGCGTACCTGCATGGCCAAACCCGCCAAGCATCGCACGAATCTCACTTATCATATTATCTTCATCACATGCTGGTTCTGGCCGCGTGGCAGCGTTGCTGCTCGCTTAGCACCCCATGTCATGCCATGTCTGTGCAGTAGTATGTCACGTCACGTAACAAGTAATGAGTACTGTACCGTCCCGGTTTAGTAGTTAGTTACTTGTCGTATATCGCTCAGCTCTCCATGGGTCTTCGAGGAAAGCGGGCGCCAGAGGCGGTGGGAGGCAGCAGAAGCAACAACAACAGCACGAGTAGTAGCAGCAGCGGTCATTTCGGGGGGCATCTTTAGCACTGAGGTGCTAGCACTCACAGGTACTAACCTACAGCGAAGAGTTGCGCCGTCTTAGGGGTGCCCTGCTTGGCTTGGCTTGTCCTGTATACTCGTACATAGTAGTAGGTACGGAGTACACGCTCGCATTTCTCAGCGCTGCTCGCGACCGGCCAATTTGGCTCATCAAACCAAACCCGACCACAGCCCAATCAATCGAACTGGGGCTAGATTTCGGATGGTGGAAACCAGATCGCAGGCGCTAGCAGAAAATTGGATCGCCAGGGTTGCTGCCAGGGCCCACAGCGCTCGACGGCGAGTACCTGGACGGAGGCTCAGTTATCGCGGCGGCGCAAAGCATGCGCAGCCACTAACACGGCTGGGTCGGGGATACGAGCTGCCCGCAAGCGCTGCCTTGCCCAGCCAGCGCCGCAAAAGCCTCCCAGAGCTCCCCCTCTCTCACGCACGGGCCACGAGCCAATCGGAGTGCCTGCATGGCCCAAAGCCCGGCCGGCGAACCACTGTCGCCTGGGCCAAGACCAGCCGCTCGTCATTCCAGCGTTTTCTCTAGCCTCGTTAACCTCGTCCGTACTATGACTACAATGTATGTACTATGTAGCTTGTAGCTACAGTTATCCCGGCCCTGCTACTGCTATCTGGCCATGGCCTTGCCGACCAACACCTCCAGCTGCTGGGCCGTCTCGTCTCGTCTCGTCTCGACGCTTCACGCGCAAAGTCACGATACGGGGTACCAATGCGACTAATCCTGTCTTTTGTTACTCGTCGTTTTTTCGTCATCTTGGCTCCCTTGTTTCACCATCGGCGCCATCCGATGGTTTACTGTACGTCTTTTCATCTCGGCGCAACTGATAGTGGCCACCTCTCCTCAGAAGAGAGAGGAATCCATAACTTGCGGCTTGCACAGCCACTGCGACTCGCTGGTGTAAGTGACGTGGTATTTCGCATTGATGGAGACGAAGAGGAAGAAGAAGTAGAAGAAGAATTGGAACACGTGGAAAAAGAAAAAGAAACAGGGCTAATTGCAATTTTGGTTTTTTGCCAACTCCAGGAGAAACATGTTTCTTGGCCCGGCACCGCCATCACAACGCCCACTTTGCAGCCCGAAACGATAGTAGCTGTTTAGTACGCCAAATCTGAAGGAATCCTCTCGTCATCGTTCGACAACTAGTTCCGATGAAGCGACACATGCAGCGCCAATGTCCTGGTAAGTTGTTGGAAAAGAATGAATAACAAACGGCACCAGGCGGCATCGACGGCTCCTAGATGGATCGAAGAGCTGCAAGCGACGCAAAAGATGCGCTCACACACTTCTCGCTCACACACACACACACACTCACTCATTCACTGGCTCGCTCGCTCACACCCCTCCTCCTTGACACCCAAGGCCCCGAAAAAAAAAAAAAAAAAGAGCAAATACCCCTTGGCAACTCCCCCTCCAACAAAAAGCCCCGATTTCAAGCAACAAATGAGAGCGGCGAACTGCTTCTAGTCATACTACAAACTAGTTCGTGATGACTTAAGCATGCTAGCCCTCCCCTCCCCCCCCCCCCCCCCCTCCTCTATGCTGACGTTACAGATCATATTCTTGCTACCATATCGATCTCACCGGCACTATGTCAGTTCTTGTATACCTCAATGGGCGTCATCTCCGCCGTGGGAGGAGCGAGTTCCGTCTTGAATGCTATCAGTCATTTTCGCAGAGCCGCCAACTGGGTTCGACTCCATGGCCGAACGTCTTGCCATGCATCTACGACATAACACTATACACTAGCTGCGCGTAGTTCATCGGCCTCTCCAAGCGAGGATCTGAATTCTGATCTATTCGTTTTGTTTTGGAGAATTGCGCTGGATTTAGCAAGCTGCGTCTTGGGCTGCCAAGCCATAGCTGTGCAGGCATGAAGGTGGTTGGACCAAAGCCTTAGCACGAACATGCTGCTGCGCTCGACTACTGGCCACAGCTGTCTGGTGATATCGTGTGTGATTGGTTCATATACGCCATCGAATGGCGGAGAACGGACGAGGGAAGGCTGGCTGGGCTGGTGTGTCCAGCAGCTGCCAAGTTCCCAAGCCATTCTGCCGTGCTAGCTACATACAAACACATGGCTTTTCGCCTTCGATTTCTCAACCCAGCCCGTTGACAAGAAGTTAGCCGACTTTTCCTGCAAGCCACATCACTGCCGAGAAGCGCACACCAATTTCCTTGTGATTGCAAGCCATCATGACTGTTGCTTTGCAATACTTGTAGCAACTTGCACCGGCCGGGCAGCCTTGCTGTGAAAATCCGCGCCCATGTTGACGCCTACTTTTATAACGCTCATACAAACTCGCTCCCACACACTCAGCAACCCACATGGACGAATGCGGTGGGCCATGGCTCCCACTCATCGTGGGCCGGGATCCTCAACACCTCCATCCACGGCCAGACGAACCATTGAGCCTTGCGCCTTGCGCCTTGCCTTGCCGCGGTGGAGCGCTCCATATTTCCAGCATCCTTGCCATCGTATCATTCTTCAGATCACTGCGCCCTGGTCACATCTGGGCCGGCCTATCAGCGGAAACACCTCCACAAGGTTTTGTTTCTTACCCCACTCATGCAGGCCGCACGCTATCTGCAAGCAAGCATGTTCTGCGCTTCTGACCACATGTTTTGGCTCCAGGGATCTTACATCTATCAAAAATCATGTCTGCCGGTGTCGAAATCTGTAAGCAGTGCCCTCAGGGACCCCTGGTTTGGGTCCAGAAAAAAAAGTTGCTACGCATGACCCTCAAATCGCTCAATTAAACACATTCAGGCTCCTGGATAAAGCCAGGGTAGGTCATTTGATGTGTATACAGGCCCGGGAACTTGCATTGGAACAGGAACCGTCCCCGCAAACATTGCCATGTCGGCGCTAGCCACTGTCTTGTCAACAGTTTTTGACTCAGGTACCGGGATGATCACTCCGCACTCCCAGTTGCGACAGCTCATCTTGATGCCTTCCGTAGACTTGTCTTTGGAAAGGCGGCCCCTAAGAAAAACACCCAGCGGCCGTCACAGCGGCGGCGGCGGGCACAGTCAGCCTCTAAATCACACGAAAAAAAACTTGGCCGGTGCATCAGCAAGCACAAGAGAGAAGGGGAAAACTGGTGCTGTGGAAAAGTCTCGACTCACCACGCACTCTCGGAGAGATTTGCGCTCCCTACGTAGGCCCAGCCTGGCGGCTGCCGCGTTGCCTGCCCGTCTCCGACCCGACGCACGAATATCATTTTGCTGTGGATGAGGAGCCGGTCACGAGTGATGACATCCCGCACCAGCTCTGTTGGAAAGCTAGGCGACCGCCACCACCTTGCCTGTACGCAAATTGTGCCTCCGGCCTGCCATTTTTGAATTGTCAAATTGTGAACTGTCACAAGCGGGCTAGAAATAACGCTGCTGGTCAAGCATAATGCCTCGGGTCTTGACAACTCACATTGCGTCCACCTCTGCTTCGGGCCACTGTCTTGTCCGTAGGGAAGTAGATGCGGAATCGGTCTTTGAGCTCTTTGGACGTTGTCTCCGCCGGTTTCTTCGACGCCCTCGATCTTGAACTAGTGCCGCTGGACTTTTTGTAATCCTCTATGCCGTCATCACCTAAACAAGATAATTGTCAAAAGAGTCAAAAAGGAGAGTAAGCAGGTAGGAAACAGTCATTCTTGGGCCCATTACCTCGACAGGCGTTGTAGATGGCCCCTACCAACTGGCGGTTTATCGAACCCAACGACGCACACTAGGTAGGGTTGAGCTGTTAGCAACTTCGCCGCAAATGGTGGATAACCCAAAAAAACGTGCCACAAGGTCGACCTCGACAGGCTCGGGACTGGCCAGGCCAAGGGCCGCCACACTAGCACCAAGGCCGCAATATCCTTTTTGCAGGCACAGTCAGCGATGATGAGTTCCCACTCGACTCCGTAACCTCGGGCTTCGTCAACCAACCTGTGCGTTTTGCAGCATTTCCCGAGTGGCTTCCGGGTCTAAAAGATGAGGTTTGATTCAGGTCAGTACAACGTCGGCCAAAAGGAGGGGCAATTTGTCTTGTCTCTCCCCCCCGCGGCCCCTCTCGGCACATCCCTGAAAAAACGTACATGGTATGGACGAAAGCGATATCTGACGTCTTTGAAAAATCGTAGTTTGAGAGACTGGCAACCATCTTGTCGCCGACGCCCGTCGACTGGAGGAAGTATACTAGCTCCGTGTAGAATCCAGTCGGCCTCTGCGGCGGATGGGTGGCGGGGTTTCCCAGCCTTGGGAGATCAATTAGAAATACCATCTGCAAGTAGACAAGGACGGAAGTGCCTCTGGTTAGTTTGGAGAAAGACAAAAAAAGCCAAAAAAGAAGTAGAAGAATAATAATATGATATCAGAGGGGGGCCGGGGGGAATACCGACGTTTTCCATGACCCCGGTCTCTCCCCAGTCATACGGCACAAGGTTACCCGTTGGGATGACGACACGGAGGCGGTCCGGATACTTGAGCAGCTGGAGTTTGGAGTGCATTGCTCCCGGGCCGTGCATCGGGGGGAAGCAGAACTTGATGTTGGATGGGACGTTGCCACGCATAAGGTTCTTCTATACGAGGTTGCCTGTCAGCATTACCCTCAAACAACGATGGCTGAAGAAGGTTTTTTGATGCCCGGAAAGGGAGACGGAGAGGGAGTCAGGGGGGAGGAGAGAGGGGGGGAGGAGAGGGGGTTACCTGGGCTTCGTCTTTGGCGAATGCTAGTAGCAGTATCTTGGTCCTCCTGATGTCGAGCTTGGACATCATCCACTCCTCGTCCCATTGGAAAGACGACAGGACGGCGAGCTCCAGCTGGTCCTTTTGGAACACCTCTTCGATAGTGATTTCCTCGCCAGTTCGTGCACAGCCGCGAGACCATGTGCGTTTGACGGTGCCGTTTGGATACTGCAACGGCAAGCTGCTGCTGGCGCTGCTGCTGATGCTCATTGGAACTGACGTCGATTTTTTCAGTTCACTGGTGGTCTTGCTCTTAGGCTCGGGGGCTGTCATGGCTTGCTTCTTGGGCGGAGGGATCTCGACCACGTCGTCGTCGTCATCGTCGGAGGGCGGACGCTGGCGCTTTGCGAGGCGGTTGAGGCGTTCTTGCTCCATGGCTTTGCGGTCGAGCATGAGGGCGCCGAACTGGGACTGATGCTGTGACTGCGATGACTGCGCCTGCGACTGTGATGATGCTTGTGTTGTTTGTGTTTGCATCTGTGACTGTGTCTGCTGGGTCGACCTCGCAGAGCTTGCCGTCGCCTCATCGTCATCATCCGAATCGTCAATAACGACTGGTGATTGACGCCCATCCTGCAGCGACAGCGCAATCGCGTATCGCAGAGCCTCATCGTCGTCGGCGTCGTCCGCCAGCTCAGGCACACGTCCGTCCGGGCTCGCCATGTCTCGATCCGGCCGAATCCAAAGGCGCGTGCACAACTAATGTTTTCGTATCCGGTATTGTCGCTGCACCAAGCTCGGTGATCCAAAATTAGGGGCCCCTTTAAAAGAAAAATCCAAAGAGCAGTCACCGCATTTGTGAATCTGATCGTGATCGTTTGCGTCACGGCGTGATCCCTGTCTGTCCCGTTGCGTGAATGGCCTGGCGCGCTGTCACGTGGGGGGGGTTTGGATTGTGTTCACGCTGCATGAAGGGAGAAACAGGGCAAGAAGAGCTGCTTTTGGGGGTTCAATTGGAGCGATTATGATTGATTTGTGATTTGTAAAGCACTGGATTCGCAGTCAAGGATGAATTAATTGCGCCGCCCTTGTATGAGCGTGCTTGTGCTGGGGGTTCTGGTGTTAATGGAGGTTTTGGTGATGGTCACTTGAACTGACACGTGAATGTCTTCACTCGTAATCAGCCTGTGAGCAAGAAAAAAATATGAGCATGTAAGCTACTTGCTTTGAAATTCTTGCGACGAGTAAATTTCTAAATGCTATATAGAATGATGGGAGAGAATCCAGCAGACTTGGACAGAGATGCCCTGCATTTGCCCCCTCCCTTGACAAGGTTTCCGATCATGGCGGCGCCTTGGACGACACGCGCATCGGACAATGACGTCCACGAAATGTCGTCTCAATCGTGTATTAAAGCCGTTGATTGATCTGTGCTCCAACCTCTTCTGTAGAGCAGTAGCATAGCAATCTCTCTCAAAAAAACACATGTCAATCTAAATATTCGATTCTATTTTACAATTAAAATGTCGCCTCACAAGCAACCCAAGATGCCGCGCCACATTGTCATTGTTGGAGGCGGCGCTGCAGGCATGGTAAAACAAGCAAATTCCCATCTTCATTACCTCTTCCATCATTTTTTTTTTTTTTCTAAATGAAAGCTGCTTACACTTTTACATGGTAGTCTTGTGCTGCAACTCTGGCGAACCATCCAAAAGACTTCAAAGTAACGCTGCTGGAAAAGAACAGCGTCGTAGGAGGACAAGCCACGTCCATCCCCCTCGACGAGAAACGATTCGGTGCGGCGTGGATAAATAATGGAGTCCAAGGAGGATCTCAGGTTCGTCAATCTCTTCAATACCTGTCTCTATACTTAATTAATTACACGATTCGCCTAATTGAAAGGCTGGTAAACTTACAAAACAACCCCATCTCCTAGATATTCAAGCACACCTTCAACTTCTTCAACAAATATGGCTTCCCAGCTCAGCCTCTCAACCTCCAAGTCTCCTTCGGCAAATGCGAATCCGGCTTCTGGACAAACTGCTTCCCCAGCAAACTCGTCTCCCAGCATTCCTCCGACATCAAGCGGTTCGGTCTCTTCCTCAAGGTCATCAAGTGGACCATGCCCGTCCTCGGCCTGTTACCCATCTCCATCATGCTCCGCCTCTTCTTCTTCAGCAAGGACTTTGGCGACAAGATGGTCTATCCGCTCATTGCGCTGTTCCTTGGGACGGGGAATCAGACGGCAAACGTGCCCGCCGCCATCGTCGAGCGGCTTTTCAACGATCCGAACATGAAGCTCTGGGATTACGATGCCGACACGCTGCTGCCGAATCAACCCACCATGTACTCATTCGACTGTTTGCACAGCTTCTACGGCAAATGGAGAGACGACCTGATAGCAAAGGGAGTATCCATCAGAACTGACACCGAGGTCCTAAACATACCGTCACGATCCAAGAAAGGTGTCGATCTCATCATCAAAGACAACAGCACCGGCGACGTCACAAACGAACACTTCGACCACCTCGTCCTGTGTGTCCTCGCCGACGACGCCCTACGTATTCTCGGGAAATCAGCATCCTGGCGCGAGAAACTGGTCCTGGGCGGCGCATCCTTCTACGACGACCTCACCGTCACCCACTGTGACTCTGAGTACTTTACGATGCAGTACGAAACTCGCTTCAAGCCCGAGCTGTGCGGCGATCCCAAATCAGAAGCCCAATGCCACCAAATCGCCTCTGCCAAGGGTGACTCTCTTGCTTTTAGTTCTGGTTCTGGCTCTTCCTCTTCGCAGCAGCAGCAGCAGCCTTTCAATCCCATGTATTACACATACACATACCAGCAGAACCCGCGCCTCATCGAAATGTCCTTCAACTGCAGCAACTACCAACACCAATTCAAACACAAACAACCATCTCCCTCTCCAGAAACTCCCTTTGAGCCAGTCTACCAGACAATATTCCTCGACAAACGGCGGCGCGACCTTTGGACCATCGATGCCATTGACGAGGCCAAAATCATCAAGCGCAACTGGTGGCATCAGCTCGGCCACCGCTGGCAGCATTATGTCCGCGTTGTGCCGGGCGTCATGTTCCTCCAGGGCCGCAACAATACCTATTTCGCCGGATCATGGACTTTGGTGGTACGTATCTATCCTTTTTCTCTTACGACTCTCTCCATCTTCTCCCCAACACACACACATAACCATCTTATCCCACACTGCAAAAGGGAAACAACCATCTCTAATACATGTACAAACACATACAGAACATGCATGAAGTCGCCTGCATCAGCGGCATAGCAGCCGCCTACCGCCTCGGCGCAGACTACCAAAAGTTCGACGACTTCGCCCAAGACTTCTTCGTCAAGTACCTCCTGGTCTCCCACGGCAAGCTCTTCTCGCGGGAAGAACGGAAGAGGCAAAAGGATAAGGCTGATTAGAACACATCCAACCCAATAGATGTAAAGAATTACAAGGTACAAATGGCACACTCGCAATCTTCTTCCAGCCGCCTCTACGCACAAAGAGCATCCAAGTGCGGTTGAAAGCAAAATACGCCACGCTGCAAGTATCGTAAAGAAAGTGCCGCGTTATATGATAAAGCATCGCATATGGAACTGCAGCGCTTAAATCACAAGCCTATCTACGCCACGCTGCTCATTACAAAAAAAAAAAGCAGGCAGTCATTGAGAATAAAGGAATGATGTACGTAAAATGAATGGCTGAGCCTAAGCATACAGGTGATCATAGCTAAAACATCATCCGCAAAAGGGAACGTAGGAGGTTAAAAGAGAGACAAAACAAAGACCAAAGTTAACGAAAGTAATGAAGAAGTAAGACCGAGAAAAAAAGTAGCTGATACGTGCAATGGAAGTAGACGACAACATAAAAAAAGGATTGCCATGTACAACTCCGCCCCAGCCCATTAAACCCATTTCCGTCAAAATCCTCCCAATGCCAGTGCGCGAACAAAGGAAAAAGAGCGTATAAAGCAGGTAATGAAGGAAAAGAGACAAACGGAGAGAAAAAAAAAAAAAAAAAACAGCACAAGAAAAGAATCGCTGCGCGTACCAAATACTTCGTCTGGTAGCCTGCCAGCATTCCACCCATGACTCCTCGGGTATCATGAAAACCAGAACATAGTCAAGCCCCAAAGCAGAAAAATCTTTTCGTCCTGATGCAAGGTTACATGTTCTTGTAACATCCAGAGTCAAATTCCACCCAAGTACCGTTTAAAAAAAAGAAGAAAGAAAGAAAGAAAAAAGTAAAAAAAAAAAAAAAAGTAAAAAACCATAGTTGATATGCAAATCCACCCTCCCGCTTGCGCCCAAAGCATCTTCGATGCAAGTTTCTCCTTGACCGTTTGGAAAAAACACAAAAGAAAAGAAACGAAGCTTGCATAGAATAAACCACACGCAGACACACAACCGTCGTGTGTTCCCGAAAGCCGTACGTAGGCAGCCGTACTGTATCCCGTTCTAGGACGATGCGAAAGACATAGCAAAGAAAAGGAGAGAAAAGACATGTTGGGTGCCGTTTCCCGATTTGGGCTACAGCGATGATATTTCACCCGAGATGGGAAAAAAAAGAAGCGATATTTGTTGAAAATGCAAGGCAATAAAAAGAAATGAACGGCAGTCACAATTAGCGAGTAAAAAGGCTCTGCTCTGTTTGCGGACGCGGTTCCAGATTTAAAAGCCGTTTAAGATCGTTTTCCATAGCCTTGATGCTGCCTGCGCTAACAAAACCAGAGCCGTCCACTTGGCTGTTGGAAAAGGGTCCGGCATTGCGGGCAGTGGATGGGGTTGTTGTTGTAGACTGCTGAGGGGTGAAGAGGTACCTCTTGAGAGCCGCAGTTGGATCTTCAGCCGTCGTATTGTTGTTGGTGCTCAGAGTGGGCTGAGGAGTCGTGTGAGACGTAGGGGGGGTCGAGCCATAATTGCGTACAGCGTTGATCCGATCCTGGTAAGGAGTTGAGAATGGTCGGCCCAGTGGCTGGCTTCCGGTGCCATCCAGCTCAAACACTTCAATACCTCCAGAAGGTTGTCGGCTGTATGCACGGCGGTTCTGTGCCAGGTTGGACGAGGTCGGAGTGAGGGGTGTGTCCGTGTGGTGCGGTGGAGACATGACGCCGGCCAGCAACGACGCCGGGCCGGCAGTGTTGTCAAACTGTTGCCGGGCCTTTTCTTCTCTATGAGCTCGGAACATGAAGTCGAGCGGAGATTCGCGATGCTGAGACGCAGAGGCGGGTCGGTATGGCGTAGGTGCCTCTGAGTCGGTAGCCGGAGGGGAAGGTTGCGAAACGAAGTCCCTCGGCTTTCGCACCATCGGAGACTCGCTGCTGGACTTGAGGAAGCTTGGGATGGGTAGATCGGCGGGAGCAGGCGAGGCATGAAAGGTCGCTCCAGCAAAGGCCGCGCTGGGGCCTGGCTTTGAGTTCGGCGACGTTCTAGGAGGCGACTGGCTGCTGCTCAGGTGATAGTTGGGGGAGGCGGCGTCGAATTTGCCTTTGGGTTTGTGGCTACGGTTGCGTTGCTTGGCTGCAGATTGTGTACCGTAGCTCTCTGCCGGTGCAGGAGAGGCAGAAAGTATCTTCTTGGGAGTCTGGGGCGTCTTGTGGTGGTGATGGGTAGAGGTTGCGTAGTTGGCGGCGTCGTTCTCTGACGCATAGGCCTTGAGAGGGGCTGGCTTGCCTCGGGGGTGCCTGCGACGGCCCGGGTTGGCCTTGATCGGCGATGCGTGTGCGTCCATTAGATTTGTGGTTGCCGGTGAGGCTCTCGTCTGCTCGAAATCGTGTGTAAAAGGACCGACGTCGCTGGTTGCTCAGAGAGAAGCGAAAACGCTGCCTGCAGGGTTCTTATCCGGATGGCAGACAATCACGTGAAGAGCCAGGGGATCTCGTCTATTGGCGAAGGAGGCGAGGATGCGAGGTGGAACAGCCGGGGGGCAAAGGAGGATTATCACTAAATGCTTCGGGCAGTGCTCATGATGTGTTTGCTCTGGAATGGAGTTGAGAGCTGCGGAAGTGTGTTCAGCCCCGGCGGTTCCTTGCTAGACTTGGGCATGCATGCGTTGTCAGCTGGGAATGGGGAGCGCGAGGTACTGCTACTGCGGCGGTGGCGGTTTTTGTGTGGGTGCGCCGGTACTGCTACCAAGACAGACAGCCGTTTTGTTCCGGACGGCTGCCGCCGAAGTACCTACATGCAGTGGGTGCAGTAGATTCACTTCAGCTAAAGTCGAGCGCTTTGTGTGGATTTTGAGTCAACAAAAAATTAAAATAGAAAAAGATAAAGAACAAAAGATTCAGATGAAAACCGTGTCCATTTTCCCTTATTCCCCATCTCCTTCAATCTAAAGATGCATCCAATGAATTGCCGTTTGCGGCTCTGCAACGTTTGACGTCTTTGTTCCACAGCAACTGCATTGAGCCGCCTTGGTGTTTACAGCGTTAGGCTGCCTTTGTCGTCATTGGCTGGCTCAGCAACAGCGGAGAAGCATCCAGACTCCCAAAGTACCCAAGAGGTCTCCTCACGCCCACTGGTAGTGCTCGCTGTACCTCGCCGCAACCTGCAGGGCTCCCGGCTGCTAGCACCAGCAGTCACTGCGAATCCATTACGCCTGCCACTGGTACAAGGCCCGCTATCAAATCATGCCCCTCGCTCCGATTTGCCTTACTAACGCCCATACAGCAGCACGACTACAGCATCTGTGAAACTTGTCGGAGCTGCTTCAGCTTTTTTTCCTCTCTGCAAGCTCCATCTCGGATCTCCATTTCCTTGTCCGCAGTTCCAGCCTATCCCAGAGCTGCTAGATTTGGTGCCAAGGCTTAATCAGCAGTCTTTCTCCCAACAGTGTTTGAGGCGAGTACTCCGTTACTGCTGAACTAACATTAGGCTACGACGGACCTTGATAGCTAACAGAGCCGCACAGGTCATCGATCGATTCCCAAGCACTCGACTGCTCCCCTCGTTTACACACCGTCGCATCCTTACGGCCCTATCGCGGTACTCCGAGATCGTGGAATCATCATTACAGATAGAGCTTTGTTGAGAGGTCACGAGCTATCCGAAAAATGGCTGACGTTGAAATGAGCGATGCCCCAGTGGCCGCCAAAAAGGCCGATGGTGTCAGCGGTAAAGGAGCCGACAAGAAGAAGTTTGAGGTCAAAAAGGTGTGTTAATGGGACATGTCGACATGGCACAGGCTGAGCAACACTGACTGGAGTAGTGGAACGCTGTAGCGTTGTGGGCTTGGGATATCGTCGTTGATAACTGCGCCATCTGCCGAAACCACATCATGGATCTTTGTGAGCTTTTCTCATTACCCTACGGATGAAATTGTTGCTTACGCCCAGCAGGCATAGAGTGTCAGGCGAACCAGGCATCTGCCACGAGCGAAGAGTGCACAGTGGCATGGGGCATTTGCAACGTAAGGCGCCCATTCCTATACACAAAACAACCCTTCTCGGCAGCAACAAGACTGACAGTGTACTAGCATGCTTTCCACTTCCACTGCATTTCACGATGGCTGAAAGCTCGATCGGTCTGCCCTCTAGACAACAGAGACTGGGAGTTCCAGAAGTACGGTCGATAAACGGACGGAGCGGACGGAACGGGAAGCAAACGCAAGGAAATACATCATGGCATGGAGAGGGAAATTGTGGCACATGATTTCGGAAAGATTTAAGCTACATGCTGTTTTAGAAAAAGGTGACAAACGCCGGGACCTGCTCAGAGCGACGTTATCCAGTCATCATGTCCCGCCCGTGTTAAATGCAGATCCGATAGGCAGCCACTTGACCGGATTCTTGTTATAGAACGGCCATGGCGGAATAATAATGAGAAATGTCAACGCAGTCCCTCCCAGTCCAACATAAAGGCATTTGACGATGTCTTGTAGCACGTATCCGACGTTGAATGCGATGAGCTTGGAAGTGTGAGCAATGCGTTCAATTCGAGGCTGGGGGAGGTCAATCATACTCCTGTCAGAGCAAGTAGCAGAGTGGCTAGGCCTTCCACTCGTCGCTGGCCCTCAAAATCCTGCCAAACAATAACCAGTCAGCCGATATTCGCCCTCGTTGGATGGGGTCTGGTATACTGACTATTTGGCCCTCCACAACATCCCGCAGCTTGTCCAGGATCTCCTCCGCCATGACGTGCGACGCCTCTTCTTGGACGATATTTGCTCAATCCACTTTTTATCGTATATTATCTTGTTTGGGGGCGGTATCGCGGAGAGGATGATGGGCGAGTACGGAATAGAAGCAAACAGTGACAATGTCTGCCGAGCATTGCATTGCATAGTAGACACGTCTTTAGAGCTAGAGGTGATGCGTGTGGCGCACATGGCCGGACTGGGAATCCGAGTGGAGCCCAGCCCGGGGAAGTGTGGCGGTGCCAGCTCACGATACTGTTGGCTACCAAGCAAGCTAAGCTACCTAACCTGGACTGCTTCAGGATTTGGGGTCTGAAAGACGGCATGATGCATGCCGGTGAGCCGTTTTTTTTTTTTTTTTGCTTTTTCAAGGTTTGCTTTTTCTTTTTGATTAGGCGGTGTATGCGCGTGTCTAGTATCAGTGCTTGTTTGCTTGTTTGCCTGTTTGTTGTTACGTACTTACAATATCTAATGCCGAGCCATTGCGTTTATCTGGTGCATGGAAGTTGTCCCCCCCAACAGGTCCTTGGCGTGCATTGTGGGATCTGACCCGGAACTAAAAGAAGTGTCTGTGGAAAAGCTACCGGTGACTATAGCTTCCACAGCTCGATACAATTGACGAGTATCCATTAAGGAGCCGTTTATTGTCAGCTCATCAAATCTTCCGAGAGATGGGCTGCTCCGTATCTATCATTTCCAAACAGGGATGCATCTCGCAAGCGAAAGCGGAGATGATGCAGAACCTTGGCAGCGCACAGTGCTTGCGGCGGCAATTGAGACGCCTGACGTAGGTATGCTCTGTTTATAGTACCAATGCTGCAAGTGATCGAAGCGATCTTGCTGCGGGCCATTATCCGCTCATTCAACATCTCGAGAGCTAGTATATACATACATAGTATCTACCTGCTCAACAGGTAGTACTTGCTCACCGCACTCCATAAGCCCCTCCTGCTAGCTAGGGAGCGTGGCTGCTACACTGAGAGGTAATAATATCCATGATGGAATCAACCCGTGCCGTTGTCCGAAGAGGAGCGTTCTCGACTTTCACATGCCTGTCGTCCATGCTGAAGACTGAGTGTCTCACCAGCCCTATTTGCATCCTGCATCGAGTTGCTCGACACTTACATAAATCTTTGATGATCAGAAATCTCGTAAACCGATTTTAATTCCGCTCTGCATATGCACATGGCCCTGCTTCTCGCCCATTGGAGGCCGAAACGTGCCGTGATCGCGGACCTGGCCTCGAGCTACCGAGTGGCGCTCGCTGGACAAACCGTTGAGCGCGGGTATCGAGTACCAATAAGGGGAGGGCGCCGGGCAAGAATATACCCTCATTTGGATAGGAGCGTCGCAAAACACATGTGAGAACCTTAACAGGCTGCAAGTACCGGTCCGCTCCCCTCGTAGTCTGGCTGAGTACCTCGGAACCTCCGAGTTGCTTACAGTACCTAAAAATTTCTCCCAGCCAACTCTTGGTTTTTTTTTTGGCCCCCCAAAGCCCAGCGCTCTTCGGTCTGGCCAAACCAGCTTAGCGACCTCCAGCTGATTCTCGTGGCGGCGGGTACCGCAAAAAGGGAAAATTTCATCTCCTCCCAAACGGCTAACGAGCTTTTTGGCTTTGGTCTCTCTACAAACTCTTTTCTTCTTTTTTTCTCTTCTTGTTATCGGTCGAAGGCACCATTTTTGATGCCTTTCTTCTCCCTAATTTACTAAGCCCTTGACGCGTCTTCTCGGGCCTTCCAACAAGTCCTTTTTCGCTAAGGTGATAGCGTTATAAACCCCGTCGTTTCTCCTTGCGGCGCACACATCAGCCCTTTCCCTTCGCCGCAAACGAAAAGAGACAACCTCGGAGAATCTCCTTTTTGCCTCTCACCACCAATCCCCCAAGAAAGGCACCATTTCGCCCATCTGCTCGATAGCTCGACAGGCTTCTCATCACTGCTGTGAAGCCATTAACCCTCGGTAGGGTCCCCGAACAGCTTCGCTTCTGCGCATCGCAGACTTGACCCCGAAAAGCCTTCAAGTTGGCTCAACTCGCCTCCCCGGTCGTTATCTTCCCCTCGCTCCTTGGGCCCGGCTGCTGGGTCTATAGCGGAGTCAACAAAGAACCCCCATAAGTTGGCCTTCCGATAGTTGATCGCTCGCCAATCCCGCATTTGCTTCCTACACCTCTTCCGTAGCTCCATCAGCTACAGAGCCCGGGGAAAACCCATCTAGAGACCCAGGGGTCTTCGTTTTGTTCCAAACCAAATACTCGGCGCGCCTCTGCCGCGCCGAGAGGGCACTCGACAGCCTGTCCCAGGCTTAAAGCGTCATAGAACCAATTGTCAAAGCATGTCCAAGAACCCTTAGAGTTGCCAGCAGGCTTCGTCCGAGTTGCGCGGTGATAGTTTCGATTCAGACCGCTCTTGTCCTTTCGATAAACCAGATTGTTCACCATGTCCGAGCACGAGGAAACGTTCCCCAACGAGGGAGGCTATGATGCCCCCGTCCCTGAACTTGACGACCATCGACAGCATTTAACTGCTCAGAGAGCTGAGCGACCGCGCCGGGGAACTTTTGATAGTTTGTACGGCGCTCGCCATCTCGAGTCTGGGTCTGACAACGCGGCGGTTAGAATCCGTGATTTTGAAGAGGCTATCCTGGACGAAGAGGGAGATGTCCAACCTACGCCGCGCCATGGCCGTCGTGGAACGGTGGAATCGTCGGTGGATGGTAGATCCATCTCGCCCCCTAACTCGGTCAAGGCCTTCGCTGAGGCTCGACGTAGAGAGCGCGAGATGTCCTTCTCCGAGGCTAGGAACGAGGTTGAGGAAGTCCTTGGCCGCGCCATGTCCATCTCTAGCCGACGAAGCCACCGATCTCATGCGGGAGATGCCGATAACAGAAGCTTCTTAACCAACAAGACTGCTGAGGAAGACGTTTGCTACCCTCTTCAGGAGAAGCACCCCAAGCAACACGACCTCCGGATCGATTTCGAGTATCTCGAGGACTTCATCGCCGATGAGCGTGCTGAACGAGATGCCCGGGCTGAGGTCCAAGCCGCGGAGAGCTTCAAAGACTTGCGACTCACTTCTACTTTACCAAAGCCGGCACAGGTGGTTACAGTGGACGGCGATATTCTCGAGATACCCTCTGATGACTCCATGACCAACGAGAAGGTGTACTCGAAAGCTGCTCCTCCTCCTCCAAAGCCCCATCATACCGTCGACAATACGCGCTTCAGCTTCTTCTCTTCCGCATGGGAATCGACGATTCACGCCGCAGAGATGGGCGATCTCGTACTCCCAGGAGAGGATATCCGAGGGCTGTTTGAACTTCCAGAGGACGAGGACGGCGGTGTCTGGTGGCTCAATGTCAATCACGCCACAAAGGCAGAAGTGTACGGCATTTGCAAGGCGTTTGGCGTTCACCCTTTGACCATTGAAGATATTGTCACGCAGGAAGCCCGAGAGAAGATTGAGCTCTTCCCGTCGTACTATTTCGCGTGCTTCCGGTCGTTTAATGTAGTAGACGAACCTGATGGGAAAGAATACGAGCCTTTCAACATCTATGTCATCGTGTTCAGAGAGGGAACGCTCAGCTTCAGCTTTGCGCCCAACTCTCATGCTTCGGAGGTGCGCAAGAGGATCACGGCCCTCAAGGACTATGTTTCTCTTAGCAGCGACTGGATCTGCTATGCCTTGATGTAAGTTTTTCATAACACTCCTTTTTTTCTTCTTCATTTGCCATGTGTGGTGGTCTAACAACATTGGCTCCAGTGACAACATCGTTGATAGTTTCGCCCCTGTTATCAACCAGATTGAGATTGAAGCCGATGCCATTGAAGACGAAGTGTTTGTCATGCGGGATGACGATTCAAAATCGTTCCTGCGATCTATTGGACGCGTGCGAAAGAACTGCATGGCCCTCCTGCGACTCTTGGGCGGCAAGGCCGACGTCCTCCGCGGATTCACCAAGCGCTGCAACGAAAACTACCAAGTGACGCCGCACATGGACATTGGCATGTACCTGGGCGACATCCAGGATCACGTTGTGACCATGGCAACCAACCTTGGCCACTTTGAAAAGATTCTGTCCCGTGCCCACAGCAATTATCTCGCCACCTTGTCAATCAACAACATCTCCCAGGGCACCGACACGAACAAAGTGCTGAGCAAGATCACCATTCTGGGATCCATTCTCATCCCGCTCAACTTGGTCAGCGGTGTGTTTGGAATGAACGTTCATGTCCCGTGGGGAGGAGGTGAAAGCCTCGGGCCGTTCTTTGGCGTCATCGGCTTCATGGCTGTGCTCGTTATTCTCTTGATTTCCGTGGCGAGATGGAAGCGATGGATATAAAGGATACATTTGTATGTAGCGGTCTTGCGCATAAAAGGGAGGCTGTTTTGTTTTCTTTTTTTATTCTTAGTGTTTTTCTTTCTTGTTATGTTTTTCTTGTTTATTCATTGGACGCTGTTAGGGTAGAATTGGCATCATAGACTCGGGAAGCATTCTGAGGCGTGTGGTCATGATTATAGCCTTGCTTGTAATATGACATTCTGATATTCGTCATGAATACATATATATATATATACTTGTTATCTACGTCTGCATCTTCATCGTCCCTTCGTGTCATAGTTTCCCTCTTGTTTCTCAAAACTGGGAAATGAGAATCCATCCATCTGTACGACTCCAATATCTTCATCTCCCAAAGAACCTGCATATCTCAAGCCATCCCAAAGTGGAGCCCAATCCCTCTCCTCCCATTCGTCCACCCGCACCACCAACACTCCGCCATCATTGGCCCAAACCCAAGCAAGGAAAAAAATATTATCAACCTCCCCATCATTCTACGTACAAAACGACCAGATTTACCGCCCCCTTCCTACGACGAACTCTCCTGTTCTTTACGCCCCCTTTCTAGAGAAGCCAGGGGTCGATTTGACGATATAAACGAAAATATTAGCAAAGGAGAACTTTTTGTTTATTCTTGCCTACCATGAACGCTGCGCAGACTGGAATTGAGAATCTCGATCTTGAGAAGCTCAACGATAAAGATAAGACGGAGCTGCGCCAGTTTCTTGCCAATGAGCAGCAGCGATCGCAGATTCAAGCCCGTATGTCTTTACCCTTTCGTCCTTTCCCTATTCCATAGGTATTGAATTGGGGGGCCAAGTTACTGATGAAAAGCTCGCAGAGACGCACAACCTGACGCAGATTTGCTGGAAGAAGTGCGTGACTGGAAACATCAAGGGGGCGAAGCTGGAGAAGGGCGAGGAGGGGTGTTTGGCGAATTGCGTGGATCGGTTTTTGGATATTAATTTCTTGACGATGAAGCATTTGAATAACATGCGGTCATAGAGAGAGGGGATGGGGACCGGGGGGTTGGGGTGTACGATATGTATTATGCGTGGTATGAAGATATGGAATTGGTTATGTGGAATGGGATTCGATAACTCTTCTTTCTCTTGAAATAATGATCCAAAACATGGAGATCCATTGAGATAGCATATGATTCTCAATATGGATTTGCATTACATGGACTATGCACTTTTTGATCTACGCAGTGCTAGACTTGGAACGACATGATTCAAGAGGACATCAATCAGAGCGAGCATTGGAATTTTTGTCATCACCTCCCCGTCTTCATTTATTTTCTTCTCCCTTAATTTCCCCGAAATTCGGTACGTGGATGGACCGGGTTTGTCTTTGCATATAGTATCATAATTTCGATCCGATAAGTGACAAAGCTTCAACTCCCTTAAGTTTCCGATGCCCATGCTTTTATTGGTTGTGCACGCATTCAAGACCAGACCAAATTCCGTTGCCGAGAAAAAAGAAAAGAAATTGTCAAAAGACTAAAGAAAAAACGACCTCTCTCTCAACAAATTATCCTGCTTAAACCAGAGACAGCTTGTTGGCGGCGATGTCGAGGGCATCGACATCGGGGGTCAGGCGGGCGTAGGCCTTCTTGGAGCCGTCAGGGCTAGAAATGGGAATTAGTATGATTTCTCTCTTTGCATTGTAATGCGGCAAACATGAAAAACATACCGGATCAGGGTGTTGATCTTGACGGTGTCAATGTCGTAGAGCTTCTTGAGGGCCAGCTTGATCTGGGCCTTGTTGGCCTTGACATCGACGATGAAGACCAGGGTGTTGTTCTCCTCCATCTTCTTCATGGCGCTCTCAGTGTTGAGAGGGTGGATGATGATCTTGTGCTCATCAAGGCGGGGAGTGTGGTTGATGGCCTTGCGGGGGTAGCGAGGAGCACGGGACAGGACCAGAGTCTTGGGGCGGTGGAAAGAGGTGGTCAAGCGGACCTTGCGGTTCTTGGTGGAGTGAGTCTGTAAATCTTGTTAGCTAAAACTGCCTTTTCATTCCTGGTTCGCGATATATCAAAGAAGAATTTACTTACACCCTTGAGGGCGGCCTTGGCAGCGGCGTTGGCCTGCTTGGTGCCCTTGGCGGCAGCTACATGAACATGACGCATCAGCAATCGCTCTTATTCAGAACTCGCAAAATCTGCTGCTGCATGATGCTTGCGCGGAGAAATTGGGGAGATCATTTTGATTTGTGTGTATATTCGTCGCTTTCGCAAAAAGGCGGGAGTGGGCTTTCGGCTCTGTCGACGACACAAAAGACTTTTCAAGTCGTACCTTTCTTGTTAGCGGGGGCCATTGTATCGGCTTGTTGTCGAGTTTTGCACGGAGAGGGATTGTGCGTTGAGGAGTTGTCGACTTATCGGAATAGTGAAAGCAAAAAAAAAAAAGAAGAGAGGAAAAGAAGTTTCTCCAGCTACGTGAGGTAGATTAATCCGCCAGTGTGGGCGAAATTGCAAAAAAAAATTAGGGCTCCAGCAAGCGTGCGCTGTGATTGGCCCATCCAGCTCCAAAATCATGTGATTTCTCTCCACGAGCATCATCAATAGGTCTTGACGAGCATGCTAACCGCATTCGGATGAGTATTTATAAGTAAAAGTGTGTTCAATATGGCCATTCTCATCATTTTCGGACATATGGTCCTTTGTCTGCACGCCGAGGCAGCGAGGCTCTGAACCCAGCACCTCGTACGCAAAAACTAACGATCCGAGGCCTAATCGCACGATGCAACTTCAACGCTGAAAGGCTAGCCATGCGACAGCCAGGATCCTAGGCGTCATTTACGTTCCTTTGCAGGCAGCTGTCCTTGATATTGCAATTCGTGCGAGCGTCACGCCACGATCAACCTCCTTGTGCTCATCAGCAGCTCATCCCCATACCCAGGATACCTTTTTTGCCTGACGGACATACTGGGGGCACCTCCCTAACGAAATAGGAATCATGGTCGTCAAGAAGAAGAAGGCGTTGACTCGTCTCGCACAAGGTCGACCGCCGCTTGCTACACCATCACGCTCTATGACTCGCAAGGCGAGCAGGACTCTAATCAACAAGCACCATCAGCTGGAAAAGACTCGAGCTAGGGCCATCAGAAGTGGCGATAAGGAAACAGAAGTCAAGGTTACAGCTGAACTCGAGAGTCTGGGAGGGTTGGGACACTATCAAAAGGCCAGCCTACAGGGACAAAGCATCGACAGAGGGGGAGACACATCAAAGGTTCTCATGGAATGGCTGCCACTGGACGAGCTCAAGAAGCAGTCACAACCTCTGCAGATGCTCGAAGTCGGGGCGTTGAGCACTCGAAACGCATGTTCAACCAGCAAAGTCTTCAACGTTGAGCACATTGACTTGAACAGCCAGGAACCAGGCATTCAGCAGCAGGACTTTATGGAGAGGCCTTTGCCTGAAAATGGAAAAGGGCCGTTCGACATTATCTCGCTGAGCTTGGTTCTCAACTTTGTCCCCGATGCTCTCGGCCGTGGCGCCATGCTTCTACGAACGCTCTCGTTTCTCCGGGCCGATGTCGACGCCCCGATTACCACCGAACCGCTCTTTCCCTGTCTCTTCGTCGTCCTGCCGAGGAGTTGTGTCGATAATTCGCGGTACTTTACGGATGACAAGTTTGACGAGTTGATGGCCGAGCTCTGTTACATCAGAGTGAGGAGCAAGAAGACACAAAAGCTGGCCTACAGCTTATGGAGAAGAGTTGCGGGAGTTGTGAGGCCAGGTCTGACGTTCCCAAAGCAAGAAGTCAACCCAGGAAAGACCAGAAACAACTTCGTCATGACTCTCAAAGAGTAGCAGACCTGATTGGCTCCTTTGCACTTGCGAGGGAGGAAGCTTCGGATCACGACACAAGTCCCAACTCGGTATGCGGCACCCAGAACGAACAGCTCCATGCACTAGGGCCCAACAAATTCGGGTGCGGAGCGTCATGATACTTTCGGCAAAGAACTATTCTCTTTGGGTGTTTTTTTGGAGAACAACCAAGCCACACACTGACCGCCTAGGAGTCCTCCCTACATACCACCTCCCCCTCCACACACCCCGAGCAGGTCGAAACCTCCAACCGAGCGTCGAGATGGCGGTCAGCCAGTCCCCCCGCATGGTTGATCTCACAAGCGACCCAGTCAAATAGCATTTCTTCCTTTTTAGCTGGCAATAATTGTCGACATATCAGTACATACTTGTACGAAAGCTGCCGTCATCTAAATATGCGATGTTGAACACCTGACTACCGGATCTCTTTCCCCGCCATCAACTGACTCGTGGGGTGGTTTTTACGGCGAGGAAACTTGCCTGCGTGTTGAATGTTCGAGCTACCAATCCCCAACGCTGTCTCCATCTTCAGGCCGATTTTTTGGATGCAATAGCGGCTACGGCCTGTGAAACAGAGGCCGGAGTGAACTCGGAGAGGGCAAACTCAGTCAACGGGTGATGGGAAGGCAGCGGTGCATTGCCCGGTCTGACGGCCGGGACACTGTGCATGCCCGACTGGCGAGCAGCATCTACCTCATTGAGATTGTCGCTCAGGAAGATCCAACGTGCGGGGCTGATGTCCGGATAGTGAGACAGGATAGTGGTGTAGCTAGCCACGTCGGTCTTGGGCCCCGCATTGACGGTGTCGAACCAGTCAGAAATAAGGACGCTCATGTCGGGGGGTTGGGCGGTCGTGTGAGCAAAGAATAACTTCTGGGCCGGGACCGATCCGGACGAGTATATCATGATTTTCTGGCCGGCCGCATGGGCGTTGGTGATGAAAGGCGGCACGTCAGGGAACAGTGGAGCTTTGAGCACTCCGGATTCGTACCCCTTCTTCCAGAGGTACCCTTGGAGCGCCTTTAGGTACGAGGCCTTGACATCTCGGGCGACCAGGTCCCGAACGTGTGCCTCAAAGGCACTGCGATCATTGCGATACTCTTCAGGGAAAGCGTTGCGGTACTCGGCAAAGCTCGACTCGTCCCACTGCTCAGTCAAGAACTTGGGCAGTACATCGAGGGCATAGGGAAACTGAGGGGGGAACGGCGCAAGGGCCCATCCAAGGTCAGCCACGGCGTTGGGACGGGACGGAGACGAGTGTACGGGTGTACGAGTACAAGAACGAACAGCAGCACTATGCGCGCATAATTGTGGTTGAGCAGGAGCTAGGTGTCGTGTTGGGGAAAGGCAAGGGTGTCTAGTCTTGAACATCGCCACTCGATTGGCTGCCGGACAGGGATGGTCGGCGGCGATTGACGGGACAGCGAATCCAGACCGTCGCCGGGGGACGAATGAGAGGAAGCCAAGGGAGAACTCACCAAGACATCCTTGACAAAGGAGATGGGACAGACGGTGCCCTCTGCATGAGTGAAGGTTGCGCGATAAGCATCAGCCAGAGGACATGAAAGATGCGAGCAAGAAGCAAAGGGCAACCCGTGATTCGAATTCGCGCAGCTCGTCGCTCGCCACGTTGATCAGCCCGGGGTAAGTGGGGGAGGGGGTGCCATACCAATGTCTAGCAAGAGGACTTGGAACTCTCCAAAATCTGTCTCAGCAGCCATCTTTTTTGTCTAAGGTATCTTTAGCTGAGAAGCTACCATTAGTACTTAGGTAGGGAGCGCTGAGAGTCGCAGGCGGTGAGGGCCAGCTACGGAATATTCTAGGCGTTACGTACTCGATCAAAAGAAAAGACAAAAAGAGCCAGAGCAGCGCAGCGGGAGTCGGCAAGGCTGGGGTTGCAATTTAGTAAGAGCGTAGTCGTAATAAACTGTAGCTGAGAGAACAGGTCCAGGGCCCGGCGGGAAGGGGAAAATTTTCCTACGATGGAAAGATATGGAGCCCTCTTTTTTTCCCTCTCTCTCACTACTCTCTCTCATGCTCTTTTTTCCCCTCAATCGGGCGAGCATCCGTCATTTTTTCCTCCTACTTTCCTCTTTGGTGCCAAGCGGCCTTTCTGCCACCCTGCCAACCCTGCCACTCTGCTACCCTAGAGCCCGACGCACCTGGACGGGGCCACCTGGGACCGTGGCCTCTAGTTCCTGACTTGAATTAATTAGGGGGGCCCTTGATTCTGGGCGTCGTTTTTTCGCTGTCGTTGGACTGAGACACAGTATCATTCGGGGTAGCCTGCATGCATGGAGGGTGCATTAGAGGCGCATTGAGGTGCGTCAGCGTGCAGCAGCTCGACGACTTTAGCCTCTTGGAAGGCGGTCAGGGGAGGTTTTTTTGCTTGTCTCTTTCTTTTCTTTTTGCAGCACTCCGTACTATCTCTGCCTTCTTTGCTTTTCCATGGCGTTTGCAGGGCGACGCTTTGCGCCCCTAGCTTGGCGTTCTACTGTACGGAGTACTCGTACACGAGGAGACTACAAAAGCAGGATATATGCGAGTGCTGGCTGTGGCTGGTAAGGGCAAATGTCGCGCCGTCGAAAAAAGGGCCCTGTCGACGGGACCTTGATGGATACTGGACAATTGTCATCAAGGTTCTTTTTTTCTCTTTGACGATGACACCACCTCTGCGCAATTCGTTTAGCGAAAAAAGCTCGCCATCCAGACAGCGACAGGCGCCAGAGCATCCAGGGGGGCCGACGATGCTGTATTGTACTGTAGGTTCCCATTGATGCTCAACTGTCGGTGCTAGTGGCAGCTAGTGGTTACAGCAGCGTCGTGCCGCATTTGTTTATCCGCCGACAGCGGCACTAGAAATGAGCCCACTGTGAGTAACAAACAGTCGTGTCGTGCTCCATCGCAGCTGTATAACTGTATGGAGAACACGGGGGGGCCCTATGACGGCAATTGAGCGATGAATACCGAACCGATTGCCACTGGCGCTGTGGAAAGATCGGAAGGGTTCCATTGACTCACCAATTTCCTTTCTTCAGGACACGTTGACGGTTGAGTTGATGCTTGCGTATTGCGGTGGGTAATGCAGAGCGAGTATACGGAGTCGCAGGGAGTCGATCAATTGAAATTATCAGGTACGGACAGCGCTGTAACTCGGTGTACCTGGACGGCGATGCTTCCGGCATTAAAGTGCAGACCCATAATCATTATTCGTCTCCGTAGGTACTTGCAGCTGCCTCCATGCTTCTACTTTCTACAGTATCAGTACTCGTACAGGTACAAGCAACGATCAACGTACGACTATTGCTGCCAAACTCGAATCAAAGAAAAAAGGGGGCCAATTGCTGGATGCATCCAAGGCAACCAATTGAGCACTTGTTTGTTTACTTTAGCCGGCGAGGGAGCTTGTTACGCCCAGTCAAGGCGCGGCGTGGGATGCATGGACGGGCCTTTTTTGGCTATTGTTGTCTTGTTCCCCCAGAAACCCTGGGCAGGCTGCGAAATGCATTCCAATCACGTCTTTCGTCTTGTTTCTTTGGTTTTCTCTCACGCACGGCCCCAATTGAACTTCTCTGTAAAAGGAAATGCCATCCCCAAGGGTTCAGTCGCCCTTGAAGAAGGCGAAAACCTTCTTGTCTGAGTCTCCCTCCCTTATCTGTTCCAAACCGGTAAAAGTGGCTTGATTGCCCTCCCTGGACATGGCGCTCGGATGTGAAACACTGCCAGTGCCAATGGGTTGGGAGTACATGAACTCGTTTGTTTCGAGTTTCTGAAATCGAACAGTGCACCAGATCCGTCGCCGTGGTTGGACGCAGGTCGAGGCACCGGGCAAAGGTTGCACAAGGCACGAACCTGTACTGTGTACGGTGACCCCCCTCCCCCCGAATCTCTACATTGCAGTATACTTGTACAGTACGAGGGACTGGTAGGAAACGAATCCATGGATATCAATCGATGTCTCGGTCCAATCAGGCCCGGCATTGGGCACATGAAACGCAAGAACCTGGAAACCCGGTCCGGGCTCGACAATCTGCGCAGGATCCGGCAGGTACTTGGACCAAGGGTATCATGTTTCTCTTTGTTCGCTTGCCTCCAGCCGAGATGCATCACGGACGGGGGTACGGAGGTACCATTGCTCGAGGTATCCTGGGTGGCCAAGTCCGCGGCTTTGGCACTCTCAGGAAAAGGCCAATCTCGTCAATCACGACGCAGCCTAGCAAAAAGTCTAATTACCTGTACCTCGGCGGGCAGCAGCAGGGAGAGCAGTACTGTATGGCGACCCAATGTACTCCGTATGAAGTGATGTTATCATATAAATAGAGCACCGTCCGTATCCATCTTGAAGAAGAGAACACAGAAGGGGGTAGGGGGGGCGACCATTGTAAATTGGAGATGGAGGCTATGCAATGCCACATCGAGGCACAGTGCCATAGAGGTGTGTATCTGTACAGTAGCGTGCCGTACAGTAGAAGCAAAGAGTTGCGTGCTCGTATCAGAAACAAGAGCTGCAGCCCGTCTGGTTGCTGTCGTGTGCCCTCGTGTGCCCTCGACGCTGTGTCCCCAGCCGCAGCGCTTCTTGCGGGCAAATAAACGCGGGGACGAGGCAGAAGAGACGATGTGCAGCTCAATTGGTGCCACGCAGCACTGCTGTCATATTCCTGCTCTCATTTTTGGACGGTTTCGTCTTGTCGTGCCGCGACGTGGACGGATGGCGATCCGCGGCCGAGATGCGACAGGACAGGACATGGGCAGCAAGCGATCATGCAGAGAGCATGACATGTACATTGTACACGTATACGTACAGCACAGTATCTAGTAAGTATTCTTGCATGCTGGCCCGAGACTGGACTGGGTGATTGGCAGCGGCAGGCATTTTTGGGCTGCTGAGGGTGTGCTCCGGATTGCGGACTTGGGGGGTTCGCAGAATGAGTAACTCGCATTGAAGCCCGTGCGGTGAGGACGCTACTTGGCACCACCTCGAAGCAAGGTGAGCGAATCGATACGATACCTCTGGCGATACGATACAGGTACTGTGCTGAAATTGTTAAGCTGCACAGTGTCGTTCATCGGAATGGCACGGCCCAGTCACGCAGACCCTCGTCATTTCGTCGTCTGTGGGGACCGCCACCTGGCGTGACTGCTTTGCTGGATGCAAATGGAACATGAACCTCTCCATTCGACATTAGCGGCCAGGGGAGGCGTTGTTTGTCAGCGCCGTCGAATTGGCATTCTGGGGGATTGGCTTTGCTGGCGTTGCTGGCGTTGGCACTGCTGCTAGCGCCGCGTGTCGCCATTCGGCCAGACGGCTAACAATTGCGACTTTGCCCGCTAAAACAACTCAATCCGCATCCCATTCCAAGCACCTCTGTTTACTATTACTATTACTATTCCTGTACAAGGCAATTACTCGTCAATACTAATTGCCCCCGTTTTGGATCAATGTTTACGTTGACAAACCGCTATGCGACTCGTGCAGCGACAATGACAGCGACAGCGACAACGGCGCATGTTGTAAGAAACCCAAGCCATTGCGTGGTCCCATTCAGCGCACGCCGATACGGACACACGACCTCCGATGATGTAGTATATGTCCAGTCCAGTGCAGTCCAGTGCAGTACTGATTACATACATACTCGCACATGCAGCCCCGTGAAGATAATCCTCATGTCAGTCTATGCGTGGCCTGATATAAGACCAGTCTGTACTCTCCACGCATGCAAGAGCACATGTACCTGCAATACTGTCCATGCGAGCAGCCGGCAGCGCTGCCACGGAGTACTCCGCGAGTCCCAACCCGATTAGGCCCTATCGGGTACTCCCAAGCCAGCGCTTGTACTATCTGAACGCTTGGTACCTCCCGCTATCTCTCAGTGTCCGGGAACCTGCGGGATGCGTGGTGCCCTCGAAAGCGCAAAGGGCCGCACGGTGCTCCGCAACTGACCACGCGTGACTCTCCCAGCAGAGCCCAACAAGTTTTGCGAGGCCGCAGCCGGAAGACAAGTCGAGTCAACGGGCGATGTCGACGATGGAGGTGAAGTTGTGGATGCACGCACGGTGCACGGCGTCTTGTACTCAGTATGCGCCACGGAGTACTTGCATGGGCCCCAAACACCGTGTACAGAGCCCGGAGCTCGTACTGATACCCAACTCTGCTGCAACGTGGTCCTCGGCGAGCAGCAGTTCCATCTTAAACAGTGCAGTATCAGGTACCTATCTAAAGTACTATACATTGATACTGCCCAAAGGCGAAGGAGGGAGGTGTGTGTGAGTGTGTGAGTGTGAGTGTGTGTGGCCAAAGGACCCTGCGCCGTGCGCCGAGTACCGAGTACCCCGTACTCGTACCCAGGCAGCACCCATTCCGCCGCACGCACGCCGACACGACGCAAGTACCCGGTACCGCACTCTGCCTAAATGACATGCTCCTGCTAAAGCCATCCAAGCGCTGCCCGTAGGCTGTAGGTACCCTATCGTGCTAACTGTCCTCGTACTGTTAATGCCTGTATGCTCGTAGTAGCGCCCTGTAGCGCTCAATGGGACGCTGGCACAGTCGCCGGCTAGTGCGCTGCCCCACCCCCCCAGCGCTGCTGCTGGCAGGTTCTCGTGGCTATTCTGCACACCCCCGTGCTTCCACTCTCTTCCACCGGCCATTTACTCATCCCCAGTCTTCCCTTTTCATCCTCTCTCACCCTTCCTGGTTCTTCCTACATTACTTCTCCGTTCCCTCCCCATCTCCTCCTTCCCCCTGGCACTGCTGTCCTCCATCTCCAAAGGCCTTCTTTCTCCTCGAGCTTGCGCCTCTCTCAACTCCTATTCGTCGTCCTCGCCAACCCGCCATTGCGCTGTCGCATTGACTCCAGCCTCCCAACTTCGCCACCTCGACGATCCTCGCAAGCCGTCAACTATCCCGACCGATTCCTCAGCTTCAGTCGACGAGAGAAAGAAGGGTCCCTTTGCCTTGCAAGATCCCCCCACAGCGGTCCATCAGCGCCTTTTGTCTGCTTGACATTCTCCGAACGCCGCCAGCGTGTACTGTCCTGTCTGTAACTGTCACTGCTTTGCCGCAAACTCGTGTCGCCGTTTCGACTCTTATTGCCTCGGCCCTTCAGCCTTCCGCCGTCTTCGTCATACCAACCCCGGTCTCGGCCCGCACTCGATATCTTCAGTCAACCCTCATCGAGTCACACGGCGGATAAGGCACAAGCCTCTTTCTCAACAGCGGCTTTCACCCAAAAGTTCTACCCCATCGGCTCAACTGCGCTCGCGACTCCTGCTCATCTTCGTCGCCTTGATTGAGTCACCCCCTTTCAGCGAGAGCTACGCTCCGCTTCCGGCCGCCAGTTTGGTTGGTCCGCCACGTTGCTTTACTCTCCTTGACTTGTCACTCCTCTCACTCCTCTCAACACCATACTCAACTCGCCTACCTCTATCAACTTGACGGATCCGACCCTCGCCGTCTTCTCAACCCTCCGATACAAGCAACCAATAATCATCACCAGTCGTTCATTTACGCACAACCTCCATAACGCGACCTCGATGCTATCATAACGAATCTCCATCTCTTCTACACTTTCTTCTCTATACGCAAGCCGGCTTTCGGCATCTTGGCCACGGTTTTCATCACTTCGCGTCTCCTTTGTCTCTCTTCTATTTCCTTACCTCTTTTTTGAAATCTCTCAACCAATGCGCACCTGATAAAACAACAACTACACTCCGACAAAACATCTTCACCAATCAACCAACAAATATCATACGTGGCTACACTTGTCGTCTCTCCTCTTTTCTTTGTCTTTACGGCTTGTACATTTCGGTCATCTGTTATTCGATTCTTTAACTGCCTTTCAGAGCAGTCTTCTTTCTCGTCTTTTCTCCTTGACTTCGCCTGATCGCAACCTTGCGTATAGAAACGTCGAACGCTTCTTTTACATCAAGGCTGCCTATTGATTCACGATAAAAGAGAAAGGCATATATCGGTTTTTACATATCTTGTCACCAAACAAAACGCCTGTATAAATAAGTTTTGCTTGTCTTGTTTCGTCTCTTTTTCACTTTTGTTTTCCTCTCAACTTCCCTTTATCTTATATTTTATTTTATTTTTCCCATCTCAACTTCGTCAGCATGGAATGCTTGAGGAACAAGTTCACTGGTGGCCTCCTCCTTGATGGGGGTCGCTACCAGACCATCTCACCACTCAACCACGGCTCTTTCGGCATGGTCTTCATGGCTCAGGATCTCGTGTCCAACCAGGTTGTCGCCATCAAGTGCCTGACCAAGAAGTCTGCCCCTTGCGACATCGGTCTCGAACTCGCCGTTGACGACCGATCTGAGGAGTATGCCTTGCACAACGGCCTCGGATCGCACCCCAACATCGTCAACCTTCTCGATACGTTTGAGACTGATGCTCACATCTTCTTGGTCATGGAGTTTTGCTCTCAGGGTGACCTCTACGAGGCCATCCGAAACGGTCATGGACCTCTCGAGACCGAGCACGTTCGTCAGTTTATGCTCGAGCTGGTCGACGCTGTCGCGTTTATCCACTCTAAGGGAGTCTATCACCGTGACATCAAGCCTGAGAACATCTTCCTCACTCAAGATGGTGCCATGAAGCTTGGTGACTTTGGCCTTGCGACTACCGACAAGTGGTCTTACGAGACCACCGTTGGCAGTGACAGGTACATGGCCCCTGAGCAGTTCGACTCCGCCGGTGCTGGATACTCGCCCGCCGAGGCCGACATCTGGGCCATTGGTATCTGCCTCCTCAACATTCTCTTCTCTCGGAACCCATTCACCACCCCCACCGAGGCTGACCCCCTGTTCCTCGACTTCTCTCGTGACAAGCAGAGCCTGTTTGATGTCTTCCCTAGCATGTCCCAGGACACCTACGAGGTCATTGTGCAGTGCATGAACATGGATCCCAGGAAGCGTTCCCTTGAGGGTGCCCGGGATGCCCTTCTTCGCGTTGTGAGCTTTACGACGGAGGACGAGAGCCTCGATGACTTTTGCGGAGCCGAGAACCCAACTGTGGCATCCGCTCATCGTGAGCCTCTCCGAACCCCGTCGATCCAAACCCCACACGTTGATGGAGGCGCATTCCCGTGGACCAAGGCGCTTAATGAGACCCCTGCTCGTCGCCAGCTCAGCGCCATTCCCGACGACGAGAGCTACAGTGAAGACCTCTTCTCCAAGTCTGGTGAGACGAACGACTGGTGCTCTGCCTACGTTCAGACCCCCTCCTCTTCCATCCTGGATACTCGCGTCATTGAGGCTCGGATGAGGGCGTTCAACATTACTCGCCCTCCCCAGCCCAAGCCCAAGGTTTCTCCCGCTGCTGGATCTCTGCCCATTGCCATGGGCAAGCCGTTCCCTTCCATGGCTGCCGTCTTCGGCATGCAGAAGGAGACGGTTTCCAAGAGCTGGAGCGACATGTGGGACGAGGACGAGGAAGAGGAGCAGATGGAGCAGCAGCGGGTCAACGCTCTCCAGGAGCTCAACTCGCGCACCTGGAGCCACGAGAGCACCAACGAACACTCGGTGCCAAAGACTGAGCCCGCTCCGGCGGCTCACGACATCAAGGGTGATGTGGATGATGACTTGGTTGCAGATGGTTTCTTTTTTCACGAGGCCGCGCCACCCACCAAGCACCACGCCTTTACTATCACGCCGCGCTACTCGCCCCCGTCTAAGCGCGGCAACATTGACAAGTGGGCGGCGCTTGGTGAGCGTCGTAGGGGCCAGAATATCAGCATGGAGCCGGAGAAAAGTCCCGGTTGGAAGCAGCGTCGTCATTTTGGGCTTGGATACAGCAACAACAACAATAACAATCACAAATCTTATGAAGCGGGCGTTTGGGATCATTTTTCTACTTCTCACAATAACAATACTTTTAACAACCATTATGGAAAGGGCTGGAGCAAGGATCGCCTCAAGGAAAATTCTTGGAATAAGGCCAAAGATTGGAACTGGCGCAGGGACAGGCGCACCGATCTGGGAGATGTTGAGTGGGTTGGTGGTTGGTAAGGGGGCTCCCTTCCCCCTTTTTTTTGGTCGGGGCTTTCTCAACCACCAATCGTGGTTATCGCCGCCATCGTTTATTTGCTGGCAGGAAAACACAAAATGGGAGCAGTTTACTTAGAGCGCTTGGAACCAGGATCATGGAGAATGCACAAAAACGGGGTTTGCCGTCTCTGCATCGAGCCCCCTCTTCTTTTGGTAGGGGGTTCTGCATTGTAGACGGGGATTTTCAGATTTGGATCCCCATGGTTTTTCTTGTTAAAAACAACTTTTTTGGTTAGAGTACTTTGAGGGCACTGCTGCTATTGGCTTTTTGTGCCGGGGACGATGTAGGCTTTGACTCGCTTTCTGCGTATCAATTATTTAACATAATAAAACATACCAGAGGTTACCCACTCAATTTATAAGTTTCTCGTGTGCAACTGTGATGTTTTGGTTTTTGTAGATTTGAGGATTGGGTTGGGGAGCATTCCAGCTTACGTCAGTTGGGACATGATGTTTGTTTGTTTACATTGAAAGTACATGTGGTTCACATTGAGGACATGTGGATGACTATGTATTGACTTGAGCTGATATTTTCATCATGTAAGTACTTTGGGCTCAAAGGTGTTGCCTTAGGCGTTTACAGTAAGTGAAACAATATACCAGATGGAAGTAGAAACAGTGATAGAGATGTCGTCTACTTAAACTCTTGAAACACAAAGCTTATTGCTTTATGGAGTCGTAAAAAGAGGCGCTTCAAGATGCCCACAGAAATATGCTAGATGCCATGACCCTATACAAAAAATAAAAAACCGAACAATATACCACGCCATGTCATGTCATGTATATAAAGAAACCCAAAGAAAAAATCAATCAATCACTGCCAGTTTAAACGCCAATGAGATCCTTTGGCAAAAACGTCCACACGGTGCCAATGAGGCCGAGCACGGAAAACACCACCAGCAAGCAGTACAGCACGAGGCGTTCCTTCGCCGCGACGTCCTTTGCGTAGAGCTTGAGGTAAAACGAGATGGGCAGGATGACGGAGATGAGGGAGCAGAGGGCGGCGCCGAGGAATGCGCAGACGGAATCAAATGCCGGAAACAGGATGGAGATTCCGAGCAAGACGAGGACGACGACGACGCGCACGAGGGTCCTTTGGCAGGATCTTATGAAGGCGGGTTTCCAGTCTGCGCTGCTGGTGTTGTTGTTGGAAGAGGAGTGGTGGTGATGGTGATGGTGAGGGTGGTGGTGAAGGCCGCAGAGGACGTCGGCGGTGGTGATGAGGGGGCGGGCGTTGAGCGGGATCTTGGTCAGGGGGATGATGGTGACGCAGATGCACATGAAGATGGTCAGGCCCTCGGGGAAGCCGGAGCTCTTGATGATGTTGGAGGTGATGGCCTCGCCGATGCCGTCGCCGAACATGAGCATGCCGACGAGGGCGAGGCAAGTGTCTAGAACGTACTGCGGCGGGCGTGTGTTGTTAGCTTGTATTCACTAATTCTAGACAGAGAGGAAATAAAGAGGCATAGACGTACGGAAAACGAAAAGGTGACGGCAACGCCTTTGCCCCATTTGTGAGGATGCCGCATATCTCGATAAATCTGTTTGTCCATTGCACGTAAGAAACTACACTCAAAGACGTAAAGCTTTCAAGGGGAGCCTTCTTACCGAGGGAAACACGGAGTGAGCCCCCCATGGACTGAGCATGAGACCATACGCCAGAGGCACTGCCAGCCAGTTCGTAGGGAAAAGGTGTGTAGCAGCAGGTTCCCACAAGGAGCCAGGGGCATCCGTCTTGATAAGGCCATCAGCAATGACAACGCAAACAACTAGATGGCGAATTTGTCAGTCAATATTGATCAGTGTGACACGCAAGATAGAATGCGTTCTTACTGCAAAAAGTCGAAAGGATGCCAATGACGCTGGTATAGCTAAGCCAACGCAAGGGCATGGCGTTCAGGACGAGAGTGACAGCAGCGCAGATACACTTCCACGTCTCTACACTTGCCAGGCCGGGAAGCAGCGCCGCAAGCGAGTCCGAGAACAAAATGATGAGAGCAACGCAGGCGGCAATGAGCTCAATGGTGAACAAGGCCGATACGATGATACGGGCTCTAGTGCCAAACGAGACGTATGCCAGGTCGGAGTACGTGATGAGGCTGGCATCGTACTCCATGCACTTGGCCAGCAGGTTGGCCGTGTGCGCCGTGACGGCTGCCGTCACCGTGAGGATAACGAGGCCAAGGACCCAGCCGCTCATCTTAAAGGCCAGCGGTAAACTCAGCAGTCCAACGCCAATAATGGCATTGATGGAGTTGAAGACGGATTGGGGCAAGGTGCTCTGACCATCAACAGTCAGGACAACCTTGTTTCCCTGCTTTACCTCCTTGACCAAGATGGGCTGCTCCTCACCATAGGCAGCATCTTCCTCTTGGCCTGCCTCGCCTTCCACCTGGCCTGCTATTCGGATAATAGACGGTCGATGTCGAATAAGCGACGGGCCGCCGATTGTGCCATAACTGCGATACGACCCATAGCTGCCGATAATGCTGGGCGTAGCCAAGTAGGGGGACGTTCCAAAGATGCTCGAATGGCTCGAAAAGGTAGCAGGCAGCGCACCGCTTGCCATCTCCACGTCTAGAGCCTTGCCCTCGCGCTCTCTGCCATGTGAATCGACAACATTGTTGCTCGAGCCGGCAAAGGGACCTCCCACCCGCGGCGACCCGTCCGAGTACCGCCCAAATCCAGCAGCGTCGCGGCTATCGTAACTGGTCGAGTATTCGAGATCCTCACCATCCATCTGCTGATCGGCAGCAATGACAAAGCTCGGGCGACGAGGAATGACCTCTGGAAAGGCAGCGGCGCGCTGCCAACTACGCGCAAAAGACCTGAAGCTATTCACGCCGCCAACATCGGCCATGGCAGCCAGCCGGTCGGTGACGGAGGACCTGTGCAATGGGGGGTTTTTATTAGCCTTGTGACCCTCCTCCTAGTTACACTTTCAAGCAAACAAGCTTGTCTTGACTGTCAGCTTACCTTCTGCGCTCAATGTCTCGACCGGCTGGATGCGCGCCACCATCGTCAGCGTCGTCATCGTCGAGCAGCGCGCGTTCCTCTGCAAACGGGTTGGACGAAACGCTGGCTGATGGCGATGCCAGGCCATCGTACTCGTCCCATGTGGTGGGATTTCTCGAGGGCGGCGCCATTGGGCTGCGAAAGCCGGGGCGGTGCTTTGGTTGTCGTCCGCTGGTAGCCGAGTGGCGATGAGGTCGGACACTTTTTTTTTCTTCTTCTTTTTTTATTGAACAATTTTCGCTGCAGTGGAGTGTCTTTGTATAGAAGAGAGCAAAAGGTGTTTTCTACAAAGGAACCGGCAGGCGGAGCAAGAGAGAGAGAAGCAATGCGGCAGATGGGAAACAGGGAAGAAAGGAACAAGACGAGAAGCGAAAACAAGAAGATATTCCCAACTACTGCGTGATCACCGGCGGCAACAAGATAGTGAGAGTGAGGGGTGGCACCAACCCCCCCTTGGCCGTCGAGCGCAAACACCCCATTATCATGCGCTAAAAAGGCCGGCCTTTGCCTTTGGACGTTACCTGCCCTTGGCTACTAACAGCAGGTCGAGGTGAGTTTGTTCACTCAGCTGGTCAAAGCTGGAGAGACAAGGAGGGAGAGGCTAGGCTGGAGTTGGCTCATGGGCTCATGCATAATACCTACTAGGAGCTTATCTTGTTTTTGCGATGGAGATGAAAGTGTGGGGGGTGGTTGCAATGGCAAGTACGAGTACCTGGGTTTGTATGCGCGGCGAGGCGACGGCCGAGGTACTGGCCTGATGATGGGGTTTAAAGTGAGTACATGTATGGATGCAGGCTCAACTGTTTTTTGCTTAGCACCTTGGCGGGCACCAGAACATGATCGTCATCAGATCATTTGGCTTTTGTTCTTCAACTTTGCGATTTCAACGGTACATCTTTTATTTTGTTTATTCTAATTTTTATTTCTGCTTTCTCTCTCTCTTTCCTTCTTTTTACGATAACAATTCCCCCCTTCGTCAATTCTTTACCTCACATCACTGACTCATTCCTCTTTATCATTCCGCTTCCTCTCCATCGTCCTATCAATCTCACATGATGCCCTCTCCACACACTAACAGCAACCCATTACGGCACCTAATCCACCCGCCCCAGCTCCCTTATCAGCCACTATCACCTGCCAATCAACCGCGCTTATCTCCCAAAAAAAGCATCTCGAAATCGCAATTGACCTCTCCACCAAAAAATCCATTATCACCAACCCCATACAATGAGCTCATCAGCGTCATCCGCAACGGCCTCGCTCTCCCCGATCCTCCCCATCCTCAACGCCTTCAACCACCGCCACCATAACCAGCACCGCCTCGCGCACTGGTGGCCCGTCTTTCGCATATTTCGTCGCACCATCCGCGCTCTTCTCGACGATCTTGCTTCTCGTCGTCGAGATGCGTCGTCGTCGTCTCCTCCTCCGCGCGCAGTCTGGCTTAGCAAGCACTTTATTCCCAGAGCATACATGTAAATAACTTCAATTCCCAACTTTACAAAACAAAACAACCACAAGTCACTAATAATCTCCCCCAATGATAACAGAGCCTTCTCACAACTAGCCGCAGACAACCAACACGCCCCCCTCGGCCTCCTCCTCCTGGCCATCCTCTCCCGCACCCACACCGTCCTCACCCAGCTTCTCGATCAGCCATCTGTTCCACTCAAATCCTCAACCGCCCGCTCCAATGAAGCAAGCCAGGATAAAGGCGTCGCCATAGCTCGCCAGGAACAACAACCGCCAAAAACACAAACCACTACTCAACCTCCGTCAGATGAAGGTCAAAGCAACAAGCTCGACCGAGACGCTATAAAGCCGTCCAAGTCAAAATCAAAGGAAATACCAACAAAGGAGAAGAAGAAGAAGAAGAAGGGGAAGGGGGACGAACTGTCCAGCCTCTTCGGCTCCTTGTCATAAACAAAATCAGCATCGTCGTCCTTTCAGCTAGTTACAATATTATATACCCGGCCGTAATAGCCAATTGTCAATAGGCATTTTCAATATTTAGAATAGATGAATTTCACATTCAGCACTGCATTGCATAAAAGGTTCGTTTTCATTACCAAAATAAAAACTAAGAGACAAAAAACAATCAAGAGAAACAAGGCCGACGAATTAATAAACCCTACTTGGCCTCCCTCATACCGTACATGTTCAATAAGGCTGTGCTTTCCCACCTTGTGCGCCAGCCTCTGTAAGTTAATAAGAACCACCACTCCATCCCCAAAATCTTGCCTCGTAACACATATTCCAAGGTATAAAGAGCAGCTTGGGCGGGGAGTCTTTCTAATCCTCCCCAAAACCATCCATTCTTCTCCCCCAATTTCCAAACCAGGTCGTGTTGCTTTTCAGCCTCATCGCGAGGACTCTATTCGCCCATCTCGTTCTTTCTTTTCGCGTCTCTCAAGTCGCACTGGAATTGAGCCAAGCACAATCTCGTTGCGTTCGGTCCGGGACTACCTCTTCCTAGTATGGGCGGTAGGACCAGATGCGAGCCTTCATGTCGCCTGAGCCAGTTGCAAAGTAGCCGCCTTGTGGGCTCGGGGCGACCGAAATAACAGAGTTCTTGTGTCCCTGGAGCATCAGCTGCGTGGTTCCCGTTCGGGGATCCCAGAACTGAACTCCGCGGTCCTTGGAACCGGACAAGACCCAGTTGGCGTCTGGGGTCAGCGCAACAGACAAGACAAAGTCTCGGTGACCCTCAAACGTCTTGACGCACTTGCCACCCTTAGTGCCAGAGCTGGGGGGGCCACGAGGCGAGCTGAGCTCCCACATCTTGATCGTTCGGTCCAAGCTGCCGCTGACCAGGTCCTTGCCGTTGGGAGAGAACGCCACTGAGTAGACGGAGTCCTTATGTCCATCGGGTCCTTCCAACCGCTCGACCAAGAAGCCCGTCATAATGTCCCAGACGCGAACACTCTTGTCCAAGGAGCCGGCGGCAACGAACTGCGTATCGGGAGAAATGGCAACGGTTGTGACACCATCCTCAATCGTCAAGGTGAGGGTGTTGGTGCCCTGCTCAATGTCCCACAGACGGACGGTGCGGTCGCCACTACCCGAGGCGATGGTGCGGCCGTCGCGAGCAAAGTCGAGAGAGTAAATGTCCTGCTCGTGGCCCGAGAAGTGGTTGCGGATGGTTCGAGTGGCGATATCCCACACCTACAGATGAGAAAACAAGGTCAGCGTTTATACTACGTGTAAAGATGGGGAGGCAAGGCAACATCTGCCAAGTTTGGGGTTGCTTACTCGAATCAACTTGTCCTCGGCACCAGTAGCCAGATAACGGCCATCAGGGCTGAAGCAGACGCTTCGAATGTAGAGATCGGCGGCCATGTCGGTAGCGCTGTGGTCCTCCAAAACGCAAACCTTTTCGCCCGTCTGGACATCGAAGATCTGGGCCGACTTGTTGCAGCCAGTGGCGACGTACTTGCCATCATGGCTGAAGCGAACGCAGCAGACGACACTCTCGTGGGTCAGAGAGTGGACCAAGTCAACGTCCAGGACGCGCTGAACCTGCGGGTTGAAGATGGCATACCAGTCGTTGCCCGTCTTCTTATTGTGGGGAGCAACGGCATCGACCTCGAGATCGCCCAGAGCATTGCTGATGGGAGGGGGAGGGGCTCGGGGGTTCATGCGAGCGTGGTCGGGAGTCGGATGGCTCACTTGCGGGGACTGGGCATTACCGGGATACGGCACGGGGGTGTTGATCTGAGGGGTAGCAGGCCCGACAGCATTCGGGGGACGGGCCATTGCTCGCCGGCCGGGACCAGGCGAGGCCGTGCTTGGAGGAGGCTGAGGACCCATGCTGTTAGAAACAGGACCCTGGGGGTAGGCCTGCTGCTGGTACGGGGGCTGCTGCTGAGGCTGCTGTTGTTGCTGCTGCTGTGCGTTTGGGTGGGGAGGAGGGACGGGCAGTCCTGGAGGACCTTGAGCCATCTGGTGATGGTGAGGGCCCATCTGCTGCTCCTGAGGAGGAGCCTGAGGCTGAGGCGGCGCAAGGCCTCCCTGGCTGCCGCCGGCCATGATTCCACTAAAGAGGCCATTTCCGGGCGCAATTGAGGGAGGCTGCTGGGACGGTCCGGCGTGCTGAGGAGGTCCCTGGAGGCCGGACTGAGGAGCTCCCTTACGGGCAACCTCGAGCTGATGCCGCAGCATGTTGATTTCTTCCTCATACCTGCAGGGAAAGGCAGATGCGGTTAGCGCCGCATGTGAGACGTGTGGCCATGTAGAGGTTTGCTTACTTTTGCTTGAGCGTCATGTGAGTTTGCTCCATGGCGTAGACCTTTTCTCGCACCAGTTGCATTTCGCTGACCTGCGCCGAGACTAGATTCGACCAGTTAGCCCATGATTCCATTACGTTGCAATCTTTAGTGTTTCTTCTGTTTCTTCTGTCTCTTCCTCTTCCTTCTTTTCTGTCCCTCTTTCTCTGTAGTTCAAGATTCCACCTCGCCGTGGCGCACGGTGGGCTGCGGGTGGGCTATGGAGGGGGGAGGGCTGCAGTTGCGAGGGAAGCGTACTCTGATGCTCAAAGTTTTCACTCTGGCGCTGCTGGCTATCGAATTCGGCCCTGATTTGCTCCAGCAGCTCGTTGAGACGAGCGTTGCCGGGGGGCACAGCGCCCATGCCACGATGGGAATACATGGACATGGTTGATCGAGGCGGATTGAGTGGTTGAAATAGGAGGCAGTGAGGCGGCGCGCGGCGCGACAATCGATCGGATCGGGAGGTGCTGCAGGACGCAGTGTCAAGCGGTTTCTGAGGCCAGCTGTCGCCTCGATCCGGAGATCAGCAGGCGGGAGGGCCGGAGTGCCGAGTTCTCAACGAGGCTCTATCGAAGCCGCGAATCAAAAAAAGCAACCCCCCAAAAAAGGCGACAAAAAAAATCTAGCTCGACCGGCCGAGGCTGACGGCAGAGGCGAGGATGCAAAACGGGCGGGCGATGGAAGCTCGTGGCCAGGGCCTGGGATCGCGTGTCCACGGAGCGAGGGACGTGATTCGAGGCGTGGAGGATTGTCGAAGGAGAAGAAGAGAAAAAGGTGAGAGAAGGAACTTTGGAGGTACAGCGTCGCGGCTGGGGGAATAAGGTAACTCGGTGGAGCACTTGAAGCGAGCAGGCTTCTCGTCTCGGGGCTCGTAGCCTGACCACAGGCAGCTGGGGGGCTTTTTCCAAGGGGGGCGCCTCGTTGTACATGCAGCCCAAGTCCAGACGACCGCCGCATGTACCTGGCGGTACTTGGGGCGCGGTCCACAGCACGCGCATCCACGGGGGCTCCAGATGTACAGGCGACAGGGGCTGCATGTACTCCCGCTAGCCGGGCCCTCAAAGTGTCTGGCACAGCCGGGCAGGGGCGTGGGAGGTGGGAGGTGGAAGCTCGGGCCATTTCTGCCCTTGGGATTGGGTTCTGTTGACTTCTATTTCTCTTGGGGCTTTGGGGGCGTTTTTTTCGTTTTAGGGGGTGTGCAGTAGCGCGGGCTGGCATGGGGCATGGCATCAACGAGTGTCCGGCATAGTATACCTAAGGTAGTACGTATAGTACATCGAGAACTCGTATGTATACCGGACTACTGTAAATGAGCGGGTAGCACAGATTGCTGGTGCTGGAGACGGAACACCTACCGTGCTGGACACCACCTCTTCTTCACCTGGGGTTGCACACACACACACGGGCAGAGGATAGAGGACAGAGGAGAGAGAGCACAAGTGTCCTTGTCGCACGGCAATGGACCAGCGCAGAGCAGAGCAGAGCAGCGTACAGCAGCGTACAGCAGCGTACAGCACGCCACGCACATGCACACATCATGCACGGGGGGTTTGGTAGGTAGTCATCGGTGCTATTAGGCATAGGTAAACTCAATATGCCACGACTACCCGCCAGGTACCTTATATAATGGGGTCAAGAGATCGATATGCCGTGAAAATATTTTTGACTTTTCGCTGTCACCTCCAGGGAGGCTCTGAGCTCGCACAACAAAGTGCTGTATCAGAGCTACTCTAAGTATATACCATCGTAACTCTCCCAACGCCCATCATCATCCATCGTCATCTGTACATAGTATCTGCTGGTATTCCGTCCTTCCGTAATCAATGCTCCGCAACCCGCATGTACCTGTAAGCGCCTTTCAGCCCCCCCTTCAAGCGCGCCCCCTCGTCTCCTCTTGTGTCCATCCTGGCTCCAAATCCGCCGCCCGTTCCCCAGCAGCAGGGCAGGTGCAGAGGCCCAGCCCGGCACGGTGGGGCCCAGCTTAGCCCTGATGGGCATCTGCACGGTGAGGTTCACCACTCTGATTCTCTCGGGCTCTGCCTCTTCGCCGGCTTACTAAGGGGAACACAGCAAACTAACAGACGGCACTACGGAGTACATGGTATCGCATCGTGCTGAGACTAACTGCTCTGGTTCCGTCACAAAAACGCAGGGATGCAAAAGTGGGCTGCAGCGAGTGGGGCTCGGCACCACCAACGGGGCCCACCCGGTCCCAGCGCTGACAAGGGGCTGCTGGAGTTGTTGGAGCGGGTCCGCAAGCCTAACACCAGCAGAGCACCACAAAACACCAGCAAAGCACCAGCCAACACCAGCCACACCCAGCCCGTTCCCCATGATCCATCAAGTACTTCGTACCTGAGCTGCTGCCGCTCTGCACCCACTTGCGGCTTAGGCCCATCCTCCTTTGTCGTTTGAACTAGCACAGGATATGTGTGTGTGCTGTGTGTGTGTGTGTCTGTGATGATTTGTGCGACACGCACGCAGCACGTCGAGGCCTGACCCGATATCCGGACGGCGAGGCGCCATGGGCACTACCCGAGCTTGAGATTCATTCCTGTGAGGCACTTATAGCACAGCGCTGAGGTGGCATCAAGTGTCCGGCCGTGAGTTTGCCGACTCCATCCACAGAGGTGAGTCAAAGACGGTTGAACCCGAATCCAACGTCAGAGAAATCAGAGAGAGCGAGGTTGACCCTTGCCCCTGAAGAAGCTGGGCTGGGCCGAGCTGAGCCCAGTATAAACCAGTGCCACCAAAAAGACCAAAGACAGTAGCAGTTTAACCTCCTCGCCCTCCCTCTTCTCTCTCTCCCTCTCTTTTTCTCTTTTTTTCTGTCCCCTCTCTCTCCTCCTTTCTCGTGTCGATTTTTCAATGACCGTTTGCATGCAACACGTCGCCGCTCCCTCTCTTATTTGTCAACAGCGCGGCACATGTGTCTCGCAATTTCTCCCCGGCCAGCCACATGAGGCTGAGGGCGCCAATGGATAAAAAGTCTTGGCAGCCTCGTTTGCCTGCGTCTAGATCTTGTGCGCTTCGGCCGGATACGTACTCCGTGCATCTACCAGGCACCTCCGTCAACATCCTACAGCATCTCCATCCCCCGCTTTTCCATTTACTTTCCCCCCTTGCTCTGCCCGAATGCTACCCGTGCTTCGTATGCTGTATTCACAGGTACAAGTATGTACTCATCTGTGAGATACTAATGTTTTATTTTCTCCGTGGCAGCCACCCCAACCTGTGCCCGTCCTAATCTAGTCCCTCTTGGTGGGATTGGCCATCTGCGGCTTACTGGAGGTGCCCGGCAATCCTGCCATGTAACAGGCGTCAGTTGTATATGCACGCATGTCTTGGAAAGCCCTTTCACGGGCCACCATCGGGTTCATGGCACATACCTGTATCCTGTAGTACTTTTTGATGGTGGCTTGTGCTTTGGGCGTGCTCGTCCAGGGTATAATTAGAAGCGGGATCAACTCTGCTTTGGGCTTGTCTAGCGGGTAGCGTCAAACAGGCATCAGACGCGTTTGTTTAGTTCAAAGCCATGGAGCAGGCGTGAACTCTGACGATGAGTATGGAGCCTGTACGAGTACTCGTAGAAGCAGTTGGAGTTGCTCATTTGAGGTGCCCGCGGAAGGAAATATTGCCACCACATGATCATTATCGGACAAAAGCACTCATGATACCATCCATGCTTTAGTGGGAGAGCCACATGCATGCGCTTGGACTCTAGTGTACGAGTACCATGGCTTTCCGGCTTTGTGTGGTCGCGCACCAGATGTCCTGCGCGACGGCCGTGACGTGGGTATCGGAAACAAGTCCTTTTTGTAATGGCCAACGCCACAAGATTATACGACCATGGCGATCCCCAAGAGGAAGCGCCGTCATGGAGATCGAAGCGCCCTGTGCGACTTGCCCCATACAACTTACCCTACAAAGGCTCAAATTCAATTTTAAAGCTTGGCCCTAGATTTGATGAGTATTTTTATGCTACACATGATAAAGCAACTGCCTAGTACCGGTAGGAGGTACGGAGTACATAGGCGATTGTGTTTCATCTGCTAAAAAACAACTCGAGCATCACCGCGGGGAAACTGGCCAGAGCGTGCATTGTTTATTTGTCTGCCAGTTCGATGATGCCTTCATGTGAAACATTTGCTGCCGACGATACTCCGCCGCCCGCACACTGCAACCAAGCGTTCAATCTCAAACAGCCCCCTAGCACAGGCGCTATGTCACCCGGCAAACCTTCCCAAGGTGCCCAAGGCTAGGGTCGGGTATCTACCCGCAATTAATCCCAGGCACCAAAAAACCAGTCTGGAGTGCTAAGCTGGATTGACACCTGTACTCGTACGGAGTAGGCTGGCCAACATCCCGGGCTCATGCCGAACCCACCGCGAAGGAGATGCTGTTAGAAGCACGACCCGGACATTCGGCAACCGTGGAGCAGAAGCAGACAGCAGTTCGGGCACGAAGGCATATTGACGGTGCCATTAATCACGCAGTCTCCATCAATAGCCTGACGTCAACTTTGATGCCATCATTTCAAATCATGTGAAATAACCCTTGTCAAGGGACTGAATGGTAACAGCCATTAAAGAGTGCAAATGCCATCATCGCAAAGAGGTCACTGGTCACTGGTCACTGGTCACTGTGAGGAGCAGCCTAAGAAAGGCAACGATGTCGGGTTCCGACACCTTGGGTATACTTGTGAATCCAGAGGGGGAAAAAGAGGCACCGCAATCCATCGTGTTTCCCAAAGAAGAATCCAGGTGTCATGGCATTTGCACTGAGCGATTCTGCAACCCTACCTGCTTACTCACCCCGATCTGGACAAAGCAGATGGGCCTTTTGATGCTATCTGGTGAGTAAAGGTATAGCGGCAGCGCGATAGAGGTGGTGCTTGTGCCTTATTTGGCTGTTAGTGCGATGTGATGCATATACCGTAACGGACCACGCTTAGTACAGTATGTTCTGTGCACTGATGTGATCTAGTCAGGGGAATAGCGTTTGAACGCGTTGAGACGAGGAGTCGTGATGGAGGTTGCCCAGCCAAGCCAAATAGCAGAACTGCGTGCTCTGGTTCACTGGGCTGCCATTACTCGACGATGGAAGCCTAACAAAAGCGTCTGGTGTTAGTCAGGCTGCGAGATACAGTAGTAGCGGTCAGTGCAGTGTGAGTGGGAATGGCAAGTTTATACGAGTAGTACGGAGAATTGCCCTGATAAAACCGAAGCTGCCTCGTTGTTGACAGCGAAATGGCCTCTGATTTGCCTGCCAATCCGAAGCGACGGAGAAAAGAGCACGTTTTGTGGATGTTCGCCGCAGAGGAATGCCGCGTGGATGGAGATTCACGGCCCAAAGAAGCAGTGCACAGCGAACGCTCGTTTTCGTGTTATTATCGATACGAATGCGACCCCCGGCCCCGCAATGGATGCGGCTTATCTAAGGCAATCCCGCCTATCGGCGCCGCGTCTCAGGCACCATCCGTTATATCAGCACATTTCATTCCCTCTCTGGCCACTCGGCTCCGCTCGGCGGACCAGTTTGACGCGCTGGATTCGGAGAGCCGTAGATGTTCGGACATTTGGTGGTGCAAATCACACCACATATTGGCGCCGGGACGATGCAGCTCCGGGAAAGGGGGATCGTTTGATGAGGAGAATGGCTTGAATGGGATGGGAGAGAGTGCGGAGAGGCGACGAGGGAAGACGCGGAATCGAGCAGAGAGAGATTGCATCTCAGCCTGCAATGGACAGGCCCAGGTATATAAGAAGAAGTAACGCGACTTCTTTACTGCCCAAATCGAATTACTACGATAATAGCTCAGAAAGTTGATTCGCCTGCTCGAGCTCTGCTTTGTCTGCTTTGCTCTGCTTTGCGCTACTGTTCTGCTCTCCAATTTCGAGGCAGAAACACAGACAGACAAACACCACCATCTCCATGACGATAAGTGGCGACGTCGACAATCGAAAACTTATCTGATCGAATCCCCCCCCTCCCCCCTACAACTTCTGAATAAATTCCACGTTTGCGCCGAAGCTCAATCGGGATCCGCGTTGCACCCCTGAACTTGCGCCCCAGTTTTTATTTTTTTTCCCTCTCGTCAATCCTCCCCAGACCATCGCCTAGGCTCAGTATTTAAATTGGCCCTGCTGCCGCGACTCGACCGGCCAACCCGCCGTCCCCGAACCCGCGACAACACTCGCTCTTGAGTTGCTCTTTTGGTTTCTGCTTGCCCACCATGGATGTCGTGCTCGAGCTCACCGACACCTTCATCGCCGACCACGCCTACGCCTGGCTGTTCCCTCTGCAGCCCGCGCCGTACGACTTCCCCAAGGCCACGGCCGCCAATGCTTCGGCGGCTTTTTCGTCATGGACCTACAAGCCCGCGACCAAGTACTTCCAGGTCCAGCCCTACCAGGCTGCGTACCTGAGCTCTCTGCCCCGAGATAACATCTACCGCCAGGCGGTCACCCTCTTCCTCATTACATGGTATGTGCCTCTTGCTCTGGAGCCGGACATTTTGAACGCGATCGCCAGATTGGCGCTCCCCGCCCCTTATACGCGGTGACAGACCTTGGTGACAACCTGGCTGACAAACGGGCAATGATAGGATCTTTGGCATCATTGTCTACTTCATCTTCGCCACCCTGTCCTACGCCTTCATCTTTGACAAGCGCACCATGAGCCACCCCAAGTACATCAAGAACCAGATCTGGCTCGAGATCGTCCAGACCAACAAGTCGATGCCTTTCATGTCTCTCCTCACCGCGCCGCTCTTCCTGCTCGAGGTTCGTGGCTACGGCAAGCTCTACGACATCACCTCCGAGGGACCTGGCCTGTGGTACAACATCCTCCAGTTCCCACTCTTCCTCGTCTTTACCGATTTCTGGATCTACTGGATTCACCGATACTTGCACCACCCCAGGGTCTACAAGCACCTGCACAAGCCTCACCACAAGTGGATCATGCCCACGCCTTTTGCCAGCCATGCCTTCCACCCCGTCGACGGCTTTGCGCAGTCCATCCCCTACCACGTCTTCCCCTTCATCTTCCCGCTGCAGAAGATGGCCTACGTCTTCCTCTTCGTCTTTGTCAACTTCTGGACCATCATGATCCACGATGGCGAGTACCTCACCAACAACCCCGTTGTCAACGGTGCTGCCTGCCACTCGCTGCACCACTCTCGATTCGAGGTCAACTACGGCCAATTCTTCACTGCCTTTGACCGCCTGGGCGGAACCTACAAGATGCCCGAGGCCTGGATGTTCGAGAAGGAGGTCAAGATGTCCGAGAAGAAGTGGAAGGACGAGGCAAAGGAGGTCGACGCCACTGTCAAGGAAGTCGAGGGCTCCGACGACAGGACCTATGTCCCTGACTTGGCGACCAAGAAGAACAAATAAGTGTGCATATTTCTTCTCTCACACACAAACCCCATTTTGCAAACGTTTTACGACCATGAAAAGTCCCATCCCCTCTGGCACGACGTTGAAAGTCGCGCTACGGCGAGGTGCCTGATTGGTGCCAAATATTTTATATAATCTGCCGCCAAATATTTATTTTTACCTGCTTTGTACATAGTTATTAAAATTCTTATTGGGTGGATAATGAGAGGGAATCCCATGACACCATGGGGCTTCACTGCTGGATTCTTGTCAGGCATTTGGGTGGCAGAGGCGTTTAGAGGACATGGAATCACGAAAAAAATGTCTGTTGAATAATGAGTTATAGTATATTTCATTTGATGACTGGTATCAAATGCTCCGGCGTCTATAACCCGGCGATGTAATAATAATAATAAGACATTTCCCAAACTCCAGCTCGGACAAAAGAATTGAAAAAAACATGTTAAATTCAAGTAACGCTCGTCTTGAGGAATTTAGTCGTAGATTGCATACACCCACTGACTTGTTTTCTGACCCCAGAATTCTGCTTTCTTTAAGATGACAAAGGAACAAGAGAATCAAAAGAGTATGAGAGAGAGGGCAATGAACGAAGATGTGTGCGGCCAAGCGCGACTAACAAAAAAAGAGGTAAAAGAGAAAGAAAAGAAGAGGGGACAGAAAAAAAGATAAAAGTAAAAGATGAAAAAAGGCTCCGCGACAGATGCTCCAGTTGGCGAAGAGGGATATTTATTTATAAAAAGATTTGAGACTCAAGACACGCAGCGCTGTACAAGTAATCGCTCACGCTCATGAGAAGCTGACAAATTTGGGGTCTCTTGGTCGTCCGTCGGCCCCAATTCCGTTGGCCTTGAACTTGTTCTCCATGTACACCTTGCGCGCCTGGTCAAACGGCAGGCGCCTCTTCTTCATAACCTTGAGAATCTCGGCCTTGCTCTCGTCGTCCAGGCCGGCGCGGCTGTCGCCATCCTCGATGTTGCCGCTGAGGTCAAACGTGCTGCTGGAAAGGCCGGCCTCGATATCGCCTGCGAAGGTGGAGGGCAGGCGGGAGTAGAGGTAGTCGGAGCCCGGGAGGCGGCGAAGCCAGCAGGATCGCGTGAGGAAGAGCGCTGTGGCGAGGACGACGAGGGAGATGCAGATGGAGTAGAGGAGGTAGGACATGGTGACGGAGTTTTGTTGGTGTTTCGGTTCAGTCGGAGATGGGAGAAGGATGGTTTTTATTGGTGATTAAAGGAGTGCGCGGAGAAGGAAGCGAAAGTAGTGGAAAGGAAAAAAGAGCAGTTGGAATAGTGTCGAGTTAAGCGGAAGAGCCTTGAAATGCGGCGACTAGCAGATGAACCAGTTCATGGCTAGGCTGTTGATGTTGTTGCTGTTGGCTGTTGAGCCTCGCTGGAGGAATGATGGGAACGGCTTTGGTGAGGCCTCAGCTGCCGTCTGACGTGTTGCACAGCGGCTTGCAGGCAGTGGCTGTGCGGGATCCATTCAAGCTCCCTGCTCGCAGCATGTGGTGCCCTGTAAAATTGATGATGGCGCCACCAGCCACAAGGGAGCGCCCCACAGCGCCGATAAGGAGCAGATAACGATGCGCTGGTTGCGCTAACCGCAATGCGGCAGCTAAGCGAGCCCACACTTTTCGCCGGCCGAGTGTTTCTTTGCACGGCCTCATCTTGGAGAGAAGCGACAGACAAACGAACCTCGAAACGTCGCGAAACATCACACCCTCGACAATCGACACAATGGCCGCTACTCTGCCCAACATTTCCTCGGACCTGATCTGGGAGGTCGTCCGTGAGTTTTTGTTTTTCTACGCCCATCCGTGGGCTCGTTTTGAGGACCGTTTGAGGAGGCTGACTGGTGAAATCACACAGGAAGCAACAACAGCTACCTCCACAAGACCGGTGCTCGCTCAAACGGCGGTATCCAGCTGTCTCGCGACCCCCTTAACCTGACCAACAAGCACAGCCGCAAGGTACGAAGACTCTTGATGGAAAAAAAAAGGAAGCACTAGAGAGGAGGGGATTTTTGGGCTAACTGTTTGGAAATAGTACGCCGGTTTCGTCAACGACAAGGTACGACACACATTCCGAACGAGGACGAGCTCCGACTACACATGAGGAAAGGGAATTGTTTCGTGGTTACTAAAGCATTGAGTTGAATAGGCCGTCGGCATTGTCGCCAACGAGAAGGGCGGCGTTGTTGTCATCAGCAAGAAGGCTGCTGCTGCTGCTCAGCCCGCCAAGTCTGTTGCCAAGACCACCATTGGCGGCGGCAAGTCCACTCGCAAGTGAGTCGAAGCCAGAGATATACGACATGTCAAGGGGAATCTTGTAATATTGACAAAAATGCTCTACAGGACCTACAAGGCCGTTGCCAGCCAGGTTGCCAAGACCGGCTACCGCGCTGACCTCCGTGCCGCTGCCGTCGAGCGTGTCTCTGCCATCCGCCGATCCCAGCTCCCCGTCAAGGCCGACCCCGAGCCCAAGCTGAGGGGCAAGAAGGCCAAGGCCGCTGCCGCTGGCGAGTCCTAAGCAGGAGGAATGACGAAATTGGAAAGGCTTTGAGAAGATGAGGAGGAGTTGGCTGGGCTGGGAGTAGGGGTCTGAACGGCTTTTTCACCTGTACATTTGGCCTGGTTTGTTATAAAGGAAAAAATAACCCGAATGGGGACGTTCCCCCTTTAGAGGTTCGTTGTTACGGCCGGAGCTGCAGCTGGATCCCGAAACTGTCGAGACAAAAACAAACTTTTCACTGTGGTTGCCGATGAGGTGCCACTTGGGGGTTCGCAGGGAAGAGAAACAATTCCAGTGGATTCTCGCAAAATGGTGCTCTTTCTTTTGATGAGTGTGACATTGTGGATGTAGTGACTGATGTGTGTTTGAGATGAGATGTATTCCGGGCCTCGGTATTTGCTGGCTTGCTTTGCCATAGTAAGAGTATCTCTTAAGGAATTACAATTAGGTGGTTAACATACCACTGCATTGCCGCTTGGTTCTGCCGTCCGTTCCTCCGAGTGCCGCCGGAGAGAGCCAGAAGCATCGGCATATGCTCCCGGAAAGAAGACTTACCTAGGTCAACTCCCCTTTCCAACCCCTACAAACAATCCAAACAATCCCAGTACAGTGTAACAGCCAAAGAAACAATTATATAAGCATTAATCACATTCGGATACATCATTCACCGCACTCCCACTTCCGATCTCACACGACCCTTTACAGCTCGGCTACCTTCCCCCAACACCATCGGCTCCGGCCCCGGCAGACCTCGGAATCAGCGGCCCTCGCCTCCCCGACCATGGTACCTAAGCCGTGTAGAATCACAAGCCTATCTTTCTCATGCGTATATTCTCGGGACTTGCAGTCCGGTCGGAACATGACGGGGGGCCGCGGCTCATTTTCGAGATGCTGGGTTCTTTTTTTTTTCTCGCTGACGGTATTATGACTGTATTATCAAGTGTGCTTCCGTAGCTGTTACCAATATGCCGTTATAACAGATATACATGTGCATTGTAAGGCTGGCTTTTGCCGCACCCCGATTGGTCAACCCCGGTATTATCGTCCACGCCAAACAAGCAAGCACAAGCATACCTTAGCATCAAATACTATCCAAGGCAAACACCGTAGCAGTAATACAAAGTAAAAACGCATTGGCAATAGCGGCCCCTCCCGATTGTGCCCCCTACCCCTCCGTTGGCTAGCCTTCTGAGAGAAAAAAACCAGGGCACCTGAAAGCAGCGAGTGGAGGCGTTTTGGAATAATAGCGCGCGAATCCCCTTTGCGGCGTTGCGGCGTGCAAGAGCCATCCAGAGAGGTACCTTCCTCCCGGTCTTACGCAATTCCCGCTTCGAAAAAGTATATCCATCCTCTCTCCATTCTTCCCAACTTTCTCTTTTACTTATTCAGGCATCACTTTCTGAGTAACATTTTTTTTGGGCGACTCAGCTTCATTTCCCCTTCTTTCCCCTCTATCTCTTCACATAACCCTATAACCGCTACCATGGTCAAAGCAGGTATGGCTGTTCCAGCGCGCAAGCGCAGTTGCCCCTCAACCCCGCACCAGGCCGACGTGAAGCTGTTTGAAGAGCTCGCGTCATTGAGGTGAAATGGACTGCAGACGGCCGTGATACTGACGATTTGCACGATAGTTGTTGCTGGTGCCTCCGGAGGCATTGGACAGGTATGGATTCCCCTGCTCTGGTTGCGATTGCGATTCATCGTCTTCATCTAGCTAACAGCGCATCTTTCTGTGCTCTCCAACAGCCCCTGTCCCTCCTCCTCAAGGGCAGCCCTCTCATCGACGAGCTGGCTCTGTACGATGTTGTCAACACCCCTGGCGTTGCTGCCGACCTTTCCCACATCTCCTCTCCCGCGGTAAGCTCCAGCTCCAGCTCCATCACATCATCCTCGCGGCCTCCGACTCTCCGCATCGCCGACAGCCACATTGCGAGCTTCCCTTGGCCCGACTTCCGCTGCAGCTTCAGCTCACTAACGCCGCCGTGTTTTGATAGAAAGTGACTGGCTACCTGCCCGCCAATGACGGCGCAAAGGCCGCTTTCAAGGATGCCGACATCATCGTCATCCCCGCTGGCATTCCCCGTACGTGCGATAACTTATGGCTCCAAAATCTCGCTGGGGCTAGCCAAAGCCTCGGCATGTGATTGCAATCCGAGTTACTGTTGCTAACGCTACAATTGCGCATAGGCAAGCCTGGAATGACCCGTGACGACCTCTTCAACATCAACGCTGGCATTGTCAAGGGCCTCATCGAGGTCATTGCTGATGTTGCCCCCAAGGCCTTCATCCTCGTCATCTCCAACCCCGTCAACTCCACTGTCCCCATCTCCGCCGAGGTCCTGAAGGCCAAGAAGGTCTTCGACCCTAAGCGCCTCTTTGGTGTTACCACTCTCGACGTTGTCCGTGCCGAGACCTTCGTTGCCGAGATTGTTGGCGAGTCCCAGCCCCAGCAGCTCACCATCCCCGTTGTTGGTGGCCACTCGGGCGAGACCATCCTGCCCCTCTTCAGCGCCGCCAAGCCCGCTGTCCAGATCCCCAGCGACAAGTACGACGCTCTTGTCAACCGTGTGCAGTTTGGCGGTGATGAGGTCGTCAAGGCCAAGGATGGTGCTGGTTCCGCCACCCTCTCCATGGCCTATGCTGGCTTCCGGTAAGATTTCATCACCTTTACAATTGTTTATTTTCGTTCTTTATGAGACACAAAAAATTAATGCGAAAAACTTTAGATTTGCCGAGAAGCTGCTCCGTGCCGTCAAGGGCGAGCAGGGTCTCGTCGAGCCCAGCTACGTCTACCTGCCCGGCGTGCCCGGAGGTGAGGCTGTTGCCAAGGCTACTGGCGTCGACTTCTTCTCCGTCCCCGTTTTGCTTGGAGTAAGTTGACACTTCTGTGTCATGTTTGACACCAAAAAGATGTGCATTGGCTAACTTTTACGTAGCCCAATGGTGTGGAGAACGCCACCAACCCTCTGGAGAACATCACCGACAAGGAGAAGGAGCTCCTGGCTAAGGCTGTCGAGGGCCTCAAGGGCAACATTCAGAAGGGCGTCGACTTCGCCCACAACCCTCCCCAAAAGTAAATACTTTCCTCCTAAACATCCAACCTGTTGGTAGCTGTTCTAGTGTCGAGGGAGCCGGTCTTGAGGGACAATAGCTATGACTACTGGGTATAATGAATATATACGCGTGCATAAGCAAGGTGGCTGATGATTTGCTTTCTCTCATAGGCTGTAAACTGTCCCCAGAGTCTCTACCCCCATGCGAAGCCCTTTCCCTCGGGACAGCTTCTCATTCCACATTGATTAGTCCGCTGCTAGTTGCTCTTGGCTGAGTGGGAAGATTATTCGGAAAAAGTATTGGGCGGGCTTGTCGTCTATTCACGTATGGATCATCCATCTTTTTGCTCTCCGTCTTTTGGTAGATTTGAGTCGGGCAAAGTTGTCATACGGCGGCTCGGTTATTATGGCTTGGCGGCGAGGGTTTTGATTTGGAATATAGCTGCTGGTAGCTCGTTGACCTCGGCTTGAACGGTGGCGCTGATACCCAGGGCAGCCAGAGCGCCGCGAATGATGCCGCAGGGAAACCATAGGAACTAGTTCATTTGAGCAAGCAAGTTAGTCAAAACTCGTTTATTCGAACCACATTAGAGGAGAGTTCCGTTGGTTGTGTGACGTACGGGCTGTGCGCGAAGGACGGCTTGGCTGCCGGTTTCTGTGCTCATGCGTGAGAATGGGCGGAAGGCGTTGTCGGTGAGGACGTAGACTCCCTAGATTGCGCGCGTGGATTGTAAGTCTGGGGTCCTTGATGTGGCTTCTATACGATGTCCTTTTGTTGTTGGTAAGTGTGTTAACGTACTCGGTGGTTTGTCTTGAGGTTGTCAATGTTCTTGCCGAAGACGAGGGACCAGAGGTCTTTGCAGAGGAACTTGATGACGTCGAGGGTGTCATTGAAGCGTGGGCGGTCGCGGGAGAATCTGGGTATCGGGGAGAAAAAACCGAGTTTAGCAATGTGTGTTTTTTTATATTGTCGATTCAATCTAGTATTGATTGATGGGGAGGAGGAGGAGATATGGAGGAGTTCTTTTGTCAAGAGACAGAATGAGGCAAGGGATTGTCTATATAGAATACTACCTTTCTACGAGGCCCTGTCCGACGCGATAGCCCTGCGCCTCGAGCCTATAGTGCACTGCATCGAGGTGCTCGTCGTCGTCTATCCTCTTTGGCGAGTCGGCGGGCGGATGCGCGATGGCAGCAGCAGCAGCAGTGGAATCGGATTTGCGCGGGGAAGAAGCGCTGTCGGCAGCGGGATTCGAGGGAGAGGGAAAGTCGCGCTGGGAGGTGACGCGCTGGGCGAGCGGGACGAGCTCGATGAGGAGGAAGTCGAGGGAGGAGGAGGAGAGGAAGGAGGCGGTTGGGTCGGAGGAGTTGAAGGGGGGCATTGGGGGAGAGAGAGACATTTTTGCTGTTTATTTTTTATAAAGAATGGGAAAAAGAGAGGGAGAATGAAGGGAGGAGAGGTGGAGGGTTGGTGATGCTTGAGGTTTTGGTGGTGAGAGGTAAAGTTGCAAGTGGTTTAATCGATTGTGGCTGCGGTAGAGGTACAGGTCGATACCAGGTTTGGGCGATGGCATAGCTGGTGGTAAGGTGTGGGGGTGGGCTCGATGTGGTGGGGTGTGGAAGTAGATGTACAAGCGCTGCATACAGCTAGAGGTACGGTGATTTAGGAGCTGCTGTCATATAACCTGGCCGCCATCCAGTAAGTTAATTAAGGAGAGATTTGTTATAATGTGATTGAGATTATTATTGATACTAATTATAGAATAAAGCACCCGAACATGATGCTAGTTACCGGTTGCAAGTCGAATGCAGAGTGGAATGAATACACAGGTACCTAGGTAGGTAGATACGCTCCCTCTTACAAGACACAAGCCATGCTCAATAGCAAAGTATCCAGATTCTTAAATAAAACATCTAATAGGCAAGCTGTCGCTAGCCACTAATCTAGGTAGTCATACAACTTCATCTTTCCTCCCCTTTGATTAAAAAAAAAAGCAGACAAAACTAGCATTGTACCGACCCTAGGGGAATCATCCTTTTTGTCCCTCGTCACCCTGAACGCCTCTGCTGACTCGATAAATCAAACTTCTCTCTCCTCTCGCCGCTCTCTCCATCACCTCCCCTTCTCCCCTTGATGTAAATGCTTATATATTGGTTTCACTTTATAGACAGCGCTCGCTACCCTCTCCGGCGCTTTCTTTGGTGTGATATGGCCCGCGGATGTCTGTTACTCACCGCCCCTAGCGCCCTCTCCTACGATGGGTAGTTGCTGGGAGATTCGCTCAGGAACGGGAGACTTGACGAGCCGCGGTAACTGCTTGTTCCCGTGTGCTGGCGTTTATGCGGTCGCTGGATGGGCTCCTCATCGTCAGACGACAACGTCAGGTCAATAACTGCTGGCGTTGGTCGTTTGGCGCTGTGTGTGCTGCCTCGCGGGGCTGAGCCGCCATCTGCACCACCGGAACCCGGAGTCTCTTTATAGGGGGTCATATGCTTGGGTGTCTCTATTCGACGGCCGCCAATGATGATTTCAGATACCTCCACATCATCGTCATCATCGTCGTCTTCAAGTGCTGCCCCGTTTGGCCTGGATGATGTTTCCTCTTTGGGTGGTTTGCTAGACCACTTGCCGTTTGGTTCGATGGTAACGGTTTCCAGGCTCTTTGATGTATTTTCTAGAATGACCTTGACATAGCTAGGCGCCAGTTAGCATATGACAAGAATATTATTAAAATTGAAGGTTACGTACCCATCAACGGCTAGTTGGTCAAATGGCGCAGATTTGTTACATATAGGACATAGCCATTGCGGTCCTTGCTCCTGGAGCTGCAGGTAAGACGTTGCGTCGAAGCATTGCAAATGTGTACAGCTCAGACTGCGGCATGGTACTTCTAATCTCATGTAGGATAAGGGGCATTTCAGAGATAAGACCTGAGATGTCGCCACAACATCTGGATCTTGTGCTATTTTATTCACTGCCACCCACAAGTTAGCAATTTGTCAAGAGGGGAGCTTCCTCTGGAGTGACTTACGCTCTGATATTACCGATTCTTCGGAAATCTTTCTGCGGTTGGATATTGTCGTCACCAATTCAGGAACTGATGTAGTCTTGCAAATGTTGACGATTAGGTAGTATTTCTGCCCAGAAAAGAAGACCGTTAGCAGAGACTCTAAAAGGAGACAATGGTGTAAATGGTGCCACTCAAAAGCTCATGGCCACTTAGTCCTCTTCATCAGCAGTTCAACTTACCCTGCTCGTCAGCGCATATGTAAACTCAATGTTATTCATGTAATTTCCCCTCAAGCGGAGAGTGTTAGTTATGTCAACAGGCCTGGTGGAGCCGGGTTTATTCTTGAGACCTCGCAGGTTGGCCTTGATCTCATCGCCGTTTACCCGAAGCTCGGATTGATGCGGAAACGCAACGTCTTGTAAGCCGCTGTCATCGCTAGCACAGAATACCATGATCCTGTATGATTTATCCTCGTTGCATCGCTGCACAATGGGGTGGTCGCTTAACCTCAATGGGATGGTGACAGAGTTCCTATGCTGTGCCATGGCTGGAGACGAATATCGCCGGTTAGCCGGGATCTTAGTAATAAGTATAAGAGATTAGGGATACTTGCCTTCACAGGTACGCAACACGCTTACAGCGCCTTCAACGTAATAGAAAGGGCTCGGCTTGAAGGAGAAACCATACGTTCCATAAGCAGAGGCTGGCACTCCATTTGCTGAGACTTGCCCATACGCCCGTTGTCCGGTATAACCAGCAGTGCCGTATGACGACGTTGATGCGGAGGCAGGCAAAGCAGGCTGTGCTAGAGCTCCGTTGCTTCGAGCCGTCGCGGCCTTAATAGGACTCGCTCGCTGTTGAAAGGCGTTTACGATGCTGTGGCGGACTTGATGGAATCGTGCAACGTCGTTGCTGGTAACTGTTTCGTTTATGACTATGCGATGGATACAGAGTTTAGTACATATATCAGGGCGGGAATGATGCAGAGAGTGTGATAACAGCAATGGGCTACGGAGCACGCGAACAGTGTCGCGATCAGGGCGGTGCAGAAGAGAAGAGACTCACGCTGTACGATGCGTCGTTGAAGCTCCGCTTTGACGCCGGTGCTCTTAAGCCCATTCACCTGGCAGATGGAGGAGAGCTGTCGATTGAATAGAGAGTTGCCCTGGACCTGCCTTAGCAGCGCGTTCACGTCGTGCCGTGATATCGACGTCATGTTGGGCGACGCCATGGTTGCTTGATGGCGCGAATAGTAGTTCGAGGGAGGATTGGCCTCGCAAATGCATCAACGGGGAGCAGAGAAGTCGGGGGGACGGGTCGAGGGTATGCAAGAGTTGGGCTGATATGGAAAAGCGTGAAGCGATGCGAACGACGTCTCTATCGGAATGCGGCCGAGTCTCTCTATAACCAGCGGCCAAGGACGATGAAAAGGGCCAAGATTGATTTACAAATGGAGTCGCAAAGCAGAGAGCAGCAGCTTCTAGCCGCTGGACGGCGCAGGCGGTCGCTGTGACGCCAGCTGCGATGCCGGCAGATGCCGCGATGGTGAGCCTGACGCAGTTCGCGGACGATGCAGGACAGAGAATCGAGTCGATGCGGCGATGCCGAGTCTCGGGCGTTGTGACTGCGATGGATTGGATTGGGCGGGCAGAACGCGCAGGTGATGCAGCGGCGTCCTTCTCATTCACTCTCTCCTCACCCTCGTCGTCGCCTCGCCATCAGCCTCGGTCGCTTTTTACAAACATGGTGCTAAGATAGTGATACCTCGACGCTATCGCCACTGGACTTTGGCATCGGGCAGGCGGCGGCAGCTGGCAGAACTGGCTGCCTGTAAAATGGGCTGTAAAATGGGATGGACGCGAAAATATCTCAGCCACAGGTTGGTGCCGATACGCCACACCGACGCTTTATCTTATCTTTTCCCGCCGTTATCGTAACTTTTCTTTCTTCCCTGTACTACTAGCAGTCGAAGAGAAGCAACATAAACCGAAAGACGTAGACGGACGAACAGCAATACCGCAATCATGGCAAAGAGTTCTCGGTCGAGCAGCAAGAAATTCAACAACCAGCGCAAAGCCGCCAGCATCTTCGGCCCGGCAGAGACCGCGCGACAAGAGCGTCTCTCGGCCAAGCTGCTGGAGTTGGCGAAGCAGGCCAAGCCCGAGCCCGCAGAGATGAAGATTGATGGTCAGTTTTTGACTGGATGAGCTCTACTATATGTTGTCGTTTCTCTAACATTTCTGGTTTAAAGACGAGAGCAACAATGCACCCGAAAAGGAGGAGCAGGCTGGCGCAGACGAGAACTGTATTTCCCACCCTTCCCTCTCCCCTCCAGACCGACCAACATAGCACATGCTAACATGTTGTGAAACGCAGCCATGGAAGTGGACTCCAAGAAGCCGGTCAGAGCCTTCAGCACCAAGAAGGGCATCAACAAGAAGAGGAAGAAGTCGAGCATTGTGTTCCCCAAGTACACGGACAGACTGCGCAAGAATCGAAATGCACCAAAGAAGGCGTAACTAATGTATTTGTAATTCGGGTTTGCATTTTGTTGCTTTGGCTTCTTCATCTTTTATACGGAGTACTCATTATACATATTGTCCTACATATCAGCTCTGCAGTCTCAATTGACGATACCCATGACAATCTCCAAAAAAAGAAAAAAAAAATTGATGGCGCGCCCTGGTTCCTGTGGCGCAGCTCACTGTAGATTCTCCCTTAGCCAATCATTCTTCCACTCCCGCTGGCTTCGTTTTATAGCTTCCTTCAACATACTTGAAAGGGAGGCTCAACTTCACCCATACGCGCCTCTCCATATGGCTTTTACTGTGCATACCTTAATCTTAATGTAACACTGACCCAAGTCAAGGCGCCTCTCTAGCCTCTTTCTGTCTTTGATTGACTCTCGTTTAATAACAACATGGTGGCCTCAAGAAACGGGTCGCTTGCAGGCTCACTCCTGCTTGCGGCGGCCAATCTTCTAATACCGCTGTCTATTCTCGTTTTCGCCACTGGATTTTTCCCGTATAAACCTTTTCTTCCTGGTCTGGCGGAATTCGAGCCTCTCGAGTACGGACCTCCGCCCAAGGCGCCTTTTGATAGACTCGTATTTATGGTGGTTGATGCGCTGCGGAGGTATTGTTGAAACTCACCTGTCTGGATAAGCCGTCACTTGTACTAAGATGAGACGATAGCGATTTTGTATTCTCGGAGGATTCTGGATTTGAATACACTCAGCGGTTAGTTCTGTTCTGTGTGCGACAACTGCTGCTTCACTGTCTCATAATTGATATAGCCTCATTCGAGATGGCAGTGCCATTCCCTTTACAGCAAATGCTCGATCACCAACCGTGACGATGCCTAGAATCAAGGCCATCACAACTGGATCGATTCCTTCTTTTGTTGACCTTATTCTCAATTTTGATGAAGCTGACACCTCTTCGACATTGGCTGCCCAAGACACATGGCTGTCCCAGCTCAAGGCCAAAGACACGGGCAAGCTTCTCATGTATGGCGATGATACGTGGCTCAAACTGTTTCCCGAAACGTTTGATCGTCATGACGGAACCTCTAGCTTTTTTGTCGCTGTAAGGCTTCGCTCGTATGTTTTAATTGGTGATCCCCTTGGCTTACATGTACCTTAAGGACTTTACAGAGGTGGACAATAACGTGACGAGACACATCAATGATGAGCTCGAGAAGGACGATTGGAGCTTGATGGTTCTACACTACCTTGGCCTGGATCACATTGGCCACAAGTCGGGACCAAGAAGCACGCACATGCCTGGTAAGCAGCGTGAGATGGATGGCATCATCCACCAGCTGTTTAAGGCCCTCGAAACCAAGAGCCACCTACAGTCGACGCTGCTTGTTGTTTGCGGTGATCACGGTATGAACGATGCAGGCAATCACGGAGCATCATCTCCTGGAGAAACATCGCCCGCCCTGGTCTTCATGGCGCCCAAACTCAAGGAAATATCGTCCAGATATCCAGCCCCCGCGCAGCCCAAAAACGAGTACGACTACTATTCCATGGTTGAGCAATCCGACATCTCGCCGACTCTTGCCGCGCTATTAGGGTTCCCCATCTCAAAGAACAACCTTGGGGCGTTTATCCCGGAATTCTTGCCGTTTTGGCCGAACTCGAGAGACAAGGTACAGATTCTCATTCGCAATGCAAGACAGATCCTTAATATTGTCACTGCGGCGTTTGGAGGCGACCTCTTTGATGCTCAGGCGCCTGTTGACCCTTGCGCCTCCACATCTACAGATGTTGATGAATTAGCCTGCGAGTGGCGCAAGATCAATTCGGAAGCGGCTTCTCAGGCTAATGCGAAAGAGATCGACCAGGCGTGGCTCTTAGCTACGTCTGCTTGGATTCGCAAGGCCCAAGACCTGATGAGCAGTATGGCGTCCAACTATGACCTGTCGAGATTGTCTCTCGGTCAGGCACTGTCGGTTGCTGCCGTGATTGCTAGTGTTGCAAGTTTGGGCCTACAAGGCTTCTGCCAGGCGGGATTTTTGTTGCCACTGTTCCTGCTTGCGGCGTCTTATGGTCCTATGATGTTTGCTAGTAGCTATGTGGAAGAAGAACATCACTTCTGGTACTGGACATCCACTATATGGCTGGCTTATCTCGGTGTTAAGGAGGTTCAAAGGTAGGCTTACTACATCATTGCTTCTGACAAACATGTTTATACTGACCATTCCCAGATCTTCACGGCTCTCTTCGATCTCAAGCCATGTAGTGGCTTTGGCTGCCCTGAGACTCATCCGAAGCTGGAACCAAACGGGCCAGAAGTTCGCTGGTGAACCAGACACTGTCAAGACATTCCTCATTCCTAACCCTGAAATTCTTTGGGCGCTCATCACCTTGGTATACGTCATGGTGACTTTCCAGACTCTTCAGAGCGTATCTGGCCTGCCCTATATCCTGGCTACTTCTTTGATGCCGGCTGTCTTCTTGTCAACGTTTACTTTTAAGCTCGCTTTTACTGCTGAGGATGCGCCTGAATTGGTGGTGGGATTTGCTCGCGACCTCTTGGACATCTTCCAAGGCCCATCTCTTATTTTTAGAGCAAGGATCATCTTCGGACTGCTCGCAGTGTTGTACGGCTTCGCTATATATCGGGCAAAGACCGGAGGGCCTCGAGCCTCCCAGTCGTCTGGTAAGTCTACAGTCAACGAATCAACCCCTTTTCACATCTCGTGAGCACTCCCAACTAACACCAAAACCAAATCAGTCGAACTGGTCCACCATCTATGCACCCTCCTTGCAATGACCCAATCCCGCGCCACAAACATCCCCCTATTCCTCCTCTCCAGCATCATCCTCCAAACTCTCCAATCAACCAAACTCTCCATCGCCGAAATCACAGCAACGTCCATCGTCCTCCAGTACACAACCTTCTTCGCCTTTGGCGGCTCCAACGCAATCTCCTCCGTCGACCTCTCCAGCGCCTACAACGGCATCAGCGGCTTCAACGTCATCGCCGTCGGCGCACTCACCCTCGTCAGCAACTGGGCGGGTCCCATCTTCTGGACGTCGGCGACGAATCTGCTTCTTCTGCAGAAATACAGACAGGGACGCACGGATGCGTTCAAGAATCATCTGATTCTGATGACGATTTTTGTGTCGATGAGTGTGGCGTTTGTGATTGCGGCGTGTACGGCGCTGAGAACGCATTTGTTCATTTGGACTGTGTTTTCGCCAAAGTATTTGTATTGCATGGCGTGGAGCCTGGGGCAGCATTTGTTGATTAATGTTGGCTTTGGAAGCTTTTTGTTCTGGGTGGGCATTTGAGTTGGCGATATAAGAAGAGGCTTTGAAAACTCGTTTTCTAGATTATGTATTCATTTGATGAGTAGTAGTTTAGACTCATATACATGTTTTAATATAGAAAAAAGAAGACAATTGCGTTATTTCAAGTCATAAAGCTACGTAGCCAATATCCACCTGTTGTATCATATCTCCTGAGCCACACCCATCTAGAACCAATTTGCTTATTTACCTATATTCATTCATGACACATTAAACATTCACGTAGCTTCTCACGCATCCTCCATTTTGGTATCCTCATCCGACAACAACTCCTCAACAAGTTCGTCCCTCTCCGGATTCTCTGGCACCACCGTACTATTATCGCTATCATCTTCAACCTTAACCTCCTTATCTTCATCCGGATCCTTATCATCATCCGGATTTGAATGAGCAGACTTTTCGCTCGGAGATTGGCGGTCCACGGCCTCCGATACACTGCGGCTGGTGCGGCCTTGCGCTGGGCGCTGGTCATCCAGACTGTTGACAATCTTGCCGAGACTGACGTGAATCTTGAGCAGCGCGTTGCGGCCGGTGGTGTCGGTGACTAGGCCCTCCTCGATGGCTTCGCAGATAACGTCGTATGTTTCACGGAGCTTCTCTTCGGAGGAGTTGGGTGATACGTAGAGTTTTCCGAGAAGGCCGGCAACCAACTTCTTTTCCGCTTCTATCGAGTTTGTCAGTCAAGATTCTTCAAGTATCGGTATGTTGAGGCAGCGATTCTGCGTTCAACTTACTGTTAATGTTTCCACGGAGCCTTTCTAGAATATCGCAGGCGAAATCAAGATGTACATCACCATTGGGAGCCTTCTTCTCCCCCTCAAGAAGGAGTTCTGGGCTGTAGCACTTCCGCGGGTCGGTCCAGTCCACCAAACAAGCACCAATGGTCGTCATACTGACCATGTCCTCCTCAACATCAACATCATCATCCTCCAGACCCTCACGCAAGTTGAGCAGAGAATGGAGAGCTAATAACGAGACCTTTCTCATAAGATCCTGATTCTCCAAGCGAGAGAAGCAGAATACTGGCAAGAAGTAGTTGAGGGCTTGTCTAACCGTCTGGTTGGCAGAGGACGCGGGATCGAAGTAGGCAATTACAAGAGACTTGAGCAGCTCTTCGCAAACCTCTTCATCAGCGATTACACGTCCTAGGAGGAGCTTGGATGCTGCTATCGTAGCCGCAGCCTGCACCTCGGATGACCTGCCACCACCCTTGACTGCCTTGACGTATACCTTGATAACAGCTGGAGTTGTGGCAAGCAGTTGAGCTCCATGAACGTTTAGGATATCTGTCAAGATATGTAGGGCCGTGATCTGCAAGGCTGTGTGTCCCTTGGTGAAGAAGTGGATGAAGAGGCCTAGATTTTCTTCGGCCAATGAGCGGTCTAGCAGGGCGCAAAGTCCCAGGCAGAGAAGTCCTCTTTCGCGAACGGGTGCTTCGTGGCTTCGCACAGCTGGAACTACCAGGTTGTTCAACATGGAGACCAAGTCTGTGTTGTCCTTGAGGTTCCCGGCGACGTGTGTAAGCATGCATTGGACGATGTGAAGACATTTCAAGTTGACAACAATTTCTCTCACTGCCTTCTCGTGAGCCTCCTCTTCACTCATCTCAGATTCCTTCTTGGAATCAGGAGCAGGAGTGTTCTCCCGGCTCCTGAGATCGGATTTGGCAGAGACGAAGCTCTCGTCGTCGTCCCCAGGCACATCATCATCCACAATTGTGTCGTGTACATCAGCAACGGCCTCGAGAACAACACTGCAGAATTCTCGTTCTCCAGCAGCATCTGGCGCGCAAATATATCGAAGGGTCTCCATGGTAAGCTTTGTAACTTCATCTGGGAGTTCTGGAATAGCAAGGGACTGGCGAAGTAGCGTAAACATCTTCCTTCGGCCGACTTCATCAGAGTAGTCAAGGGTCAGCGCAATATGGAGCATCTGTTCGATGATGAATTCCTGCTCGACGGTGTCCTCTTCTTCGTCTTCCTCGGCATCAAGGTTTGCCACTCTTTTGATTGCATCCACCAAGACCTTCAGATAGCGCTCTAGGAAGAAAGCTAGCTTGGTGACTTCTGGGAGTTTCTCCTCTACCAGGGCCTCGTATCGACCATCACCCTCGCTACGGCAAAAGTCATTGAAACTTCTAGCCATAAAGACGGATTCGGCGGACAGAGTCTCCCAGAACAGATCGTCCAAGACTACAGCCTCACGATAATCTGGGCGACCCTCCCAGAAGCCGTTCATTGCCTCAAGAGCCACTCCATTCTCGACTCCAGAGTTGATGACATCGATTCTCTCCAGAAGCTCCAACAAGCCCTCAAAGTTTGGTGGTGCTTCCTCTTGTGGCGCTACGCCAGCACAATCTGCAATCCAACGCTCCCGGAAGAGTCTTCCTGCCGCCTTCCGTACGTTCTCGTCTCGATCACGAAGACCCCACCGGAGGAGCTTTTCTCTCATAGATAAAGACAAATGGCGGAAATCCCCGAGAGCTGGCAGAAGACGCGAGTAGACTGCCCTTCGAGTGGCGGCGTCCTGGTCTCTTGCGCGTTCGAGGAGGTATGGGAGGGTAGTGGGTAGGATTGGGAGGTTCACAAGAAGAGACCGTCGGACATCGGCGCTCGGATCGTTCTGTAAGACGTCAAGCAGTTTCTCTAAGAGGCCGGTGGATTGGTTGTCGCTGTCATCTGAGTTGGCCTCCTCTTCGGGTTGGTTTCCAGCAAGTCGACCAAGGCCCAGCACTGCCTGAACGCGGACCATGGCCTCCTTGTCTCGAATTCGTTTCAACAGGCTGTTGCGAAGATTCTGGAACAGGTCGTCATCGATGGCATCAAGCGAATTGATGATGTGAGAGACGAGTTGTGTTGACCTAAATCGCACATACTTGTCTTTGGCTTGCATTAAGGAGAGGGCAGTCTGGAGGACTTGTGAAGAAAGTCGTGTACTTGGGGTCTCGGGCATCAAACTCGTGTCGACATCGGCCTCATCCAGCAGCTCATTGTCCTTGTCTGAAGCATGCTTCAGGAAAAGCCCAATGAATCGGACCAGCTTCTCGCCAACGCTCTCTGCCTTCTTCACCGGCATGATGCGCAGCACGCATCGAACAAACTCGTGGTTAAACGCCTTCTCGTCAAATTCGTCGGGTGATTGTTTTCTCGGATCGACGGGCTCGTAGCAGCAGGCTTCCTGGATCTTTCGAAGGTTGACCGCCAGCTTTCGATGCGTGGCTGTGGTCCTTTGCGCATCGCGAAAGATGGCGCAAACTTGATTTCGGAGCGCACTGGTTGGTGTTTCGGCGTGTTCTACAGGGGCCGCGGCCTTCTTCTTAGAACTGGCCGCGGGTCTCCCTAAGCGAGCGCCTGATCTTGTGGGCATTTTGGTGGTTTGAAGACACGGAGATCCTACGTGAGCCGCAAGATACCGTGAATCTCTGTAAAAGTCGAGTTTAGTGGTGTGTTGTTTAGCCAGCGCGTCGTTCTAGGGACTGCGATCAACAATTCTCCCGTTTTGGCATAACGTGGTGTTGAACCCCGCCATCCGCATCCAGATTAGCGTCAACGTCGAAACGGCCAATCGATAAGATAAGAATATTGATAGCTGAAGCTCCAGATTTTTTTTTCTTAGCAGAGATACTTCGTCCCAGAGTTTGTTTTCATCACAGGCCAAAGTATTGTTGCAATTGTTTTCGTCGCAACAAACGTCATGGCTCCCCCGACGAATGATCGTAAGCGCAGAAGGTCAGACGGTGAAACCGCTGCTGCGCCAAAAACCCAGGATCCCGACGGCGGAATCTCGCGAACACCCAAGAAAGCAAAGACTGATGATCGACGATCCATCTTTGTTCGGTCATTGCCCCCTAACGCTACGAACGAAAGCCTTGCGGACTTTTTCTCGCAATATTTCCCCGTCAAGCATGCTACTGTAGTTATTGACCAGAAAACGAAGGAGTCAAGAGGGTTTGGCTTTGTTTCGTTTGCTGATGCCGACGACGCCAAAGACGCCAAGGAGGCATTGGACAAGAAAGAGTGGGATGGACGACGCATTCGAATCGAAGTTGCGGAACCCAGACATAGAAATGCCGATCCGGACTCAGAAGAGGCAGGCAAGACGCCGGGTCGGGGTAGACAAGCGTACCAGCCACCACCCACCAAGTTGATTATTCGAAATCTGCCATGGAGCATCAAGACATCTGAACAGCTTTCAAAGCTATTCATCAGCTTTGGCAAAGTCAAATTTGCTGATTTGCCACAAAACAAGGGAAAGCTAAAGGGATTCGGTTTCGTTACACTCAGGGGACGTCCTAACGCGGAGAAGGCTCTCGAAGCCATTAACGGCAAGGTCGTCGACGGCCGAACCTTGGCTGTGGACTGGGCTGTTGATAAGGAAACTTGGGACAAGCAGCAAACTACGGACGGTGACGACAAGGAGGCCAAGGATGCCGAGGATGAAGATGATAAAGCTGAGGATAAAGAAGCCGGAGCAAACGATGGAGAAGTCAAGAACCGTGATGATCAACTACAATCAGACCTTGCAAACTTTATGAAAAACTACATGCAAAACATGGAAGATGAAGAGGATGATGAGGAGGAGCAAGATGATGAGGATGAGGATGAAGATGATGAAGACATGAAGCTGTTGGACGAGGAGGAAGAGGAAAAGGAACCCGAGAAGCCAAAGCGAGAGCTGATGACGGACAATTCCGCCACCGTGTTTGTTCGAAATCTGCCGTTTACGACTACGGATGAGCAGCTTTCGTCCTTCTTTGGCCACTTTGGCAAGGTCCGATATGCTAGAGTTGTCATTGACAAGGCCACCGAAAAGCCAGCCGGCACAGGCTTTGTATGCTTCGTTGATGCTGCAGACGCAAAGACTTGCATAATCGGTGCTCCTCGCCGCGCGCAACCGACCGCGGGAGGCGTCAAGCATTCCATTCTTCAAGATGAGAACGCTGATCCTACCGGCAAATACACGCTCGACGGCCGAGTCCTTCAAGTGGCCCAAGCTGTTGGCAGGAACGAGGCTGCCAACTTGGCCGAGAACTCACTCGCACAGCGAAGGCAAAAGGACAAGCGCAGACTGTATCTCTTGTCAGAAGGTTCGCTTGGCGCGGGCTCTCCTCTGCGAGGCCTCTTGACCGACGCTGAAGTTCGGATGAGACAGGCTAGTGCAACGCAGCGAAAGAAGCTCGTGGAGAAGAATCCCATGCTGCACATCAGCTTGACCCGTCTTGCTCTTCGCAACATCCCCAACGATCTTGGTGCCAAGGATTTGAAGGAGCTGGCTAGAAAGGCCGTCGTCGGTTTCGCCAAGGATGTCAAGGAAGGACGCCGACAGCCGCTTTCTAAGGAGGAGAATGCCAGAGACGGCAAGGATGCAAAGGACAAGGAGAAGGACCGCAAGCTTAAGCGCAAGGGTATTGTCAAGCAAGCCAAGATTGTGTTTGAAGACAACAAGGGATCCAAGGTGTCTGAGGCTAGCGGAGCCGGCAAGAGCCGTGGCTATGGATTCATCGAGTACACCTCTCACCGCTGGGCTTTGATGGGCTTGAGATATCTGAACGGTCTCCAGCTGGACGGAAACAATGGCAAGAAGCAGCGCTTGATTGTCGAGTTTGCCATTGAGAACGCGCAGGTGGTGAAGCGACGACAGGATGCCGAGAATGCGTCCAGGACGCCCAAGGCAAAGAACGAAGACGGCGCTGATGCCTCTGCGTCTGAGGATGAAGAGGAAGAGGAGGCCCCCACACCCAAGAAGAAGCAAAAGGGCAAGAAGAACAAGGGAAACATGAACAAGGGCCCCAAGGTGAAGCCCGCCAAGGAGGATGACGGGGAGAAAGAAAAGGAGAAGAAGCCGACGGACGCAAAGGAGGCGATTCAGCAGAAGCTGATTGCGCGGAAGAGGCTGATGCGCAAGAAGAAGGCGGGATCGAGGGGAAAAGCATAGTTTTGGGTGTGTGTCTATAATATCCAATGGCATGATGTGTTTATTTGTTGTACATGGTATTTTTTTTCTTTTCTTTTCACGGGCTATAATGGATTTGAGGTTTTCGTTTTAGACGTGGTAGTGGATTCAAAAATGTCAATTTGGCTGAGGCTATGTGCTTTTGTTTGAGAATGGTGATTACGACCAAGTGAAGATGAGAGCTACAAGACTTGAGCTGAGGAGGTATGCAAAGGAAAACGTAAAAACAAGGCCCTTATTTCCAGAACCACCCCGACTTCTTATCCTTCGTCTGCTGGTCATCTGCTTCTCGCTCAATAACATTGGTATCATTACTTCCCCCAGCTTCATTTTTTTGCGTCTTATCCGCAGGACGCATAGTAAAGTGCGTCTCCACTCCGATTTCATTACCGTTCTTATCATACGTCTTCTTCGTGACCGTCGTGGTCAAGTAGCCAAGACTGTTGACTTTCTCGTCTCTTGTTACAACCTCCCTATTTCCGTTGTCATATACCTTTTCCTCACTTGAGTTGGATGGTGGAGAAGCCGAGCTATCGATGGATACAGGTTTGCTGTCCGTGATACTTTTGACGAATGTATCCCACGTCTTGTGGCCCTCTGCAAAGCTTGAGCTAAGAGAGGAGAAGAGGTCGTCAAAGTGATCGGGGAAGCGCTTCTGGTGATGGTTTTCATGGCCCTCTTGCTGCGACTTATTACGCCCGTGGAAGCTATCATCTAGTTGCTTGAATGTCTGGCGCACTTCATCGAAGAAGCTGGTGCCGTGGCTATCAGACTGTTCACCTGCAGCAGCACTTCCCCACACTTCGGCAGCCTTTCGATCAAGCTCTTCGTGAAACTTGGACCAGTCATTCCAATTTGACTTGGGGAACTCAGGTTCGGCATCGTTTTCAAACAGACCAAAGTTTCGAGGCTGGTAGTACAGCTCATCCCGAGTGGGTCGTCTAAGCAAACCTTGAGATTCTAGCCTTCGAAGCCAGAACCAGGTAGGCTCGCCATTGGAGAACATTTGCCGCAGCAGCTGCCTCTGGTTATATCTGGATTTGATGTCAGGCAGAGGCCGTCCCAGAGAAACGGTGAGCAAATCTTCAAAAGCATCCTCAAAGGTGAAGACCGAAGAGTCGTATTGTGATGGTAGGTCACTCGGAACAGGCTGTCTGAGGTGGCGCAGGTTTGCTGGCGAATAAGCCCATGATGCAACTGAGACGGTGTCTAGAGCCAGTGGGCGCGATTCCAGGCTGTCCATTGTGACCGGAGCAAGGGGCGCTGTGTGGTTAGAGCTGTCAGAAATAGGGTTGTCCGGTGATTTGGAGGTTGACAGATCAGATTGCGAGTCTGATGGCAACTGTGGCTGGTGGGGTTGGAGGAGGGAGTGAAAGGCCGTGTCCACGTGCTGCTTGAACCGAACAAAGACGTCTAGAGGATCGCCGTCGCGGGGCATGCCGAGGACATTGGAGGCTTTGAGGAGGAGGGAGATTTGAGTCAAAGGGAGATGGATGAGTGTAGAAGCTGAGTGAGCGGTGATGCTGTTTGGTTAGGTAGTAATGACGAGAATGACGAGAGACGATAAGAAGATGCTACAGTGTCTTATCGAGAGACAGAAGCCCGAGTCTCATGACCTGAGGAGCTAGCCCCAGGTTTTTTGGCTTTCTAATATGGCATATGATGTAACGGGCGAGTCCGCCATAGTACCTGACAGCACTAAATTGCGTGCATATGTACGCACTCAAGACATGGCTGGTACAGCTGTGGCGGTGCAGCTGCGTGCGTGTGTTCAATACACGTACATGTAACATGTTCAATGTCACCCTGCGTTAAAAAGGGTGCTGAGAATGTAACTTGAATGGTACCATTGATCTAAAATCTCTTGGTATCAATGGAAAAAAAAAGGGCTGACAGGGTTTGATGAATAAGTGTAGACATGATGAGCACCATCTTTATTCAATCATGCAAATTTAAAACAAAAGCTCTCTTCCTTGTTATAATCCTCACTTACAAGTGTCACTGCCGTTCAATTTTTTTTTGTCTTCTTCAGTGATGACATAGCGTGGGGGTACGTACCTCCCGTCATCTGCATCTGCAGGCGGAAATTCGGCGCCAAGCCCGCGACAAGCAATAATGATGCGTGACTGCTGGACCGCACTTTTGAACTCTTCATGTTCAGCCCAGACTCTGCCTCTGCATCTGCCTGCGCCCAAAAGATCATGAACCTCGTCCATCCCGCCTCGCTCTGCTCTTCGCCCCGATGATACCTTGTCAGGCAATCTGCCGCGGCTTCTGGCGAATGTAGTTTCGCTTTCGCGTTCTCCACCAATCTCCGATCCTACCGTCATTTGCTTCTTCCTCCCCCTTTGCCGCCTTGCTTCGTCTGCTTCGCCCTCAGACACCTTCTCTCTTGGCGGCGACGATGAGACTAGATTTCACAGAGTCGACTCCGCCGACGTGGACAAGCGTATTAGCAGCACCGACAGCGACAGCGACAAGCGGCCTGGGAGCGGGAGATGCTCCGGGCCGGGACGATGACGAAGATGCCCTGCAGCGGTGGTCGTCCCTGATTGGGATCATCACGGCCATTGTTGGCAACGTGCTGATTGCGCTTGCTCTCAACGTTCAGAGATATGCGCACACGCGGCTGCACAAGGAGCGCAAGAGGATAAAACAGGAGGCTCGGGCAGCCTTGAAACGAGCGCAAAGCAGTAACAGCAATGGGAGCACGCAGGTCGGCGTCTATGGCACCATCATCGGTGACGATACAGGAGATCATTACCAAAATGGCCACTCAAGTACAAACGGCAACGACCGAGGGCTGTACGATGACAACTCGGAAGACGAGCATGAATTCGCCGAAGACGAGCCCCTGATGGCATCGTTTCAATCCAGCGCAACGACGGCGAGTTCCGACACCGACACCAAACCAGACAAAAAACCATCTTCGAACTACCTGAAATCGCCATACTGGTGGCTCGGCCAGATCTTGATAACGTTGGGAGAAGCAGGCAATTTCCTAGCGTATGGCTTTGCGCCGGCCTCCATAGTCTCGCCTCTCGGAGTCGTTGCGCTTATATCCAACTGCATCATTGCACCCGCCATGTTTCACGAAAAGTTTAGACCTCGCGATTTCTGGGGCGTTGTCGTTGCCGTCTCTGGTGTTGTCACTGTTGTTTTGAGTGCGAGCCAAGAAGAGACGAAGCTGAATCCTCATGACGTATGGGGAGCCATTACTACGATGGAATTCGAAATTTACCTTGGCGTTACGACATTTCTCATTATTGTTCTCATGTGGGCGAGCAGGATGTATGGCAAACGTACTATCCTTATTGACCTTGGCCTCGTTGGTCTCTTTGGTGAGTTGTACATGCTCTCTCATTCACAATACTATGGATCTTTTACTGACTGATATTTTGTAGGTGGATATACCGCCTTGGCCACCAAAGGTGTATCATCCATGCTCTCCACCAGCTTTGTGGCGGCTTTTACAACACCTGTAACATATGCCCTCATATTTGTCCTATTATCAACCGCCATTATGCAGATTCGCTATGTCAACAAAGCTCTATCCCGCTTCGACTCGACTCAAGTCATTCCCATTCAGTTTGTCATGTTCACACTGTGTGTCATCATCGGCAGCGCAGTGCTGTATCGCGATTTCGAAAAGACGAATAAGAAGCAGGCTGCCAAGTTTGTTGGAGGCTGTCTTCTCACATTCTTTGGTGTTTTTCTCATTACGAGTGGGAGAGAGCACAGAGATGATGACGAGGACATGCTGGATGAGAGCGACGGCATCGAAGAAACGATTGGGCTGACGCAGCACGACGGTAGCGTCTCATCTTCTGCGCTTCCTCAACTACGGCATGACCAGCGGCGGCTTAGCGTGCCGGCTCCTAAAACCCCATCTCGCCGATCTAGTAGAATGTCGCGAGTTAGCTTCGCTGACAGAGTCAAGCCAGATTCGGCTCATGGTGCCCTCGAAGTCCCCTCAACGCATTATTTCGAATCAGCACACTCTCCAGCGCATCTCAACGGCGACGAGGCACATGTTCTTGTAAGCAATCCATGGCAAGGGCTGTGGGTAAGCCCTGACCCCCCTCGAGGGGCTCGCACGGTATCAGCGGAAACCGTCCCCACGAGATCTGGACTGGGTTCTACGCCTGTACAACCACATCCTCTCTCATCTTTCAAAGATGCTCAGGTGACTCCATCACATTCCACCGACAGGCCGGTTACACCTCGAGCGTTACATAGTTCCAAATCGACCAATCACCGATCAAGACCATTTATTTCACCTTCACCTTTCTCTTCTACAGTCACCACAGCAGTCAAGGATGTAATCCTTCGCGAAAACGACAGCCCAGAGGCTGTTGCATCTTCGCTACGACGCATACGATCTAGCATTCGAGCGAGCTTATTCTTTAATAGCGATGACGAGGATGCCATCATGCCGGAGCGCATTGCGGAACAGCCCATTGTTCCTTACTCAGATGATAATCTGCCCGAAGCCCTGGGTCATGAGGATGCCGGGCCAAGCACAACCGCAAAAGTCTCAAGGGGGAGAGCTCGAAGTCTGAGCGACACAATTGGAGAGTTTTTCCGTCCTAAAAAGCAGAAGAAGCTGGAGACGGCCGAAGAAGACGACACTTTATTAGATGGCGACGACGAGCAGCAATTAAGTCGCAGTCCATAATTTTAATAGTAAAAATAACTATTTGAGCGGCGGTATACAGTCTTTACATATTAATATTCACGCGCATTTCAATACTCATCTCTTGTTTTGAAGATAGTTGATCAAAAGATTCTTTTCTTTTCTTTTTTTCCCGGGCAACACGATGCATCCATAGTGACGGCGTTTTTTTGGCATCACGAGGAAGGGGGGGGAGAAAAGCAGCTCGTATGAATGAATGAATGAATGAGGCGAGAGGGGGGGCATTAGTTAGTCGGATCTATTTTTGCGTGTGTGCTTTGCGTTTTTTTTCTCCTTTATGTTGTTTTGCGTTATTTCTTATTGTTTGATGATAGTGAAATGAATATATATGGCTGTGTCGGTTAGGCGAGATGAGTTGAGATGGGGTCGGCCCCTTTTGTACTCCTTTTCTAGTTGCTTGATGGGATACCATTAATGAAGTATCGATTGTTATCTTGAATCTAATTTCATGTTTGTATCTTTGTTCATTATTCCGAATTACAAGTTAAGACTCGCTCGCCAATCTTTAGAAAGGATATATATCTTGTCAAAATACCTCTATTTGGGGCGAGGTCAGTCGTAGAAGACTGGACACTGAGTCAGAGTCAGTCGTTATCCCATCAATCTTGAATATGGAAATTAGTTTTCAGAAAAAGATGAGGAAAATTGGTGTTGTAACGATCCAGGTCTTTCACGGGTTCTATGTATGTACTCTACTCAGAGCTAAATACCTATTTTATCTATCCAATCGTCATATTTTTCTCTGATTTTTTGGTGCGCCGCTGACAATGCATATTTAATCTCACGAATACCGTCCATCTTCTCCAACGTCTCGCCATCTGGTGTATCCATGTCGCGGTGCACGACTTTCCAGTTGTCGTCTAGCTCTCGTAGATATGTATATGCCTCCATCTCTGGCACATAAGGCATGTCTCCCATGACTGATGTGTCGGTGGAGGACATTTGTTTGACCAGTTCGCTATGACGAAATCGGATGACAGAATAGGACCCTCCGACGTGAGAGAGTGCGACACAGTTTTTTTGAATATCCATGTCTCCATCTCGGTATTGCGGGGGAATCCATACAAACTTTTTTCCATTAAATTCAAGCCAAGTCCGCTTTGAGTTCACATCGTAAGTATTTTTTTTTTTAAAGCGCATCATATTGCTGGCCTCGCCTGTGAGCTCTAGCTCCATTCTTGTTCGTAATGCAACTCGGATACCCGTACGATTGTATCCACTTGGCTTTACATCAAGAGTTAGGAGGTCCTCTTCAAAGGAAAGGACCTTTTCGTTATAGGCCATCCCCATGAGTTTCTGGATCATTTTCACCTCTTCTTCTACTTCCCCTAGTGCCTCTTCATTTTGTTGCTTTTTTTCGTCGAATGAACCTAAAAGGTCTTCACCAGAATTTGAAGGCTGTAAAGGACCATGCAAGTAGCGTCTGTTCAAGTCTATTGCTTGAATGACTGAAATTGAGCTAATCTCCCATATTTCGACCTTTGTTGAGAAAGCTTCATCCACGTATGAGATTGCTAGACGTCTGTTGTCTGGCGAGAAACAAAGGTGAACCCACCCACGGCACCCTCTCTTTCCCAAACACATCAGACGCTTTCCTGAGCCTATGTCCCATACCTGAACTTTGATGATTTTGGAAGGATAAATTTCAGCCACATCGTCCAGTGCTATAGCTAAGCACTCACTGTCTGATGAAAACGCAAAGTGATCTCTATACACTTCAAAACTGAACATTAAAGGAATTTTCTGTGAAAATATGATTCTTGCAGGTTTAGAGGAAATATTCCATAGTATAGCAGTGGATCTTGAGACGGTGATCAATTTTTCCGAGTCCGGGGAAAAATGAATCCGAGTATACATCCCAAGGTAGGAGTTTCTCAGGAAATGGGTGCATATTTTTGAGTCGATGTCCATTACTTCTATACCCACTGGGTGTGGGAGCATTGATGCGACAAGTCTGCCGTTAGGTGATAAAGAAACCGAAAATCTATCAATATCTTTGTCAAGAGAGTTATCTCCTGAATCTGGCGCGGTGAAGCTTTCTTGCGCTATCTCCACAACGTATATAGCCGAAGACCAGGCACAAAATATCTTGCTTCCATCAGGAGAGAAGACTAAGGTCCTGCTTCTCATTCTGATCTTTCGCAAGCATTTGCCGGAGATTACGCTATAGAGCTGAATTTCTTCCACAGCACTCGTCGCAAGCAATTTCCCATTGGGTGAGAAAGCGAAGTCCGAAATAGATGCCTCGGTCTGAGATGACCATTTAGTCTCACCTGATGTTGTGTCTGCAAGGGTAACTGTGCTTCGGCCTCTGAAGAAGACGGCAAGAAGAGAGCCGTCCGGGGAGAATTTTACCTTCCTGGCGTCTTCACCCCGAATAAGGCGGATGTCACTGCCATTATCGGCATTCAAGATTCCAATATACCTCTTTCTATACGACGGAAAACATGCTATTTTATTCTCATGGCCAAGCGAGAATATCGAAAGCGTTTCGTGCATGGGCCATTGCTGTAGCTGAATCCTCTTCATCGCTTGGCCCGTCTTCGTATTCAAGAATGTAGCAATAGCCATTGTATCGTGATAATTTTTGGAAAGATAACCAAGCAAGTCACGTGTCGTACTTGAGTATGAAATCGATAGATATCTGAGCGCCGTATCTTCAATCCGTAGCCGTTGCGATACTCTACCCGTTGATATATCCCAAATCATCAATTGAATGTTGCTTCGAAAGTCAAAACAGCTTGATGCTAGCTCCTCTCTATCCCAAGGAGAAAAACAAAGAGATGTAAGACTGATAATTTTGCTAATATTTTCACTATCCGTAAGAGGAATGCCAGAGTGCGCATCCAAGACTCGAATTGATTTCCCAGAATACGTTTCCCATATAGTTATAGTATGAGCGTTATGGCTAGCCGCTATCCACGTTCCGCAGCAGGAGACGGCGAGATCGTTGATATCCCTGATACCTTCATATGTTCTCGAAGAAGGGACCCATTCGGATTCGCCATTAGACCAAATCTGAACCCATTTCAGAGCTTCTCCTTCATAATGGCGCCGAGTGATGCTCTGGGTTGGGCTAAATATCAAAGCGGATGTGTAAACTTGCAAGGGGTAGTCTGCTATAGCATTGCCAAACATTTGAATAAATCGGCGGGCATCCCAAGCAAGCTCGACTAAACCAGGAATTTCAGAATTGGCCTGTTGCGATGAATCAGAGGAGTGTTCCTAGTCTGCATGACTTATACAACTTACGATAAATTGCTCTAGCCGTTGCATTCCTGCTATGCCGTCGAACGTGCTTCTGAGAAGGCTCAAGGCTTCTAGCCAGTAAATATACTTCTCTTTAAGAAATCCTTGTATTAATTCGTGACACTTATAATGAGACTGAATATCTGCTCTGCGTTTAGGCATAGATTGTTCAAAATGATCAATCCAATAGACACAGCTATATCTGATAGCAATGAGTGGATCGTCTCTCGCAGCGTGCTGCGGGAGATCATCTATTGAAAATGCAGGATCGATTAGACTATACATGTCTTTTCTTAAAATCTTTTTCATATTAGAAATGGATGCCTCGAAGATCTCTTTGTGGATGTGTTGCGTGCCATTCGGAAATAATCGTTGGCTTGCTTTGATGAGAAAATCCTTGGCAGATTGATGAACGAAGTATATAGTGCCATTTCTCTCCGTTAAAAAGGAGCCACAGCGGCCTAATATATCTTCCCAGTCATGCTCGGAAGGCCGAATTATATCTTTGTGATGGTAATTAGTATCGATCAGAGGAATGAACTCTTGTATGGTAAGAGGTCGGTAGGCAAGGGTGGCGATGGTAAGAACTCTTCTACCAACATCCGATATACTTGGGGCGTATACTTTAGTCGACATGCGTTCATAGAGTTGGTCAAGCCCTGGAGGGAAATTCGCCGATTTTGGGAGGGGATCGAATCGTGGTACCTTCTCCAAAAGAGCGCATACTAATGAAACCCAGAGAAAAGTTCCATTTGCGTTGGCAGACAGATATTTTTCTATCCCATCTCTTATCGACTGCGCATAGTCTCTTTTGTCCGATAAAAGCTTTACTTTGTGTCGGATATATATAGTTATTGCGGTCGATACGGATTCTGCATTGAGCTCGAGGCTTACGGTTGACTTATGTTCTGAAGTTGTGAGAACCTCTTGAATGTCTGCCTCATTTCGACTTGACACCAGCCATTTCAACGGAGAAGATGATGACGAACTTTGCACTATGACTTCGAGAAGTTGTGCTAAATCCGTCACGCACTCATCCAATGCATCGATAATAAAGATTGCCCCCTTTAGAAAATCATCTCTGAGCATCCGTCCAAATATCCGTGATAGAACGACCCAGGAATTGACGCCTTCAAATGCTGACTTTCCTGACTTGTCATACTCGTCTCTGATGTGAGAGATGAGCGAGGGTTGCTGGACGACTATCATATGCAACAAGCCACGTAATACTGCCGAAGCATTGTTAAGACGAATATCTGTTGCTTGGCAGAGAAAATAATAGACGTTGCCCCCAGGTTTCGTCGCCCTCAGCTCATTAATGATGCCGCATAGCAGCATAGTCTTCCCTTTGCCTGGGTCGCCCTTGATCCACAGTAAACGGGTTTCAGGATCTTCTAGCCACTGTATGAACTCTTTGCTTCTTGTAATCCAGATATACGCATCCAGAAGCAGACCACCCTTCGTCTCTTCAATGCGCTGTTTATCATCCTTTGGGTTTGTGATGAACAGGGCATTCAGACAAGCTTTGTTCTCTTGAAGCTTAAGGGCTGTAGCAGGCGATTTATCAGTCTGAGGGTAGCGCTCAACTAAAGCCCTTGCAACCGATGCAGCAGTTGCGGCAGCAAAGTTTTGCCATTCTGCCCAGTGTTTCGTCTTGTGGCCATCCCCATAGTTGCTCACGCCTTTAACAATGATGCAAGGCAATTCGTCCCAGACTCCAGCACCCTCCATCTCAAAAGCTATGATGTTATGCTTCCTTGCCAGAGAGTCACGACGAATGCCAGAGCTAAAGGCCGTGTCACCAGATCCAAAGCGTCCGAAAAAGATGGATGGAATTTGAGTAGTCTTTAGATCGCCGTCATTCTCTAGCAGATTCTTTTGGTGTAAGCGATCTCGGGTTTTCGGAGGGTTGAGTTTGCAATCGGTCTGTTCGCAGTCCGTATGCTTAGACTCATCACACACTGCACAGAGATCTTCATCCGGGCTGTAGTCGGCACACACACATTGTGATGAATTATAATGTCTGTGAATATGCGTTGGCTCGAAGAGAATATCGTTGGCAGAACCAGGATACATGTATGTTGCCGCTTTGCGCCTCCGCTGATACTTTGTCTCCGAGGCACGGCGCTGGATCTGCTCAAGATAAACTGCTGCCTTCTCCTCTAGACGCTGGTATCCTATTTCAGTTTTTATATTGGAAGTAAAGCTTCGGATATTCTTGTTTGCGCGCCCATGTCGGTCCTCAAGAGTGTCTTTCTCTTTAAACGCGACGACAAACTGGGTGCCCAGATCGTACTGGATAACCGTTTCACTGATGACTACATCGCCAAGCAGCACCTCTTCTCCATTTGCATTAGGAACGCCTTCGCATATTCCGGCAAGAAGAAGGAGCTCAATGCAAGGATAACTCGATCGGAGACTGGCTGCCGCGCCTGCTGCGGTGGCTTTGCCTGAATTGCAGAGGAGCACCACGACGATATTATATCTGCCCATGCATCCCGTGGTGTAAGTGTTGAGATCACCTCGGGCTCTGCCGAATGGGTCGCCATCCGTGTCCCAAAATTTATCCAAGAGGAGACAGACAGCATCGTATTCGAGTGCCCTTGTGCAGACAATTGCGATTTCGAATTCGTCTCGGCTAGTTGGCTGAGATGCCGTGTCGACCACCATGCTTGCGAGCGAGGCTTATTGTATAAGCCAGTTTCCTTTTATTTTTGTGTTATATACAACATGAGTTGTAATTATTGCGATGCACTGCCAACCTTGAGAGAGAGGAGAGGGGAAAAGTCAATGATTGCCAGAGCGAAGGGGTTGGGCATCCTTCAACCACCCATTTTCTTGCGGCGGAAAGCTACATGATTCGTCTCCTGAGAGGCATCCAAACAAAATCATTTAAATGGACGCAAGATGGTGGAGTATGGCGCATGCATACATGTGCAGGGGAGAAGCAAGGCTTTGGGCTGGAATTGTTCGGAATTAGGCATTGACTCGATCTCGTGTGCCGCATGCCACCCAATGATGTACTATCTGGCATTTACGGGTACTATTGGCATTCTTACTAGGAATTGAGTCCCAGACACCAAAATTTTCTGAGCGTTGTAAATATTGTCATTGGACGAAACCTTTCTATAAAGCAAACCTTACATTCTGAGTGCTTGGACCCCAAAATGGCGTATTGACTTTGAATTTGCAATTATAAATGCGCTGAAAATATAGTATAATGCAAAATATCTCACCTTTCTACTGAAAGCGCCTGAAAGCAAAATAAATGACGAACCGTACACATGTCCAATCCAAATGACTGCTGAGCCCACAACGTCTCGCTTCTCGATCATCCTTTCAGCAGAGGCGGATTTCTATAAATAGAGCCCCCAATAGATCCCATATACCTAGTCAGTGGAGCAATCAAGTCGTCCCATGCATCACCACCTGAACCATGTCTATGCTTCAATGATCTGACATACAGAGCGCAGCTGCAAGTTAGCTGTAGAAACAGCCTTTATCCTGGAGCGGGACTGCTAGATGGACATAAGGGACACAAATTGAAGCGAAACCTGCTTTTGTGCTTGGAGAACATCCACAAGGTCTGGCTAACTGTTAGGCATATTTCTCAAGAAGCGCTTTCATCACGGACGCCGCTGTGGCAGCCGCAAAATGCTGCCACATCTTATTCTTGTGGCTATCGGCATAGTCGCAAATGCCCTTGACAATAATGCAAGGGAGCTCATCCCAAGCGCCCGCCCCCTCCATCTCAAATGCAATGAGGTCGTATTTCGCGGCGATTCGATCGCGGTCCTCACTGGACCTCATTACCGTGTCTCCTGATCCGATGGAGCCAAGGAATATCATAGGCGCTTGAGCCTCCTTGTTACGTCCTTCTTGTTCCAAGTGAAGCTTGTGTTTTATCCGATGCCTTTCAATCAGAAACTTCTCGTCACATTGTAGTTCATGGCATGACAATTTTCGGGAATCCTCACAATCGTCATTGGAATTCTTGCAGGCACACTGTGGCTCACCATAGTGTTTGTGAACGTATACGGCCCCAAATAGCTTGTCATTGGCAGCTCCCGGACAGATATATTGTCCTATGGGTTGCTCTTTGGCGGTGATGTCCTGTATATGCTCAAGATAATAAGCTGCTCGCTTCTCAAGCTGTACCCTTCCGCGGAGTGTGTCAAAAAATTTGAGTAGGCTGCGAATCTTTTTCTCCGGCCTTCCAAGACTGTCTGTTGATGTTTTTTTGGGTACGAACTTATTGCTATGAAGCCTACCAAAATCGTACTGAAAAACGGAGCTACTCAAAACAACATCTCCAAGTAGGAGCTCCTTTGCAGTTCCAGGATTAGGAACGCCTCCACATATACCAGTTAAGAGGATAAGCTTCAGTCCCGGGAAGCTCGATCGAAGACTTGCGGTTGTGCTGGCCGCGCCAACTTTTCCCATTTCTGGGAGGAGTACTAGAACGATGTCGTGTTTTCCAATACGTCCGGTTGTATACACGTTTAGATCTCCCTTAGACTTTCCATACGGATCGCCTTCCTCATCCCAAAACTTATCTATGAGAACACAGACGGCGTCGTATTCGAGCGGTAACGCACAAACAATTGCGATTTCAAAATCTTCGCGGGAAGATGGAGGGATGGTAAGCCGTGCATCTTGAGGATGAGATATTTTGCGTCGATGAGTCAGGTTGATTGGCTGGAGACTTGGTAGAAGAGCGACAGTTCTGGTGGCACCAACATCTGCCTTCGATCCAAGGTTGATTTTCTTTTCTGCTTCTTCATCTAGGGCTTCCACCGATAAAAATTCCTTGAAAATTTTCCCCACTTCCATTTCAAGAGGTTTTACGATGTCATCGAAAAGCGAGTACCGCAACATCTGATCATCGCATGCGTCGCCGGTAGAGAAGTCTGTCAAAAGACATTTCTGGATTGCATCTCGATAAGCAATTGAGATGAAGTCTGGTCGCATCTTTTTAAATATTTGCGCGGCCGAGCACCAGAGCTCATTGGAGTTAGAAATATCTGCCTTATGGCCCAAAAATGACTCCAAACTTTGCCCAAGATGAATCTCAAGAAGAATAACGCCCAGCTCAAGGAATTCGGGATACCTATGATAGCCATTTGGGTCATACGGTGGGCCACGAAGTTTTTGAGGATCAGATGATAAAAAGGGCCTCAGAGGAATTTGCGTGTCGTTTCCAAAGAATACAATATTCCTTCGGCTCCATCGCTCTTTCGTCCAAGATCCACCATAGAAATGGAAAAGCGAGTAACAGAGGGTGAGACCAAGCGTAAGTTTTGTCATTGACGTCCAGTTCTTGGCATGGAGTGATATAAGAGTCTTGAGAGTATTTTCCTCTAGCAGCGTTTCACGTTTGTGTGTTCTTTCATCAGGCATATGATTCTGCACCCCTTCACCAGTGGGATCCAGAATTATGTTTAGCCTCCAGAACTCGGATCTCGGCTCTGAGTGAGTGTCCAAGAGGCTACAAATGCATTGATAAGACTCTGGGTTGCGAATTCGCCAAGGTTCTGGGGGCCTGCCTGTCTCGTCTTGCCCAGCAAATCCGACCCTTGTCTTCCCCCTATAGTTTGACTGGTTAGAACCGGCACACATGCGTTAGTTAAGTACATTTATTATCTTACATGGGTTTTTGGATATCGTGAATCAAGATCTCGTGCCAGATGTGTTCAACTGTGCCCGATGAGAGTAGAATGCACAAACGGTTCACCGCTTGGCCTTGTTTTCCGTTGTTGTAGGCTCCTATCCTGAGCCTTCCTTCGCGTTGAGGCTCGCTCCCACACTTGCTGCAAGCTACGTGCAGTGTAGAAAAGATGCGCTCAGCGAACGAAATGAGTTTATTGGATGCCTCTGGGGAAGTTTCGGGCTCTTGGTGCTTGCCAATAATGGACGTATCTTCTCCGGACCTTTGAAGCTCATCCGAAAGCTTCTTTAAAGCGTCCTGTATTTGGTCCCACGAAATGTTTTGGTCGTCCAGAGGGAGAATCTGTAGATTTACCAGATATTCACAATTGTCAGCCACGGGGAAAAGACTCTGCATTGACCAGAGCCGGCGGTGCTTGAATGAAGGATCATGGGATGGCTTGGGATCTGTCAGCTGGCGATTTTTAAGTGGACAAAGCAAGCAATTGGCGTTTTTGTGTGACTTCATACCTTTTGCTCCTGTAGCAGCGTGAAATCTATGATCTTACTGAAGAGTTCCTCAAGTAAGTCAGCCAGGCTTGCGATCTGTTCTACAAAACAGTAGGACTTTCCCGCTTCTTCGATGGCACTGAGATTAACAGATAAGTTGATAGCGGCCCTGTGTATATTGTCCAAGAATTCATGCCGCCTATCACAAGGATCCAAATCTTTTTTCATGTATCCAGTGAGTTCCTTCAAGATGAGCAAAACGTGCAGCACAAGCTCAAGGCTGTTGCCTGGCGTGCTTCTAATCGGGGGTGGCAAAGTTGCGTCCATGCTATATCAATGAAAGAGAGGAAGAATACCAGGAGTCTATTGGGCAACGAATAATGATTCAACTGTCAATACATATCGTAATGATGATGGAATATATTCTGGGCTTGGGCACGGCAGTGGTCTGCCGATGTAAAAGAACTTGGACCCAGGGACAGATTCAATAACATTGGAACCCCGCATCTCTCGGGAAAGCTCCTAGTCAACCATGTTACACGGCTATTCAATTTTTTTCCAGCCATCTTCAAACAGGTGATTTCATAAAGGATCACATATACGAGTTTGGTGTCACATTTAGTACTACATAAACCCACTTGCACCTTCGCTCATCCCTTTATTCAGCAGTCCTTTGTCCTTCTCTGTCCTTACCATGCACCCCTCAAGCACCTGGCTATGTTGCCCTTTTTTTTTTAAAAAAAAAAAAAGAATTTTTTTTTTTTACGAGCCCAGTGTCTTCTGGTTTCAGTCTCCCATCATTTAGTTATATCAGTATCTCTCGCAATACTAATAATCCGCCATGGTGCTGAACACCACCATCCGCGAACATGCGACGACCTGCCTTGATCTATTTTCCCTGGCTATCTTGCTACTAGCAGAAATTCATAGCTCAGATAACCCAAGTGCAGATGGGTTGATGGAAGAATTCAACCGATTTAAGATCTGGATGCATAATATTGACGTCTTTGCGGACCTTCACTCTTCGTTGGATTATCGACTTCGAGATTATGATGATACCAAAGGCATATTTTTGCGTGAACTTACAAGTATTGAAATCATCTTGCAACAGCGTATGTTCTTTTATCTCTTCTAGAATATCATTGATACTAATGTAAACAAATAAAGTTTACGTTTCTACGCTCCAAATTCTGTCCGAAACCTCGATCAACGAAGATAACAAGCCTGATACCTCCACAGCGATCACCTCACTTCAAGACCTGCATACGCATCTTTTGCATCAGGAGATTAATCAGCTTAACATGTCGTCCAATATGGTCAGAGATGCCGAGTTTGTCTACCAGCCCAAAAAGGCCGACAAGTTCGAACTCAAGGGCGAGGACGATATTGATCTAAGTGCTGTTCTAACTAACTACTATTCAAAGTTAATCAAACGCGAGTTTAGAGGCATGCAAGATACTCTAGTCCAACGACTAGTAGCATCCATGCTGACAAGGCGAAGACGGATAATGTACAGGCAATCTCAGCAACAGTATTGGAAGATACAACCAGTTGAGCACCAGAGCAAAAACTTTGAGCCAGCGCCATCTTGGATGATGGACACTACCTTGGACGGCAACATCCGCCACAATATCTCAGCGCCATCCGGCATATCTAAAGGTGGCACTGCTTCGCTGAATGAGCAAAGCAAGCAGCTCGTACCACCTCCACCAAAGGGAATCATATCCGGCACAGATTTCGTTTGTGACTATTGTTGTTGCATTCTTCCGAGCCATATTGCTTTAAACAGCGACACTTGGGCGTGAGTACCTGCACAAAGACTCCATTCCAGATTGAATTCTCTGACATACCAATAGGGATCATGTCATTAAAGATTTGTATCCGTACGTTTGTGTCGTTGACAACTGTAATGATCCCATCGAGATCTTCTCCACTCAGAAAGAATGGCTTACCCACGTGCGTACACGGCATATGATGAAATGGTATTGCATGGCCAAATCTCATATGAAGCGGTTAGAATTTGAGAGTGAGGATGAATTTATTCAACATATGAAGATTGAACACCCAGGTACATTCCGCGACGACCAGTTGTTAATTGTTGCGGATAATAGCAGAAGGCCAAAGGACCCTGTGTTTGACAGTTGCCCTTTTTGTGCTAAGACTTCCGACAATCTTGAGGAGCACATCGCACAACATCTTCGAGATCTTGCATTGCGGTCACTGCCCTGGCCTGATGATGACGAGCAGAATTCGCAACCAGAAGGAGAAGGATATTTCATAGCGACAGCACAACATCGAATGAAGATACTCGAAACACTATTAGAGACTTTCTATCTGAGTCCGAATCACTAGCGTCTTGCTGCTTCACTGGAAATCCAGATGACAATGTTATATCCGAGGATAACGCAGGACAGCGTCTACGTCTCTATTACCATATTCAGAAGATCGCCGACCAATACAAGCCGCTATATCTGCAAGAACAGCTTTCTGACAAAATCTTGGAGAGGTTAGCTTTGAAGAAACACCAACGGGATCACCCACGACTGCCTGCTCTGATGCAGAACCTTAAGGTTTCATCCGGCAACAAACACTCGTACACTGCAGCAATTGATGGGTTCTTGGAGATTGTGCAGAAATTTAACAAGAGGACCCTACCACGTTATTCAGAATTCAATAGGCCTATTGTTGGAGCGATAAAAGCGCCCGATTTTTCTGTCCAGCCTTCTGCCAAACCAGCACGGAACTTCTTTGAGATTGCCATTATCTGTACACGCTTTGCTGAGTATAACGCAATTTGTCTCCTCTTTGACAAATTTTGGGACGACTATCGCATGCCGTATAGGTTTGAAGAAAACATTTATATCGCTGGACAAGTTAAGAAGCACAACGTCGTGCTCGCTCTCCTACCTCAATCGGAAAAATTAACTGCTGCAACTGCTATGGCGCATTTCCGGCTCATCTACCCATCTTTGAAGCTCTTTCTTTTGGTTGGCATCTGCGGAGGTGTGCCGAACTTTAAATGCTGCGGAAGGAAGGTCAAACCATTGCTAGGAGATGTTGTCATCAGCCATAGCGTTGTTGAGTACCAGATTGGGAGCACCAACGAATTCACCCGCAAAGACAGCCTAGTTGATCGTCACGACAATTCACGCACAATATCAAGCTGTGTGTGTAATTGTTTCGGCACAAAGAAAGATCGAGAAATCCTGCAAAAGACCACAGCGAAATTTCTGATCGAAATCCAGGCCAACGCAAAGGACAGAGAAGAGTGGGCTGGTGAAGCCATGTTCAAGTACAGCTATCCAGGAACAGCCGCTGATCGACTTTTTAAACCAGACTACCTTCATAAGCACCGCACCAGGTTCAGCAATTGTAGTGAATGTAAAGGCGGGCCTGATGTTATTTGTGACGGGGCTCGCCAAGCTTCCTGCAAAGAGACTGGATGTGATGAGGGGCAACTTATCTTCCGCACATCCCTCAAGAAAAAGCAGGCTTTTGAACAAATAAGTCGCTTCGCGGCTCAGAAACCCAAAATTCACCTTGAGCCGATTGCGTCGAATAGCATTGTCATAAAGAATGGACTGGAAAGAGACAAAATATCCAAAGAACAAGGGGTTATTGCTTTCGACATGGGCGGCTCCTGGGAAATGAAAATGATACCACACGTCTATATCAAGGGTATTTGTGACTATGCTGATGGCCACACAGACAAGCGCTGGCAAGACTTTGCAGCGGCAACGGCAGCGGCGGCAACAAAGGCTCTTCTATGGGCACTCGACTAGATAACCAAGCCAAGGAAGGAAGACATTGCTATATAGAATAGATCGACGTCAATAACAGATATCAAGCGATTGCCGATAGAGAAAGCCGCTCCCTATAAAACTAGGCATTTCACCAAATTGACCGCTTTTTGTCACGACTCAAATCTCATCGCCCACGATAACTATGTGTCATACGGTATCCTATCTAATGCAAAAAGATGGGTAAATACCTAATGATGTGACGATAGACATAACGCAGCGAAGATCTCGGCGTGTGCGTAGATTCAGATTTCATGGAAAAGAATCAACAAGGTGATGACAAAAGCCAGCATTTATATGCCAACCCATCGTATGTTCACAGGCCGATCCAGTCAGATACTAATAGCTTTGGTATCGTTTAATATGCATGAGCTTCGCCACGTCAATCGCCCTGGGTTCTGTGCTGCAATGAATGGTGTTCACTTTAGACACGGATGTGGTAACTGCGAATTTAACCCTCGGATAACGCACCCATGCGAACGACAAAACAAAACCAAAGATGAGAGCCAAAATTAAGGCAAAAAAAGAAGTTTTGAAGGGTATTGAACCCAACCCGATTCGAACGGATAACCTTCAGGAGATTCCGAGCTGGAATCTGACGCGCTACCGTTGCGCCATGGGTCCTGTTGATTCTAGCCCAGAAAAATCAAACTGTAAGCCTTTGGTGCTGGGATTACGGCATGGCTTAGTCCAGGCCACAAATGTCTCCATACTGTTCACGCGAGTTGGAAAACATAGCAATCTGCTAACCTAGACCTTGTAGATAATGGACATGTCGAAATTTGGCATTGGTTCTATCGATGACATATCTTGAGACCTTGGCTGTGACTATGGTAAGATGCATTTTCATCATCATATTTCACTTCTAATCGAAGTAACGCATTGGCATTCACGCTACAAGCGTGCTAGATGCTTTTCACTTTGTATTTCTCCCTATTCCGTCTAAGTACCTATTATATGCGGAATATCCAGAGCTCAGCCCCAGCTTCAGCAAATGGCACAATGTAATATGATAAGTATCTGGAAATGAAGAAAACCTTCTACAGGTAAATACGTCTTACCTGAGAGACTAGATACTATACCTGAGAACCGACGGGCGGCAAACGTCATATCCCTCCCCAACTCGGGTGGTTTCTAAGAGTGCTTGGTGACTTGGGTTTCAGTCAATTGACAGCGCTGATTTGTAAGAATATTCTTGAATTGGCTCCGAGAAAACCAAGTGATCTAGGACTTTTCAAGTGTTGTTTACTAGAAGATACATTATTGCTCTCTTTGGTCACATACTTACCCAAGTCATACGAGACATCAACTATTATGTAACTGTGCTTCCAATTGTTTTTTTGGCCCAAAGCAATGCAAGGCAGTCTTAGTGCGCTGCAATTATCGCAGCTGTCTAGTACTATAAGATAATCTTTACTCATCTCGCCCATGGTAAAATCTACGGAGAAAAACCTCATCATAGCGTTGAACATGGATCTGCTGCAGCGGCGCTGTGAAATTCCAGTTCCAGTTATTTCACAAAATGCCCTAAAGATGTGGCCATCAGGGCGCTTGAATTTGCAGAGGGGCTTATGAGAGCAATTTTCTCGATCGGCATACACAGCGGACCCATGGCGCAACGGTAGCGCGTCAGATTCCAGCTTGGAATCTCCTGAAGGTTATCCGTTCGAATCGGGTTGGGTTCAATGCCCTTCAATCTCTTTTTTTGTCCATTTTCTCATTTTTGCTTCTTTATGCTGTGAGATGAGATGTTCTTTTCCCTTCTTTCCATTTATCCGGCGGGTTCCATTGTGGGGGATCAATTCTCAGGCTCCCCAGTGGTATCTCGCTCCATCTCCAACACTGCTCCATCTAATCACGATGAATCTATCACCATTTCAATAATATCTTAGAAGATGCTCACCAATCCCGCCACGATATTAAGTCGACGTAGATGCGGTATGACCTAACAACAAAATTACTGGCCATAAATCCGTGGGTATTTTACAAACTATGCATCACAAGAGAATCCTCATATTACGTGGCAAACCTGTTATCTGCATATGTCAGCCTTGAAAAGGAGGCTTGGGTTACCAATCAAGACAATTCACTTCAGTTATAGTCTCCATCATTTTGTATTTTACAGTAAATCAAACGCTAATAAAACATTATGCAATATATGTGCCAGTTTCCAGTCCCCAGCATAGTGTTGGTCGACAGCCAATACCAAGCCTGCCCGTTATAATCATTGACCTGTACTTCGCAATGCTCTCTTAATTTATCCACATGTGGTCTGGGTGTTGGGATCGAAAATGTCCTTTACTCATTCTTTTCTCCTTTTTAGGGATTTTTCTTTTTTAAATGACAGGTCGTGTTTCTGACCCAAAAGGTAGTAAGACGTCGTATGTAATATCTCCCATATGGGTCTTGTCCATCTGCATATACTCCGATCCCTGTTAACCTTAGATATTAGTAAAGGGATTGGTAGTTAATTTGTAACACAGAGAGCCAATTATAGCGCCTTATTGCCGTAAGCGAATGCAAATATTCATGTCATGCGATTGTGCTGACGATTTCTAAGCTGCGAACTGAAACCGCCCAAGGGATACCTAAGTGTATATCCACTTTGTTTCAGAGGCTGTCGAGATGAGTAGTAAATTGTCCACAACCACTTAACAAATAAGAAACTTTAAATTTGGCACAAGATATTCAAGTTCCATAAAACATATTACAGCTCTTCATATGATATAAGACTGCACATGAGAGGCAGCTGTTTATAGTTAAGATGGTAGTAATCTCTCAGGAGAGGCTTCACGCAATCTATGTGATAACTCGATGCGTGCATGAGTAATAGTCTATAGTTACCTAGCTAATATTCTCCAAACATCCGATGTAGTCAAGACATACACCCGTTCTATACTCTAGCCTATTCAGATGATGAGGAAGAAATTGGAATGTTGAAGAATCTAGGACACTTCTGATGTTTCAACTCCTTACATCTACTATCCGACCTAGAGAAGTCATGTTTTGGGATCTTAGGTCACGCATTTTATGTCGAGATGCTTCAAGGTATGAGATTCATGGATTTTATTGGAACAGCATTGTATCAATGTGAAAGATGAGGCTTTATAGAGTTCTCGGGTTCATGGTGCTTAGAAAACTCTCTTGGGCAAAGACTTGTGTTAATCAAGACAGGCTATTGCCCAAGGAATAAATGCAAGAAACGGGAGCTAAAAAGAAGTTTAACGCTACCATCTATCACAGAAATTATGGGAAGCCCCAATGATGCCTAGAGGTCTCCCTACTTTGATCAGAAGTACGCCCGTATCTTCTGTGGTAAAGAGTGAAACTTGACACACTCTGCAAAATAAGAGAATACTGGCTTTACTCATGATGATACAAAATTTTAACAAGTGGAATTTTTTTCAAATGTCTTGGCAGTCATCTTAAACTTGACAAGCATGGTCTGATAGATGCAATGCTTGGACAAAACCACTCCAAGCGGGAGATATAAACATGTAGACCTGTAATTTGAGCATTATTATTTGGAACCAAGGGTGCGTATTCAGAGAAATAGTAGGTCTTAATTTCTCTTGGTCCAATAAGCGGTTTCTACCTATGTTTGGATGTGTTATTTACCTCTCACCTGCTATAAGTATATGAGAAAATGAGCTAATCTATATCAGAAAACTATATATGTCCATAGCTGATTCACTGATCTCTTTTCTTAAAAGAATCTGCGCATCTGCTATGTTTGTGTGCCTCAAGTCACGTAGTTTACCCGTTCATCCGTTCAAATGTTAACCACACTTCTGTGGCTATCTTGTAATCTCAAGCCAATATTAACTCCAAACTAAGTGAGTAGTCAGGTAGAAGGCGTTGAACCCAATTAAAAGCCAAAAATTTACACGTTCAGGCTCAGATTAACATAGCAATCAGGGGGGTCAATCATTTCGGCCAAGATGCAAGGCACAAAGCAAATCTGGAGAATATCTTCTGTTCACTCTTAATCCGCTGACTGATATAAATCAGCTGACATATGCAGTCCTTTAACCAGAAAATATAAAGACTCCACCCATAGAAAGCACGACTCCGTTATTAAGGGTAGCCCTGTACAAGAAGTTTTACGTTCATATCCTGGACCAACGAGGCTCCGTGCAATACGCTATTGAGCAAAGGATGACCACGTGCTCATAATCTTGACCACGTGGACAAAACTGGCCCGTCGGCGGAGCAGCGAGAGTTGGATTCCATCTCATCTGCACCTGCAAGCATGGAGTTGTTCCGACTAGGCGGTAACTACGACAAGGCTGTTCTATCCCACGAGGCAGATGTACCTGTACTTGGACACTGATGAGGCGGTGACAGTAGTTCTTACAGGTGTCCACCAAAGACCATTACCCTGGCGAGACTTACAAAGATTGAGTAATAGTGAGCGGAGAATTTCCATTCCCTTGAGGGTGCAAGCCGCGTTGATTCCTGCAGGTACTCGTACTTTAAGGATCCGTGCTACGGATTACCGTACTAGTATAAGCTCTACCGGGAGCGCTATTCCGTACGACACATCAACGTATTAGGGACGGTCCGGTTATGGCGCTTCCGGGACTCCACTTGTCTTGGTGCTGCGGGCGTCGGTTTCGGCGCCGTGATGATGATAATGGCGGTGACGGTCTTAGACAAGCACTACAATAGCACGGAATACAAGCATCAATTGTGCTAGTAGACCGAAACAACTGGAAGAGGAATGGCCGTTGCTGAACCCTTGTTGGCAGGGATTCGCGCTGGGTTACTGCAGGCATAAGCAGGGGAGGGATTGATCCTGGGCTGTGAGCTGGGGCTGGAAAAGTCCTTGCTCGCTCATGGATTCACGGCAAGGGACACCTGTACCTGGCTATACTATGTATCATATGCAGACGCAAGATGCAGAGACATGGCTTAGACACGAGGATATCTGCAAGATGACGCTTTTTCAAGACGGCGAGCAAACGTGGCATTATCCTTGCTCTCTCAGATCCTGCGTCATACTGCACCGTACCAATACGAGCAACCTGGTAAAAAGAAACTGGCGGGGACCAACAGCACAAGTATCGGCAAATCAAGATGCTGGCCAGATATGAGAACCACGGCGGAGTATCCATGGACACAGCCAGCTTGGCACTCGCAGCGAGAACCGACCTTGACCGAAAGTTTGTGATAAGCACTGCCAGATTCTCATAAGGCTAGCTCGATTGAACCGGACTTATTCTGAGCTTCCGAATTTGATCAGGGTCCCGGCTAGGGATCGACAATGTGAGCAGCAGTAGCAGGAAGGCTAGGTGCGAACGACTCTACGAAAAACCTCGGCAATGAGATAGGACTCGCTGTTCAGGCCGACCGCGTGCGTGGTAATCTGTGATACTACCGTACATGTAACTATTATTGGTCTTGTGCTTTATGGAGAATATATGTATTTTTAGTGTCGGCTATACAAATAACGGCGAGGCGTTGCATAGCAGCGTGGTCTTGGAGAATGAGACTGTGCCATCGGTGATGATGAGGAGCCGTCGGGCATGAGCAGGTCCGAGTTCCGGCTTCCCCGAAGGCGGCTCAACGTAGCCATCCGCGGTTTGAAGCGACTGTAAGTGCGAGGGTTTGAATAGCAGAATATGGGACTAGCTGTATTGCACTTGCTAGCTATTCCTTCTCAGCTTTCAGGAGACAAACTAAGGACACCTCCTATCTCTCTCGAAAATTTCTTTAGTTGAGAAATAGTCGGCCCTTTGGCTGTTAGCTCTGAAGGATCTAGTATAGCTTCAAAGAACCCGCCGCGTCCTCAGTCACCATCATGCTCACCATTTACGACGCCCAAGTTCGGAACGGAGTCTGCCCGTGCACAATTACAAATAAACACCTGGAAGCCGAGCGTACAAATGAGCTCGAGCAAGTCCCGGTACCGGGGATCAATTTTCGTACCCGACATGCCTCTTATCCCGGACATCTCGGCCCTCTTCCACGACCCCCACACATTCCCCCTTTCCCCGGACTGTCACTTACAACACCCCGCTTCGGTGCAACTGTGGTCATGGCCATGGTTACTTTCCACAACTACGCACTTGTATCCCTTGAGGCCAGGGTGCCTGTGACTCCTCATCAAACAGTGGGTAGCATCATCTGTTTCCATGGACCCGTACAGTGCTTCGTCCCTGAATCCGAAGACCCAGGTCTCCTGTGCTCAAGACGGATCCCATGAAATGGGAAATGTAACATGGTAGCAGCGCACCATGTAATCCGGACTCCTGGAGCAGAACCACTTATCAATGCGGAGAACGAATCCATACCAAGCATCCGGCTCAGCATCCACAAGGCATGAGCCAATGTCAAAGCCTGTTGCCGTATTTACAGAATCCCTAACAGAATGAACTTTAAATCGCATACAATGTTCGATGCGACTTTTCAATTGTGAAACTGAGAGTCATGAGAGCAATACGTTGGTACCCGTTCTGTCTATTGGTCTATCTATCTAAAACATTGACAACCTGTAAATTTCCTTGACGCCATATCCACCTCTATAATAAGTCCAAGCCTCTGCTTTTCAAGTCTATTGCCCAAACAAAGAAGATACAAAAGCTACTGGCAGCAAAAGAAAATTGATCCCCCTCTTCTCAGTTCCCATCACACTCCAAGTCAATCTGCCTGTATATCCCTTCTCTTATGTCAAATACATGCGGTTATCGTGAGACACATTTGCCCTTGACTTTCTCAACAGTCTCCATTCTAGATTTCACGCCGTCACCCAATTTAGCCACATCATCTCCCTTCATCCCTCGTCGAATGTTCGCTGCCTTGTTGATCTTGGCCACATCCGCCAACGCAAGCGGGCTCAAAATGAGATCGAAAATAGCCAGTGGCGCATTGTGCGGATCGTCCACAATGGTGTAAATGTCCATTCCGGCATTACCTGCGGCTCCAATCAAGCCCATGATCACTACCACATCAGCGAGTTCTGCCACGGAACCAATGATTTCCCCCACGATCGGGATGAACAGAAAGATGGCTGATAGAAACTCAAGAATAAACGCCTTCCTCTTCGCTTCCTCAATCTTGTCTGCAATGGTTTCCACCAAGCCCATCTTCTCTGTGGCTGAGGCAATCATGAAAATCGGCATGCTGAGGCTGTCAATCAGGTCAGAGCCTTCACCAATCCAGCCGTCAAGTTTGAGGGTGGCGATGATGCTGTCAATCTGTGGACCAAGCGTCTGCGCATTTTCAAGACCCTTCCTTACAATTTCTTTGGGATTTGCCACGTCCGAAGCTGAGTATCCGTTGATCAAGGGTACGTTATAGTCAATGCCAGAGGCCCAGCACGGATCGTCTGGTTTGGATGATGGCGCACAGGGATTTCCACGATTGTAGTCCCCCATCTTGGTCTTATTCTTGGGGATTCCAGTATCTGACTCCATATCCGTAAAGAAGCCAGTCTCGTTGAAAAATGTCCAGTAGACCGACTGCTCATACGGGTCATCCGGCCCGTACCCACGTTTGGAGTAATCCGGCGGACAGGGCTCCGATTCTTTGTATACTTTTGTACGCAACACCGGTGTTGGAGGGCCAAAATCGCCAGAGTGGACATAATGGAAGCAGTCGTCATCGAAGCAGTAATCACATTCACTTGGGCGCCTCTGGTTGCGCTTACACGAGTCGCAGCAAATTGCAGCCTCCGCAACCTCACACGTGTAATAGTTGGTTCCATTGGTCGTGATCCAATCGCGAAGAGTAGAGCCCGCTTGGTCGGCAACTGATTTAGAATAGACCTTGAACTTGTCGTCATATCCATTAGACAACATGTCCGTGTAGTTGCTTAAACTTTGTTTGAGAAGGTTGTTGAGAGCAGTTAGAGTGTAAAGTGTTACACAGTGTTCGGGGATATTTCCGGCGGCTGCGTCCAGCTCTTCCATGGAGTTGTATACGTCGTTGCATGGCGGCAGAGGATCCGTATCTGGAAGCTCGTCGTCGTAGGGCTCAAGAGAGTCATCAGTGTATTCTTGAAGATCAACAGCCCAATCTACTACGCCACCAAGATTGGCTGCCTTGTAAATAGCTGTCCGATTGGCTTTCGATTCAGCCGGCATATAGGCCACCCAGTTCGATCCATAGAAAACCATGGTTGTGTCGCTGACCGGATCGTAATCGACACGAGTATCGTCGAAATCCATGTTAATGATTTCTTCGATTTCGGCATTGGCGATGTAACCAGCGGTTCCAGTACACTCTCCAGGAGTCGCTGTTGAATTAGGGCCTTTGAACGTGCAATGCGGGTCGTTCAAACTCTTCTCGCACGCAGCTCTATTGGTCATACCAAATGACCGCCCGTAACTCGGAAGCCCTACAACAACTTTATTGGCATCCACACCGGATTTGGTGACTATGGCGATACTTGTTAGTCACACAGTTTATTATCATCTCCTACTTCCAAGGGTAACTCACTCATGGCCAGTGCGTACATGGTTTCGGTTAAATTGACTATCACACAGCATGCATGTTAGATGTTGTGACAAGGCTAGAACAATGGAGCGCTCTCGCGAATTGTAGAGACAGAAACTTACCGTGACCTCGTAAGCAGTTTCCTGAGATACAACCGTCCTGGGTCCAGTGATTGTCGTAGTCCCATTGGTCTAGTTGAGATCAGTACAGAGTTAAAAACACAGCAACGGGGGAGACAGCCAGCACTAAACATGGACTACCTACCGTGAAGATCGTACGTCATGTATACGATGTAATCAACCAGCTTAGACATGGCTGCGATGGGGAATGACTTCAGGTACCAGTATGAAGCCGGCGCTGCCATGGATAAGGATTTTGACGCAGGCAGCTTGGATCGAAGCTTTTTTAGGAAAGTGAGGTAGTTTGGTCCATCCGATTTCAGACCGGCTGGAATACCGCGGATGTCTGGTGCCTGTTGAGTACTTTTAGTTATCTAGACCAACTGAACAAATTACCCTGCGGGTGGATGTATGGCTTACCCCTGGATACTCCCAGTCAATGTCAACACCATCAAAGCCCTTCTGATTGAGATACTTGACAATACTATCCACGAATTTGTCGACATGTTCTGGATACATTGCCTGGCGGAGTTTGTCGTATGTTGTAGGTGATGTCGAGAAGCCCCAGCCACCAAATGATAGGACTCGTTTCTGAGGAAGCTGGAGGAAGTCGTCCAACTGTTTGTAAGTGTCATTTACCGTAACCTGGAAGTTGTTGTCGATGGAAGCAAAAGCCCAGTGAGCATGTGTGTATTTTGTGTCACGCATGTCCTCAGCTCTGTAGTTGAGACAAGGGCGGTCCCAATTCCACGACTCGTAGTAAGCAACATTGATGAAAGACGAGGGAGGCTTGGCACTAGAAAGATGAAGGACTTTGTGTTATAAACTGTTGACAATCTAGAGATTGGAAGATGACTTACTTGTTCTTTATTGAAACGCCGCAGTTGGATATGCAACCATTCTTCCCTCGTGGTGCCGTGCCAGGATTGCCCGTGGGACCAGTTGCAGGCGTACAGTAATCCGGCGTTGTTCCACATTGTCCCCAGATGTTGCAGCAACTGTTGAGGGGACATGGATTCAAGCTCTCGAGCTTCTGGCCTGCAGAGGGCTTCTTCGTGCCGGGCACAAGTGGACCACATACCGCATTGCTCACCGGCGCCGGCAATGGAGAAGTCCCTTTGCTAAGACAAATGTTTGTTCCAATCACGAGAGGAGTCTTGCAACCACTCCATCCCCATGTGGTTTTGTCGTTGAATTTCTCCAGTTGGTCTATTTTCAAGCCATTTGAAGCAGCAATTCGAGAGCAGTCGTCATCAGGCTTGATGGTGTAAGTGGCACAGCTGCCATCTGGATGTGGTTTGGGAGTTATGTCTGGAAGACTTCCCTTTGAACAACAAATCATTTGGCCTGGTCGCAGGCTAGAACAGAGCGTTTTGGAGGGTTGTACTTGGAAAGGTCTGCGCTGGAGATGCTACACTTCTTAGCCAATGAGCCGCACGAATCTCCAAAGGCTACCGTGGTTGTTCGACAGCTATTCGCACGCTGAGCCCTTGCTAGAAGATGGCCGCTGTTGCCATTGGTTGAGTCAATTGGTTTGGGAGCAGAGGCCTCGAAAATTCTGATGCCTTTTAGTTTTGTTGAATATTCTTCTGTATTGTTGACACAGGCGGCTTTGTTCCATGTCTGTACAGTCTCCTGAACAGTAGGAATATTTCCTGCAATATTGATGGCTACACCAATAATGTGATCACCATTGCGGTCTTCTTCGCACAATTGAAGACGCATGTTCATGGGTAGTTTGGTTGAAGCCGTAGTGTTAAGGTGCTCTTGGAAGAGATGCAGGACGCTAGGGAGAGTCTTGGTCTTGTCAATGGCGGCGCCACTATAGACGGCGACGACAGCCCCTTTGCTGTACGCTATGAGAAAGTCGGTATTGCGGTATACAGAATCCGTCAGCTGTCGTTGTAGGAGGTCAATGGTGTTTCGCAGGTCGTTTGTAGTAGCTGTACCCTTCTCGTTGCTGGTGAAGAGGTCAAAGGATACCAAGGATCCATCGACCGGATAAGAGATTGAATCCGGATCGAATTGTTCAGTCCCATCAAAAGGGAAATCATTTGATTGAGAAAGGCCATCATTGAGGGTACACATTCTCAACTTTACCGTGGTGTTTGGGTCTTCCAAGGGAGTGTGGATCGCAAAATCCAATAAGAGTGGCTGCTCACATATCTGAAGGCGGTCAAACGAAGAATAGACGTGCCAATTTTCTGGCGACCCGTAGCAATCGGCAGGGCAAGGGTTTAATGGCAAATTAGTTCCATGGAAAGCACTGGCGGTTGTCATGCTCAAGGCTAAAGAGCCCCAGAGCACAACCAGATGCAGAATACGCATGTGGAGAAAAACACGAGAGTATGACAAAAGGGTAAAGGAACTTGAATAGAGGGTACGGAGAAAGGGGAAAGAGTAAGTAGATGATACAGAATCTGTCAAGAGACAGTCAAAGTGATGAAATGAAGACACAATGAGGTAGATGCGGTGGCAACAGGAGAAGATGTGCATCGTTCAGTAGAGGAAGATCTTTGTCTTATGGCTGATAGATCATGATGCTTCCGATCTTACTATATATCTGAACTTTTCTTTCTATACATTAGTTCGTAGTGCTTGCTTTCCATAGACTATGTTCTTATGAAACTCATAAACGGAAAGGATCAAGGCAATAAGCAAACATTCTTTACTTTCTAGCATCATGAGGTCGCGTGCTCATCTTCCACCGTCTTTTCCCTTACTCGGACAATGCTGAAGCATGTTGCATGCACATATGCGCCTGCAAGTATCCATCTATCAAGGGGAATGGCCGCTTTTGGGCCTGAGCTTGTTTCGAGTCAGTTTGTTCGGGGAGAATAAGATAGGCAGCATTCAACACCCGCGAGTTTGTGAATCTATATCCAGCATCAGAAGCGCCACGCGTGAGAATGTGATTGTTTCGAATATGTTTGTTCGGAAGATGGATACCTGAGCTGAAGACAAGGGTTGATGTCTGCGATTGCGTTCCGTCTATTGATCGGATAATGAATCCCATACTGCTTGACCATGGTATGCAGCAGCCATATGCCGAGCATCAATTGATTGCTCCAGCTTTTCACGAAGTGAACCATGTGTTCTTTTCATGGCCCCTTATTGATGGAATGATTCTGAGGATGACGTGGCCGCAGAGAACTACATAGCAGAGATTGGCAGCAAAGGGGGAAGAGTCAAGACTACCAGGGTGTTACCAAACCAAGCATTCACGGTCGTGGGTTTTACAATTTTAATAGTTCTAATCGGCCTCAATTCTTGTATTGATCTCATTTTGAGATTTACTGAACGAAGACATTCAGTGGTTCTGCCAGACCAAAGCTCCATCCATATGCACTTGCCATTGCTCTGGTCCTTTTTCTCTCTCTATTTTACAGTCATTTAGAGGGAGGGTTGAATAAGCATATAAAGTTACTCTATAAATGCGAATGTGCATACATGTAGGCTAATTTGGAGGCATAGGGCACTTTTCCGCAGATATCCCACGGATGGTGAGTGAGCAAACCATCCATGCATGTCGCCACTTATCAGGATTCCTCTTCAAAGAAAATGCTGACGATTCGTGGCTGCTGCCTTTCCACACTGTACATACCCGATAAAAAGTCCTTCTCATTTGACCTTCGTTTTCGTATAGGTAAGATTCCGAAACCTGAGGCAGCAGCAAGGCCCGATGGTGCCAAAGTGAGGTCCCTGCGCGCGGATATTTGCCATCTGTCTGTTTGCCTTTGCCAAAAATGAAGACGGCCCCTGATTCTGAAAAATGACGAAAGAGTGAGGCGCGATGCATTTGTTTCCGTATGGAATAATTGTGTTGAGCCATTCGCGACGATGCAACTTACGTGGGGCTTCTATGCTCACTTGTAGCTGCTGCGATTCGTATATAGCTATATAAAGCTTTCTTTGGCGGTTTAGTTGACGTTTAAAAGAATACTGAAGACGTAAATCAAGCTTCGATTCGTTCCATTACGTTCCTGATCAATAGTTCTTTCTCACACTACCAATACAGGCCCTGTCCTGCTGACTCGTCAAGCAGTGTCCCGACATTTTTGCCTCGTTATTTCAAGATCACCTAAGTTTGGTTGACATCGCCATCTCGCTATGAATCTCCTGTGGCTTCTCTTCACCATATTCTTTTCTTCCTTCGTGCGACGTTGTTATGCATATGGAGAACGAGGTGTCCCTGAACGGTCTGTCTCACTACATGTGTGAGAAGCTTAACCACTCACACAGATGATCCCCTTCATTTATTTTCTCCTAACAGTTTTACCAGGGCCCTATACTACCTTTCGTATCTCGCAGAAGGAGAACTACACAAGCTTGATGAGTCGACAAAGTTCACGATTGCTCCTGACTGCGTCGGTTCACGTGGTGGGCGGTGTAACTTTGAGGAGCTTATGCTACAGTATGATTTCCTATCTCTTTTCTAAGCCAATTGTATTGACTTGATGGTTCGACAGCATTTGGGCACCGAAGAAAGAAGGCGACAAAAAGCCGACCGGCTTTAAGAAGATCGCCGGAATAGACGCCAAGAACCTTCCAAATCTGGAATCAACATCGGCTTTTAACAAGTTTATCGGAGGCATTGAGAATGCGAGATTCAACACCGGTGAGCTCCTCACTGGTCAAGTCGACGTTGGCAAGTTGATGCCGGGCAAAGCCGATTTCTACGACGCACTTTCATCTATTGGCGACCCTATCGGAGCTCTCGCGGCCAAGGCAGACAAAGATAAAAAGCCGGACGAAGGAGCTGTACCAAAAAAGCCAACTGACCAAGACAAGTTGCTTAAGTTGGGCAAAGCTTCGGCATTCTACATCAGTGCCCTTCGAGGAAAAGACCAGGACAAACACAGACGCGTCTTTTTAGAGAAGTACTTTGAGAAAAAATTTCCCTCGGAAGAAGGTAAAGAGAAGATTAAGATTGAGATTGAAATGATGAATGTGGAGACACCTATGGACAAGAAAGAACCGGAAGAGGACAAAACCAAGCGGAAGGGTAAGGTACCTAAATGGGTGCCTCAATCGGTTCCAATGATCGACTTCGCAAAGACAATTGAAAAGAACAAGGACAAACTAGAAAGACTTGAGGAGGAGCTCGAAAAAGCGAATGCCGAATTCATGGCAAAAGAAACAGAAACGAACGGAAAGATGGAGAGGCTCAACGAGGCGCACAAAAAGGCCTTCGTAGCATCCAAGATGGCAGCTACGGCCACAGGATGCACTCGGGAACTTCCTCGCGAACTGAAGAAGCGGGACCCATTAGCTGAGTTGAGTTTACGATCTCCCAAGGCAGCCAGGTCAGTGAGGGTGAAGGCTCGGAAACTTGGCTTTACTATGTGAGGCCTTGATCAGGATAATGGCTGGTGTTTGAGATGTAACTGTCATTGATAGGTTTTCTGCAGGGGATGTGATCAGGAAGAAGAAAGAATGGAAAGATTGGGTAGAAAGAGAAGTGATGATAATAGATACATAGAGCGGCCAAGATAGAGGTGGGAAAGGAAAAGATTGACGTTCATATAGCGGTAATAGAAAGAAATGTCTAAAGCATCCCCCCAATTATGTCTTCACACCAGAGGCCCATGATATCCTTTAACATTGATGTATATCCAAATTTCCCTCTTACCTCATTCCCTGTCCGTTTGTTGCCCAATACAGTTTACAATGTATATTATATCTCTGAGTTGGAAACATCAAAGTATAAGTAAGATTAGCGCCATTCTCTCATAGTCCAAGGATAACTTTGTTCGGAAAGTGCTGGACATTATACATTGATTGAGCACGCTTTTCCAGGTAGGTACATATCTATGAAAGCATCGGTACAGGTTGAGTCATGGTCTTTTATTGAACCAGTCGTTACTGCTTCATTGAAGCTCTCATACTGATTATAAAGTTTAGCCTCTATAAAAGTATCGAAAACAGCCGAAGAAGTAATTTTTCAGATCTACTATATAACTTCTTCAATCCCTCGTCTTCCTTCTCTTTTCAATATTCCTCCCCGTTTATTATTCAATACACTCTATACAGCCCAAACCCAGATTTCGTCGTTTGCTTTGACCCAGACTCAAAATGAATTAGCAGTCCAACCAAGACGTCATTAATCAGGCAATGTTAAACTTGGCTTTCGCTTTGCCAGAACAAACACATCAACAGAATGTTCAACTGGCTCAAGTAGTGGAGCAAATGAATGCTTCTATGCAACAAAGTCATATATCTGAGCAGCGCACACTCGCAACTAGCATCAACATCCTAGCTAGGTCTGTCTACCATTCCCCGGATGCTGATCGGCAAATCCCCTATTCGATTCAGAGTGTTAATACTTTTTTATTTCAGGCTTCAGAACGAGGATCGCAAAGGTCTAAATCATGTGATGTACACATTTTATGGCACGCCAAATTGTGCTCTGGTTCCATTAGTCGATGTGAGGACTGGAGAAGACATTCCACTATTTCCTACTACTGTCAACGAAATCAATCAGCTTAATGGTCCGTACCCTTTCTCTTTTCCCATTTTAGGGGGGAAAGAGTAGTTACTGCTTAATGACCTAGGCATATTATTTACAAATAGAATACCTATATTAAACGAGCAAGCACTAATCCATTTCCCTAGGGGATGAGTCACGAAGAATCCTCCGGGTCTTGAGATTGACCCGCAGGGACTGCCTCTGGTCGGCATGCATAGATTAATTCTCCAGAGGACATTAAACATCTAGTTTATGGCATCTTTGCAACTTTCACGATGGGATGCACAATGGTGTTTCACCAGCGAAATGCATTCACCGAGTTGAGCTCTGATCCCAAAGCTATTAAGTGGATGGGTATCAAACCTCAGGTGCATAGCTTCGTCGTAATGCTGCAAGCAGGTCAACAGCCGAGATTTTGGACCATTTATCTCCTCTCTTTACTCTCTTCCCTTTCCCCTTACATCGTTCGTATCTAACATCTGGATGCAAGTACCACTATCCATTGACTACCCACACGGTTCTAAATGGCAACATGATAATAATCCCGTTTGTTAGTTGGCGACTCAGATCTCCAACTAACTCATATTTGCATATTCAGTTAATGTCGCACAGCCTTTCAGTTTTGACAATTCCTGCCCCCCCCCCTGTTCCAAGTCCAGCGCTATGGCCACGTCGCTGCCTCTGTTTGCCACCGAGCAAACAATACTTAAACAGAGGCCAAAGCTCGATACACTCAATATTTTCACACCTCAAACTTCCCCTTCATGCAATAACTTCACTCATTGCCTCTTCCACGTTTGAGTCACCATGTGCAGTGACTCCGATTTGTCAGAAACCTCAACAAGATGCTATGCTGCCGTGAACGAGTGGAAGGCATCCGACGAGTCCGAGGAGGCTCATGTCAGGCTGCTCATAGAAAAAGGCGAGCCTATTCCACTCACCATCCTGTGGGGTGCAGTGTACTGGCGCAGGCCAGAAGTGGTTGATCTACTCCTGTCTGTTGGGGTAGACCCAAATCGACGTCATGCTAGAGCTGAGCGGATCATGCCTCGAGGTGAAAATGACTGGCTTGACAGAGAACCGGATCGAATGCCTTGGCCAGATGACGGTGCCCAGTTTCCCCTCGGAATCGCTGCGAACATTCCAAGCGACGAGGACCAACAAGAGAAGGCGTACCGCATGGTCAGATCACTTCTACGCCATGGCGCAGATCCGTATGCCCTCTTCACGTCCCAATTGAGTGAAGGCTTATACTCCAAGGATTCTCGCCCTTTGTTCCCTGGACAAGAGATCAGCGAGCCAATAGATCCAACAGGTATTGGGGAGCATCAAGGCCAAAGAATCGAGGACATCCTCGGCCCCGACTTCCGCGGAACTTTACCAAAGGTAGTGGTTACCGACTTTGGCCTTCGCAGCGTCATTCATTCCGTTTTGGACAGCGGCGACTACTTCAAGCCTTTTCTCGAGTCTCCCGAATTCATGAAGAATCTAAAGCTTGAACATCGCGACCCTCAGGGCCGTACTCTTTTCCTATCAGCCTGTCGTAATCAATTTGGGGCAGATTCGCCGCTTGACGAATTCCCCCACCAGCATACCGACGCGGAACCAGGGCTACACCATGAGAGCGATCAACCCCCTGGCGTCAACTCAGGACCGTCTGTCAACGTGAAGGGAGCTCAACCTCAGACGGTGGTCGAAGCGCTGCTGGATTTGGGCGCAGATCCACTGGCCACGGACAACCAAGGGAAAAACGCCTTGCATCAGTTGCTAGAAGCACACTTAATGGGCGGCGATAAACCGCCTGCGATCTGTCAGACATTGCACTATCTGATTGCCCGATTTCCATCCCTAGTCAACCAGCCAGATCACAATGGACTGGCTCCGATTCACACAGCCATAAGGCGTATGTGGCAGTATTCGACAGTTTCATCCAAAGACCAGCTCTGTGACGAGTTTCGACCTCCCGAAGACTGTGTTCTTGAACTACTCGAAGCTGGTGCAAATGTCCATGCTCGTGATGCCAGCAACAATACCGTCATTCACTATCTCGCAGATGGCTTTCTGGATGCTTTCGACGGAGGCAATCGCCGCCGACAACTCTTCTACATGCTACTCGACAAGTATCAATGCGCCCAATACATCAACTCAGCCAATAATTTAGGCCTTACCCCAATCCAGCTTATGCTTTCCTACACTGAATGCAAGGATGAGATCCACAGCTGGGAATGGAGCAGCTGCTATTGGAACAACCTTCCCAACATGCAGCCCGTAGACGAGGAGCTCTTTGGCAAATTCGACGAACTAGGCACTGACTGGATGGTTCGAGATAAGTTTGGAAGGACGCTGCTACATGGCGTCCTGCAGGTCCAGGCCTGTATGACTAGAGTACAATGGAGATGCAGGTATCTGCTCCAGAAGGGCGTCGACCCGATGGCTCGTGATTTTGAGGGGAAGACGGCCCGGGATCTGGCCCTTGAGAGACAGGATTCGACAACATTGAGAATTCTCGAAGAGGCTGAGCAAGCCGCGGCACACGGCAAAAACTAGCACCATGCCTGGGGACTAAGAGAGGTGGCGTTTCCCCCGCAAAATGAGATTGCTATTCTTATTTGGCTTGTGATTTGTGAAAAAGGATAGCATAGAGAATATGTCACTTTGACATTCAATGATGAGAAGCGAGACTTTTTGCCTTGCTAATCCAATGTGACATATAATCAGACAAGCGTACCTAGCCTTCATTAAGCGAACCTGGCATTCATCAAGTGTACCTACCCAGCTTTCATTAAGTGTACCTAGCTTTCATGAAGTAACACTAGTATTTAATTTCTTTGATATCTAACTGACATTACCATCTTGTTGCTCACCAAGCCTCACATGAAAGTAAACACCTATTACAGGGTAGTGACAATAAGCCAGCTTGTGGAGTGAGAAAAAAAAAAGCATATGATGCCGCGGATACAGCATCCAAGACTGGCATAGAACAAGCCTCAGCGGCATGAACAACAACAAAAAGGTCCAGAACAGAACAGAGCTGAGCTCGAAAATCCATGTCTCTGCATATGCAGCCACCAAAGCAGCGACATGTCTTGCATGCATGGGAATCCCACCAGCTCGAACTAACGGGGCGGAACCCGGTTTCTCGCGACGGAAAGGAATAGTACTCGAATGCAGCAAGAAAATTGCAACAAGAAAAATTAATTAAGAATGGCAAAAGGTTACCTAACATGCTACGAATCCTTGACGAATCCTTCTCGAAACGCTCGACAAAGACGGCATGCCGCATATTGGTAGAACATTTGCTTCAATCTGCTGATCTGGAAACGGGAGGGGGTCTAGGCGTGTTTCCCCCCAGCTTTGCTTCAAACCCATGCTTACAATAAGGCGATAATTGGCCACTGCACTCAAGCTCTGTCTCTCTCCACTCTTGTTTTGGTCTTTTCTTTTCCATTTACTACAGTATAAGCTGTTGGCCTAATGCTGTCTTGTTGCATTTATCCTGCCTCTACTATGTATATATTGCCGCATCAGGAAATATGGTGCGTGCCCTCTTTTTCTCCAGCAGCGGGCGTACTACGTATCGTCCAGCAAATAGCCTCAATGCTGCTGTACTTGCACCGTATCTGTAGCTCTCCGTCCGTCTACTTGGCCTCTTCCCTCGTCTCGTCGTCTCGTTAATTTAAATTAATGGAAGCCAAATTAGCTTCTGCCTCGACTTACGCAGAAGGGCATAGCGGGAACCCGTCCTGCGCCAATGGCACGGCTCAATTTGGATTCTTGCAGAGCATACCCGGACGACGCTCTTTTTTTGGCTTCTCACTCTCTTTGTTTTGGGCACTAAAACCAACAGCAAGCAGCAAATGAAACGGCCCAATGGCTGCTGTCCGGGGTGGCGGACCCCCTTCGGCTGCGTTGCGAAAACAAGTCTAGTTACAGAGTAGCACGATTTGCTTCCAAAGTTGCACGATTTGCGAGTGCAAGTGGACGATTCTGCGACTCGCTGTTGAAACCTCCCCCGTCTTTGCACGCACTGAAGCCGTCGTGGGTGTTACATAGGCACCCGGTCTCGAAATAAGAACGGGAGCGGAAAGCCACACCGGGGAGGCTGAGCTGAATCCAAATCCTACAGTCTTAGTCCAAACGCCACCAACCCAGGTACACGTAAACAGGCGATCTTAGATGGACGTGGTTGTATGTAAATGAGCACCGGCAGAAGTTCCTCAGACAGGGACACCTTCTCCGCGTTGTTAGGCCGGGCATCACATATGGCAACGGGACGGTAATTTGACTAGCTGATGATTGGGGGAACGGGGAATAATGGGGATTGCCAATCACAATCACCAAAACAGGCTGATGTCGACAATTCACCGTCCCTCGCAGGCAGAATCCTGACGGGCGATATCCGGGGAGATTGGTTTTGGATGAACGTCTAGGTCAGGGAGATAAGCGACCAGATACATGGAAATTACAAATGATACGACCACTCACCACTAGCAGCTGTGAATGGCAGGGATCTACACAAACCAAGAGCTGCTCTTTCGTGAGAGAGCTTACCTGGAGCAAGGGCCATTGCTTTGTGTTGCCCTCCTTCAGGAACGCGACCACGGGGTATCATGAGACACGTACCTGTAAATCCGGGACCGATATTTCCAGTATCGAATGCGAGCATCCAATCTTGGTCGCGGAAGCCTCCAATGTGCCTTCGGCAGCCACAACGCAAATATAGAATTGACGGCATCTATCCCGCAGCTTGGGCCGCCACCAGCACGCACGGGCTCTTGCTCTGAGTCTGCGACATGTACTCCGTACGAGCACTCATACGCAAGCAATCGGGCAAAGGTCACCGGCATGCCGCTGTTGCAGGTACTAACCGTCGGCTTGGGACTGCTTAGCATGAGCGGAGCTTCGCTGGGGGATCCCTGGGTGCCTCACCATGATGGAGATGCTGGACCATGGACCTTGGCCCGGAACGGCTCCATCCTCGTCCATGGGCCACTGACCGTCTTGGATTCATGCTCCATCTTGTTGCTTCGTACGAGGCACGAGCGCGAGCTAGCAATTGTGTAATGCAATGCCGAATGCTGCAGCCTGGAAAAACCCCTCACGAAGGAGGAGGAGGATAAGAAAAAAAAAAGTGCCGATGATAATCAGAGGAAGAAGTAGAAGCAAATTCGCCTATTCAGAGCCGGAGAGAGACTGTGAGCCGCAGAGTAGCAATTGGCCCGGAACTTGATGGCTCCCAGCGCTCCGAATGAGACGCCGGAGCGTGTCGCCTCTTTTTCTGAGCAGCGATCACAATTGACAACAATGGGTGGCTTTCCCGTTTCGACAAGACGGCTGCCCATCACGGACCTTTGGTCGGGCTCGCTGGAGCACGGGCGGACGGGGGGCCATGCCTGTGTGCCAGGAGCAGACTAGGCCTCGAGCCAGACGTTTCACGACTGCTGTCCGGCCCGGAGAGCCAATCCCTGCCGATCAAGAGCGTTTTGGCGGGGACGAGTCCTAGCACTCTCGTCTTGTTGTTTCTTGACGGCCTCGAGAGGAGAAGTGGATGATGGCAGAGCTAGACAAGGCACGACATGGGCTTCCCTGGCAGGCAATCTCGAGCGAGTTTTTTCGTGTCGCCCCCACCCATGTCTGTCTGGTAGTCGTAGGGCAGCCTCTCGATTCGACAGCGGTCCCTTGCTTGTAAGAGCTAGTTGACCGTATTTGGTGCTTGAGAACAGATTACAGTACTGTACGAGTACTGTACATGTTGCTTGATAGGTAGGTTCAATTGTTATCGCCGCTCTCGTGGCTCGTACGTCACTGTACAGCGGACGTCAGCTCTGTATCCGAGTAGCGGGTGAGGAGGAGGGTTCATGGTCGTGTTCCATTGCTGCTGCTGCTGCTGCTGCTGTGCGTGCGCGTTCGAATACGACGGCGCACAACGCCAATATTCATGCAAAAAAACCCCAATTGCTCCGGCCGTGGTGTGGAGGCTGAGCGAATAAAAGCATTCTTCAGCGAGAACCTAACGTTCGTCTTCGTTCCTGCATATGCACGCTGTTGGGTGGGAGGGGAAGCTGGCCGCATATCGCCGATTACCTGCAATGTTTTTGGAAGTAGTACCTGTACGAGGTTGGCTCGCCTCTGGTGCTAAACCCATTGGTGCTCTTGGGTGACGGGCTAGGTCTAATTGGTGCCAAGTTTAGGGACCAAAGTCCCTGTACAAGCTAGCGTCGAGCCCGTGGAAGAGAGACAAGATTGCTTCCAGACGATATACTCGTACTAAATTACCACGTAACGTTGATCCGAGCTCTAGGTTCAGTACCTTAGTACCTAGGTAGGTACCTTGGGTCTAGTGGTCTAGTACTGTATTTACTACTATAGCGCCTGTATTGACGGGATATCATAGCACCTGCACCAAGCTGCTACTAAGCTTACAAGTCGGACTATACTGTATTGTAGCTGTCAAGTGCTAAAGGCACTGCCTGGCAGAACTAAAGTATCACCAGCCATCATTCACTTGCAAGGCTATCTAATCGATCCATATTTATTTACAAATCTTATAGAGCTGCCAGAGTCGGAGCAAAGGCGCAAGTACGAGTACAGGGACTGCTCACCGATTTGTACTTGTACGGCTGGGTACAGTACTCGTACTCTACAGTACAGTAATCCTCCTCGCCAAGGGTAAGAGTTTGCTGAGTTGCTCCTGCAGCGCAGACCCGACGCTTCGGATTGGGCCATTGCTCAGTAGCGCCACGCAGATCCTTGCCGTCTGGCCTCTCCGACGCGTGGACCAGGACAGAACAGAGCTGCTGGGCTCCTGCCAGAAGGATTTTTGCTTGTTGCCCGCCCGCCCTGGCACGGCACAGTTCTGTACGAGTACAGGTACAGATACAGCACAGGCACAGATACAAACGCCCGAACGGGACAAGGTCCCTGGACAGCGGCCCTCAATGTTGGCTGCGCCCTGGTTAGAACACCTACGAGTATACTCCGTACTTACAATACTTGTACAATACTAACCTCGTACCATGTATTATACCCAAGCTCTACCCTAGCGCAGGCACCGGTACAGGTACGAGCGCCGCCATGTTGCTCCTCGCCTGTGCCTGTGCCTGTGCCTGGTCCCTTGGCGTGGCCTAGCGCACCGCCAGCGACGGAATCCTCCCGTGCGCGTTGCTTCGGGCCTAGTCCCGTCCACTGGCAGTCCCAAGTACAGGTACCTGTCGCGGATGCCGCACCGCCATCGCCAGCCATCGCCAGAATCCATCTCCCATTTATCGATCGGCCTTAGCTCCTCTGTCTTGGGATCTTCATCTTCAGCTGCACGGCCAAAATGAGACACGCCGTCTTCAGCGCCGCGCTGTCTCAGACCCAGCCGGAAAACCGCATGCCTCGCCTTCCAGAAGCACCCACAGAAGGATATTAATAACATTATCAGGAGCTCGGAGTACTCCGTGCGATTCCACGCCATCGTACGCGAGCGGTCCTCGCTCATCTCGCAGTGCAATGGCGTGCCTGCAAACCGCGATGTGTTACGGTACTGTAACTACTCGTACGCATCACTGCTTCTGGCCATTCGCTACTTTTGCGCTCCGTCCGTACGAAGTCGCGTTCCTGCAGCTCATGCATCGCACGCTCTTTTAGTCCGCAGGTTGCATCACGCTTAATTGCGGTTGCATGCCTCGCACATGCGTGCCTTGTCCGTCACACGAGCTGGACGGTGCTCGCACGCTTCTCTTCCGCTCTCCGGCCTTGGCCATACAGAGCTGGGCTCAGTCATTCCGGCTTGTTTGTGCAACTTTGCTTGTCCTCACCGGCCCCATCGGTATGCAGGCAAGGTTGCTGGCCATCCCAGCCTTCGGTAGGATGCAGCATCCCAGACGGTCCAGGGGTCCCACGACCCTGTCGGCCGAGAGCCAACAGGGAGCTATTCCCCAGCACAATCGTCTCCATCAGGTCCCCCCATGTCGACGACGCTACCCTCGACGAGGTTCCGCGGTCCAATCTCCTGACTGACCTGGGGTCAAGGATAGCCCCCAAATTTGGGAATTTTAGCAACAAGACTCTCTAGGGTCCTGGAGAAAAGCCCTCGCTCGTGATTCTCTGGCCCAGCTCATCTCAGCTCCAGCATCCAGATATATTATATCAGGACCGCTGCTTTCGTGCTTCGCGCTGAGCATATCCACTCCACGCATCGCCCTGCCCGAACTGTCGATTGAGTTCATCACCAGACTCCCCTGGAACAATCTTCACACTCTTATGGAGCACGGACTATCATATCCTTACATGTACTCATACGAATAGCGGATCCCAAGTGTAAAAAAAAAGCAAAGCACCAAAAAAAGCAAAACGAAAAAAAAAGAGACGCCCCTCATCGCCTTGCTTTCACCCTGGATCAGTCAGTCTCGCCGCAGATCCCCAGAGGGCATGGTCTGTCGTCGCCCTCCCCAGCCCTTGACTCGCAATGTGGAGCATGAATGCCATAGCCTTCAATTCTGGCCACCCGGCGCCGCAGCAGGTTTCCAGGGCCCGGCCTCAGACGTCGTCCTACTGGTACTTGAATAGGTCGTCGACGGCACCTTCTTCTCCTAACCTCGACAACCATCCATCATCCGAAATGTCTCCCATGAGTGCCGCCGAATTTTTCGAGCCTGCCATGGACAGGCCACCCTCCCCAAGCAGACTTCGGCAGCTGAACTCGCAGATGAGGCGAGCTTCACAGCTGCGCCGCCAGAACGGACACCGCACCGCCGCGTCGGCATCAGTGGCGTCCAACAGTGAGAATCCAGGGTGGGAGCAGACCTTGGAGAACCTGTCACTTGGCAGACGCGCTTCTGTCAAGTCCACTGGTAGCAGCGCCCATTCGAGAGAGCGCTCAGATAGCATCTACGGCTTTGGAAAGAATCCCTTCCATCGGCGAGTGAGATCCAAGCGTGAGAGCAGCGCCAACTCTTCCTCAGCTAGCTCCATGTATTCTGCTGAGGTGCCGCCGGACAATGCCATTGCTCCAGCCCCCAAAGAATCATTCATACAGGCTTTTGCTCGACGACGAGCTTCCCGAGATGACACTGCGGCAGCACAGAAGAAGCTGCAGATCTCGGGTCCTTACAACTTCCAGCATGTCATGCACACTAATCGTGACGAGGCTGCCACGCAGGAGGCCCCCGAGCAGCTGACGATGCGGGCAACCGGCCCAACAAGCGCTCCCAATGCGAACGATGGGTCCAGCCTTCTCTTCCACCCTGACGCCTACAACGACTCTGGCGCGTTCTTCTCCCGACCAGCTGCCTCATCACGCCAGTCAGCTGTTCCATCAGTTGGACCTCGTCGGCTGATGAGGCGGATCCGATCGCAGGACCAGCTGCGAGGAAGCACTCCATCCATGTCACCACCACCCAGACCACCCAGATCCCCCATCCACCCCACCGCTCCGCAACCTGGCTCTCCCGTTTCGCCCTCTCGCAGACCAAGCCTCCAAGTGGCATACGAAGATGCGGAGGGGCAGCTCCCGGTCGTCAATATCGAACGGCCAAAGACCAGCGGCGGTTTCCGGCACCCGCAGCCGTATAACCCTAATGATCCAGTCGAGCCACTCCCGCCTATGCCGATCATAACTAGCCGAGAAGACTTTCATGTTTATAACACGATGCTCTCGCCAATCCAGCCTTCGCCTACTGAGCCCGCTTGGCCGCTCGCCAGCCCTACATTGGCAACATACGAGACCCCGCTTGCCGATGTTCCGGAGGAAGACGAGCACGCTGCCGCCCATCGACGATCCATCCGGGGCAGCCAATCTGTACCTATGCTTCGCAAATCCCATCGCCCAGCCAGCAACGCGTCAGAGACTCTTGGTAACCTTCACATGGCATCGGTGGTGCAGCAGCTGCAGCAGGTTGCTGTGGAATCGAACACGGAGAAGCACGGGTTCGATTTTGGCGTAATCGAGGAGAGCTGGGAGGACGACATTGACTATTGTTATGAGCACGAAGCTGAGGCTGACTGCGACTACCAGTGGGACCGTGACTCCATGGATACTGCTCGCGATAGCGATACTCTCCCGGTGGAGGTGACTATGCGAGCAGAGGACATCGAGGTGCCTATCGGGACCGCAAGATCGTCTCCTGGCATGCTTTCTGTAGCCACATTTGACGTTCCCGGCCTGAGCCCCATTAGTCAAACATCAACACCCACTATCCAAGAGGCCATCACACCTGTTTTCAGTGCCCCTGCTCCCAACAACTTCTCTCTTCCCCTCCTTGACAAGAAGAAGCTGTTCCGCGTTTCGCATGCGTCAAGCTTTAAGGAGTCTCACGGCTTTACCTTGTCGCCTTCGCTGCTCATTCCTGGTGATTTCCATCAGCAGATGCTCCTTGAAGAGGGCGCCAGACACGAGTATCCCGACGAGGACGAGCTGGCGCTACCATACAACCAAGGGGCTATGTATGACGAAACTACCAAGCCTATGCAGTGGTCGCAGCAGCGCGCGAGTACCTCCACGACGGGGACTGTCTCCACTCACTCTGATTCGACTGCCGATCGCCACATCTCTACCAATTCTACTTGGTCGTTTTTCAGCCGCCACACAGCTAGCAGCAGCGGGTCTGTGCACAAGATGACTGGATCCTGGACCGAGTCGGCAGAGCCTCTTCCCGTATCTCAGGTCGATGTGCTACCACACGTTGACGCAGATGAGGAGGCGGGTATTACCAGCCCACAAGACACAGTTCCCGAACTTGTCTCATTCCCTCTGGGCCCATCCAGGAAGTCTTCTCACAAGTCTCACGCTAGCGAGTCGATCATCCACGAGGAGCCTTCATTCAAGCAATTTGAGGCGGGCCAGAGACGGGGCCCTCGAGCCAGGACTGCCAGTCTGAGCAGCCAGGCACCCCCCGTGGGACAGTATGCCTTGTTTCCCCGATCATACATCAAGCCAACCGGCGACCGCATCTAAAAACACAAAATGCACCAAAACAAACACATCCTCCTAAACATCGCACACACATACTACACACACCACACATACACACATACACACATATATACACACGTACACACACATCGCGCTCCAATCAGATTCGAAATCGGCTCTTCTCTTACGCACTCTTTTTGAAAGCATGCGCCGTTCGATTTCCTATGTACCCTTAGCGATGTACACCATCCGTTATTTCCTTGTCAAATTTTCGAGATTCGCCCATACAAGACACGGGCCCATGATGCCCTGTGAAACTCTATGGCGCAGAGTCCTGTGTGATTCTTACCTATCGTTAACGGCGTTGTTCATTTCTGCTGTATAGAGTATTAGAGGCACGAGATTGCCTATGTTTGCCTGCCGCTGGGCTTTTCCTTAGAGATGATGGGAACAAGGGAAATAAAAAAGAGAGAGCAAAATCCTGCTGGAAAAAAAGAATGATATAGACAAAAAGCAGGCAAAAGCACATACAACTGCCATGGTCTTCTCTCTCTCTCTCTCTTGTGTATGGGAAGATTGGAAATGGAAATTCTGGAAGGGAATTGCGGATTTTTTTTTATGACGAATGCGATGGGATTTTATGAACCGGGTCTAGAAGGAGTTTTCTCTTTTCCTTTTTTTTTGTTGTTATCTCGCTTTATCCCCCCGTCTCCAAATTTTTTCTTTGTCTCTTTTGAGTTGGCATCACACTTGGACTTTTTCCTTTTTCTTTTTTTTGTGTATATGGAAAATAACTGGGATTATTTGTGCTTAAATCCGTTGTTATCAAGGGGTAATAAGTGGCGGCTTTGGCTTTTTGGGATATTGGCTTGTTCAGGACACAAAACTGTGTGTAATTTCATTGAATAGAGAATGCTTGAAATAAAAAACCAGAAAAAAGAGAACCGTAAAACGGACGTTTTTGATGTGCCCTTGCGCTTTGAAAGTGATGCTTCTTGTCATATGTAGCTATAAATTACCTATCAACTACAGAATACCATATCTTTGCGAATAACCCAACCGACGTTGAAAGCATCAAGGCATGAGAAAAAAGATGTGTGAAAAAATCCCAAGCTTCAATCTGCCTTGCGAAAAAAACAAAACCACGCGCCTCCAAAAACGCCATCCTAGTTCATTCTTCCCTTCATTCTTTCATTCTTTGCCTTTCTTTTTTGCTTTCTTTACCCCCTTATCAAGGCCGCGAGATTAGGAGTCATATAAGTAAAAAAGTTACCCATCCTATCTTCTCTTCATTTCTTTGCCTTCTTCTTAGGTCGTTCGTCTTCCTCCTCCTCATCGACATCGTCCATATCCTCATCATCGTCGTCGTTGTCGACGTCACTCTCAGCACTCCCGGAGCCGGAACTCTCGTGATTGCTGTCGTACTCCTCGGCGACATCGCTGTCGCTGTCAGCCTGGAAGTCCTCATCGACGCTCTCCTCGTCCTCATCAGCAGAACCACGGTCCGCCTTGGGAGCGACGACCTCATCGTCGGACTCATCCATGGCCTCTTCACGGAGGGCAGCAGCGAGCAGGTTGGCGTCCTCGTCGATCTCATTCTTGACGCGCAGGCCCTTGAGCTTGAAGAACGACTCCAGGGCCTTGAGATCCTCACGATTAATGTTGCTGAATTGCGATGACCCGGCGCCGTTCTTCATAACAACGGTGATGTCGAATGTGGACAGGGCGGAGACTGCGCCGCTTACACGGGAGAAGGTGACGGACTGTGTCTGCTCGTAGGCGATGTACGTCGCCGGCTTCGGCACGAACATGAAGGCCTTTTCTAAGCAGTACAGGAAACCTTCGCTGGCTTTAATAGAGCACTTGATGCCGTATTGGTTGCGGTGGCTGTTGCAGAAGAACAAAAGAAAGTCAGCATATGGGTTTCAATGGTCGTCAAGTGAATAGTCGAACGGGGGGATACATACGTAAGGAAATCTTTGGCAGGGGAAGAGATCTTCTTGTTGCCGAGGCCTCGGAAGATTTTGGCCACGACGTGGTGCAAGGGTTCTTCATAATGGGGCTCAAGCTTGTCCTTGTACTTGCTCTCCAGCTCTGCCTCGTCAATGTTCAGGTCGATAGTCACCTCCTCGTCCTTCTTAAACTGCATAACGACAAAGGGATATCTCGTCTGACCCTGGCGGAGAGGAGGATCCAAGCCAATGCAAAGCAGGCAGTGCATTTCGTCAGGCTTTGGGAGCACCATAAACTTCTTGACAGCCTCATACTGGATTTTGTAGTCGTATGTCTTTCCACGGAGTCTGAATGAGGCTTCGTACATGTCGATATCAAAACGACCTCTGCGCATGTGTCAGAAAAAAGTCCACTAGATGAGGATTGCCAAGAGTGCTAAACACGTACCTGGGGGTGAGATGGAGAACATCGAGGAAGGTGGCGATAGTATCACCAGCCGTTTCGCCAATCTCTGCCTTCTCTATCAGCGTCTCGTAGAAGAGCGTCGCAGCATTCTTCTCCTCCTCCTCGCCAGCATCACTACCAGCGTCCTCACCCTCAGTCTCCTTCTTAGTCGTCACACCGGGGATGTAAAACCGCATCTCGACGAGCTGATCCTTGCCCGCACCGGCCTTCTTGCCCTTGCCACGCGCACCGCCCAGCTGGCCGTTGGTACCGGTGTCGTTGGCGTTGAGGGGCAGGGCCAGCTCGACGGCGACTTCATTTCGACCAGCCAGATTTGTGTTTCCAATCTCGGAATACGGCATCTCAAAAGCCGGACGGTTCTGGACATTGAAGACAATCTCGGCCTTGGAAAACTCGGCCTTGCCCCAGTTCCACCCCCGCAGCGCATGTTCCTTGTTCTCCAGCACGGTGCTGTACCAGTTCTTGAAGATCTTGCTGAGGCGTTCGTAGTCCTCCTGCTGGAAGCCGTCCAGCTGGATGATGCCCGAGTTGCGCTGCAGGATTCGGATCTCGTATCCTCTGGCGGCTCGACTCCATTGGGCGCTCCCAATGTTGCTGTGATCGAGGGTGAAGGTGTCACCGCCGCCCGCGGGCTTCCATCCGAAACCGGTCTCTGCGAACCTACACTTGCCGCTCTCCTTGGAGAGGTCAAGGTAGATGCTGTCGAAACTTTCACTGTATAGACACGGCTGCGGTTAGCATGTTGGGAGTGGATTTGGGTGGCCGTAAGGGAAGATTTGCTGGGCGTCGTGAACAAACGCAAAGTTGCTGCTGGTTCGCTCTACAAGGATTGCAGAGAGGAAGGGAAAGAAGGAAGCAACATGCGAAAAAAAAAAAAAAGAGGGAACAAACAACAGATGAGAGAAGCAAGAAGATACTCACATTGCAGTCATTTTGGCCGCCCAACTTGATGCGCAATAAATGAATCCAGCAAGGCTTTGGAAAATCGAGCTGTGTGTGGCTTTGCACAAGGTGAGGCTGCTTTAATAGATTAAAATTGAGAGCTTCGGCGCGACGCTGCACCGCGCAGAGACGCGCCACCCGCATGTGCGCCTCAGCCTTTGCGGTCTCAGCCACAGCAGACCCTCGTCTTGTGTGGCTCGTGCACTGGAAGGCTGAGCTTTGGATCTCGATGGTGGCAGCTCTACGAACGAATGAATCTCCATGAACAAGAGCTATTATAGAGGGGGACTACTAGATATTGTACCACGAAAAGACAGACAATGAACTTGCTTCTGATATTCAGAGTGAAAGCTATTTACAGGAGAGCACGGACCATAACCGGTTGCTGCCATTCTACCAAGCTCAGAGCTTCAGCGTGCTCGGGTATCGTTGTTACTACCATTAAGATTATCATTAATATTGAGGCTACTTGCCGAGCTGCTGATACTTGACAAAGTCCTTATGCAGTTTGTTGATGTTGATGAACCCGCTTCGAGCTTCCAGGGCGTTGAAAGGATTGCCGAGCGTTTCCTTGTCCGCATCGCCCGAGCCTGCATCTCCCTCCCGCTCAATCTTGCCCGCCCAAGTGTGCCATTGAATTGGCTGCGGCGCCCCTGATCCCAGCACAAGCCCCAAGCAAATCAAAACGGTTGCCGCAATGGTCTCGATGTAAATGTCCAGGGGGAGAGAAGTTGCCGAGGGTGATGTGGGATGCTGGACTGAGGTTGATGAGAGGACTGTGTGCTCATGCGCAGAGTAACATCTGGCATCATCTTAGTACTAACTCTGCAGCGGCCACAAGTGAATTCACAACAAAGAATTCACAACAAAGAAGACAGAAACACCATACCCATGAGCAAGAATGACCAGACCGACAAGGGTCAGAGGACGGGAGAGCCACGCCATTGTATTTGATCTCGGTAGCTGCTGAGGCTGGCGACTTAGTGCTGGTGAGAAGGTCAAGTGAAGCTTACAGTAGTTGCGGCTCGGCATGGAACAAGCATACGCCGGTGAGCGCCGGCTTCAGGAGTTTGCACAGTGACCGGCACAGTGGCTCCGCTGCGTTTGGCACGGGGAGGGTCCGCTAGTTGCCGGGGGTGTTCTCCATGAGCGAGACATGGATGGCGAAGCCACTAACAGGATGCGCTAGAGCCATCCGCTCTCACAAGTACCGTATCTGCATACTTTGTACGAAAGATACCTTATCACGACACTACGACTAATCACGCTTGTTGCGGCTGTCTCCAGGATACCTTTGTAGTGCCAGCGCCGGATTAGCACACACAGTGCGTTGCCTCCTGCAGCAACGAAGATAACGTCAGTCATCTGGGCGCGTGCGATGCCAACTCAATGATGCTCCATGACAACTACACGCACTCCATCACCTGACAGGCTGCTCCTTATTCATACCTCTTGACTCTCCCATCGCCATCAGCAAAACGCTCCTCTATCATCACTGGCACCGCTTCTGCGCCCCCGACTCTCCCTCTAGATGGAATAACGCATCTCTGAATCCTCCATCCATACCGTATTCGCCCATGGTATCGCCCAGTTCCAGATGCGGTCCTGCCGGCAGGGTCACCGCCGCCCTGCTGCTGGCTTCGGCACTCGCCATCTCGCCAGGCTCGGCCAATATAATCGGCGGTGATGTTGGTCTCGACCAGCACGTCTTGATGCCTGTCGGCCCAGGCCCTCTTCTCCCTTCGAACCCCGATACGGTCCATCCTGGCGAACACACCTTCACTCTTCGACACATCTACCACCACGGCACCAACAGACATCCGCGGCTTCACAGAAAGCTAGACGTCGTCCATGACCAATCCCGAATCTTCCTCGCCGCCGACGATGGATTTGATGAGCATACTGTGCCGCATCTTACGGCCAAGAGTCGTGCCGAGACGATCGAGCGGCTGACCGACAGGCGACCCTCTGTTGTCGACCCCATTGTCGCCGAATCTCGAAAGCAAGGTTATGCAGCTGTCCTGGATGCTTCTGCATGGACGATGGACGACGTTTCCTCTCCCGACATCACCGATAAAAACACTGTGCTTACCATGGCGTACGTCGCTGCTGATGCCTACGTGGAAAACGACGGGCAGGCCGATTGGCAAGACATTGGTGCCCCCTACAACCGAAGCCTCGACTTTGGTTGGGGAACGGACGGCCTTCGTGGCCACATCTGGGCTGATGAGAGCAACTCAACCGTCATCATTGGCCTCAAGGGGACATCACCAGCCGTCTTTGACGGAGAGGGCACAACAACCAACGACAAGGTTAATGACAACTTGTTTTTCAGCTGCTGCTGCGCTCAACAGGGTCAATGGACATGGCACCAGGTCTGTGACTGCGCTACCGGTACATACGCCTGCAACAATACATGTGTGAGGACGGCCCTCCAAGAAGAAAACAGGTACTACGCCGCGGCTCGCGAGCTCTACTCCAACGTCACAGAACAGTATCCAGACTCCAACATTTGGCTGGCAGGCCATTCTCTGGGAGGTGCTGTTGCTTCTTTTCTAGCCCTGACTTATGGCCTACCCGCCGTAACCTTTGAGGCGGTGCCTGAAGCACTTCCAGCATCTCGACTGGGCCTCCCGGTTCCCCCTGGAGCAAACCCCAACACGCCACAAACGCGAGCCTACACGGGAACATATCACTTTGGCCATACCGCAGACCCAGTATACATCGGTACATGCAATGGCGCGACGGCAACGTGCTCTTTTGCTGGCTATGCTATGGAGTCTACGTGCCATACTGGCTATGAGTGTGTCTATGATGTTGTGGCTGACAAGGGATGGCGAGTGGGCATCGGCACGCACAAGATCCGAGCTGTCATTTCAGACGTCATCCTCAAATACGACAAGGTTCCCAAGTGTGTCCGGACTCCCGATTGCCGAGACTGTGGTCCCTGGAAAATGTACGAGAGCAACGGCACTGAGACGACCACGTCTGCGGTTCCCACCACAACCTCTCGAACGCGGACACGTACCTCGACTTGTCAGACTCCCGGCTGGTGGGGCTGCCTGGACGAGACGACAACTACAGGTGTCACCAGCGTTCCTGAACCTACCACGACTACTACTACTTCCACGTGCAAGACGCCTGGCTGGTTCGGATGCAAAGACAAGACGACGACGCCAGCGAGCACCTCCCAGTCTACCGTAACGACTACTTGTGAAACCCCGGGACGATTCTGGGGCTGCAACGACGAGGCCACCCAGACAAGCTCTCTGTACACAACGGTCCCCGCCAGCACAACCTGCGAGACCCCTGGCAGATTCTGGGGCTGCAACGATGCAGTGACCTCTACGAGCACACAAGCTGCTGCTGGGAGCACCGCTCCGACCATCACGGCGGCTCCCACTGGGGTTCCAACATGAGGACAAGGAATGCGCATAACCGGGGGAGGCACTGATATACTTTTGTGATTTGATATTATGGCGTTTGGTAATTTGTTTATTTAATAGACTACTGCTAGGATTAGTTGGGAAGATTTTGTGTTTGAAGCGGGCCAAGATTTTGTAGCGTTTACGATAAATGAGTAGGTGATAAGCAGTACCTACCTCGACCTAGTACCTAGGCATATATACAATGACAACTGGGGTTTATTTTTCGATTTGATTGTCCGTTGCCTCTTGTGAAATGATTAAATGTAGGTGATTGTAAGGAGTATCAACCTTGGCTGTAGTCTTCAATGTCCAAGTTGTCAGTCATGCAAGTATAGATACATCATGCTGTATGGGCGGTATATGCCTGTTGCAAGTACCTATACCTAGATAGCTCCTTGAGGGCGGGCGTGATGTCAGCGAAGTGGAATTTTCCATTTTCACGGTCCAACTCCAAACGCGTCTCTCTCCCCCTCCATCCAAAAAAGCTCCCGCTTTAGTTCCTCACAAACAAACACGGCTCCAATGTAGCCGCTACAATTCGGCGCTCTCAAGTGCTCAAAATATCAAGTCGCTGATCTCGCCCGTTGCTTCTCTCGCCGCACAAAAATGTCCGCCATCGGCTCCGAATCGAAGCTGTCCGAACCGGAAGAGTCGCAGCTCTCAGCGCCTCCTCCTCTCAGCGACCTAGACAGCTCCGACAGCGACAGCGAGCCGGAGTCAAAAGCAGAGCCGGAACGAGAGACGGAGCCCGAGCCCGAGCCTGTAGAATGGCTCGCCACCTCACGATCGCGCCGGTCCACGGCTGGCAATCGCATGAAGTCGATGCTGGCCAACGAAGAGCCGGATTCCGATCTCGAACTGCTATTCGCCGAATCCGAGAACGACCAGGGCTTCTCTGACGTTGGTGATGATGCATCTGATGTCCAGATGGATTCGTCATCCGACGACGAGGACGAGAACAATGCTGGCGACGATCTAGAGGGCGAGCAGGAGCTCGAGCGACAGGCCAGGGAGCGGCGCGCAGCCCAGCGGAAGCGAAAGGCCCAAGATGCCATCCCAGCCAAGTTCAGGAAAAAGGTCCGCATCAACCCGGCAGCATCAGACACCTCGACGCCGGCCCCCGCGCCTCGACCCAAGAAGAAATCCGAGCGCACATCCTGGCTGCCCTCGCCGGCCGATCTTCCCACTCGAGCATCGTCTCGAAAGACGACACGCATGTCCAAAGAGCAGCTGCACCAACAGATGATTGAGCGAGAAGAGCGGCGGCTGAAGCAGCTGGAGCAGATGCAGAAAAAGGCTGCGAAAATGGAGGCGCTGAAGAAGCCCCCCATGACACAGGAGGATCGGCTTCGCGAGGCAGCCATCGTGGAGAAGCGCAACAGCAAGAGCTTGAACCGCTGGGAGGTGGCTGAGAAGCAGAGGGAAGAGGAGCGAAGAGCGAAACTAGCAGCTCTCAACCAAAGAACCCTCAAGGGTCCGGTGATTACCTTTTGGACGGGTCTGGGCGAGGCACGGCGTGTTGTCATTGAGGAGGAGAAGCCCAAGAGGAAGAAGGCGGAGAAGAAGGCCAAAGAACCCGAAGCTGGGAAGGACGACGTTGCCAACCCGGCGGCGGATAAGCAAGGCAAAGGGGACCAGCAACAGACGGATGCTTCAGTAAAGGTGGCAACTGGTAGTGATGCGAATGCCTCTGCCCTCCAGCCAAAGGCAGATCCCACTGAGCCGCAGTCAAAGGAGGAACAACAAACACCAGCAGCTAGCGAAAGCAAAGTTACGGACACAACGCCTCCGCTCAAACAAGAGGACACTGGGGAGGTCCTTAAACACCAAGAACCCTTGAAGCCATCTCCAGACGCATCATCACATCCTCCTAGCGATGCTGTCCCTGCTGCCGCTGCCGCTGCTAGCCCCTCTTCTGGTACTGGCACCCTCGCTGCCCCATCTAATGTCCTCTCTCCTCCCCCTCCCCCTCCTGCTGCTGCTCCTTCTACTGCCACAAAGCCATCCGAAGAACTACGTCAACCACCGATGGCCTCACCTACGCTTCCTCCTCCGCCGCCTCATGGTAGCTTAGCTGCACCAGTGGCTGCCTCACTGTCTGCACCACCTCGCCAGATGTCCCCCTTAGCGGCGCCCGCTGGTATTGGCAGTCCACGGCCCATAGAGGCCAGCAAGCCGTCTTCTGTACTGGCACCCCCTATTCTTGCTCCTCCGCCGGTCATGAGCATGGACTATCGCCCCAGCCCGGCGCCAAAATCGAATGTCCTTGCGCTTCCATTGCCTCAGACGACTCTGGCACCTCCAATGCAGGTCCAGACCCCCGTTGCCATGACTGGCGCTGTTCACATCTCAAACGAGCCCGTTCTTCGACACACCGTTCTACGGCCTATAAACCCCGACCCTGAACCAGTCAGCAAATCGGCAAGCCCCAGTCTTTCAGAGCCACCTTCGCAGCCTCCTCCTGCTCCGGCTGAGGCTCCCGAAGCCCCTGAGACCACCACTCGCAATGTCATCATCTTTCAAAACTTTGACGGGAATGCTATTCAAGACAAGACTATACAGACTCAGATATTGTTTGGCCGCAAGATGACCAAGCTCAACAGTATGTTGCCCAGCCATTTCCCCATTCCAAGATCTTGATATTAACGTGCTATTTTTCTTCTTCTAGAACCGCCCTCCAGTCAAAATTGTGTCATCACAAACCTACCAGCCCGTTACCGTGATCCCCAGACTGGGCTGCCTTATCACAACGTTGCCGCCTATCAGGAGCTCCAGCGTATCAAGCGTGGAGAACTGAGCTGGAGTGCAATTCTCAACGCCTGGGTAGGCAGTGAGAAGGTGGCTGCTCGTGGTGTACCGGCAAGATTCCTCGACCCAAATGCTCCGACTAAGTCTCCTGAGGAACGGGAAAAGGAAAGGCTGGCTCAGATAAGGGCTGTTCCGCCGCAGCCTCAACCCATGCAAGTGCAACAACAGCATCAGGGGCCGCCGGCGGCAGTCGTGGCGGCGGCTCATAAATCGCCTCAGGTTCAGCAACATGTGCAACAACTACAGCAGTCTCAGCAACAGGGGGCTCAGAGACTATCACTACCTCAACAGCAACGACCTCCACTGCCATTACAGCAGCAGCAGCAGCAGCAGCAGCAGCAGCAGGCCCAACAGCAGCCACTAGCAAAGCCCCAGCCGCTGCAAGCACCTCAACAACTTCAAAACCGACCATCCCCAAATCTGCAAGCACCAGTACCCCAGCAGCAACAGCAGCCAGTGTCTAATCCGGCCCCCAGTGTGCCTTCGACACTGGCTCCTCCACAGCAATCTCCTCTCAAAATACCAGCACCACAGCCGGCACAAACTTCGCCGTCTCCGGCTACTCCAAAGCCTGCTCAAGCGGCTGCTCCACCACCAAACCCTCCATCTCAACCTCAAGTTCAGCCTGAGTCTAAAGGTCAGTCTCAGAATGAATCAGCAGGTGGACCACAAGCTGCTCCTGTGGAACAAGGAGTGCAGCAAACGACAACTTCGGCAACACAATAAACGAGAACATAGTTGTCATGAATGAATTGTACTAGTAGAAAATTAGATACGTCTGAAAAAAAATTGTAAATCATAAGAGCCACACTCAGAGTACACTTGGATGATGATATATTGTATACCAACTGTGTCATCGCCTATTTCCCTCCTTTTTTTTTCTCTCTCCATCCCAAGTATCTGGCTTAGTCCCTAACCAGCCTATTTCTTCAACTGATAGAACATGCGGAGTAAGCTGAACCCTCAATAGCAACCTCCTGATCAAACATTTTCACCATGCAATCCTTGAAGTTTGTAGCTTCAGTTCTAATAATCTATTCATATTGCTGCCAACAATGCGAGCAAAGCTCACCCCATGGCTTTATACGTTGACAGATCTTGCCCGTTAAAGGAGTCAGTACACTTATTGCCAGTATGAACCCCATTTGCCCAGGCATTTATCAGAGGACAAAGTCCATCATTAAAACCCCCAGCCAAGGAAGGCATTTTCGGAGATTGTAGCTATGATTTGGGTTGAAAGACTGAGTGTGAAATGTTGGGGCGAAGATTCTCAACGAATTCCGGTTATACAAGGGGATGTAGGGACCTAACTCTGTTTACGCTATGTATAACAAGTTGAGGTAAGGGTTACAGAGGACTGTATGAGGAAGGTTGATGTTGATGATGAGAAAAGATCGACAGTATTGGAGAAGAAAGGGGGACTAGTAAGGAGGTGGATCAAGATTGGCATCACGGGTATCCAAGACATTGTCTCAGACATGCGTTTTGACACGGAATATGGAGTACTACCGAATTATAGTATAACGCTACGCCAAGTCCTCGCCTGATGAATCAGCTACCTGTCTATCATCATCCATAGCGTATGATGAAATGCGGTGATTGGGCTCAGCCTGTATTTACATGGCTTCAAACGTCCGCTCCAAGTCACATTTTAAAAGGCTCAATCACTCATACGCTGCACGGTCTTTGCTTTAACTGAATTCGATTCATTCAAACGAGTGTATCGTTCTTGTTCGAAAAGCTAAAAACTATTGTAGGATAGCTAAGTTGTCATCGCTAACCATGTCAACGCCTTCCCAATCTTCAAAGAGAGGCAATCCTCTAAATTCCGAGGTATCATTTCCATTCGGGGCCGTGTCCCGTATAAAATAAACATCCTGGTCTCCGTTTTCCGTTCCCAAAACAAACCTAAACGCCTAGCCGTCCTGTTCAGCAGCTTCGCTGAAGCTTGGCTTGAATCCCAATATATGTGAGACAAATAAATAAAACGAGGTATATCGTCCTGTATATCCACCCAGATGCCTGTGACCGAGTGTATACAGTATGCGCCGAGTCTAGAAGCAAACCAAAATAAAACGAGAGAAAAAGTAATACAAGATAGTATCTAAAAGATGTACGCGACAGCTGAGCCGAGCTGTTGTTCAATGAAGTAGTGAATGTTTCACGTTCCATGTCGTGATGCAGGTATACAGGCTAAGGGGAAAAAGAGAAAAAAAAGGCCAAAGCTGCTTGGTTGACAAACTCAGTGGCTATTAGTCGTGCCAATAGCGTCAACGATCCAGCCGAGCTCGCTGACAAAGTCATCAAGGCCAGCCTCGACGTGGGTGTTCAAAAGATTAGATCCACTAGGGATCAGCTTTGGTGAGTTGGCGGTTGCAAAAGGCTGATGGGGAACAAAAGCATCCTTAGTTTCCTCAATGTGACGGGGCAGGCTATAACCTTTGAAGGAAAGTAGCCGAGACTTTGAGATAGGGATGGGAGGGAAATGACCATCGTCCTCGTTACTAGACATGACATCGTCGTCATCATCTTCATCGTCGTAGAAGCTCATGGGGACATCCTCGTGGAGAGGGCTTGTGTTGGCTTTGTCTTTTGTTGATCCGGACCATCGAGACGCCGTGTTGGTATCGTTTGTCACAGCAGATATAGGCTGAGTCCGATCAAGGGGAGGAGGCTGAACCGAAAGCTGAGGTCTGAGTGTTGTAGCAGAGCTACTTGCTTCGGCATCCCGCTTAATAGATTCTGATGATGAAGAGCGTTGAAAGGGTGGCGGGGACAGGACAGTGACAAATGGCATGCTTTCCGAGATTGCAGACGCAGCAAAGTTGTCGTCGTCCTCATCTTCCTCAATAACCTCCTCGGGAATCGTCAAGGATGGTAGTTGAGCAGTGTGGCTAGGACGACGGGGAGCGCTGCTACCCTCACGTAAGATACGAGAGAGTGAGCTCGGAGAGATGTCTCTCGACCTGGCACCTTCGCTAAGAGACGATGTATGACGACCAGGGCGAGCATCGTGTGAGGGGACGGTGATGACGTTGTCGTAGATGGTGAAAGTGGTTTCTTCAGAGCCAGCAGATTGGCGACGTTGGCCATCAGAGCTCTGTAGCTTGCGCGAGAAGAACCTCTTCCATGATGGCGGAGATACTGAGCGAGATGAAGATGTTGAAGGACGTGTAACTGGGGCAGATTGAGCCCGGCGGTTGGCCATGCCTGATGAGAGAGGTGTGAGTGGCGTAGGTGGCAACGGCTTCATGAACTTGGTTGCTGGATCCATTGTCCTATAGTTTTCTGGGCGGATGGAGTTCATGGATGCGCTTCGGAGGCGGATTGTGTGCTCAACAGGGACGTCAAGAGTATTGACTGTTTGACCAGGCATGTATGGGCAAGCAGTTGTGTAGGGCATCGTTGCATCAAAAGTCTCAGTTGACCCGTCCACCTCGTACTAAACGGGCGATAAGTTAGAGTTGGTAATGAATAGGTACGTGAAGGTGGATAGGCGACGAGTAAAGACAAGAACAGGTGGAGGGATGAAGATAATAAATGTGAAAAGGAAATATAAAGTTGAAGAATCTATAAGCTGGCCCAACCACCTGGGTTAAGATGGAAGGTAGAAGGGCAGTGGAGATGCATCGATGATATAGAAAAACGAAAGAACGTGACTTACATAGTAGTAGTAGGTGTGGCCCATCTTTAGACCACCACTTCTCTTCTGGTGGTGCGGGTTCTCATCATCGCAGACGATGTTTTGGAATGCAAAGCATCCTCTCCATTGGCCATGGCCACGTCGACTGTCCCGCTCCATGCTATAGCACATGGTAAAATTGTCCCAAGAGCCAATGAGGCGCACGGATTGGACAGAGGGTTCCGTCTGACTGTGAGATTAGGGCGTCAGCTCAAGTCCGTTCCAGTGGGCTAACAATTATTGATTAAAATATCAACTCTGAATGGGGGGGTACGGATAGATTTATGTGTGGTGTGAAACCTGGGCACCATACTAGCACAAGCCGGGACTCAAGATTCATGTCGTCGAGATCCCGTCCATCTTGTGTTATGCGCCGGGCCCGCCCCAAGCATAGGGCTGGTGATGTGAGCAGGGTACATGCAGCGAGGTGTAGTGTCAAACGGGTATCGGCGTAACCATGGATCAAGGGGGTAAGTTAAGGGTGAATCAAGGGCAGAACGGCGTGGAAGCAAGCGTGGCGAAGACTGATGATGGGCTCATACCAATAAGCTAGAAAGGCGATGCAAGGGGGTGGGCGATTGGAGCGGGCTGACGGCCACGCTGATGGGCACAACACCCGGGTGAGAAAAGCAAATGAAGGGTGTCACTCCGTACTCGTACCGCGCCTCCAACTTGACGGAGCCTAGACCGGACAGTATGAACGGCTGGGCATCCGAAGGGCGGAATTTCAGTAGCACGGGGGAAAACGAGTTCGCTGGTAGAGTGAATAAAATGAATATCAATGCGTTATGTCCCAGTGCCAGACTAGTAAACGAGAGACAACAGCTGAAAAACGAGACTTCGGCCGTCGGAGAAGAAGGGAAACGCCCAAAAATAGGAGAGACAGAATGTTCCAAAGCGAGGGAGGAAAACGAAATGAAGGTAAAACACGGGAAGAATTAAGAAGGAAAAAGAGAAGATTCCGCAACACACTCACAACATAAATGTAACGAGAGTTGTTGTCGGATCCATTGCTCAGAAAGGCAAGAGAAACAACAACAAAATTTGTATATGGGATGAAGCCTTATTAGTACTGAGCGCAAAGAGCCCAGGGTGATACGCTCGGTCTCGTAGCCGGCGGCTATCTTGCAATGTCTCGCGCTAATGTTGGGTAATACCCACGCGATGGCAGAGTAAGTCGATATGCGCAGGCGTAAATTCCGATGCAGTATTCCTTAATTGTAAGGTTGGATCAAAGATGAAAGAGAGCTTCAGAGGGTGAAACAGGGCGGGCTGGCGGGCATGTTTGAAGAAGCGCTGAAACACAAGAGCATGGGTGACGTGATTGGCCAATTGGTGTGTTTAATCTCGATGCTGCAAGCGCCGCCAATGGGCCGGGGACACAGGAGTGGAATCGGTTCCTGGACAGTTGGATGATGTTTGGGTAGTATTCCAGCGTTGGATGTTACCGAAGTAAGGGGGGCAAAGATCAAGAGGGAGAGACGAGACGGGCGCTTATTAGTATGATTGAAAAGACTGTTGCTACACGCGATTCAGAAGGGGCGAGGCGGGCAGTAGATCAGTCGAACGGCCAAGGAGAGTAAAAAAGGCGCGACGAGCAGGGATCGCGAGTAGCCGGACAAGCTGAATACAGCAATGGATGTTCAAAGCGGAGATGATGTATAGACTAGTTTGCAGTTTCGTTGCCAAGGTCAAAGGCCAGCAATGGCGATGCTATAAGAGAATCCGGGATTGGTGAGGTTGCCACAGACAGACGGGAGGGAGATCAGGAAGAGGGCGTAAGGCTCCAGCCTAGCTATAGAGAATGATGGCGAAAGGCAGATTCTTGCAGGTCCATAGCTTGGCTATGGTTCTTGTGCAGGCAGCGTAAACTTTGAGATGCTGCCCGTGGAATCCGGAGACACGGCTGACTAGCTAGCTGAGCGGCGCTCGTAGATAGTGTTTCGCTAGTGCTGTAGTAATTGGATCCGGCGAGATGTGGACAAAGCAAGTTGAGCTCCGCTACCAGCCAGCTAACAGTGGACTGCTGGCCAGAGGTTATTGATCGGAAAGCCCGATGCCATGCCAGTGAGAGATGCCAAAGCACCAAGCGGCCTCTCGTCAGCCCCCGAGATTTCCCTGGAGCGACGTGGCGATGCCAGACTCCAGGTCTCAGTTGAGTTCAGCTCAGCTCAGCCGGGGATGGGCAGCAGCCGCCTGAGCCGGATCCCAAGGAAGCTTCGGGCAGGGTTCCGACAGGGGCACGCTCTGACGCACGCAGGCACAGCGGCAGGCTGATTGGATGATTGGGCGTGCGTTGAGGACCCAGAGAGATTGAACGGGGCCGTGCTGGAGCATCACTGGCGCCAATCATGGGCGATGCCTTTCGTGGCATCGCTCCTCCATATGCACGTCGATATTACTGGGGCCACCATTCGCATTTTGGAAGCATCATTATCCGGACCCTGTTGCTTGGCCAATGCAGTTGAGCACTGACAGTTTTGCGGCATGACGACACCGGGTCGGCGTTTAGAACATCAGATTTTTTTTCTATTTTCTTCTCCGTTTGCAATGTTGAACTCAGGCTGAGACTCGGCTCGACAGAAAAAACGTCCGGCCGCGGTCTGTCTTGATTCGTGCGGCGAGGGAGCCTTTGTTTCGGCCATGGACGCACGATGCCGAGCGCCTAGCCATGCCGGGCCTAGCAAGAATCATGCTCAGAAACGGTGCGATGCCTGCTGTACAAGTATTCTGTGAGACTCAACGTTTGCATGCTTTGCACGCTCTGCACGCTCTGCCTGCATTTTGCTCAATGACCTCAATGAAAACGGCTGTGGTTCGAGTGGAGAAGGAAAATATTTCGATCGCTCGCTTGCAAAATGCTGGGATTGGCTTCCTTCCCTCCCTTGGCCCGACCGCCTGCTGCTTTGGTCGGGCTTTGCCTATCGATAGCTGTAGAAGAAGTAAATGCAGGCACCATCATGTTGTATTTTCCCTATTACTAAGGTACCGCTCCGTAGATAATCTACGATATACGAGATGCAAGGCTTCAACTCCTTCTTGGCCGGCCTGAAGCAAGTACCAGCTGCTCCGTATCATCATAGCATTTGCATAGACATGCCGCGGCAAGTCTAACAAGACGACAAGTTTTTTCTGGCCCCCTCGGCAGCCCTGCAGCACGTCTTTAGCAATAGACACCCCCGTCATGCCGTGGCTGCATCACCGAATCAACCAGAAAAGGCCTGGTCGCGGCCACAGGGGGTGTCTCTTGTCTTGTCTTGTCTTGTCCTGTCTTGTCTTGTCTTGCCTTGTCTCAGCCTCTTATGCATAAGTCGGCGGGCTCAGGTATGCATTTCTATGTTGGGCCCGATGCCCCTGTTCCAGCTTGGTCCGCAAGCATCGAGAATAAGACATCGAGCTCCTTTTTGCCTTTTCCACGTGGAAATTGATTAGGCCCCTTGAGTAGGTCCCCGAAAGCGTGTCAGAAATCACAAAGAACGGCGAGGCCAGGGCTGACTGTCAATTAGTATCTGCATGATTTGATTACGGTTGCCCTCTATTGCTCAGTATATCACCCAATGGATGGGCATTGATGAGGGTATGCAGGTATTCTGCAAAAGACGCTAATGTGCCAATATGCTCAACTAGAGCATCCTCAGGTCGAGTGAAAGGCAGACTACTGGATCCCGGCCTATCCACGTATTGCACATGCATATGTGCAGTGCATGCACGCCACAATCTCGACTGCAGGACAAAGCTGTAGTGCAACGCAGCCTGAGTAAGGACTCGGTGGCTTCATGCTTCCGTACCAAGGCTCTGCTCTGTACTCGGTGCAACCATCGGTACACATCATGCCACATGATGCGCTCTTTGTGCTACGTGTGCCACTTCTTTCATGGCCTAACGGCTACTGGCATCAGGAGCTCCAGATCTTCAGCCTGGCCCGCCCGACTCGAGCCGCCCGCATGCCGAAAATAAAGAAATAAAATTGGGTACCAAACCAAAGCACAAGCCTCCTTCTTTTCCTATTCCAGTATTACACGAACGGGAAGCACTCCTGTCGCGCCCGCAATGGTGACCGAATACCACAAGGACTTTACGAGTATTATTCTCATACCCGTACGAAGTACACGACGAAACGAGGCTGAGGTTCCAGTCACGGGTGCTTTGCTGATGTTTCGGGCAGAGTATCACTTATCATAATGTTTCTGCAAGAAACGTGGTGGGCTCCTGCGACAGATTGCCAGATGGGGAAACCCCCAAAAGCGACCATTGGCCGAGTAGTCTTGAGATTCACAGGCCACCATCTGATCAGCAACACAAGTTCCCAACCTCGGGTCTTCGAACAACATGAGCGTCGGCCTTACTGTGGGAGCTTCCGGCTATCGTACCGTACGAGTTGGTCGTGCGTATACGGAGTCAAGCCTGCAGGAACTTTGTGCCTTCTCCTTCCTCCCACGATGATACTCCAACTAGCACAGAAATAATATGGCACATTAAAACTCCCGAACTAGAACCGCCAATCACACGCCCCGGAAGCCGAGATTCAATACACTCTCATCTCCAAACCCGGCTGCCAAAGAAAGCTCCGAGGTCTCTCACTGGCTCGCAACATAATGGCATCTGCATTAGCACTCGCCTTGGTTTAGGGCTATCCTTCAAACGCAGCCGTGTTTCGACGATCCAATGCAGACGATCAACCTGAATTGTCTGTCGACACTGTGTGCCCGACAAGTTCCGCCGTGCGCAATCATGCCGTTGGCCTCGAGCATTCATGAGCCGATTGACCAAACATAATGCCACTCAGGTAGCTTCTCGGTGCTCATTCAGAGCATTAGATATTAGAAAGTGCCAATTTTGTCCATTAGGCAGCTCACGTGATACATTGTTCATGTCCTGGTCTCTGTCTTATTCCCTGTCTGGGGATATGGTTCGGGGATATGGTTCTCACCTCACTGCTACCAAGCAAGGGCTATTAAGAGACAGAGAAGCTCTTCATTCATTACTCATACATTTCTTCTCCGTACTCCATGTCGTTTGATGCTCCGTGGAACAAGCAGCCCTCTAGTCTGTATTGTGCTAATCTATTAATCAGCAAAACTAACTCGCAATCTGCCATGATCGCCAATGCTTCTACAAGGCACACCCATGCAGCTTCAAAATATCTTCACGGTCTGACAATTACCCCGGATATCGCGCCAGCAATCAAGGCG